GGTTGGGGGAGGGAAGGGGAGGGGAATGGGGAGGCGTGTTATTGCCTGGGGTGTGCTGAGCACAACGGCTTGGTTAGTTGCTGTTCATGGATTCCGTGTCTGCTACGGGGCCGTGGTCCCGGCTGTCCCTCCCCTTTCCAATCCGGTAACAGGCACACCCAATCATCAATCCCCCATAAAGAAACACTCCCCTGTCCCCCACAAAATCTAGCACTCTCTCAACCTTGTCACTGCTGAACTGATACCCGGACTGATCCTTTCTCCCTACTCAGAATAAAGTCATAGGTACAAGCTCAAAGAGATGTCCATGACCCCCCTGGCACCTTCTACAGAGTCCCTGAATCGCGACATACGTGCCACGCGTCCGTGCCTGAATCCATAATGGCCTGTCACCTCTCTCCACAAACAATCCACCTGCCAATCGTCATCGCCCTCCGAGTCGCACACACAAACATTTGCATCCTACAATCCTGCTCTAATCACTCCCTCCGAGCTCATCTGCGTTCAAGCAGCATAGACGATCGCCCAGGATAAAAACACACACCTGACTACCATCTCCCCGCCAAGCAAGACCCATGAATCGTTCACCCCGAAGTGCCGTCTCACGCCCTCAGAGCCCGTTGATCTTACTGCTTTGCATGCATCTCTTCAACCTCGCAATATCACCCCAGCAAACGATGGCAACCCCCGGCACTGCGCCCACTCTTCACCGCCATTAAAGCTTCCTGAACTATAAGTACTGCGCCGACGAACCGTATCAGAGGCATAAGTAGACGGACGCAGCACCATCAACCTATTGAACCTGCTGACCGCGCCCCGCCGGCAGATCTGTCCACCCCGAGGACCTCGCACTCACCCTCATTCACCGTTAACGTCAACACCCCATTGCCAATCTCCAGCCCTCTCACGCGACGCCTTCACGCACTAAGTAATGCATCCCAGCCACCATTCCTCTTCTATCATTGGCCGGCCGGCCCGACTCTCGTTGAGGAGTCGAGGTCTCTCTAAGCAACGTACAAAGATGCCTCTAAGAATACACGGGTATGACGACTGACGACTGACAAACGACCCCCCGGCCTGGCCAGCGGTGCTCCCCACTCCCGGGCACGCCATCGCGTTCGACGCACACGGCCCGTCCCCAACAGTGCTAGCAGGTGGAGCTGCTCTGGTATTCTGGTTCTCGACCGACCGATCGCATCACACTCGCACCATCTCTTCGCCGGCGGCATCCCAGAAGCCGCGTTTTCTCATCGCTCAGAACCACTCAGTCATCGTCTCAGCCTGGCGCTCGCCCGGCACCATCGCACGACGAGACTGTGGCTCACACGTCCCCCACCTTGTGCACCTGCACAGAGTCGCCGACGCGCACGACACCCGAGCCCGTGGGCACCGCGTTGCACCCCAGACACGCCTTCGATGGCTTTTCCGGGTCTAGCCCACGGCGGAACTTGTGCAAAGGCTTGAACGGGACGGCCTTGTCGCGCTCGCCGGTGGTTGGCGATACGTTTGGCAGCTACGACTCGTCAGTCCCAGTTGAATCACCACGCAGGCAAAGAAGCACGCACCAAACACCGCGTCGTCTTCGAGACAACCTGAATCACAGGCGGCATCAGCCCATCGCTCTCCGCCCCGCCCTCCGCCGCCGCCGCCGCCGCCGAACGATGTATCGAAATCTCCTGCACCGCATCCTCCACAAACGGCGCGCCCGCGCCCTTGAACACGATATTCGGCCTAAACCGCTCCATAGTCAGCTCCTCCTCCCTCCACCGCTCCTCGACCCCCTGCTCGCCGACCATCGCGCGCACCCGCGCCTGCACCGCGCCGAGGCTCTCCTCGGAGCACACCATCAGCGGGTACCCGTCCTGGAACACGAACGACGCGTCCAGCTTCGGATGGCGCAGCGTCGGCCGGCACACGCGTGCCCGTGCGCCTTTCATCACGAGCATCACTGGGGCGCCGACGAACTGCGAGAGGATCTCGGACGGCGAGCGCGTGCCGGTGCTGGCGCTCTCGCAGATGTAGCCTTGCATGCCTGTGATGTAGAACAGCGCGACGTCGTCAAGCCTGTCGTGTCAGGGGAGACCCGTCAGCAAACGCGTCGTTTCAGCGCAGCGGGAACGACCGCGCGTGCGCCACGCTACATGGGCCGGTCCCGAGAAGTAGCACAGAAAGAAGAAAAGCGGAGGGAAATAGAAGACGCGCGTGGAACGGGGGTCCCAATATCAAAAACGAAACCGGGACACGGCACAGTACTCACACACGCCACCTCTGCAGAGTCGCCTCGCTCGGGCAGAGCGGAACAGCGAAACTCTCGCAGCCGGAGTCGGACGGGAAGGACACCTCGAGGACGCCTCCCTCGGGCGAGGACGGGTCGTTCTTGATCACAGGGTGTATCAGCACCGTCTGCATACCAGGGCCCAAAAGATCAATCAGCACAGCGTTTTCGCGCGTTGAACCAGCCCCAAATTGCCTGTTGCAGTAGGCCCGTAGACCAAGACCGGGACCTCGAGTGCACGGTTCAGGGCGCGAGGCCACGCGACGGAAAAGGGCACAAGGATAGCGAACGGGCAGCGGCGGCTCACCTTCGCGACTTCGCGGGCCGTCACAATCTTGTTGTTCTCCTTCCAGACGATCGCCCACTTCCTATCGTTCTATTATTTGGTGCTGAGCGATAAGCCTTTCCCCGTCCAATGGCGCGCCAAAAGGGTCCTACCTCGAGCCCCTGGGACGTGTACGCCGCTTCCGCCACGGAGATGCCTTTACAGCTCTACTTTGCCAATCAAATTAATGAACATGGGGACGGGTCATTCGTCGGCCCGAGAGATAGTGCGTGTGTATTAACGTAATACACGGTGCGTACCTTGATAGGGTGGACCAGGATCTTGCTCACGCGCACGGACGCAAAGTCGAAGTGGGCGTAGTCGTCGTTGCCTTTGGCGGGTGCACCGTTGGTCGCAGTGGGAACAGCCGGACCTGCAATGGAACAGACGTTGCCGTTATCAGATAAGCGTAGCCCTCTCAATTGGTTTGGACAAGAATAGAATGAGTGCTAAGTAGCGGAAGAGGCGAAGTTCGGGCTACCGCACGCTCGGGTTTGGGTGAGGCACGGGCAGAGCGGGGAAGGCCCGCGCAAAGTCACGGTGCAGCTTGTCGCTGGACAGGGAGAATGTAAACACGCACACCCACCCTTTGGTGGCTTCTGCGCGCTTTTGGGCAGCGCTTTCGCTATCAGATAAAGCGACGCAAAGAGCAGGACGGGCACCGAGAGCAGGCGCAGCGTCGCCTCGTCAACCAGATCGAGACCGGGCAACGCGAAGATGTTTGTACTGCGCGAGTCGAGCGCGTGGGGCATCGTTCGAGAGTCGGCGTGGGGGTATAGAATCAATTAACCAAGTTATGATTGGGAGATCTGTAACAGGCCCAATATGCAAAGCGTCGAAGTAAAGCGAGAGGCGAAAACGAGAGCAGAGAGGCTGCCCTTGGCGTATGGTATATGAGGGAGCCAGCCGCGAGGCCAGGAGCGCAGCTGATCTCACGCGGGTGGAACCTGGCGGAACGAGGTCCGTGGAATGCTTGTGGTACGTACGGCGCCTTCCCTACTAGAATGAACGAAAGAAGGTCTGCTAGGAAGGTTGCGTTCAGAGGTGGTGCGAAAACGAGCGAGTTTCGTGATAGCGTATCCAGAAAGAGAGACGAGCGTTTTCACAGACGCTTCGGAACGTGGAATACGGAGGCCTTTACGTGTCGAGGAATGAATGAGAGGGTGAATGACTGGTGCCTCGGGAGGGTTTGATGAATCAATTGTTTCGGGGGCGTGTCCGAGAGATGGAGTGGGGCAGTTATGCATCTCCGCTCGTGATAAGGTTATATTTGCTTGTCGGACCTGTCGGGACAGGACAAATTTTGCGTTGCCGGGCGACATAACAAACTGATAAAGCATCGTGAGGTGCCTCGTGTTTGTTTTAGTGCAGGTGAGCAGGAAAAAAAGGACGGAAAAAACATGTTCATTGACATGCACGTGGTGGTATGAATACAAAGCTCAAAACGTTGGGGCGCGGGCCTGAACTCTTGACAGAGCTCCGCGTGCGTATCTCGAACGTAGTTGACGACAACTCTCCAGCCTAAAACTTACAAAACCCGCCATTATTACCTTGCCTATCGACGCACTTACGCAAACCTCCCTCCCACTTCAAACGCCAAGTTCAACGCCATCACACCGAGCCCGCTCACCCCGTGCGAAGGATAAGATGCACACCGCTGTCCGAGCTGATCACGTCGCTGATCTGCCCGGCCTCGAGCGCGTACGCGCCGTCCTCGAACGCCTTCTGCATCTGCCCCCTGCCGAACCAGCCGAGGTCGCCGTCGTGCGCGTGCGACGAGCAGTCCGAGTGCTCCCGCGCGAGCTCCGCGAATGTGTCTGTCGAGCTGCCGATCTGGGCCTGGTACTCGCGCAGGGTATTGATCGCCTCTTCCTTGGTGCGCGTGATGTTGGCCTGTGCAAGTGCAGAGTGTGCGTGCGTGCGTGAGTGAGTGTGCCGTGTGGTGTGGTGTAAGGAGAAAGGACGGCGAAGAGATGGAGGGGGTGGAGCTCACCTCCTTCCAGCTGGACGGCCGCCTGCTGTCCTTGTGCTTTATGAGCAGATGGCTAGCGCGGATCTGCCCTGCTGCTCCCCCGCCTCCCGAGGCGCTGCCGCTGAGGTACTCCTGCGCACCGGGGAGCGCCTGGACCTGCTCCTTGGAGAGCCCGGATGGTGCCTCCCAGACGGACTGCTTCGTGGTGGTGTTGTAGAAGTAGGGCATGCCCTTGGAGTTGGACATGCGCACGACCCATTCAGACTGTCAGGCAGGTGGAGAGACCATGGTGAGCGAAAAGCATGAGATGTGAGACAGGGGCGTACCATTGTGGTTGAGCTTATGAGTTATTGGTAGTGGTGATTAGTGTTTGATGAGCTTGTTGGGTGAAGCCGCGATAAAGGAAGTGGGTAAGTAAATATTACCACGGCCGGGGTTTGCCTTCACCCACCTCACCGACTCCATAGCAGTCGGCCATTTTACCGTCGCCATGCTCTTTCTATCAGAATCGCACTCTCTTTCTGGGCCTCACATTCGCAACGAGATCTCATCATGGTCGGAGAACCCAACGAAGCCATCCAAGGCTACCGCCACCCCTTTCTCAACGGCAGCCAGTATCTCGACGGCGTAGGCGACAAACCAAGAACAGTACGTCCACTCTCCTCGCCCCTCTCACTCTTTCAGCAAGTAGCAAGCCGTATGCGCTAGCGTACTGACCTCGCTCTCTCGTTGCTGTCCGCTAGCCTCCGTCGCAAGCGGAACTGGTGGGAATCCTACCACGATCCTGGGACGCGTGCTCTCTGGGCCGAGGAGGCGAGAGCGAGGAAGTGGACCGTGCACACGTCGATCAATGCGTACGACGAGGAGATTTCCGATCATCAGGTGAGCAGAGAAGCAGTGTGTCAGAAGGACACACTTTTTCTAACCTCTGGATAGATTGAATACGTCCTGGACGAGCTCGAGGGATATGATAAACTTAGAGATCTCGTACATGGGTGGTATGACGTCTAACACTGTTAGAGACTAGTGGACTCACGCGTTGATCAGCCAAGTATCGTGTTTCGAACGGATCTGGGAGTCCGACGCGTCCCTCGACGCGTCCTCTCTTACGCGTCTAAACGACGAGCTGTCCTCCATCTCGTCTCAGCTCAGCCCAGCTTCCGCATCCCAGCACGCCCAAGTCTCGCTCATCGATCCCTTCCGCAACCCCCTCATCTACGACAAGACGCTCGTCCGGCCCGCCGAGCACCCCGACCAGCAGGCTGAGCACATGCCCGCCCCCATATCCGAGAACTGCGACACCCGCATCGCGCACGCGATCGCCCAATCCTACGCTCTCCTCCCAACGCCCTTCTCCATCGACGCGGCCGGACGCGCAACCGCGCGCTCGTACATCAGCGACCTCCACCCCGCGCACACGGCGCTGTACACCCTCCTCGCGCAGCTCCTCTCGTCCTGCGTGCCGCTGTTCGAACACGTCCTCACGGACCTGCACCGGCGCAACGCGCTCCCGCAGCGCATCCGGGGCGTCGCGCGGTACTCGGAGTGGAACGAGCCCGAGTCGCCGGTGCACTCGGACGACGAGCGCAGCTGGGCGGCGTACGAGAGCGAGCGCAGGCGGTGGGTTATGAGCAGGCCTATTGACTTGCCGGATGTGCCTGCGCGGGGGTATCTAGGGGGGCTGGAGGAGCGGAGGCATAGGGTGAGGCTGAGGGGCCGGAGTTTGCTGGTGATCACTGAGGTGTTTGAGATTAGATTGGTACGGTGGCGATTATACTTGGATGTGGTATGGTTTGCTTAACGAACTTAGGTCCCCAACAGTTCTCGATGTCCAGCTTCGGAATGGACCGTCTCGGGCGCGAAGAACGAGAACGTCGTTGCAGTCGCATACTACGTTGCCTCGACCGTACGTCCTCCCTCATTATCCCCCCTGTCGGAATCCTGAAACCCCGGCACAGGAAAACCTACACGGCGGCGCCCTCGAATTCCGCATGGCCGTCACCTCCCAGCGCCGCTTCTTCGAAGACGACGCCGGCGCGACGCTGCGCACATGGGGCATGGCCAGCGGCGACCCGTGCCACCAGACCATCGGATCCGCGCCCGTGCCGCCCGGGCGCTGCGTCGCGTTCCCGAACATATACCAGCACCGCCGGGGCGCGCTGGCGCTCGTGGACCCCGCGCGGGCGGGGCGCCAGCGCGTCGTGGTCGTGGCGCTCGTCGATCCGGACTTGCCGCCCGTCGTGAGCACCGCGCGGGTGCCGCAGCAGCGGGCGCGGTGGGTGAGCGCGGCGTTGTATGCGGCGGGGAGGTTTCCCGCGGAGCTGTGTGATCAGATTGTGGGGGAGATGGATAATGTGCTGACGGAGCGGGATGTGGAGGATCATAGAATGCTTATGCGGAACGAGAGGGCGGCGGTCGGGGTGTCCGTCGATGCGTATCATTTCCGTGTGCCCTTCTAGATCTGTCTTAGCGCCGACGCACGAGTGGTGAATGGATTGCAATAATAATATATCGCACAAGGCCTACAGCACCGCGTATAACAACGCATGGTATCTACATATCCTGTACCAGATCTGAAGCACATCGCAACAACAGCATAATATGTCTATGTACATGCTCATAATACATAAGCTTACAACTTTTTGTGGAGTGGGGGTATCGATCACTGCTCGCCGTAGCCCTGGGGGTTCTTGGTCTGCCAGTTCCAGAGGTCGCGACACATGGTCTCGAGCGTCTGGGGTGCCTTGAAGCCGAGCTCCTTCTCGGCAAGGGCGGGGTTGGCAGTCAGGTCGGGGACATCGCCACGGCTGTTAGGATGGCGCGCGATTAGCATCCATCCACTCAACGACGAAACACGCCACGTACCGCCGGCCGATGATCTCGTACTTGAAGTCGAAGCCCGTCGCCGTGCGCATAGCCTCGACGATCTGGAGAACAGACATGCCCCTGCCCTTGCCGAGGTTATACGCCTTGTAGCGCGCGTCGTCGGGGCAGTTGTCGAAGATCGTGCTCTCAGGAGCAAGCGCGTCGAGCGCGAGCAGGTGCCCCGACGCGAGGTCGAGCACGTGCAGGTAGTCGCGCACGCATGTGCCGTCCGGCGTCGGGTAGTCGTTGCCGAACACCTTGAGCGTCGAGTCTTTGACGCGCCCGACGGCCATGTGCGCGAGCAGCGGGAGGAGGTTGCCCGGGCGGCCGCGCGGGTCTTCGCCGATCTCGCCGGAGGGGTGGGCGCCGGCGGGGCTGGAGGGGGAAGGTGGTTAGGGTTTTGCTTTAGTTTGAGAAGTAAAGTGGAGTGCGTACTTGAAGTAGCGGAGGGAGATACCGCGCCAGCGCTTGGGCTCAGCTACGGAATGAGATCAGGAAAGGCGTCGCCATGAGTGGACAGAGAGATGGCGCGTACCGTGGCAGAGATCGTCGATGACGGTCTCGGACATGACCTTGGTGCGGCCATAGGGACTGTCCGCCTTCAGACGCGTCGTCTCGGGGATGGGGATCACAGGCGGGGTACCGTACACGGTGGCCGAGGAGGAGTAGACGATGCGGGTGCAGTCGAACTCGTTCATGACCTGGAGGAGCTGGACGGTCGCGCCGACGTTGTTGGCGTAGTACGTCAGAGGGATCTCGGTCGATTCACCGACAGCCTTGTACGCCTGCAAGTTTGTGAGACACCAAAATGTGTTTCATGATGGGAGCGATACGCACGGCGATGTGAATGACACCCCAGATACCGGCCTTGCCGTACTTCTCGAAGATGGGGCGGACGTCCGCGGGCTTGGTGAGATCGCCCTGGAAAGAGTCGATCTCGGTGCTCTCCTTGTCATCGGCGGTCGGGTTCTCCGGGAGGGCGTCCTTGGCGAGCTTGGTGAGGCGGGCGAGGGAAGCGGGGAGGGAGTTGTGGTAGTTGTCGATGGTGATGACCTTGAAGCGCCGGGTCTGCTGGAGCGTGTAGACGACGTGGGACCCTGTTGGGTAAACGGTTGGTCAAGTACAGACATGGTCTACCGAGGTACTGACCGATGTAGCCAGCGCCGCCGGTGACGAGGACGCGCTGCAGGCGAGACAGCACCTCGATCAGTCACATTCAATAATATAATCAAAAAGATTATCGAACCGACCTTCAAGCCAGATTCCGCCGACATGGTCTAAGAAGATTTATTACGGGAGATTAAGGAAGAGGGTATTGGCGTTCTCGGCGTGAAGGCGTCGGTTTTAAGCAGCCGTCTTTATCGATCGGGGCAGTCGCAACGAAGGTTTACAACGACAACTGGTAAAAATGCAATACATCCAACTATCTCGGCTTTATCTCTGATCGCTGCTGTCTGCGGTCCGGCGTCTGTTTCCCGCTCAGATCATGACACACACTGGGGCGAGGCCTGACGAGGCATTGACGAGGCGCACAGACTCATACAAACGATTCTGAAACAAAACCACGAGTAACACGACTACGAGCACGCTGTCCCACTCCAGAATATCGAATCGGCTCATCGTTCCTCCATCCGCACGTCCCCTTCCTTGTCCTGCATGCCCGGTGGCCCGTTCAGCCCGGCTGACGGTGAGTCGATCGCGGCAGCATCCGCAGACGCCTTCGAGGCCGCGGAAACTGTACATGCCGGTGTCTCGACAGACTTCGGCGCAGGCTTCTCCCGTTCCCTTGCTTCCCGCTCAGCCTCGGCCTCGATCTCCTTCTGCAGCGCAATAATATCCCCGTTGCCGATTTTCCCGAAATGCTGCAGGTGCTGGTCCCGGGCCGTGCGCAGGGCTAGCCAAGACCATCGGTGTTTGTTCTGCGTCATGCGACAAGGGCCGTGTCAGTAACAGTACAAACGTTTGCGATTTCCACGTTACCTCTTCAAACCCATTTATCTGATCATCCTTGATGGGTGCGGGTGCAGGCGCAGGTGCAGGTGCGGGCGCAGGTGCAATCGCAGGCGAGGCGGCAGCGGGTGCAGGTATGGGCGTGCCAGGCGTTGGCGAGGCGGCAGCTTGTCCACCTTCGCCTCCAGCTGATGTCGATCCTGGCTTTGGAGGCAATGACGGATGCATCGCCGAACTTCCTGGCCCTGGCCCTGGTGTAGGTGACGTCGCCTGCAGGGACTCGCCTTGAGAAGTCTTAGGTGCGGCTGGTGGCGCCGATATGTTCTCGGTGGGCGCAGGAACTTCCTTCGCAGGTGTTGCAGCAGCAGCCTTTGCCCGAGCTTGTGCTATTCGTTGCGCGTTCCGAGCCAAGGTTTGTTTGCGCATCTCTATTCGCGCATCCTCCTGCTTGATCTTCTTGACGAAATCCTTGACATCGCCGGGTCTGTTTCGCGAGCTCGTTAAAGTAAACACATAGATGAAAATAAATTATACACTCACTGGAAGGGATTCTGCAAGTCCCATAATTCCCGATACCCCATCTCCCAGATCTCCGTCAACGACTCAGAACCCAGACTATGCGGCCACTCCGGCGGTGGTTGCCGTTTCTTCTCCCTCAGCTCCTCCGTCGCCTCAATAAGCCCAACCCGCATCCCATCCTTCTCGGCCGACCAAGGCTCCTTGTCAAATGGCGGGCACATCTCGTTCTTCCACTTCACCCAGTTCTTCTCTCGTTCAAGGATGACGTTGACAAGCTCAGCGAACATGGGCCCGCTCGGCGTGGTCGACCGTATTTCTGCAACGGCCTTGGCCATCGTATCCTGGACCCATTGATCGTCGTCCGGCTCGAGCGTAAAGTCCATCTGCAGCGAACGGTTCCGAGGTGTCGCCCAATGCGCTTTGGCGGCCTTGGTGAACTGGAGGAGGTGGTGTAGCAAAATGAGGAGTTGGAATAGTATCTGCCGCCGGAAGTGCGTGTCCGCGATTTCGAGCTCGAGCAGCTCGGGGCTTGTGAGAAATTTCGCGAAGAAATAGTCGCTGTTGTTCAGCTGCTCCCCCATCTCTGGCTCGCGTTTCCTCTTGAGTGCGGTTGGTTGGCCAGAGTTGGTCCGGTTGCCCATCAAAGCGCGTTCCTTGACGGCTGCCTCCCGAAGCACAGGAAGAACCTTCTCAACCGCCGCTTGGAAGTCAGTAAACTTGTAGGTCGACGCGAATACTGGCGGGCGGGAAAATGGGAGTTGAAGAGACCAGAAAATATTATAGAAACCTAAGAATAACACATAAGTTAGCAGCCTTCCAGCATTGAACAGCAAAGGATATCTACCGTCCGACTTCTTCGCCTTCTCGCCATTCTGACTCTCGTCCACCTCCATCTTGTCCCCGCCTTCTTTCGCGCCCTCTACACTCACGTCCTCGCCCCTCGACTCGTCCGCCGCCTTCGCCGCCTCGGTCTCCCTCGGTCCGTCCCATATCGGCCCGTACTCCCCCCGCAAGTTGACGCCGCTCCGCTCGCCCAGCGGGAAGACGCCGCTGAGGAAGGTGAGGATGCGCCCGCAGAACAGCGTCGTCGAGCCGGCCTTGGACAGGCGCCGGAGGAGGTCGTTGAGTGTCCGGAGCAGGACGAGCGCTTTGCCCTTCTGCGGCGCCATGCCGGTCGTGAGCCGGGCTTGTTGCGTTTCTATCCACGCGAATATCTGTGAGCATGAGGCGATTGTCTGCGCTTCGAGGACGTCCTGGAGGACCGTGAGCGGGAAGGAGACGTCGCATGCATCTGGCAGAGCGTACTGTTAGCGTTCGGCAGCTCTGAAAGAGAAGGACTTGAGACGCACCGTGTTCGGTGAATGTAAGAACCAGGTCAAGCCTGTCCCTGAGACTGTCATAGTACGCGTCTGCGTCGGTCTTCAGCGCAGTCCCCTCGGTAGCCTGCCCTGTAATCAGCATGCGGTTCTATGTGAGGTAGAATACCGCGACGCACGGCTAGCCTGAACACCTCCTGCTTCAGCAGGAACTCCCATCTGCTCTTGACGTTGTCGGTGGTGTGGCCCTTGTACTTCCGCAGCTCCTCGGAGACGAGTTTGCTCAGCACCGCTTGCTCGAAGGGTCTCTTCGGGAATCTGTCGAGGAGGTGCTGGACGCTGGCGGTTTGCTGGGCGGCCGTCATGACGCGGAGCGCGTTCGAGGGAGAGCGAGAGAGGCTGCTGGCAAACGCGCGCTTCACGTGCGCGTACGCTTTCGGTTGGGCGCTTCCCTTGTCGCTTGTTCTTACACTTGCTTTCACTCCTCAACGTTTTAACTCGGCTATCACAGACAATCCACAGTTGGACATCGAACTGTTTCTATATGCCCGAGGGAGATTTCTCAATATCTACGAGTAACTTCGCGCTGTGTGGCGTCAGTACCTCCAACTCTGCGTCGCTGCGTCTGATTCCCTCGGCTGTACTCTGCTTGACCCAGCAGGCGACATGGCTCTGACAGATCTCGTTTGTATTTGAGGAGCTGCTTTACGGTATGCTCTGTTCCCCTTCAAGCTTAAGACGAGCTGACTCATCTGCAATACAGGATTCTCCCTGATTCTCCTTCGAGCTCTTCGCTGTCACATCATGGGTCCTTGTGTCTGATGCCCCCACGCTGCACCGTCCGAGCTACGTCATGATGGCTATCTCAACCCTCCTCAGCCCTGCTTTTCATCCTGTCCTTGCATGCGTTTTCATCCGCTGTGCCCGTCTTTCTCTTGGGTTCCGCAACGACCGTGGTGGCGTCGAGTGCATCGCGACTCGCTAGTTGCCCATCGCGCATTGACTTTTGGATCTTGGCCGTGACACGTGTCTCTGTCCGCTACCATCTTGACCAATGGCAATGATCCTCGAGACTTGCTGTTCCCAGCGTGTCCACTACTATGACTACCGGGGCTTCTGAACGTTTACTGTACATCAACCCATGGCCCGATTTCACCATGATCTCACCCTTGAACATATGCCGGCATCCTGTGCTGTCCTGTGCCAAGTTCCAACTCCTTATGTCGGCCTCTGGTGTCTGTAAGCCTGACGGCCTCTGTAGACTCGATGTCACCATGTGGGCTCGAGATGCTTGAAAGCACCTGCCACCAATTGCGACACACACACCGGCGTTGTCGTGGAGCTCCATGTCCCCCAGAATGATTGTCGCGCGCTAATCTGACTGACGCGGCCGTGCCACGGGCACACCGGCTAGGCTGTCGCGTGGTTTTCAGGTACGCATGATTGGAAGCGTTGCGTGGTATAAAGTCCTGCTGGGCAGCAGGCGAGGGCAGCACCAGCGTTACTGTTCTGTCTCCGTCCACTCCGTTAGCCATGGCCTCCTTCATCGTCCTCGCACTCGCCGTTACCGCTCTTGCTAGAGGCCAACAAGGCCAGGTCGTGAAGATCAGCCCCAAAAATGGCAACTCCACGTACGACGTCCAGTCGTCCAACTGGGCTGGCGCTGTTATTCAGGCCGCTGCTGTACGTTTCCTTGTGTCTTGCGAAGGGATCCTTGCGGCTTTTTCCTGACCCAGCGTTACATTATAAAGGGCACCTACCAAGCTGTCACTGGCACCTTCACGGTCCCCAACCCCACGGGCTCGGGCTCCGCCGCCATTTGGGTCGGCATCGACGGCGCTGGCTCTGACTGCGGTGTCATCCTCCAGACTGGTGTCGACGCGACCATCGACAACGGCCAGGTGTCCTACTCCTGTGAGTGCCCACTCAAAACCCCTGCCTTGCTAGCCAGTCACTAATCCATCTCCCTAGCCTGGTACGAATGGTTCCCCGACCCATCCTACAGCTTCAGCAACATCAACTTCGCCGCGGGCGACGTCGTCCAGCTGACCGCGACCGCGCACACGACGACGACGGGCACGGTGACGATCGAGAACCAGACGAACGGCCAGAAAGTGACGCAGGACGTGAGCTCGACATCCGCGCTCTGCCAGGAGTACGCGGAGTGGATCGTCGAGGACTACCAGTCGGGCGACAGCCAGGTCGTGTTCGACAACTTCGGCACCGTCACGTTCTCCGACGCGCAGGCGACGACGGGCGCGGGCGCTGTTGGCCCCGACGGCGCGACGATCTGGGATATCTGGCAGAACAACGTGCAGTTGACGAAGTCGTCGGTCCAGAATGGCAACGTTGTCGTCAGCCACACTTAGGGAGTGCGCTCTGGCAGCGGTCACTCTTGACGGTGTTTGAGAGGTTGTGGTAGAGATGTTGTTTATTCCATGGCACTCTCGAAACGATGCTTTCTCTTTGGGTAGAGCACTTGTGCACAGAGCTGTAGGGAGCATCTGGGACAATGATTACTCATTATATATTGCTAGTCGCACATATGGTAAGCGCCTTGGTCATGTCACGTCGCGTTGACTGCAGTGTCACACTGTTACTGTTACTGTTGGCCGAACTTGACCATGACGTCAAAACCATAAGACACTCCTCCATCGTTCTCGCCAACCAGTCCCTTACACTCACATGAGCGGCTCTCACGAAGATTACTCACGACAGGCTACCGACAATTGCGAGGTTCGGTCATGCTCTGACAATGCAACTTCTGCAGAGGAACATTACGACCGAACACAATCCCACCACGGATGCATCGCCTTTGGACCTTCGACTGGTCGAGGACGCCCAGGACCCTATGCCAATATCAAGAAAGCAAGGCAGCTAGATCCGAACCAAGGAAGGTGCGCAATCACAGGTCGGCGTACCAACGTCGTGAGCTGCCATGTGCTCCCATTGGACACGGATGATAAAACAGTGTGTCTTCGCTTGAGCTCTCCCTTTTCGATCTTTGCTCGCTAACAAACATATTAGCTCACGCAACTTGAGTGGGCATGGGGCATAGGATGGCGACAGCTAGACGTCACCAGCCCCTATAACACACTTTTCGGTTCGCAGCCAGTCCCTTGTCAACATGTTGTCTTCTTACCTTAGCGATGGCAGTTGGGACAGAATGGAAATCCCTCTTCGACAGCGCCGACTGGTTTCTTCTTCCCGAACTCCCCATCCTCCGCGGGCTTCTATCGTTGGCTCAAAAGCGGACAACAAAGCGCCGTTTCAGGTTGAACAAGGTAGTTAATCTCTTTGTTAGTCAGTATTTGCTCACAAATGGCGCAGGTAGTTAGGAGTCAGACTCTTTTCAAGTATTACTTCATCGCCAGATCGTCATTGGAGGATGCAGTCATCACTGTCGAGTCAGCGCATCGTGCTCGCACGGTGCATCCCTATCCGTTTGCTACACTCAGTCTCATTTTCAGTCATGTGCGGCCACATTTCGTCGTCCACAGAATGCGTGAAAAGCTTAAAAAGTCGCACAGAGAGCTAAGTGGTGCACTAGAGAAGGTCTTCGGTTTCCAGGAATCACTGCTAAGCGAAAGAACGCGGGTTCCTGCCCAGGCTATCCCATATGTCGTCGCTATTGAAGTCCACGCCCTTGTCGCATTCACAGGCTCCACCTGGATGGATCGTCCAGTCCATGAAGCCTTCAAACAACACGTTCGGGCGTCGAGGCGATATCATCCTGTACACGGATCCCTCAGTTTAGTCTCATGCTCGAGCACAGAAAACTTCGCCCATGCAACAGAGCTGTCTTCGTATACTTCTTGGCCAGAACAGAAACAACGAGTGCATTTGTGGTCCGATCAAGTCAGACGTGAAGCCGCAGACACAGGCTGGGAATCTGTGGTATTCAACGATGAGTAGGTTGCCGATTACCTTGCAGAAGCAGAGCCCATCTTGGCGCCGCCGTTGGGACGCAATGACACCAGAAAGTTTTCAAGCAATGACTGGGCGGCCCTTGAGTTTCACGTTTACCTACCGGCCCAGTTGTGATACCGACTATCGAGAAAAGCAATGCCTGCTGTTTAGTGGTCCTTGGCTGCGTCTGCTCTGTTAATTGAACGGGTTTGTATCATCGTGCACTGCCAACCATTCCGGCTACCCCACCCCTTGTTGTATCATCTTTCAAGGGGATCGGTTGTAGCTCGTACACCGCACGTTCGGTAAACGGTGCGAGCTAGGCCCTAGGCACGAACATGAACTCGTCGACAATGAATAGGGTTTGCACTTGCGTCGGGCTTGGCTGCCTCATGCACACGGCTATAGCCAGTCTCCGCAGAATACATAGGGGCTCTATCTGCCATCATTGCTACGTATTCTATCTGCCATCATTGAGCGCTTGAGTGTTCAACAGCATATCCTGACAACATTCTTGACAGTCCCTCTATTTTCATAGTCCTTCTGATTGCCTTGCTCAGACTTAAGGGAACTGATCAGCGGTCTCCGACGGCGGTCTGGGGCAGGAACATGGACTCGTGTTCATTGGTGTTTATCAAATTCATGACTGTGATTCATGCTATCGCAATGGGCCCCCGCATTCTTGCCCGCATTACTCTCCTATCTACTGGCCTTTGTCCTCGGATGTACGGCTACGATGCTTGTTATGAAGGAAACTCACTCCATTACGGGGACTCGCTATGAAGCACTCGGGCAACACATCTGGCACTCCTCGCGAGCTCTCCGAGGATCGTCTTCAGTGACGGGCTGGCTATACTCGGCGTAGATCAAGCTCCTTACCTAGAACATTCACGTGGATATGCCTGCTGAATAGCTGGAGTAATTTTGCTATGGAATATCTGCGATCTTCAGATGCTCAGCGTCACTTCGCTAGTCAGACCTTGACACGTGGTTGTCTCAAGATGGTGGCGCTGTAACGTGTCAACCTCCTCCGAGGTCGAAATATCATATAAACGGCGACGAATCTCAGCGAATGCCACCAGATGTCTCTGATCCTCCTCGACGTCCAAGATGGCCCTGAACGTTAAGGCGGCGGCTATGATGTCAATCATCGCCGAGCAGCTACTCTATGGTGAGCATTTATATATGCTTGAAAATCCCGAGACGATACACTAGATGGCCTACAGGGTTCTCGATCCTGATGTTTGGCGCGACTGCAAGAATCCTCATATCCGATGCACTGAAGCGCCGCCCCAACTGGATCATGATGGTGGCTTCTGCGGCGTTCTTCATCTTGAGCACCGTGGTGAGCTGCTTGACCCTTCGACGACAGATCTCTATCCTGACTCTACTTGATCACGCGACAAAGCATATGGTGGTTGTAGTGTTGTGGGTGTATGAGGGCTTCGTTCGTTTGAATGGCCGACACCTAACGTCCTACTTCAACTCGTCGGCGCACCCGTACGTAACGGCGAAGAATATCGCTTACCTTTTGGAAACGACGTTGGCCGACATGATCCTTGTAAGCCAACCCGCCCCATCACGAAACTCCTCCTCGAATACATTCCTCGAAGATCTATCGCTGCTATGTGGTGTGGCAGAACGTCTGGGTGATTCTCCCAAGCTCGCTAACTGCCGCGGCATCGGCTGGTAGGCTCCCTTCTCGGCTGCACCGCACCTGCACACTCACATGGATCTCGATCAGCCCTCATGTCTTGGGTGTTCGCACATATCACACGATCCGGCGAACATTGGTTCGTCGGCAGCGCCGAAAGAATCCTCTATGCTGCTTATGCATTCATGCTCTTCACTAGTTTGGCTTCCACGAGTACGTGTCTTGATCTAATGATCCAATAATACACCAGATGTAACTCTCATGGTTTGCACTCATCGTAGGTTTGCTGGGCTACAAACTATGGATCACCGAGCGCTTCATGTCTCGGTACCGCCAGAATTTATTTGGCCCTTCTATCGAGATAGTTGTACAATGCGGGGCGCTATATTCTCTGACGTTGATTATGGTCGTCCTGACCACCAAGTTGAGCTACTTCGCCTCGTACGTAGCGGTCAACGTAGTGAGTGCATCTCACTTTTGGAAATGTCCGTGGTGCTCCTCGCTTATGCGTTTGCCTGACGCGGAAACTTTCTTAGGCGGGTCAGATTATACCCATCACCTTCTATGCTATCATCCTCCGCGTGAGGATAGCAAGGCGTAGAAGGGACGAAGCCATCGCGATGTCGACCTGGCGAAGCGGACCTGGAGACGAGAGCATCGGGCATGGAGTCCGAGATGCAGAGATAGAGGTGCACATTTCCCGCTTCTGCGAGGAAAGCAGAGAGTTCGTGGGGGCAAAATAAATGGTAGTGTGCAGTTTGATACCTTTAAAAATAGAATATTGGACTCTTCGCACTTGTGGCCCTGTTGCAACGATCATGAACAGCAGGCCTGGTTGTAATTCCACGCTGAGAATTGAGTATTGCAGACGCAGCGATCAAGACAACTTCAGCTTTCGTCAGGCACGATGCGCGCTTTTTTCCCGCCTGGTCAAAAAAAACTATCGCTATCGGAGGCCTCATCAAAAGAGTTTTATTTTTTATAGCTAGTCTAAGGCATACTTTGGGGGAGTTCGTTGTGGAAGGGAGCCGGCGGTTCATCGCAACGTTCAGTTTGCGACTCGCATGGCAAACGCCGTGGTCTGTGGCGGACATGGTGACATCACCAGGTCACACGCTGACGAGCCAACAGCTTGGAGTCGTCGCGTCTTGTCGCGTTGCTGAACTTGATGATAAATTCATTACTTGCCCTCCTTGTTCGCGCCACGGCCAACATGACTCTCACATTTTGGGCGGCTTTCATAAGGACGGCTCATGACAGTCTGACTCGAACAATGCTCTTCTCTGATTTCCCCCCTGCTCTCCATCCACCCATCTCTCACAACTTTTTGCTGTGTGCATCGCTATCGATGTGGTAATTATGAGACTAGCTATAGTCTTTTACCCTATGCTGATGTATTCATACATGGGACAGATAATACCGATCACCTTCGACTCTTATCCGCGTGAGGATGTCAAGACACCAAGATGCCGTTGCCGTGCTATCATGGTACAATCCGGCATCCCCGTTCCCCTCACAGAAACAGTGACCTCATACAACACTATCATGATGTGCCTATTAGGTTCTACGTTGCAAACATCTGCATTGAACATGGTGAGCTTAGTGAACAGCCCTAATCCACCGACCTTATCGGTCCCTCTACTACTTCATATTGACGCTATCGTCGTTACAAGGTATGTCTCCATCGCCAAAGACTGAATAAAAGTTCATTCCGCACTCTGTGAACTGGGATGGAGAACGACCTGTCATCCCATGCCCTCAATTCTCCGGGGACTTGTTTAGTCCCGTCAAAGTACTAATGACTGCTTCCGGAATGGTAAAGCTATCAGGGCAATGGGGGCAGACCTGCGACCAGAACGGATTTTACCCTAATGGAAGTGTCTCATTGGCCATCCTTAATCTAGGCGACTACTAGTGCTGCCGGACTCTAAGCCCTCAGCCCCCTCCTGAAGATCGGCGGTTTCGAGCTATGCATTGTAGCAACGAGCTATGCTCATCACAGATGTAAGGTCGTACTAGCTGGGTTTTTCAGCGGCCTCGAAGACATTCCATTCAATACTTACGCCACATTAATGTTGTGATGTGAGCACTGGTGAGCACTATTTGAGCCATACCTCTGGAATGATGACCAGATTCTCGAGTCCATCCCAACGTTTCGATATACATCGGCCCGGAGCCCACCAGGCGGGGCAGGGGAGATGCCTTCGGTGTGGGCAGGGCCACGGTTGCCGGTTACTAGTACTTCGGGGCGGTTGTTGGCAACATCTGGCCGCTTCCCTCGAGCCCGTTGTTTGTCGATGCTCATCTTGGATGCCATGACGGCAGTGTGACGGACTTAATATACAGGTTGCTCTGGATAGCCACTACTAAAAATACGTTATTGGGAGGTACCTGGCGAGGTATTTAACAAGCCGCGCCGGCACAATGTATGTATCTCGGCCTTTTTCTCTTGCATTCCGATTCAATATGGGAATGGAGGCAAAGGCAACTGCACTCGTGGGTCTCATTGTCGAGGAGTTGCTCTACGGTATGTATATTCATGTTGTCTGTGACAAGTAGGACTACTGAATAGTTTGCTAGGGTTCTCTATCTTGCTGTTCTCCGCCACGACATGGATCCTTGTCACGGACAAGGCTCCAAATCATGCCAACAATCTCATGATAGTAATTGCTGGCGTTCTATTCATCCTTAGCACAGCTGTACGTATTTCATTCCTGGAAACATATTACTACACAGCACTTATGAAGGAAACAAAGCATATGTCCGTCGTAGTTCCTTGGTTATATGAGGGGTTTATAACCTCGCCAGTTGATCCCAACACCTTCTTTGGGTCGTCCACCAGCCCATACGTCACGGCAAAGGATGTCATTTACATCTTAGAAACATTACTGGCCGAGACATTTCTGGTAAACCAGCTAATCGGGCCAACATGGAGTATTGCTGATAGGAATTGAAGGTCTATCGCTGCTATGTTGTGTGGCAGAAGAAATTGCTGGTTGTACCATTCATCATCATTGATGGTGCTTCATTGAGTAAGCGACCGTACAATGGGTGCTGAGCTTTCTTATACTGACATAAACCTAGCCATTGGAATCTGGCTCATTGTGAATGTAGCACAATCAGGTTTGGCGTTCCACAACAAAGTCACTCACGGCCTTTTCGTGGCTGTTTATGTGTTGATTCTCTTTACGAACTTGGTTTCCACAGGTACGGCAGGAGGTCGAATTTATAGAACCGTTACTGATGATCATTTTGCACAGGCCTTTTGAGCTACAAAGTGTGGACGGTCGAACGCTCCGCCCCTCCGTCTTGCCGAGGACTCTTAGGTCCATCCCTGGAAGTCATCTTGGAATGTGGGGTAATTTACTCACTTTGCTTGATCATTGTGGTCCTCACGGCAAATCTAACGGCCAGTGGTCTTAATATAACCATCAACATGGTCAGTGAATACACACCCTCCCTTGCCTATCCCTATTGACTCACCGTCAAAATGCATCTAGGTCGGCCAAATGATACCTATCACATTTTATGCTGGTCTGCTTCGCGTGAGGATGTCGAGATGTGCGACAGATGGCGGTGTTGCGATGTCGACTTGGCGTCCTCATGGCCCTCAACAGGACGCGCCGATCGAGATTCACATATCCAATGCTTCCGAGGAGCGTCGCGATACCTCTGAACAGACCAAATGCAAAGAGAGCTCTGATTCCTCCTCCGTATGAACGCTTAAGCTTCTTCCCACTCATATAAAACGATCAATTCATGTGGTATGGTTCTGCCCGTGTACCAACATTAATATGCACCATACTATGTCTGCATCATTTTGATGCTTGCGAGCAGATGATGGAGGCAGAGTCGCCGAACGGCCTAAAAATAGCGGGCTTACCCTCCTGCCCACAGATACGTATTTAAGATGCACATGCTTTTCTCGCTGACAACCTGCTTTGCTCCTCATGCCATACACCAGTACTACGCAGACTTGTTCGAGAATTTAACGTATGCTGCGAATGCCACAGGACATCCTTCTATAACAGGAAGTCTGCAGCGGTGGAGGTTGCCGCAGCACCTCTCACGCGTTAACCTGTTCCTTCATCGTGATCGAGACCCGGACCAGACGGAGATGAACAGCTTGTCGGCAATGTGTGTATCATTTTGATGAACCATAGTGTAAGAGCAACTATCGAAACGCGAAACACTTGGACGCATAGCGACTAACTATGTTCATCCTTCATCATAGATGTCTCAAGTATCTTTGGTACCTTCGCATGGGTCAAAATAATGATCTCACGACATCCACAGCCAAGCACGAAGCTATTTTTCAGTTTCATCAGACACGACCTAAATATACTCAAGTCATGGATGAACGTTGTGTCCAGGAGACGGGCGCGCCACTGTAGTTTACCACATCTAGATTGTACAAGACTCGAGGAGTTCATGATTCTAGTTCACGGACGGACCGCCCCAAGATGAAGATGATCAAGATCAACAGAACTTCTACTACTACTAGTACAGCCCTCGGTGACTCTATCTAGCCATGTAAGCCCAGCCAAGGACACCGGTATGCATATTCGTATGCTTGTCCTATCAGGTGGCGTCTCATCGCCTTTGGTGATGAGGATCTATATAGCAACCTCGCAATCTTCCTGTGACTCTCAGGCTTGCCCACCCAAGCCTCTCAAGATGACCTTGCAGGCCAAGGGAGCAGCTCTCATCGGTCTCATCATTGAAGAGTTGTTGTATGGTACGCATCCATGCAATGTACGATTCAAGAGCAGAGGAAGATGACAGTTTGTCAGGGGCTGCGCTCCTAATGTTTGCTTCTACCGCATGGGTCGTCCTCACCGACGTAGGTCCGCGGTGCCGTTCCAGCTGCATCATGATCTTGATAGCGACTACACTCTTTATTATGAGCACGGCGGTAAGCGACCTTACCACTTGAAGTCTTGATGTGCGATATGCTCAAGAAGTTCAGCATATGGTCGTCGTTGTACTCCGGCAGTACGAGGGTTTTGTGACATTGGACACAGACCCAGAGTCCTTCTTTCAATTATCTTCGAACCCTTTCGTGACAGCAAAGGTTGTCATTTATGTCCTGGAGACATTGTTAGCCGAGACGCTACTGGTAAGCAAACTACACAATCACAAACAATCGGCGTAATTGAGTAGGATTATAGGTGTACCGCTGCTACCTTGTGTGGCAGAAAAGGTGGTTAGTCCTCCCATTTGTCGTAATCGACAGTGCTTCATTGGGTAAGCGGTGTTTCACACACTGGAATTTTGGAGGGAGCTAATAAGATTAGCTATTGGAATTTGGCTATGCGTGAATGTGGTGCAATCCGGCATGGCCTTCCACGACGTTGTTACACACGCCCTTTTTGTCAGCGTCTATGTCATGGTTCTTTTCACGAACCTCACCACCACAGGTGAGTGTAAGGCTTAGGTGTAAGTCGACTTACTCACAGTCATAAAAGGTTTATTGAGCTATAAGGTGTGGATTACCCAACGCTCCGCCCCTCCATCTTGCCGGGGGCTGCTGCGCCCTTCACTAGAAGTAATCTTAGAATGTGGAGTGCTGTACTCGCTTTGTTTGATCGCCGTTGTGCTGTCTGCTACTTTGACAACATATGGTCTCGACATAAGCATCAATATGGCGAGTTCATGGCAATCGTTTGATCACCCTATTTCGAGCAGCACTAACCTGCTTCTAGGTTGGCCAGATGATACCTATCACTTTCTACGCTGGTCTTCTTCGTGTGAGGATGTCCAGACGGTCCACTGAGTGTAGTCTCCCCACACCGGGTTGGCAATGCCAAGTTCTCCCCCAAAATGCAGGCTTAGCATCGTACAATGCAGAGATTGAAATTCGCGTATCAAACGTTTCCGAGGAACGCCACGACTCCTTTGAACCCTATGAATGCATAAAATGCTCTGATTCATCCGCTGTTTGAATATCTGATTACTTCCTAACAATACGCATTATCCATAGTACATTAGCGTACTTGTCGAAATCAGCAAAGATTTGGGCAAAGATAGTCCCATATAAAGAAGTGTCAACATATGAATGAACAGAACAAAAGGGGAGCCTATCATTCCTGCATAAAGCCTTCTGCAAGGAAGAGCGGTGGAGGTTCATCCGTAATGTCTACAACTCTAGTTTAGCGATACTCAGCTACAAGACATGACAGCGGGATCGTACCTTCAGACGGAGCAGTCGATACATCCATAATGTATAGCATTGGTTGATCCGGGCATGTAAAAAATAACCTCCCCGTGCCCTCGTCCCATGCCATTGCCTGCATAGCCTTTCTGAGCTTGCTCCTTAGCTGCGGGGGAAGTCTAAAGGTCATCGCAACCTCCTCCTTCGCCGGCGGCCCCGGGCCGATGTTTCGCCGCACGCGCGAGATCGCGTCTCGGCGCGACAGAGAGAACGCGTCGTTGACGGGATCACGCGTTGTAAATGCGTACACATGTTCCAGAGGCGGCGTCGCGACTGTGTTGATGCTTAAAGGGGTCGTGTACACGAGCGACCGATGTGCACCCGGGAGAGCGTGCGCACGGCACTCGTAGGGACAAACGCGTGGACCGGCGCGGAAGACACGATTCTCGCGTGTAAGACTACCTTCTGGGTCCACGAACTCGTGATTTGGAAGATAGTACCGCGGTACGCCGGATGGCACAGGACCAGTCGACTTGGTTGGTGGGAGGCATATGTAGGTGAGCTGTGCACCATGTGAGTGGCGATAGAACATGTGGATGGGTGGCCAGAGACCGGAAAACCGGGCAGACGGGGTGGGGTCACTAATATGCATGTCTTCATAACCGACACCATTGTATCTGACCGTAGTATGTGGCTTGAAACAAATCTCATCACAGCCAACGCGAGCCGGTATGGAAAACATCTCTAGCGTTATGAAACCTAAAGTCTCGTCGGACGTCGACGAAGCCGGTGAATCGTCATTGGGTATCGGAGCCACGGCTTGTGCCATGCGAGAGACGAGAATCTCGCGCTGTTCGGGAAGGATGCGGTATGTATTTATATGTGGAAGCTAGCACGCAAGGTCACTAGTGCTCAATGTGAGAGTGAGGATTCACGTACTGCTCCTTTCAAGTTTTGGAGACCCATGAGACAACGAAATGAAGTCGTGCACTTTTCCCCACAGAGAGCCCTGAGCACAATCGTATATGGCTGTTTGCAGATAGAGACACAGGGAACGCCATCGATTTCGACCAGGTCTGTGAAACTCAGCTCAGCTAAGCTACGTATTTTGGTGAGAACATGAGGGGGTGGTAAGGATGCGGCCAGACGTTGGTATTCTAATGAGCCTGGGACGAGATCAGGATGAGAAAGTGCATTCAACGAGTCTAGTGGCAACATGACCGTGGTACATGTGTCAAAAGGCTCGGAAGGATCCAAGAATTCGCCGAACGAGTCGCATCGAGGCGCATACGCGGATTCATGAACACTACAACGAGGCATAAGACTAATGTTTTCAACAATAGGTTCGAGAGGCTTGCCTGGCTGGATCCTCCTGTTCCAAACACATCCGGCGCGTGGTGTACGAGACAACCAGCCCAACAGCACCGTCAACTGTCATGTACTTGGCACATACGTTGCGAGGTTCACTTCTGACCGGGAGTTCTGCCATATGTGCAATGCCCGAGATTGGGTGGTCCAGGTAGTATATATTGAGATAGTGGCGCGCTCTGTCGATATCACAAGTTGAGGCAACCATGTGCTTGCCTCCGGGGAGAACGACCATGGAGAGAATGGGGTGATGAATGGGGTACTCGTACCAGCTAGTGTACCTCGCATGAAAGCTATTCCATTGCTGTTCCAAGGTGAGAGCACGCGTCACGAGGCGTTCCGCTTCAAATGCACTAATCTTCCCGAGGGAAAATGTGCTTGACGGTGGCCTGAATGGTGCGTACGGCCCAAGAAGCCGTAGGAAGCGTTTCCATACGACGCCGTGATGCGAGAGTGCGAAGTACAGTTTGCTAACCTGAACAATTCGGCGACGCGTCACAAAAAGAAAAAGGTAGGCAATGACGTGACATACCTGTCTGAGCGCGAGGATATCCTCCACCATAAGGTAAACGAAGATGTTGTCAACAAGAATGTCATCGGACAGACGGCCGAGTGTAGGTATGCCATCAAGGAAGACTCTGGCGTCCCATGAGCCCGAGAGGTGCATGGCAAGAGTTGTCTGAGAAAGCCTGACGAAGGAAGGTTTTCAGGAGGCGGGCGAAGTTTGGGGGGAAAGCAAAAATGTGTGCATACACGTTTCATCGTTTATACGCTTAAGTATACGCGGGAACAACTTGCTTCGACGCGTCGGACGCGTGACCTAACGCGTACGCTCGGCGCCTAAAGAACAATTTCCTCTTTAAGTAACCTCCACAATAGACGCTTGGGCGCTAAATAAGAGTTTTTGTTGCTCTTTGGTTACGCTCTACCTTGTTTCTTTCTTCATGCACTACTACTTGACAACGAATAGCCGTATTCGGAGAATTTCAAGCCCGACAGATTCATGATTCCTGACGGTACTCTCAACGGCGACGATGTCGACTTCGCGTTCGGATTTGGAAGGAGAATTTGCGTCGGACAGTATGTCGCTGATGCCTCGGTAAGGACAGCCATTGCGACGCTTCCTGCGGCTTTCACGTTTGAGAAGGTGAGAGGATGAACATGGAGATGAGGTTAACTTCCAGCCCTTCCCCTGCCACTTGCCATCATCCCGCGGGACTCTACGATCACCGTTGACAGCGTGGGGAGGATCGTATCTGAATCCCTTGAATCCCGAAGTGAACAGCGTATGGAACCCTATTGACCTGCCTGTTTCGCCGGCCTACGAATGTCGAGGACCACCTAAACGCTGTTAATGCGCAATATGAAAGAACATTCTTCGTCATATCGGGGATGTGGGTCCGCTGTGAACGTGAGTGCTTGCAATTCAACGATCTCAGAATAGTTATCAGCTCCCGCTTTTAATTTCGGTCCTGTCTCCGGACCGGAAGTCGGAATCACCAATGCTTGCGCTTGGAACTCGGTCTGGAAGTTCATTGACCTTTGCAACAAACAAACTCTTACGGAGCAACTCTTCGAAAGCATTTTGTCCACAGACAACTTTGGTCTACAATATACAAGACTGTCCCTTGTCGTTCACCATGTGCGTATGGAAGTCACCCACAAGCTATCCGCGTCGCCGTCATATAATACGTGACACTATGGGCGCCTATGGTACTCGCTTCCCAATGACAGCGAGGAACGTCATCATAAAGCTGGGGGGGACTGGTAAACGCGATTCGCCACTTAGATGCGCACAGTTGCCCCAATGGCCGGCCTCATTGACGACCATATTCGAGGGCATTAATAATCCTGTGACGACTCGCATCCTTGTCTTCCCCGTTCGCTCACTTTCTCGTCCTCACCACATAGGGTTAGCCATGGGGATATTGTCTTATGCCACGAAACCCAACTTCGTTCCCATTACTCTGCCACCGTCGGTGGACGCTGCGATGCTCCAGGACTTTGGAAGAATAGTCGAGGGTATAAATCCAGCCACCTTCTCGGAAGGCGAGTTTATGGCCTTGTCTAAAGCTCTGCACGAGGTATGCCCTGCCGTCACTCTGCTTCCTTGACCCAGCTCACATGTCTCAAGCATGGCTTCTTGGTCTTTCGTGACGTAACCCTGAGTCCGGGCGAGATACACCGTCTAGTCAAGGTGACCACACACGACCTCTATTTGGAGTTTCCACCGTAACGCGTTTCAACAGGCATTTGACCCAGAAGCGGAGAGTTACGGGCACGGAAGCAAGCGCAACTCAAGGGATCGCAGCCGAAAGTCGCCCTTTGCGCAGATCCAGAATGTACCCTCCGTTCCACAAGTACAGCTCATCGGACACGGTACCGTGAGGAACCACGAAGGAATTGACGAAGCAACTCTTAGCCACCCATCGCACCGAACATTCCATCAGACGCCTCTATCGATGGACGACGAGGAAGCCGGGTATACTCGGTTTTACCACTGGCATATGGATGCTGCCCTCTACTCGTTCAAACCGCCCAAAGTTACTGCTCTTTACGCTGTTCAAGTGCCCAACGGTCCTTCACAAACTGTGCGGTACGATGACGGGACCGGCGACGAGCTGCCCGTCCCATTGGGTACCACAGCATTCACTTCTGGTAGGATTAGCTTTGAAATTCTACCCAGGCACCTGCAGAGCGTTGCTGTCCGCTCGAGGGTCAAGTATGCGCCTCATCCCTTTTTATGGATGAACCCCGCCGGCGCGATGTCCAATGGACTGGGTTTGGAGACAGAGGGTCGCGAAACTCCTCTGGACCAGCTCCCACCTTGGGATGAGTCCAAGCGACAGACGCTGCCCATGGTGAGTGACGTCACTGTAACTCGAACTCGGTTCCTTTCATTGACATCAGGACAACAGCTATGGAAGAACCCTGTCACGGGTGGACTCCATCTACAAGTCGCCGCAACCGCTGTGACTGACATATTCATCGATCCACTACCTATAAACGCCGAACGTGAAGATGCTCTGTATCCAGACGGAGCCCATTTGACGGATCTGAAGGAGCTCCGTGAGCTACTATACCAGCTGCAACGCCCCGGCATCTCGCCATCGGTGAGTCGCCTTCTCATTGTTCAATTTATGTGGCTTGCATTGACAGCGTCTATCAGCTTGTCTACCCACATGACTGGTGAGAAAAATTTCCGTCGCATTCTTCCGGACGTTTAATTGATGCAATGCGTATGCCTTAAGGAAGGAGAAGGATCTCGTTCTGTTTCACAACCGTGGCGTAAATCACTCTGTGGTTGGGTCACTCAATGACGACCACATTCGCGTGTTCCATCAGTGTAATCTTGCAGCTACGGATCTTCCTCTAGGTCCTGACGAGGAAGACACTCGAAGGTGGGCTTGACTTCAACGACTTAGCACGAGCTTGCCTTGTCCTTTGGGCGGACATATCGAATATGAGTCCATCGTGACGCGTTTTCTCAGAACTATTCAGTATTTCCATGCATACGCATATAACTATAGCAAATGACTGCACCCCTAGTTGTACTGTAGTCCACCCTTGATCTGTATCACAGCTTGACGATTCACTCTGGACTACGAGGCAGTGGCATTCGGATCGGACGAACGGACCGGCGGTATCTTATCTATACAAAGGCCGAGAACCAGAAGCGGGGTACAACTTATAAGCATGACGCTAGCCACGCTGCGGCTAACCTTCTGGGAACTCTCCCTTCTTAGCACGACGTCTCTACTAGTATCATGGCCATCGAACTCACCACTCTTCCTCTCCCTGCCTCTGCAGATCCTTCCAAGTTTGCAAACTTCGGGCGTGAGGTCAAGGGTGTTGACCCTGGCAACCTGACCCCTGAGCAGTTTGAGGAGGTCAAGGACGCTCTCTACAAGGTATGCATATCAGGCATGCGTCACTGGCCACAGTTGAAGTGGTTGAAACTCTTGTAGCACGACGCGCTTCTGTTCCGAAATGCGCAGCTTAGCCCAGAGCAGCAGTACGCGCTGACGAAGGTCAGTGGTACCACAGCCTCAATCAATGGCACACTTCTAACTGGGCTTCAGGCCTTCGATCCCGCCTCAGAGTCCTACGGACATGGAAATCATAAGACCGGATCTACAAAGAAGTCTATTCTTCATCCAGACCTCAAGACCATCCCTCGCGTACCCCAGGTACAGCTTATCGGAAACGGTCTTGTAACGAACTACGAAGGCCTCGAGTCCGCACAGCTCAAGCACCCCTCGCACCACACCTTCCACAAGACCCAAGTGTCCCCAGAAGACGAAGCCAACGGTGTGACGCGCTTCTATCGGTGGCACATCGACGCCGCGCTGTATGACCTCAGCCCCCCGCGCGTGACGACGCTGTACGGCATCAAGGTGCCCAAAGGCGAGCACCAGGTCGTGCGGTACGACGATGGCACGGGCGACGAACTGCCCGTCCCGCTCGGGACGACCGCGTTCGTTTCGGGCCGCACGATGTTCGACATCCTCCCATCGGAGCTCAAGAGCTTTGCGGTGCGGACCAAGGTCCGGTACGCGCCACACCCGTACGTCTGGATGGCGCCCGCCCGCGCGCTACCCACCGGCCTCGGGATCGAGAACGATGGACTCGAGCTGCCGCTCAACGAGGTCCCCGAGTGGTCGGAGGACAAGATCATGACGCTACCCATTGTACGTAGCCGCCATCACCTCGCGTTGGCCTGCCCAGGTGCTTGATCATTCAGGGGCTAATGATAACATGCGGTGCTACAGCTATGGAAGAACCCGGTGACTGGCGAGCTACACTTCCAGGTGCACCCATGCGGCGCCCATGAGCTTCTCGTCGATCCCATTCCCGCGGGGGCCAAGCGCGAAGGCGCGCTGTACCCCGATGGAGCACATATCAAGGATCTCAAGGAAGTCCGAAGCCTTCTCTACAAGATGCAGAGGCCCGCCATCGCTCCTCAGGTACGTCGTAACCCCGAAACCTTATCTTCGTTGCACCATATCACAACAAGCTGATTCACTGATAAACTACTTCGACTTCTCTGTAGCTTGTGTACCCGCACGACTGGGAGGAACGCGACCTCGTTCTTTTCCACAACCGCGGAGTTCTGCACACCGTCGTGGGCGCGTTCAAGCCGGATCAGGTCCGCGCTTTCCACCAGTGCAACCTGGCCGCGTCGGATATTCCCAAGGGTCCCTCCGAGGAGGATGTGAAGCGTTGGGCGTGAAGGCTTTGGTCATTGGCGCGAACTGTATCATATAGCTTGTAGCAACTTGTCTTCCATGTGCTACAAATCATTGAACTATCATAATGGAACTTTGAAGTAACATATTGTCTTCATAAGCAAATCGTTGTAAGTTCGTGCCTAGCCTAAGCCCAAGATGTCATGCATTCATGGTTAACGTGTATTTGCCAAAGGTCCCTGATGGAGTGAACATAGGGTATCAGAATCGACAACAATTAGTATTGTGTTATTGTAGCTCCGGAGGATAGGGGCATAGCTGAGCATAATGAGCGCGACAAAGACGACGGGAAAAAGGAGGGTAAAAACAACTATGTTACGGTGAAAAAAGAGATAGGTAGGTAGTTATCGTTCGATATGATTAGCAACGCACGGGTGGGTGCGTAACGTCAGAAACACGTATATAGACAGCAGAAAGGGAAAGAGGGAGAAAAGAGCTCGAAGAGCGGGCAGTCATCAACAGTGAACACGAGAGAGAATTCCGTATTAGTACTTATTACCTGAGACCCATGAGATTCCAGCATAAAGAGGCACCTAAGGACAGCAGCGCCTTAATCCGTGATTGCGCCAGCCGTTTTCTACCGCATAGTAATATTGTACAATGACACGACATGGGGCTCCATGTCAAGTCAAGTCAAGCCGGGTAGCTCCACCGCACCTCACCGGATCGAAAAGCTCGCGGGCGAGTACCTGCCGCCTTCTTGCCCCTCCACCATGTTCCGCACGGTCGCGTACAGCGCCGACGCGCCCGTCAGCGCCGGGTCGACCACGGGCTCCGACCGGCTGCTGCTCGTCTCGGGCTCCTCGCCGTTCGCCGGCTCGCGCGGCTCGTAGAGCGGCGTGCGCGCGCCGTACTCCATCTCTCGCCGCATCTCCTTGGCGCGCTCCGCGGCGGCGAACACGACACTGGCCATGGAGAGGCCGCTGCTCTTGGGCGCGTTCGGGCCGTCGCTGTCGTCGAAGGACGAGCGCAGCGAGGACGCGACGTGGCCGTTGGGCCCGCCGTAGGGGCCTTGGAAGTCGGTCGGGGGCGGGAGGGAGTAGGTGCGTGAGAGACCGAGGCCGGCGGCGCTTCTGCTCGCGGTCCGAGCTGAGTTCCGGGGCATGGTAATGGGCGGCGTGGAAGCGGCAGACTTGGTCTTCCGTACGGAAAGGCGCGAACCACGTTTGGGAGCAGCGCTCGCGGTGGGAGTCGTACGACGAGAGGCACGGGGTTCAGCGCTGGTGGGTGGTTCTTGTACATCGTCGGCGTTATCGTTGTTGGCAGAGTCGACGGATGTCTGAGAGGAGTTGTCGCCCTTATGGACGCGGAGGTGCTGGAGAAGGTTGTCATGCCGGTTGAAACGCTTGTCGCAGGAAGGATGAGTGCACTTGAACGCTGGTAGATTTATAGATGAGTATATGCGGGGTAATATCAACACATAGAACACGTACGTTTTTCATGCGTATGGATTGACCTGATGTGCCTCTTGAGATGCTCGCCTCGGCTGAAACACTTTCCGCATTCCTCAACCTGACACACGTAGCCCCGTGAAGTTTTCGTGGGCGTCACGGCGGGGGCTTCCTCTGGGATAGCGATCTCCCCTGACTGGGACGCGGTAGGGACGCGTCGACCGCGGCTCTTCTTGGTCAGGTTGGGCACTGGCACGGGCGGCGCTGTCCGTATCCGAGGCCCACGGCGCTCGGTAGTGAATGACGCAGCGGACGAGTCGAGGAATGTGTATTCCCCAGTGGGCGGCACGCCAACGGCGTGGAGTGGGGGTGTGACCCCTCTCATCAGCTCAGGGGCTTCTGTGGTAGCTATCGTCGCGGACGACGATTCCGCCGAGATTAGGACGGTGGGCTCGACTTTAGCGAGCTTCTGAGGATGCTGCGGGAGCTCCTCCTCGTTCTCGACGTCTGTCTCGTCGCCAGCTGCTCGCGCATCGAGGTTGCGCTTGAGCGACGACGCGGAAGGCACCTTCTGGAGGGATGAGTCCACGATGTCGCTACCGTGTCTGATTCAACGCACCGCAGGGCGGCTCGTCGTCTGCGAGCGCGTCACTCGCCGAGAGCTCGTGGATGGTTCGGCCGCCGGAGCGCCATTGCCGTTGGTCGTGTTCTGCATTGCAGCCTGCTGGTTCTACCGAAAATCAGCCCAGGGTGACACGAGTGGCCAGGGGTAAGCAAAAGTACCTGTTCTGCTTGCTTCTCGTTAGCTGTGATGACCTGGACAACTTCCTGCATCACGCTCTCGAGCTGGCCGTTGGCTGCAGCAACCTCTTGTGCGTTCTCCATCGTTCCAATGGACTAGTGAGTCGCGCGAGTCAGCGAAAACAAGGGTAGAGAAGGCTTTCTAGCCCTGAGACGCATACCTAAGGTAATAGATGGCGGGTAGTAATTACAGGGCAATTAGAAGAAAGTACAAAGAATAAGTCTAGTCGGCCGCTTCCTGGTGAGGGTGGGGTGTCAGGAGGTGTGGAACGTCGGACTGAGCCCCTGTCTTCTCCCAGACGAGTGACCAACCTCGTCGTTTTTTTTCCCTCCCACGATCCACTCTCCAGACCACGTGTTGGAGATCCTGTTGCGGAAGGAGGGTCCCACGCTCTTGCGGCATCTCTTCGGCAGGACCGCACGGACCACCGCGTTAGGCCATCCGGGTGGCGCGTAATGCGCACTCAGCCACTTTGTTCACTCGACCTTGTCCAAGCCCTGTTGAATACCCGACGCGACAAACGCGCCTTCAATCGCCTCAGACAGACTCACAACCATCATGTCTGAATTATGACCGTCTCAAAAATACCCTCGTCATCGCACATCGACGCGTTCATCGCAGCCCTCTGCTACAGAACGTAAAAACCCTTCACAATGTCACCTGTACTGCTCAAATTAGGTCGACTCGGACCTTCCGCCTGTTAAACACCTGCGCCCAACTTGGGCAGCCAACCCATGCCCATCTCCGCCCTCCGTACATATAGTCGCGGATGGTTCCCCGCATGTACTGCTTTCGGACCTGGGGCTCCGCGCTCGTGGCCCCATGCGACCTTATATGACCGGCGGCATACCAACATGACGTCCGCTTCTTGCTCTGAAAAGGCTGTTCTACGCCTATTCAGCGATGTCGAAGACGAGGAGATGGCCTCGAGCTCCGCACGTTGGACTGAGTCATCCACACAAGGCGATGCCAAGATGTCGATGACGCGATGACGTGTCTTTCTTCTGAATGTACTTGCTTCCCGGCCGTGCTGCTGCGAGAGGCTTTGAGGATCTGCCCGCCCTGCGCCCTTGGGCTCCTCGTTCTGCTTCAAGTCGACTTGCCAGTGGTCCGGCGCCACCACGCGTTCAGAATTATGGTTTGCTACAATGCCCGACTATGTCTCTCTCGGGTGCACCTTCGGCATGCTTGCAAGTCTCCTTGGCTCTGTTTCACCTCCACTCCGTGTTCTGCGCAAACATCGAGTTTGGTGTCACTTGATAGTGGAGATACTAACTCTTCTTGTGCACTCTCCACTTCAAGATGAGCACCTGCCCCCGTCCCCCTGCTATTCTCATGCTTCTCGCTCAGCTATGCTCGAGCTTCTTGCCCCGAGCATTGCTAAATCTCGCTATCACTCCAGCCCCTCGGTTTGACGTAACCCCAATGATCCGCCTTTGGGCTACCGCTTCTTCTCATGGTCGGCCTACGTGGGTAAGGGCAGCTACACATAGAGCAGGCACGAAGGCCATCTATCTCCTCACCACACCCTGTTCAGTAAGTGCAAGGACTGGTCCTCGTATTCTGTACACGGCCGCGTTTCATGTCGATTGTGGCCGAGGCGTCGTGGCCTATCTCATTGTCACGTACCTCGTTCGCAATCGAGACAAAAACTACGAGTCTAGGGATGGGATGGACGGGTTCCTTGTGCCGTCCGACGCATCTCATTCACTTGCAGCCGCCTCGGCAGCTGCGCTTCCAAGGGACACTTCCAGAGCACGATCTTGGAGCTGACGCTTTCGCCTTCGAAGCGCCACCGTGAACTTAATGTTCAACGTCGGCGGTTCGGGGCTTTGCCGGGGTTCATTTCGCATACTGCAATGAATTGATCGTGTCCGGGGCGCTGGGTTATGTTTGGATTTTACACCCACCCGCCACCCGCAGGTTCGCCTTGTCTGATAATTGCCAGCTGCAGCGGCACTTCTCTCCTCGGCCTCGTCGGCGAACCTACTGGCATGTCGTTGCGTCTCGGGCCCCATCATCAACCGATGAGTATTTCCTGTGTTACACTTTCACGTAGCCTTCAAGTAGGTGCAGTATATTTTGATCAGTCACCCTCGTGGCTAACGCCGGTACGTGTCCACTCGTTCTCTTCGCTTCATCGGAATGCTGCGAGATGTTGACCGGAGCGCGACGACTCGCAGAGTCCCAGAATACCGTGCTGATAATGCTATTTTCACTTGTACACGGCTCCTTCGTGGGCGTATCGATTGCACAGCTCTACGTTATCGATGTGAAAAGACCAGCTGCGCTGGTGGACCCCGCAAGCAACCGTCCCCTTGTTCGTTGTTCGTGAGACGCCCGTGTCGTAAAACGTAATTTTACAGGTGTTCAGGTGTTCGATTGACTGAGACCCCCGGCTTTAAGATGTGTCAATGGATTTTTTTGGATACACGCGATACGAATGGTCGGTGAGACCTACTGAATAGCATGAATATATAATTTGTGTGCGCGGACTACAGTATGCACTGAAATATTCGTACTACTAGCGGTTTTACAGCAACTGTGTGCTGACGTGTGAGAGTTTTTGACTGGAATGGATACTACCCGTAGACTGCAGAACGTGAGCACCGCGTGAAATTCTATCAAGCTTTTCATAAGAGCAGGGACGTGAGACGAATCGAAGATCAGTCCCTCAAACTCTCTAATTTAACCAGGACAGGCGACAGGTGGAGGAAAGCAAGATCAAATTGGCCGGTGGACATCGAAGACTCGAGGAACGAGTGAAAGAAGGCATGGTTGCTAGATTTAGACACCGGTATCACACACGCAGGCTATCGCTCGCCTTCCGTTCGGGGCAAACGGTGGGATCGAGAGCATGAGATTGCAGCTAAGACAGGTGCCCGTTTTGAGTGGCTGATTTATCTCCGAGCCGGCCTCGTCAGTGGGGCGCGGCTCGGCGGCAAATCGCGTTGGGTAGGATGGGCATGATGTATCATCAGTTTGCGGATGCGGGTGGGATGGGCACTTTGCCCCGAGGAGGAGAGAGGCGTATCTGGAATTGCAATGGGAGTTTGGAAATCGGGTGGCCGCTGTGGAGGGGGGACAGTCATATTAAGGGAGGGGATCAGCTGGGCGGATCTGGAGATGCGGGCAGGCATAATGGCGGGGGGAGATCTGAGATCCGGGTGCCTGCGCTGGGAGATGCCGGATTGTGTCGGTAGCCTCGTGCTACGACGCCCGACGCGGGCTGGAAGCTGTAGGTTGTGGGAGGCAGATCCGTCCATGGTTAAAACCGGTCTAGACAGTGCGCCCCGGGGTTAGAGGCACACGGTTTAGGCAGGCGGAGGCCGAGGGAGCGCCTCCGATCAGAGTCAGAAAGAGGTTCAAGGTCAACAAATGTATACAGGCGCGAGATGCCACTTGAGGCTCAGTAAATCCGTTCCGAGGTTGGTACTACAATACTAGCACTTCTTTTGATTTCCATTCCCTCTTACTTACGACCTTCATCATCCCGCGCCCGCCGTCTTCCGGCCCTTGTCGGCGGCGACCTCTTTCAACTTCTTGCTGTGTGTCAATCCCCGTCTTTTCTTCTACTTCGATTTCCAGCTGACGTCTGTCATTCTCTCGGGTGACTCAATTGCCAAGCTAGGTTAGTAGGCTGTCCCCCGCGCGCTTCATATCCCGCCGCCTTCTCACCCGCCCATGCTTTGTAGGCCCATTGTTCGCAATTTCACAAGCCTGATCTTCGCATTTAACGACCTCACGAACCGACGACGACGACACACGCTTCCTCCTTGCACCTCCCCCACTTTCGATAAGTTCCACCAGTGTTGCAGTCCGCGCTCTTCCTCTCTTGCATTTTATCATTTTCTCGGCACTTTCGTCCGCCTCAGCCTGGACCGTCGCCTGTGGACCCGTCCATTCCTTGTGATATTCGTTTTTCTGAAGCTGTCGCGCCGATCTTGACTCGGGCCCAAGCCAGCTGCTTGGTAAGTGTCTCGCCCGATCGCAATTTCCAATGTCTGCCCTATTCCTCCGTCGCGCGATATCAAATGTCAGCCCGTGTCAGCACTGGACGCAGCTGGAAGATTCATCCGCGCTCCACTCGACTGACTCGCCACCCAGAACTTGTCCCGCCGATGAGACTAGAACGTGTTAAAGCTGACCACACATGTCCTCGTCCAGGATCGCGCATATGACGAACCCAAATGGGCCTTCATATATACCCTCGACTACCGCTTCGCATTCTCGCCAGTTCTTCTCTCGCCACGGGCATCCCCCCACTGCCTCTGCAAGGATGACAGAGTCGTTACCCTCTCACTACCCCCATCTTCATTCCGATCACCCTTCCTCGAGTTCTTCCGCGCTTGGCTTCTCCCCCTTTCATCCGCACCACTCGCGTCTGTATGCCCTCCAGGGTAACTCATCGTTCAGTTCTTATCCCTCCGACACACAGGCAGTATCCGCAGAGTCGCCTCCGTCTGTGTCTTCTGGTAACGACAGCCCGCTCCCTGAACCCACTATGGAACAAATGGAGCCACATGTGTTCACACGGGACGCTAGTAGCAACGAGGAGACCTTCACATATCCCTCTATGGACGAGCTATTTTCTTCAGGGCAGTTCTCAGGCTACGCTGCTCCGCTCAACGTCATGTCCAACAACTACGGTCTCGATGGTTTGGACATCTACAACCACGGCTCATCGACTGTGATGCCTGTGTCGATGGCTATGGGCATGCCTTTGTCCGTCGATACGAAGAAATATCCGCCATCGTGCCAAGGCCCCCAGAACTTTCCCTCAAGTGACATGGACCTAACACAGCCGCTCGGGAGCTCTCCCTATGACCCGCCTCATGTCCCGTCAATGGCCTTCACGAGCCTCACGACACCTTCACGTATAGATTCCCAGTTTTATCGCCGCCAATCTGACAGCGGGATTCCTTATAATTCACAGCTCTCTAACGCCTCTGCACCGACTCAACTTAGGTACCCTCGGATGGGTAACGTAGCCTTGAAGAATGGCCCTGATGACGTGCTCAACGCCAGCGTATCTGCCAGTCAGCCCAATGCGGGATATGGAACGTATACATCCTCTCTCAATTGTGCCCTTACCCCAGTCAGCACCAGCCGTGGCGAGGCACCACGACCGAATCCGCCACTGACGACGAATGCACAGTCTTTTTCGGGGGAGTCTTCGCTGGACTTGGCAATGGCGTTCATGCAGAACCGCACTCTCGCCGCTTCAGCACCAGCGCCTACTGCACCCGTCTCCGCGCAGGTCCCCCGCTCCGTAACGTTCGCCAGTCCGTCGCTTGCACTACCAGGAGACGAGCAGAGCATCAGTCATAACCTTGGTCGCCCGCATCTACAGCACCCCCAGCCCCTCAGGATCCGGACGCTGCAACCCGACCAGCCGCGCACTGTCCGGCTGGAGGAGATTTCTCCAACGCTGGAGTGCGGAGACTTACCCGACCCTGAAGAGGAAGACGTTGACCGCAAGTCTGGCGAGTCCTTTTGCATCGGATCTACTGGGACGAAAGACGGCGAACGTGTCGACAGCGCCGATGAACAGCTATGTAAAAATAATTTTTTCCCATTTATTCGCCGTTGCGCTGACATCACGTTAGGCGACGATGATGCGGAGGGAGAAGACGAGTACTCAAACGAGGAGGAGGACGAGTACAAGGTCGAGGATGAGGAAGAGGCAGATGGAGATGATGATCACGATGCCGATTTTGTGCCGGGAAGACCGATGACCCGGGCGCGCACCCTGCGCCCCCGGTCCGGGTCCGGCAGGGCTGCACGTTTCAACCCTTACGGCATGCAGCTCGGGGGTAACGCCCGCAAGGCGTACTCGCCCGCGTCCTCTATCTCATCGCAAACCGCATCGCCTCCATCCCCAGAGACGTCGGCCTCCCAGCGCCCCCGACGGAATTCAAGGACGCTCCCCGTGCCTATCCCCGTGCCGAATTTGACGAAGAAGTCGCGCGGGCGGCGAGTACCGACGGTGAGCAATGGTGGAATTTGGCGGGAGCATAGTCGGCAGGGTGGTGAGCATGCGGGCGCAAGGAGCTTTACGTGCGATGTGCCTGGCTGTGGCAAGTGTTTCGCTCGTGGTGAGCACCTGAAGCGACATGTGCGGAGTATCCACACCAACGAAAAGCGTACGTCCTCGCCTTTATCTCCTACACCGACCTCTGATGCTTCAGTCACAGCGCACAAATGCCCACATCCAGGGTGCGACAAGGAATTCAGTCGACATGATAACCTTGGCCAGCATCTCAAGACGCACAAAGGGGGACGCTAGGCTTCCTGCGGGTTCAGGGCTACGTTTGGGACGTTCCAGGTATATTCGTTCGTTTTTCCGCCCCGACCTTCGTCGATTGATCAAGACGCAGACCATCTATTTACTATGGATCGTTGTCCGTTCTACCTCCTTCGCGCCTTCCACTTTCATTCTGTCTTCGTCTCTCATGCCTTCATTCTTCGCTTCTTATTTTTTTTCTGTGTGAATATCCCTCGTTCTTTACTAGTTTCTTGGACTGAATTCCCGAGATTTGCTGCGTCGCAGCGGCGTTTGGCTTTGGGTACTGTCCATACCTTCCCACGTCCCTCTTGGACTCGAGCATTTGCAGATGCTGTATAACCGTCTTTTTTGCTCCCGGATACGCCCCATTGCACGGCGTTTTCCATCGTACTCCCCCCGGCCGCCATCACACATGCTCCGTCGTCTCGTTATTCATCGCCATTCATATGTCAAGCTGTCTCCGTGTGTGCGCTGGAGTTTTTGGTCTTTTTAATCAAGGCTGATCGTTAATTCATCTTAGGTCCGGTGCCGCCGCGGCCCAAATCTGCTTTACATGATCTCATCTACCACCCGCCGCCAGACTAAATCCCTGCTTTCTCATGCCACGATCCACGATCTTCGGTGTCCCCGGTCTCATGCTCTCTTGTTCTTCACCCCAATAGAGGCGATCGCTTCCTTCATCTTTCCATGTGTATTTTTTGCCGCATCCATCACAGCCACCACGGACCATCCACTCACATTCAGACATGACTAGCATACGAAAAGGGTAGGGCGGTTTGCGCCTGCCCACGACTGTAATTATATCGTAGGGCCGGGTTTTATTGTGGTGCTTCTTCCGATTTTCTGTTTTTACTTTATCTCATCTTCTCCGTCTCGCTGCTCACTTGCTATCTTTACCTCTAGGCCGATTGGACTGGAGTGAGGCGATGTTATTTTTTTCTGACATCGCTTGTATTTGTGTATATGTTTTCATTTGGTTTGAACAGGCGTTCCACGTGCATCCTATCATTTCTACATATGTATCCGTATCCCTGCATATATGTACCTTAGCTGGCGACGTCCTTTGTTGGGCATCACCACAATAGAGAACTCTTTTTGAGTCCTGTCCCCCTTCACCGGCTGGCTTATTGTCAGACGTTCCTTTGTTGTCTCAAGTGGGCAGTGATAGTATATTACGCAGCGATCATATATCACTGCCTCCATTCTATCCGCTCTTTCGTGCCTATCTCCACCACACCCGCATACCCGATGGAGCTCTGTTCGGCCCGCAAAGGGAAGACGGGGAACTGAAGCTTTTGCGATGACGTTCGATCGGGGGTGTGCAGCGTTCTGCAGCCAAGTTCCAGAAAGGCAGGCTGAATGAGGATTGCTAGGACTGTAAACGAAGGTGGGGGAAGCCCTCCGCCCGTGCACCTCCGCCCAGGAGGATAGGAAAGGAAAGGTTCCGAAATTAGGTTCGAACTCGAAGTTCAGAAAAGGAAATGTAGATGCCTGAGTTGAGCACCAACTCCGTGACTTTTATGTCGGTTCATGCCAACGTGGTCCAGTCGTGGACCGAGGATGGATATGCGGGAACTGCCTACTGGTGCCGAGCCGAATCGACGTGTATGCGTGGCATGCGTACTGAGCCCGGCGGCAGCGGTGCTGCTGCGGGGAGGTGCCAGGTGGACAAAGCTTGGTCAAAATGAATGTTCATGAATTGGGATCGCTGGAGTAGGTAATGGGTATCCGGTGGGTCCGCTGCCACCACCTGCCACTTTCAAGGACTGCCAGTCCGATGGGCGTTCTCCGCGCACTTACAAACTAGTACTGCTGTGCAGAGTATCCCTGCTAGTGGCTCCGTCCGGGAAGATTAGATTCAGACGGAGGACACCGTGGATCTGGATCATGATCAAGGTCTTGAAGGCTGATGATAGGCTAAGCGTGGGACCTAGGCAAGCGGGGTCAGTTGATGAAGTCACTGTCCACGCTCGGACTATCAAACTATCGCGGGTGGGTCCGGGGACCCTACCAGCCCTTCCTGTGCTGGTATGCGATAGACGCCTTGAGCTTTCCCAAGCTTCTGATGACGATCACGGCCCATTCTACAAGTCACCGTGACGCCGTCACCATCATAGGTGCGCAACAAAACACGCACAGGATAATCAAAGATTAATGTCCAGGGCCATGTTCGAGGTCCCAGGACCGTGCTCTGCACGTTGAAGCTATGAGCTGCGCAAAAATGATGGATAAGTCCATTCATTGGTCATCCGAGAACGTGCTATGAATGAACGTGGACGATACTTGGGTGGCCCGGTCCGGGGTACTTCAGTAGACGTCAAGGAGTACAATGGCATCCAAGAATTATTTTCCCAGTACTTTGGAGAAGTCTCTCAGGCGTAGAAGCCCTCGTCTAACAATTTGGTATCCGGTGAGTACCCTACCATTTCAGAGTAAACCGAGAATGTAGGGTTCATGTGATTCAGTGGGAACGAGACTGAGTGCTGTCGGTGGTTCGCGCCCAAGAATGCTGAGCGCCGCGGAGTGGCCGTGGTATTGTGGGCGCGTGAGCGATGTTCTTATGTTTTACCACGAGGTGTGGCATGTCATCTAAAGTCCCAAGCATGGTAGGCATACCAACGAAATCCTGTAAGATTATATCTGTGCTAATCTGGATAAACTGCGGATGCCGTCCCAAGAGGAGTCAGCGTGGCACTGATCCATGATCAGAAGTAAAACACTTATTTTGGTAGACATATAACGGTGTTTCAATTCAACATCCAAAATACATACTCACAGCTGGTGCAGTTGGATATGATTCGACGTCGCCGTAAGGAACCATTGCACTTCATTCCTTCAGCCGCCTTTCAAATAGGATCAATCAGATTTCTAGAATGTAGGGTAATAAGACTTCGGCTAGCTCACCAAGTAGACGCCTACTCGACGTAATTCGGAGGGAGAGATGAAAACACGCCAAATCAGAATCATTTCATGATTTCTTTACGGATGCAGCGCTCAACTGATTGATCGCGGCCTGCTTCCAAGTCACAGAATGATATCACACTGTAACAGCAGCCCCAATGCGATGATCGTCCGAGTTATCGTGCATTTCAGATCCATACCTGACGAATAGATGTTCCAGAATCCTGTGCCAGACGTTCTAATGCTATAAAATGACCGAGGCGGCAGATCCTGAGCTTACATGTGTGGTAGTCAACAAGTCCACAGGAAGCCGGTGGGCCATCGCGAGTTTAAGAAGCTATAAGGAAAGACGCGAGGCTACCAGAAGTAGGGTCCATAGGCTTACATCAAGGGTGCATGGTCGCTGTGCACTTTACGACTGAATGTATCCTTGGATATCGTATTGGCGGTGGGAGCCAGAATGGTGGGGATCCACGACTGACGAGTCCAATGAGGTTGAGTAACTCCTGCCTCAACGTTTCTAGAAGATCGTGTCCAGTGGACTGGGAGTCAGACCTGCATACATGGATGAGGAATTAGCGTCGTCCAAAGGTATGACAGGGGATGGAAAGTGTTCGTGTAATTATCCAAAACGTCTCCTTTGAGTATTAGGTGGCAGTGTATCATTCACAGGAGAGAACGTATGTTCGGCTTGTGGATTTGTGTCCACGGCAAGTCCACGTTCCAGTAGGAGAGGTGCGCATCACGGTCGCGCTCATCGGCGTCTCTTTGTGTTCGCTTATTTATCCCAGCGCCAGACTTGCTGTCTCAGCCTATGTGCAATGCGCAACTGGGTCCGCCATCTCGCCCATCCCTTCAGAGTCTTCTGCATTCCGAACCACACCATGGCTTCGAGCCCTTCCCCCCATGAAAGCCTGCCGACCTGGCTAGGACCTATCGCGGCACACCTCAAAACCTCCAACATACATCAGGATGTTGTCGACTCTGTTGAGGATATCTTCGGGATTCTTCAAGAACGCGAGCGCGTTCGCACGCAGCTTCATATCCAGTCGAGGATTCAACGACTCGCACCTTCAGGGACTGGACCTGAAGTCGATCCGGTCGGACACTACTCCACTGCATCGGCCAGCCAGCCGCAGAACATCAGAAAGAACCGTTATCGCAACATATTGCCGTACGATCGGACGCGAGTGATAGCAGGGAGCACGCAGAGTGGCGGTGGGCGGGGAGATGGAAGATATATCAATGGAAACTGGGTCAAGGAGCGGTATGGAGGCGGGGTATGGATTGCGACTCAAGCTCCGATAGAAGGAACCTTTCATTCCTTCTTCAGCATCCTGTATCACACCATCTCGCAATCAACACTTCCGCCCGGTCTCTCCTCATATGTGCCTGCGAATGGCAGAGTCCATACCGTTGTTCAACTTACGACGTTTTCTCAAGGCCAGGCTGAATCATACTTTCCTCAGAGACCTGGGACATCGCTAGAGGTGTGGCCAGAGCACGGGTGTCCGGACCCACCGTTCCGCATTACAACCAAGAAAGCCGAGGAAGAATCTCTGCGGGAGTCGCGATGGCAAGAGAGTACTGTGACTATTCAACCTCAATCCACCTCGTCCGCATCTCAACCCGTGGATTTCACGCATTTGCTCTATGAAAAGTGGCCAGATCATGGCGTACCGGACTCGAAGGACGAAGACAGTCTACTTGCGTTCTTACGGCACGCCTACGCAGTCAATCACAGCCTCTCTCAGAAAGCTAATCCTGGAGCAGCTGATGCACCAATCATCGTTCACTGTTCCGCAGGTGTAGGCCGTACCGGCACGTTCATCGCCATCTCTTCTCTGCTGCGTGCGTATGGTCTACTTGATAGCCGGTCAGCTGCGTCTCCGCCTGCGCTTGCTCTGCGTCCTATTACCCCAGAGTCTCTTCTCGACTGCTTTAACGTCAACCATCTCAACACGATGCTACTTCAGAGACAACCGCAAGCTGCAGTTCCCCAGTCTAACCCGAACCCTCAGATTCCGAAGATCCCCATAGATGATCTCGTCGCTCAGGAGGTGGATTCTCTCCGAGAGCAAAGACTCGCGATGGTGCAACGGGAAACTCAGCTTCAGATGATCTACCAGTGTCTCATCAAGGCGTTCCGTCAGAGAGTCTCATGATGCATGTATGTGTGAATCAGTCTTGTATATTATGTCCTCCACTGTATTCTGGAAATACCGTGACTTTCCATACCCACGGGATCTCGCCCAGTCAGCTATATACAGCTTCCCTCGCTCCTCCGCCGGCACGGAGCAGGCTTGGCACTGCCTATTGTTTACACAATAAGCGTGTAACCTTCTTGTACCACAAGCGCGGCTCTCAATTGTGCATTTGCTACTTGCGCGAAAACCGCGGTTATCGCCAAATCACTTGTCCGCTTGTAGCGTATCTCGTCCTTTCAAGGCGTCAGAGTTACCCTGGTAGCTCCCTCTACAGAATTCAGATGCATTGATCATCTTTCAAGTGTTCTCAGCGACGTGGGTTGCGAGGAACACCCGAACAAGTGGAGTCGTGTGAGTTGCTGCAACCATAGCTAAGCTTTTTACTGGTACTCGATCTTGGCAGTGGGATTGTGTTCCGCCAGACGTTTGTTGTTGCACACTGTGTAGATGTAGTGTTTGCGAGTTCGCGATTCCAGTCCTCCTTGCCGCCGGCATAGCACGTCGTCGATCAGGAGCATGCCGTAAAAGTCTGCAGCTATCTCGGCGCTAGATGTCGGAGCCGAAGGGACAGCGTTCATCAGAACTCTCATCAAGCTTTCATCATGGCAAGTCCTCGTGCCAACTAAACAGGACCGGGTGCAACCTAACCGAGGCCTGAACGAATCAGCCTTGGGTCCAGCGGCGATCCGAAACGACCGAAAAGCCAACCTTAGTAAGAATAGAGCCAAAGTAGAGCTCAAGAAAGACGGTGACCAAGCTGACGCGAATAGCTAGTAAGCCACTTTGCAGTCGCGCGCCGCCACGAACAGTATATAACCCGCGAGGCGTGCACGCATTCGGCCCCCCTCACTATCTTCCCATCGTGTATGTTCGGCTCGACACGACGCCTATTCACGCTTGCTCGCCAGTTCGCTACACCATCCGCAAAGATGTCAACGTATCCGTCTAAGATCTACGCCCTTGGCATGTCAAAGACCGGGCCGATCGACGTGCTCGAGAAGATCGAGGTTCCGTTCCCTGAGGTTAAGCCGGACCATCTTCTTATCAAGGTACATACGAGCACTTGACCGCTGACAGAGGACATAGCTCAGCACGTTGACAGGTCAACTACATCGGGGTCAACTTCATCGATACCTACTACAGGTGAGCATCTACTTCGGAGCCGGGGAACATCAAACGATCGTCATCAATGATCATTAGACAGGGGCTTTACCCCGTCGACAACTTCCCTTTCGTCCTTGGCAAGGAAACATCCGGCACTATCATCGGTCTTCCATCCGACCAGACTACCCTCAACGATCCCGACTACAAAGCTCGAGGGTATAAGCAGGGAGGAAAAGTTGCATCCGTATGTCTAAGCTTATGACGTCACTGCTCGCGTTATCACACAACTTATGTTATGACACATCAATGATAGGATGTCCTGAGCACCCACGCCGAGTATATCTCCGTGCCATGGAAGACGGTTTACCCTGTTCCAGATGCTGTCTCGCCTCTGACGGCCGTAGCGACTCTCGTCCAGGCTCTGACAGCTGTATCGTTCATGGACGAGGCCTATGCTGTCAAGAAGGGCGATACGATACTCATTCACACTGTCGCTGGTGGCCTGGGCCTGCTCATGGCACAGTACGCCAAATCCCTCGGCGCTACCATCATCGGGACGACCTCAACAACGGAGAAAGCCGAGCTAGCAAAGAAGAACGGGGCAGATCATGTCATCATATACAAGACTGAAAACACGGTCAAGCGTGTGCTGGAGATCACCAACGGGGAAGGTGTCGATGCCATCTTCGACGGCGTGGGCAAAGACACGTAAGCTTGGGAAGCGCTCGTACCCACCTCTGCTAACTCACCTCATTCCAGCTTCGATGCCAACTTCGACATGATAAAACGAAAAGGCACGCTCATCTCCGTGGGCAATGCCTCCGGCGCCGTGCCCCCATTCCCACCTCTGAAGCTCCTTCCAAAGAACTTGAAGCTACTTCGCCCGACGTGAGTATCGAATGCAGGCCTGGTCCGGTCTGGGTACTCGATGTCACATCGTAGCACTTTTACTAACCTCTTGTTTTTCAGGATGAACAATTATGCGTATACCGCGCAAGAAGCGCTCTACTATGGTCAAAAAGTTTTCGACCTCGTCCAGAAGGGAACACTCAGGCCACATGTTCACAAAGAGTATCCTTTTACCACCGAGGGTGCGCAGCAGGCGCAGAAGGACCTGACGAGCGGTGCGACCACCGGCAAGGTGGTGATCAAGGTCTCAGATTGAATCGGCGGAGTGCGGTAGAAATTCAATGTAATAACAGTGATTAGTATCTTGCGTGTGTTTCTTGTATTGCCTTTGGAGACTGGTTCACTCCGATTGAGCCGCCCGCATGAAACCTGAGTTAACTTCAGGTTATGACGGATCTGTAAGACAGCTCTGATATAGCGTATCCGAGTGGGACCGAGAGAGCGCCGAGAGCCGACGGTATAATTAAGGTTAGCGTTCATTAGTCGTTAGCCTTGCCGCCGGCAGCTGAGAACAATGGGCGTCGTGCATGGAATTAATATACGGACCCTGACGTGTTCGGATGACCAACCTGAGCGGTTCGCGTGTCCGTGAGACGGGATGTGAGTGTGATAGAATGTCTGCTTTTGAATTTTCGGGCAACCGCACCGCAAGATTCAGGGAAGCGATGAGTTCCGAGCTATAAGAAAATTAATCTGCGTCTTATAAACCAAAGCAAACTTGCCCTTCGCCTCTTGTTAGCCTTTCATTCTCGAGGTCAAAAAGCCCTATTTGCCCTCAACATGATGATCTTTCCGCCCACTATACAGGCGATTGCTATAAGAAAAACCGGCGGGCCCGAGGTTATCGAAAAGATGGCCATACCATTCCCCAAGGCTGAGCCTGACCACGTCGTCGTCAAGGTGTGTCCGTGACGAGTATTATCTACCCTACACGAACTCACATGGTGGGACCAAGGTAGAGTTCTTCGGCATAAATCACATCGACACCTACCATAGAAATGGTCTATACCCAATAGACACCCTTCCATCTGTCCTTGGCTGCGAGGCAGCTGGTAGAGTCGTGGCCCTCCCAGCAGACCGAAATGTCGTGAACATGCCGGAGTTTCGAATGAGAGGATATGCCATAGGGAAGGCTGTCGCCATCGTAAGTCTTGTCAACGGCGGCGTAATATTTCTAACTCAAAACGTAGAACCACCCTTGTGTCCATGCCGAGTACGTATCCGTGCCGTGGATGTCAGCCTTGTCGGTACCGGACACGGTATCTACGTCGACGGCTGCCTCCATACTTGTCCAGGGCCTCACAGCCGTGACGTTCATGGAGGAGGCATACAAAGTCAAGCGCGGAGACACCATTTTCATCCACACCGTGGCCGGCGGTTTGGGGATTTTGATGACACAGCTAGCGAAGCACCTGGGAGCGACCGTGATTGGAACGACGTCGACGTCGGAGAAAGCACACTACGCAAGAAGTAACGGTGCCGATCACGTCATTTGTTACAAGACAGAAGACGTTGTTGCAAGAGTGTTAGATATTACCAATGGGGAGGGAGTCGATGCTATATTTGACGGCGTCGGCAGAGATACGTAAGACTCACCTTCCAACCACGTTAATATGCTGACCACGACTCTATATAGTTTCGAGATGGACTTCAAGTTCATGAAGCGCAAAGGTACCCTGGTCTCAGTGGGGAATGCATCAGGTGCCGTTCCATCCTTTGACTTGGAGAAGCTATCCTCAAAGAACGTGACGCTCGTCCGCCCAACGTGAGTAGTTGTCAAGCCGAGTAGAGCATCGAGGGCATCTAATTTGAGACTTACCGTTTCAGGATGAATCATTACAACGTGACATTCGAAGAAGCGCATCGAAACGGGCAGAGATTACGCGGGCTGGTTGAAAGTGGTACGCTTAAGGCACGAGTACACAAGGAGTATCCTTTCAGTGCTGAGGGTGTTCGGCAGGCGCATGCAGACTTGACCAGAGGTCAGACGATGGGAAAACTTGTAGTAAAGGTGTCATAAGAAGCCGTATAATGATCTTCTCCAACTAGATCTTTCGTTCTGAAGAGCAGTTGATGGAATTAATGTCAAGTAGTAGCACTTGAAGGCAAGATACCAGATGGAGCATGACCAAAGCACCAAAGTGTGCAGTTAACGTACAAAAACAAAAAAAGTATTGATTTGGCGCCCAAGCATCGGCTGTGGAGCTTCTCAAAAAGGAAACCTTCTGATAGGCGCTGGGCGTGTCGTTGGCCCTAAGTCTCCCTAGTGGTGGTCCCAGACTGCCGGGGGACGATGGTGAATGGGAAGGGGGCCGGGGCTCTGGAATAGATACGAGTGAGATCGACTGCGTGCTATGCATTATGAGAGGAAGCGACGTACGAAGTGACACCTGTCGTCCACTTGGGCTCAAATACAATCTCCTTTCCATTTTCATCCTTCGCCTTCTCGAACTTGCATGCGGCAAGGAGGGATGCGATAGCCGTCCACACTGAGACGTCCGCCACGTGCTGTCCGACGCATATTCTCCGGCCGAATCCGAACGCGAAGCCGACATCGTCGTCGCTGAGGGTGCCGTCGGGATGTAAGAATCTGTCTGGGTTGAAGTTCTCTGGCTCTGGGTATCGTGTCGGGTCGCGGGACATCGCCCAGACGTTAGGTATGAGGATAGATCCTGGACGGGAAGCGGTAAAAAAGACGCAAGCTGAAGCCATGAGAGATGCGAACCTTTTGGAATATGATAGCCTTCGTAAACATCATCATCCTTAACAGCATGAGGGATGGCTATTTGAGCGCGTGTAAGTACTTGTTCATGCTGAGAACCACCAACGGCCACATACCCATGGGAGCGATGGGGTGCCACCGCAAAGTTTCACGCATCACAGCTTCGATGTAGGGTAATGCTGGTCGATGATCAAGCTCTGGCAGAGTTTCACACCCGAGAACTGCGTCTATTTCTGCGTGGGCTTTCTTCTGTACCTCTGGGAAAAGGACCATGGCCAATATAAATGTGGAAAGCGTCGATGAGGTCTATTCGCTGTCAGGTCTTCCCACAGAAGGCAAAGGGAAGTTGATAATACACGTACCGTATCAGATGCAGCTTGTCAAAGGCCGCCGTCAGAAGACTAGCAATGTAAACGGAGGACAGGCCTACCCGACACAATCACGTTTGAAGCCTCACGAATAAGCTTCTCCGTCAGATGGTCATCGGTTCCTTCGTGCATCCTATTCAACGCATTGCTGGCCATGCTGTCCCGTGCTTGGCCCTCGGCCTCCAAACAGCGATCTTAGGGAAAATAATGCGATAAATTAGAAAGAAAAAAACGTACAACCCATCGTTTTACTTCCTCAAAGGGGATCCTCATCATCTCATCAGTCAACTCCTTGCACTTGATCGCATCCCTACGGAGTTTTGAGCCAGGCATCCACAGCGGGATGTATCTGACTGTCCTCACGAGTTAAGGCTGGTCGGTGATAGTCAGTAAAGATGTGTTCACGCACGAAACGGGAAGACCGTCAGAACGCCCGCCGTTTCGGGTCTCATAGCTTCGATAATCAGCGGCAAAGCCTCCTCAACGAGATTCATCCATGGGTCGTTTCGTTTCTCCGGCTCATAGCCGTACACGATGTGAAAGATCACGGAAGCTGCGTGCCTATGTCGAGGTTTGTGAGTATCAATACGAGGCTGTTGTAGCCGTCGCTCACGTCTTGAGGTGTATCTCGTAATCCTGAGGATCCTCAAGGAGGCTTTGAACGAGTTGACGGGCGAGACGAAGTTGGGCCGGACGGTACGCGTGCGCAGCCTCGGGACGACATGCCTGATGAAACAGCCGTCTATGGTTCCGCCAGCGCTCTCCGTATGGGAGAAGGACGGAGTTGTATTCCAACCCAAAGCTACACTCGTTGTCAATAACTGAAATGTTACATCTACAACGCGGACCACATACAAATCGTTCACATCGTTTCGCGGCCTATCCGAGTAGTTCGCCGAACGTAGCTCCATGAGCTCCTTCGCGATCTTCTCCGAGTTTACGATGATAATTTCCTGGGAAAAGAACCGCGCAGATATCAGGTCACCTGTCCCGTTCGAGTTTAGAACGCCATTCACTCCTTGAAAGATGTGTAAAGGCGTGCTTACCATAGGTGCCCCTCCATTCTGTAAACGTGAGCCATGGTGCCTCTGTGTCCAGACCCAGCAGGTTCCCGACGATAGGCAGGGGCGGTGGACCAGGAGGCAGCCCGCGAGGGCCTCTTCGAGACCAACAAGCACGAAAGGCAATCGAGGAGACGAGGACGGCTGACGCCCCGATAGCCAAAGTCTTCGCGTCGAGGGGCGTAGTCGCCATGATGACTGTCAAAAGACAAAGCGTGAGTTCAAAAGACTCTCCCCACCAGCATTTTCCATGTCATGGTCGAGCTCAGATCCAATATGTATTCACACTGGTTCCGAACAAGAAAAAAGGGCTGCTGATTGGTGCAGATTAGCGCCCGTCAAACACAGCGTGATAAGCGAGCGCGGAAGTAATTTGCCCTCATGATTTCTAATAGGCAGGTCGGTGCCGATCATTGACCCGTGGACTTCTGCGACGCATGGTGGCAATCGTAAAAGGTCGGAAAATTGAGGCTGAGATATGCTAACCAACAAGCAAGATACGCGCGAAGGCGCGCTATGTGCATAAAGTAAGCCTATGGCTGAGGGACCTGGCGAACAGCAAAACCCACTCCTAGTAAATACAAAAAATCGCCAATATAACAGCTTCTTTCTTGAGATCAATCGGTGTACACTTCATCATCCCGCAGCTCGTCCATGAGTGCTCCGACGCTTTCGGGCGTCATAGAAGCATGCCGAGGGACGATCTTGAACGGGAACAGCTCTGGGAAACTATAAATGGCATTCATTCAGCACGGTCATCTCCTGATCCAACCTGTGTCACTACTCACGATGTGATACCCGTAGTCCACTTCACCTCAAAGTCAACTGGTCGCCCCTGCTCGTCTTTGGCTTTCTCAAAACTGAAAGCGGCCAATAACGACGCGATGCTCGTCCAGACGGAGGCCTCCGCGACATATCTCCCGACGCAGACGCGCCTGCCAAAGCCGAACGCGTAGCTGACGTCGTCGTCATTCAGTGTCCCGTCTGGGTTGAGGAACCTTTCGGGGTTGAAGTCTTCGGGCTGGTCGTACTTGGGATCGCGAGACATTGCCCTGTTATGGTTATGATGAGTTCAGAATGTAAGGATACGTAATCAAGGCAGCAAACCAAAGGTTGGGTATGACGGTAGCACCCTTTGGGATATACGCTCCCTCGTAGACGTCGTCTTCTGACGTAGCATGGGGAATAGCTAGATATATGCGACGAATTCATGAATATAGATATATTTATGGATCATTGCGAAGCGTACCGAATGGAGCGACGGGATGCCACCTCAGAGTTTCCCGCAGAACAGCTTCAACGTAGGGCATCATAGATTGATGGGTGTAGTCCGGAAGGTTACCCAAACCGACGACATAATCGACTTCTGCTTGGGCCTTCTTCTGGACTTCGGGGTTAAGCACCATGGCCAAGATGAAAACCAGCAGCGTTGACGACGTCGTCTCAGACGCAGCTATAGGAGAATTTAGTCCCCGAAGCTGTACAGATGAGACCACGCACCTCCACTAATTGTCGCCGCACATTCCTTGAGACCTCGTTCCGTCAACTGCGCCTCGGAGCCATCTTCCATCTTCTCCAGCGTGCTGCTGACCATGCACGATTTTGAGCGACCCTCAGCCTAGTCGAGATTATTATTTAGTACGTGCTTCTTGGTAGCCGAGGGTTCAGCACTCACCATGTTCTTCTGCGTTTTCTCAAACGGTATTCGCATTATGGTCTCAGAATACTCGAAGCATTTGATGGCATTTCTCCGCATGCGAGATCCTGGCATCCATAGTGGAATATATTTAACTGCCAGTGTACGTCTCAGGATTAACAGATGACGGTCATCGCAGGGCAAGAAATTTACGGATGGGAAGCACAGTGATCAGCCCCGAATTTTCTGGTCTCATGGCTTCGCTGACAAGTGGCAAGCCCTCCTCGATCATGTTGACGAGCGAGTCGTTTAAGGGCTCTGGTGCATAGCCATATACGATGGACATGATGATGGAGGCCGCGTGGCTAACGAGGACGTTCAAGAGACGAGGATAGCAATACAGATAAGTGACTCACGTCTTCAGGTGCGACTCATACTCAGCTGGATGCAAAAGGATATTCTGCACTAGCTGCCGGGCTTGTCTAAGTTGCATAGTTCTGTACGTGCGTGCAGCCTCTGGGCGACATGCTTGCTGGAAGAGCCGTCTGTGCAGTCTCCAGCGGTCTCCATACGGTAGAAGAATCGAGTTGTAGCTTAAGCCATAACTAAGAGGAGGGGTGAGGCAGTTTATCTCATAACGAAAGGGCAAGAAGACTGACAAGTCATTTGTCGCAATATGCGGGCGGTCCGAGTACTTGTTTGAACGATGCTCCATAAGGTCTTTGGCTATCTTTTCAGAATTCACGACGACGACATCTTGACCGAATAAATTGGCATACACAATGTCACTTCCTGCGGCCAAACATCAGACACCTAGCCTTTCGCCCGAGTCTATGATACGACTCACCGCATACTGTTCCCCACTCTTTGAATGTCACCCATGGCTGATTAGGATCAAGTCCGAGAGCACTACCAACCACCGGCCAAGGCTTGGGACCAGGAGGAAGAGGCGACAGGGTCTTCTTCTGCTTGAGACCGCGGGCGGCGAGAGATGAAGCAATGAGGAGGAACGCTCCAATAGAAAGAGACTTTGCATCAAGTGAGATAGCGTCTGCCATTGTTGTGTAAGGTGCAAGAGGATGTCGGGAAGAAAGGGAGGGTCGCACCTCGTACGATCCACGCGCTAATGTGCCATGACGGAGACTAAAGTCATAAACACCCCGCGTGTTAGCTCAAAAACGCATAAGTGAACCAATTCAATGGCTGCTTCTGAAGCAATCCCTAAATGATGCGAACAAAGTATCGGATTACGGAACTGCCTTATTGGGCCGGTTCCGACAGCTACCCCTGACTCCGAATCCAGTGTATGCGGCTCAGGTTTCAGTGGCACCGCTAGACAACCGCTCTTGACTAGTGACTCAGGATAACGTACAAACCGCTTGACTCGCTCCAACCCGAAACCGCATATATGGCATCATCAAGGGTCACAGCTGTTCAACACCAACCCCCACCTCCCCCATTCCGCTAGCAACCGCCTCCTCCTCTCTTACTTATACACCCCCGCTCGCAGCAGCACATCGCTATGCCCTCTGCTACCAACCCCAACATCACTACCACCACCGCTCCGTCTCGTTGGACCTCGCGCAAGGCCGCCGACGTCACGATGAAGGAGCGGCACGAACAGCGCGTCAGCCAGCACCGCGCCAAGTCCGCCGTCGAGCTCGAGCAGCTCCGCGAGCGCAAGCAGCGCAAGGCGCTGAACAAGTCCCTCGTCAAGGCCGGCGTCCCGCTCCCCAAGCGGATACCCAACTTACCCCGCGGCGTCGCAGGCCCGGACGACTGGGACGACGCTCTGTCCGACGACAACCACATTTCCTCTGGAGAGGAGACTGAGGAAGAGGGGGACCAGTCCCAGCTCACTTCCCGGAGCCGCGAGGTTTCACTGGTTGACCTTGTCTCCCCTTTCGGTCGTAAGCCCCACCGGAAGAGTAAGCGTCTCAGCTCTGCTGCAGTGTCACCTCTCTCCTAACACTGGCGTCATTTCTTAGATGCCCAGTTCGAAGTGCTCCCCTCTCTACCCTCTGTCATTCCTCTCGAAGACATCGCCCCCGACGTTGAATTCAACGAGCCTTGGGAGTACATCGACTTTGAGGACAAGCCGGCTCCTCCATCTTATGCCCAGATTGCCGCCCGTTAAATTCCGCAGTTTTGTGACTATGGTTCACTTCAGCCTGCTCGAGTAGAATTATTGGAGTATATATGACTTGCATCTACTTCACGAACCGTTTTAATAGGGATTGTTTGACCCATTAGTTATCGTTTTTGTTTATGACTCAGCCTTACAGTATACCGTGTACATATTCCTGGACTGTGTGGAGGCTAGCCAGCGGAACCGACGACAGGTCGAATATTTAGATAACCATTGAATCTATATGCTACATGGCGGTGGATGGAACAGCAAAGAGTGAACATGTATGCGGAGTCAAACCCGGTGCTCATGAGAATCCGGTGCGAATTGTAGGGGTGAATACGGGCAAAGGGTGGGCCTCGGTGTTGAAAACATACTCTGCGGAGCCAGGCATTAGCTCGGAATCTTAATCCACTCGCATGTTCGTGGTCTTACCGTTCAGAGGTATCTCGCTGGCGTCGGCGAACAACAGGTACAGGTATTTGAGGGTCTCGCTCTGCGAGTGCACCACAGTCAGATCTGATCACAAGACATGAGTGACTAAACGGAACTAACCATCAAGAACGTCTCCATCTTATCTTCGTGCTCGACGGGCAGTTGATCCACATCCAGAACAGAGGCGTATCCACCGCTCGACACGCGACAGTGCTTTTCGATGGCCTCGAAGATTGACCAGCCGTATTGGCGGTAGACGGGGTCACCGGTCAGACGATACGCGATGAATAGCGACTCGACGGTTTCTGGTCTACGAGACGTATTTTAGTACGGAAAATTGTAGCCTGCAACCGGATAAATATACCTCAGAATATACCGTTCATCGAGGAGAGGGGGAGCACCAGCTCTAAAAAACATGAATTTGAGTGAGGGCTTGGTGCGGAAATAATTTATGTCCCGAAAAACACACCTTGACTGTTTGATATACCAGTCCTCGGCAGGCTGCCCGTTAATCTCCAGGTCAATTAGGTCTCCGGGGATACGGAAGAACGCGATTTCCGGGGAAAGCCCTCTGCGATTGATAATTCATGTCAGGGTTTTCATCCACCGAGCGTATACACGTCTCAAAAATTACGAACGTTGCGGTCTCATGCGTAGCCATACACGTCTTGATGAGCTCGACGCCCGTCTCCCAGTCCCGCTTTCCCTGCTCGGAGAGTTCCTCTGCTCGAGGCGGGATGGAAACGGGCTGCACCAGTGCACCTGACGTCGTCGCGCCCAGCATGAGTGAGCCGCCGAAGAAGCAGACCAGATGGTCCTGCTTGGGTTCGAGCTGCCATTTACTGTGACACACGTTAAGCCAAGGGGCAACATAAGACACATCGATGCAACGCACACTTCGCCTCCCGGGGTTCGCTGGGGATTAAGTTCGGCGATGTACGTGAGTCCGGCTTTTTGGCTTTTGAGAACGAGGTGTTCGTGCACGCCATTCATGGCATCATCATACATCTATTAATTCTCGTCAATCCAAAGTAAATTACTGTGATGCAGGAAGTCCCTTACGTCGCGATATACATCTTCGGTTTGGTCCTGCAAGATCATCAATTAATCAGTGTAACCCAAATAGTTGGCTCAAGGGCGCTTACTGTCTGCAGATACTGCTTGCTATAGACATATTCGTCAATGTTTTTTTGTGGAGAACAAGAAACTCACTCACAGCAGATATTCATAGTACGAATCGCCACGAGACCCTAACCGGATGGACGTCGACAGGAATTGGCCGTGGCTCGCACTTCATGAAGACGGGATAATCCTCAACGTAACGATGGCGTGCTCATCAAGAAACGAACCTGATGAATATAGGGACGAGGCCATGCGGCAAGCGCGCGTTCTTCATGACAGCCATAACCTGGGGTAATAGTTACGCGGATTAGTCCAACCTCAAATAATTTAAGCCTGAAGGCGAGCAGTAACGCGTACCTTCTCCGCCTTCTCCCAGTACACATCCTCGTCCGTGAGGTGTGAGAGGTATCGGAACTCGAGCTGCAGCGTCGCCGCCTCCGCTGTGCTCACGAGCCCACGGTTGTCCCTGTCCTCGACGCCCTTGCGCTGCGCGAGGTTGATCTTGCTGAGCGGCAGCCCCGTCTGGGTATCGAACACAGGCAGCATGCGGTCGCCGAGGTCCCTGGCTTTTTCGAGGTATATGTTGTCTCCGCCGGAAAGATGGTACGCCGAGAGGAGGCCGCCGAGCACGCGGATGGTCGTCTGAGGCGCCGGTACTTCTTTAGCTTCTTCCTTTATAACCAGGCGGGAGACGGAGACGTACCTCAAACGTGCTGAACTCGGCGTCGCGTTCGAACGACATCTTCTCTACGACCCACGTACGTGCGCGCTCGTACTCCTCCGTGAGGCCCATAATGAGCATGGTGTCGATGGAGTCCACGACGGTGTAGCCAATTCCGCCAGCTTCGGTGAGGTTGCTCCCGGTCTTGGAGAAGGGGTGGTATTCGTCGTCGCCAATCGCATCGCGTTCTTGAGAGGTGGAGCGGGTGAGACTCGTGAAGAAGAAATAATGTATGCGCGAAACCTACCATATGCTAACCATGCGTGCTTTCCGAAAGGTCAGTCAGGTGTAATATTTGCCACCAAGGCGAGAACGCACCTTGAACGCCTCAACAACTGCATCACGTTTGGCCTCATCCGCCTTTATTTCAGGAGTACCAAAACTAGTGCCATGGAGTGGGGGCGTCTTTGGGGGAATGAGCGAACCAGACAACTGTGCACCATTTCAATCAGTTATGGAACAAGGGGTCCGCGATAGAAGGCGCGCACCTTGTACAACCCGAACAATAGCGCCGTCAGAACAAACGTAATGAGCTTCTTGAAGCCAGGGTTTCCCGCTGGCTGCTGGGTAGTCGGGCCTCCTGACTTGGTAAATGCAAGTACACGTTGTCAGCCTCGTTGCGGGCCGACCGACGTCACTGTCAAGCGGCTTACCAAAACCTTCTCGCCGTCCTTTGCAGGTCCCGCGACATTTGCGTCGTCTGAAGAGCCCTGTTTTCTGTGTCGTAAATCCGCTGCGTCTTTCGACATGTTCAACGTATGTGGTGGGGAACACTACGTGGCTTCGCGCACGCACTGAGAACGTCGCACTCTCGCAACTCAATGGCTCCGGCGTTATTCCGTCCCGCGCTTACCGGACTTCCTATTGGCTAATATTCACCGGACATTCGATGCCACTGATCGGCCTGAGGTTTGCACAAGCTGATGAAGCTCTAAAGGGCTCAATGAGGAGTACAAAAGGTCGCCGCACAAGTTTCGCGCAATATTTCGATTCGTAGAGCTCTAAATCATGCATATATCATGCATATCACAACTTAAAAGTGGTTGATCCATGTTATATGGGCGATTCATACTGTACGATGCATGGCAATAAAGGTGCTTGCCTATCTGTCTCGCCGGAGTCCGCTGGAACATCCTAGCATGTAACGTTCAAATCACTGTTGTACGCTGGGATGGGTAGATCAAAGAACTCAGCTAGCTTGTTCCATATATCTGCACGCAATCTCTCCGCCGTCTTGTTCGCTTTCACCCGACATGGATAGCATATCTCCTCGTCTGTGTAAGTCTTTTCGGGTATGAGTTTCTTCAGGTCGCGTAACACGTCTGGCGAGCGGATTAGTGACTAAAACTTGGCTTCGGGGATTCGTCTGCTACAGGGCTTGTCACAATTATAGAAGAATGACGAAAAGTAATGCGCGTGTGCTTCCATAAACTGTTGGATACGCTCGCGACCAAGTAGCAAACATTTGAAGTCCTGTTTTGTTAGATACGACCAATCAGCAGTGCGCCCACCTCCCGTTCTGACGTTGGCTATGCGATCGCGAACTCGCTTGTCGGCCTCATCAGCACGATTTAAGGACATTTCGAGCCTCGAAAGATGATAAAATGTGGACGGCAGGATGGATCGAATGTCGAGATTGCGTGCAAAAAGGATGGCAGAGCCTGGCTCCGGGAATATATCATCGCTGTATGGGGTATCATCAAAGAATGTTGCGTCCATGCGGCGCTCGAAGCTAAGTTTGACCTCTCCCTCGAGCTGATCCCACTCTGAAAGCGTCTGGGGTCAGTCTCCTTCAATTTGTTTGACCAACCGATCCCATAAGGTTGTGATTTGATATTTCCTTGCGAGGAGAAGGATGCCATAGATCTTCTTGGGGGTCTCGGGATCGTAGCGGGTTAGAACAAACGTGCTAATGGACGTTAGCCTCGGAGTTTACCGATAATAGAAATGAGAATCGCTTACGAGCGTGATAATAAAACAATAGTAGGTCGCGGACGTCATTGGGTTCGTCGTACATCCGTACCAGCGGTACACCTTCAAACAAGTCGTTTGGATCCGCAGAATCGACCGACATCTCGGAAAGAGTGAACGTGTCGGCGAACACGGGGGAGTGCATGGCGAGAAATGACTTATGGACGCGGAAAAGTAGCCCTTCTGCGGTATTCAGTGGAGCTGCTGCTATCACCAAGTTTCCATCGTCGAAGAACAAGGGCTCGTACTTTTTGTGTCCGAATTGGTTCACTTGGCCCATGAGTTTCATCTACGGTTTTGAAGTGACTTGATATGAGCGGAATCAAGATGGTGGTCACAGCAGAGGATGGGATATCGCGGGTATCGCTTTGGTAGTGGGACGTGCCAGCCAAGGTGCATACCAGCGCAATGAGAGACGTGGGAGTTACGTCAAACGCGAAAGAAAATCAAACCACATGATCGCGTTTCCGATCGTAACAAGGACGCGTCGCGTCCCGATATTGCCAGTAGAACCTTGCAAACTGAATCGCAGGTGAGACAATAGAGGATACGTATGGTAGAATGAGTACATGTATTTTGAGTTTAATTTTTACTCGCAGCACATAATCACGATTGACACTCGTACAATCATCTACAGGCTGGAGCAAGAAGGATTATCAAGGAAGCACGGCGGCAAAATCGTCTTCGGGAACAGGGGGAAGGTCGAAAAACTCTGCAAGCTGATCCCAGATGGTCAGTCGAATGTCGTGTGCAATACCCCGGGAATGTTTGCGGCAAGACATGCATATATCGTCTGTGGAGTATTCTTCGTCCTCGGGGATAAAGTACTTGAGGTCATTCAGCACATCAGGGGAACGATACAGTGACCGATATTGAGCCTCGGGAACTTTTCCTTTGCATGTCTTGTACCAGCACTCGGCAGGTGCGAAACGATGAAGCTGGGTGGGCAAGAAACGCTCGATGCGCTCCCGACCGAGCAACAAGCATCTGAAATCCTGGATAGACAGGTACGACCAATTGGCAGTTCGACCACCATAATCCACCAAATGTTCGCTGATCTCTTCGTGACGAACCTCGCTCATGTCGTCAAGCGTATCCTCCTTGACGCTCCTATCGTGAGATATTTTCAGGCGCGAGAGGTGGTAAAACGCGGCCGGCAAGATCTCTCGGATGTCCAGGGTGCGCGCGAGATGGATCGCAAACCCGGGCTCGGGGAAGATATCGTCGTTGTATGGCACTAGATCAATCAGCTCCTCGTCGTAACGCTGATTGTGACGGATTTTTGCATCGGATTCTAGGACGTCCCACGCTGTGAGTGTCTGAGGCCAGCATCTTTTGATATGTTTGACCAGTCGGTTCCACAAGGGCGTGATTTGGGACTTTTTCGCTAGGGCCAGTATACCGAAGATCCTTTCCGCAGTTTTGGGATCATAGCGATCAAGGATGAAAGACCTGGCCCCAGTGAACTTAAAGTAGGCTTTGCCGTCGCACATGGCACTCACGGGGCATCATAGAAGAAACGAAGAAGGCCACGAACGTCTTGTGCCTTGTCGTACATGGGGATAACGGGTAAGCCTTCGTACAGGTTGTTTTGATCTTGAGTGTCGGACGGCAGATCAGGCAGAGTGAACATGTCTGCAAAGACTGGAGAGTGTTTGACAAGGATGGATTTGTGAACACGGAAGAGGAGTCCCTTCATGTCATCTGCCGGAGCTGCTGCGATGATAATGTTGCCATCGTCGAAGAACAGGGACTTATCCCGCCGTAAGCGTGAATCGGCGTTAGACATGTTTTTAGCTTTAATGGCGCAACTCTAGACTATCCAGATATATTAGCCCTTATTAGTTTCACAATCATCTTCATGCATTATGTAGAACGTACTGCAAGGGCTGCTCCAAGCCACGTTTAGAGGGTGTTTCGGAAGAACCGACTCAGGCGTTGACGAAGGTCACAGTGAAGTCGTTACAACGAGAAAGCTTGGAGGCTGCAGACAAGTAATGCAGAGACGCTGAGGCGTATATACAAGTAGAGGACTCGGTGGGGGGAAAGAGAGAAAATGGGACGTGTTTCCGAATCCGAGCGCAAAAACACATGAATTTGGTGGGGTACGAAGTGAATTGAAGCTCCACAGCGTGCTGCGCACGGCTCATTGTCAGGGATGTGCATGTGTACTTGCTAGGATTGTAGCGCTGGGCCTGCCCATTGTTAAATATTAAGTAGTAAAAGTTAGTAAGTAGCAGAGAAATCCATGAAGACACACGAGGGGCATTGATAGCCATGAGGGACACTCGGACATGACCAGGTGATGATCGCATTGGCATGTGAATTATTGAGCGCGCAAGTGAGCGCGTCAAGGACGCGTCGCGTCGCGTATCTTATCAGCCGACCAGTGCTTAAAACAGTAATAGCGTTCACAACTAAAACAACCAACAAAGACACAAGGGTTCTAATATACAACAGGCACTAAACACAGGTGAGCGAAAGACCGTGAGGCTGCAATGAATCATTGATCTGGGAGAGGAGGGAGGGAGAAGAATTCGCTAAGTTTGTACCAAAGTTCCATTCGTACTGCGCTTGCAACGTCGTTCACGCGCAGACGACACCAACCACATATTTCCTCTTCAGTATGTCCTTTCTCGGGAATGAAGTCTTTGAGGTCATGCAATATGTCCGACGAATGGTACAATAACTCAAGCTTAGAACAAGAAACTTTCCTGACGTCGCATTTCGCGCCCTCTTTCCTGCAAAGAAGTGAGAAATCAGGATACTTCGTCCTGAGGTATCGTTCAATATTCTCCCGCCCGGACAGCAAGCACCTAAAGTCCTCTATAGACAGGAAAGACCAGTTGGCAGTTCGGCCGCCCTCTACACGATGCCATATTAGGTCGTCTTCATGATTCGACTCGGAGCTCTGGCCTTCGACCCTGCGATCTTGGGTTATCTTGAGCCTGGAGAGGTGGTAGAACGCCGCCGGCAGAACCTCTTGAATATCAAGGTCCCGCGCGAGTCTAATAGCAGCTCCGGGCTCAGGAAAGACTTCGTCAATAAATGGCAGGTCCTCCGCGAGTTCTAGTCGAGCTTGTTGACGAATTGCCATTTCGCTCTCGAGTACGTCCCAGTCAGTGAGAGTTTGCGGCCAGTCCGCCTTGAAATGGTCGACCAGCCGGTCCCATAGAGGGGTAATCCGGTATTTCTTGGCAAGAGTCAAGATACCATCGATCTTGCTGGGAGTCTCCGGATCGTAGCGACTGAGAACGACAGATCTGTCGATCCGTCAATCAACGATCGTGTTTTCACCATGTGCATCTGTAACTCACGGAGCATCATAGAAGAAATGCAACAAGCCACGAACATCCTGTGGTTTGTCATACATCGGGACAACGGGTACACCGTCGTATAAGTCATTCGTCTCAGCTTCTGTACGAGGAGAAATGTCGGGTAGCGTGAACATGTCCGCGAAAACAAGGGAGTTTTTGGCGAGGATGGACTTGTGCACACGGAATAGGAGACCGTTCTTGGTTGGTGTTAATGCAGCTGCGATTACGACGTTGCCATCGTCGAAATACAGGGATTTGTCCCGTTTCAAGCGTGCGTCCGTATCGGACATGCTAAATAGTGAGATGTTAGTTTAGTCTTACGGATTCTGGTGGCCTGACGACTATAAACAGCGCACTGCGCCAGGAGGTTCTGGAATGGTGTGACTTACAGATTCTACTTGAGATGTCGAAGGACGGGCTGAGAGGGTTTAGACCTGTTTGGACGGAGGAAAAGAGAGGAAAGCACTCCAAAGACATCTGTGAGCGTTGCAGCATGATACTAATAGGCACCACGAGGCACGCGCATGGCGCCATGCGTATTCGTCGTGCGACCACCAACTTAAGAGCTGTAAATATTTGTTGTCGCATCTCGCCAGCAAATCTGCTACATGATGGAATGCGAGTCTCATACATGCAGCACACTAGCTACACTCCTATCTTGTTGCCTGCATTTCCGTCTCAAATATCGGGTAGATATAGTAGACTAGGTGCAATCGATACTGTACGTAGTAAGCAGAATGACGTGAGATAAGCTTACATGGGCATAAGTAAGCTACGCGCTCATATCACTATCAGAATCCCAGTCGTCTGAAGGACGAGGAAGTCTGAAGAACTTCGGAAGCTTCTTCCATATATCCATACGCGCATTCTGTGCGAGGTTGTTCACCTTCAACCAACATGACACGCACAATTCCTTTTGCGTGTACTGGTCTTTCGGAACAAAGTCCTTCAAGCCAGTTAATATGTCCTTTGAGTCGTACAGTACTTGAATTGCGCTGCAGAGGGTTTTGAGAGCGTCACATTCCTTGTGGGAACAGCTAAAAATGAGTGGCCGGCACGCAATGGATTTGTATTCCTGGAGGTTCTCCCGGCCGTAGAGCAAGCATCTAAGATCCTCCTCGGAAAGAGCTGACCAGTCAGCTGTGCGGCCACCAATAATCTTAAAATCTGTTATCTCGGAGGTCCGTTCTCTGGTTATTTTGAGTCGCGAAAGGTGGTAGAACACAGCGGGCAAAACTACCGGAATATCCATTTCGCGCGCGAGACGAATGGTAGTTCCTGGTTCAGGGAAGACTTCGTCGACGTAGACATGGTCATCGTAGCCGTAGTCCACCTGGGATTCGAGACGAGCTTTAACTTCGCCCTCGATTACATCCCACTCCGTGAGTGTTTGAGGCCAGTCCTCCTTCAGATGCTTGATTAGTCGATCCAACAGGGGTGTGATCTGGTACTTCCTCGCAAGATGCATGAGACCTCGTATCTTGTTAGGGTTCTGGGGATCGTAGCGCTTGACGACAAACGAACTGTCAACTGATTAGCCAAATCCTGCGACGCCCAGCCCGCATGCAACAGTAACACTCACGAAGGCTCATAGTAATACTTCAACAGATCTTTCACGTCCTGCGCCTTATCATACATCCGCACAAGTGGGACACCATCGTAAAAGTCCTCAGGATCTGCCGTTTCGGCCGGAATGTCGGGCAACGTGAACATGTCGGCGAAGACGGGGGAGTGCATGGCGAGGATGAACTTGTGCACGCGGAACAGGAGGCCTTTCTTGGTGTCCGAAGGGGCAGCTGCTATGACCATGTTCCCATCTTCATACCACAGGGATCTATCCCGCTTGAGACGTGGGGTTTCTCGGGTCATGATTACTGTTACGTCCTGTCAGTTTTGTCCAGACGATCCGGCTCAGTAGTACAAAGAGCTCACTGTGCCAACGTTAGTGTAGATTACGACAGAGGGATCCAAGTACAGTTCCTCGATTATTTAGTGTAGATGAGAAGCACACTTTGGTGTTGACGTTAAGTAGATGGGAAATGGATTGCGTCCGTGGAAAAGAGTGGTGCATGTCTCAACGGGAACGAGACGCGTTGCATTTCCATCATGTGACCGCGCCCCATATAAGTCGCGACGCGCTTGAGCCGCTTGAGGTCACCTTCGCAAGTGCATAGCAGGTAACCAATTCGCGATTTCCTACCATGGTCCCTACAGTTCATTACTTTTCCGGGCTAGATACGGACAGTGGAAAAGCAGAATGCATTGCGAATGCCACTAATACTAAAGTACAACGTCTATGCAGAGAATTACAGAGAATGGTCAACTTCCTAAGAAACCTAAACACCCATTTACTTTTTGTGGAGAGAAGGGGGGTTGAGACCCGAAGAAAGACCTCCCTCGCCGGCGTAGATAGCACCACTGCCCTTGATCTCGTCCCTAGGCGCTTATCAGCGATCAGTTTCACAAGGACGAGCAAGCTGACGCACTCAATGCGGAGGAGAGCGTTGTACTTGGCGACACGCTCGCTGCGAGCGGGAGCGCCAGTCTTGATCTGGCCAGTGCCGAGAGCAACGACAAGGTCGGCGATGATGGTGTTCTCGGTCTCACCGCTACGATGAGAGACCATGACACCCCAGCCGTCGGACTGCGCGAGCTGAGCACTACGCCGGGATGAGTGTTTAGTTCAAGAGAAAAACACCTTGTAATACTCACGCTTGGATCGACTCCGAGATCGTACCGATCTGGTTGATCTGTAGAAGGGGATAATGTTAGCCTGCGCCCTGGGTAACTTCTTCGCAAAACTCACCTTGAGGAGAAGACCGTTGCAAGCCTTCTTCTCAATGGCAGTCTTGATGCGAAGAGGGTTGGTGACCGTCAGATCATCACCGACGATCTGGATAGGGGCCTGCTTGGTGAAGTGGCTCCAAGCCTCCCAGTCGTCCTGGTCGAAGGGGTCCTCGATCGAGACAATGGGGTACTTCTTGAGGTAACCGAGGTAGAGGTCCGCGAGCTCAGTGCCCGAGATCCACTTGGTGGGGTCCGAGTTGGCGTTCTTGAAGTCGAGATCGTACTTGCCCTCCTTGTAAAACTCGGACGAGGCAACGTCGAGAGCGATCTTGATCTTGCCCTCGTAACCGGCCTTCTTGATGGCCTCAGTGAGAAGCTCAAGAGACTCCTCGGCGCCGGAGACGTTGGGGGCGAATCCACCCTCATCACCAACGTTGGTGGCTGATCAATACGAAGTTAGGCCATGACGGCTGAAAAGGGAGGATATATGCGCACCATCAATGCCGTACTTGGCGCTGATGACCTTCTTGAGGGTGTGGTAGGTCTCAGTACCGATCTTCATCGCCTCAGTGAACGAAGAAGCGCCAGTGGGGAGGATCATGAACTCCTGGAACGCGAGCTTGTTGCCGGCATGGGAGCCACCGTTGATGACGTTGAAGGCGGGAGTGGGGAGGGTGTAGGGGGGCTTGACACCGGCAAGTTCAGCGAGGTGCTGGTAGACAGGAACGCCCTTCTCGGCGGCACCGGCCTCGGTAGCGGCAATGGAGATAGCGAGGATGGCGTTGGCACCATACTTGCCCTTGTTGGGGGTGCCGTCGAGCTTGATGAGGAAGTCGTCAATCTCCTTCTGCTGGGTGACCTTGAGACCAGCCTCGATGAGCTTGGGGCCGAGGGTGTTGTTGACGTTGTCAACAGCCTTCGAGACACCTGAGCGCATATATTCAGTCATACTCCGGTGCGTCAGGATTGGAAGCATGTACCCTTGCCGACGTAGTTGGCTTTGTCACCGTCACGAAGCTCAACGGCCTCGTGAACACCGGTGGAGGCACCAGAGGGGACGGCAGCACGGAAGCGGCCTGGATGTACTCTGTTAGCTATACCAAAGAAAGCGCATATATGTCATGGACTAACCCTTGGAAGTCCAAAGGTCAACCTCGACGGTGGGGTTACCGCGAGAGTCGAAGATCTATTGATGTGATCTTCAGCAAACATCGAGGGAATACCAGCAAAGAAACAAACCTGGCGAGCGTGGATTTTGGTCACGGACATGGTGGATGAAAGTAGAGATCTGCCGGTATTAGTTCAGGGGAAATTTCGAGTTGATATCTTATGCTCGAACGAGTTCCCACGCTGATTATCTCCGCTCGAGGCCCGGCGAAGGCGGGCGCAACTAGTGAGCTCATCTTCCCCAAACCTTTGCCAATACCTGCTAGCGCGTGTAACAGCATCCATGTGCGGCGCGCACGCGTGCGGCATGGAGAAAGCGCGGAGCGGCTTGAGATCGTTTGAGAATGGCTTAGCCCCTTACTGATAGATCCAACCAATCAAAACAGCCCATGCTGAAAATATGCCAGCACTACGACAGCCCAGGATAGATTATCGCCCGCATACACCGACATTGTCGTAAGGCTCGACATGGTAAAGCGCATTATCGATGTCCTGCTCATTTCCGTCGTCGACGGCCGTCGACCTTTTTGCCGGTGGGCAGTGACTTCATCACCGCAGCCTTGTTCCTGTTTTTGTTCTTCACGTTAGCATTCGAGTAGAAGTTCTCGGCCTTTTTCTTCAATGGAAGTCAACATCACGAGTGGTAGTAAGAAGTAACAGCAACAGACCTTGTTTGTCTTCATCCGCGCGTCTTTCTTGGGCGCTGGACTTGACGACCGCTCTGACGCGTCATCTGACATATCATAACTCAATCAACTGATGCGAACAAAACAATTATCGTCCACTGACCTTGCTCGGCCGACGGCAGTTCGGACGGAGCGTTCTCAGAGATGATCTTGGGCGTGTCTTCAGCGAAGACATCATTCCACGATAGAGCTGGTTCCTCGGTGGCTCCCTCGTCTTCTCCTTCTGAACCGCTCTCATCTTCGTCAACGGCATCCTCGGACATGGCTGCATCCTCGCCATCGGCGGCCGCTTCCGCTTCCTCATCTTCGTCCAAATCATCCATAGGCTGAATATCTTCAGGCACGAACGTGTTCTTCTGCGTGATCGTCCTCAGGTTCTGCTTAACGCCCGGAACTTCTTCCGCGGCCTTTTCTTTCCCTTTGGCCTTCCTTGCCTTGATCTTGGCCTCCGCCTCGTTCAGTTCAGCGGGACGCTCGGGTGGCGGTACGAAGAAAGGTATCCTGCCCCGAACCCAGTCACTAAGCACGATTTTTGCGACGCCCTCCATGTCCGGCTCGCCCCCTTTGAGAAGACGGCCTTTCATGCGAGCGAGAGCGTCCATGAATGCTTCGGGTTCCCAGCTTTCGGAAGAATCATCGGGATTGGGAAGGGGGACGCCGTAGGTTCTTGAGAGGTATATGGGCTTGACGCGGGACATGAGGGTGGGGATGTGGTCGGAAGGGGTTGCCAGAGCCTCAACGCGAACGACGCCTTTGAGGACGGTGGAAGTTTCAGTGTCATGTGCGGAGGTAGGTACGATACCCGGGCAATCGATGAGGTATATGCGACGAGTGAGGGTAATGTATTGCCAGACCTGTGCGAGAATTAAGATGGGAATTTGAGAAAATTACTGGGACGAAACGCACCTTGGTTTCTCCAGGTATCGGAGCTACGCGGCAAACCTTGCCACTTTTGAGGGTATTGATCACGCTACTTTTGCCGACATTAGGGTATCCGACGAAGCCGACGGATATCTGCTTCTTGTCGGAGTGGAGTTGAGAAAACTGTCGAAGGAGTTGGATGAGGGAACCTTTTCCGAAGGAGTGATTGGGGGAAGCATGGAAAGCGATAGTAGGGAAGCGTGGAGTGAGGTATTGGATGTAGCGCGCCTAAACCAGGGTAAGCAAAAATCACTGTTATTAATTTGCTGCTACTTGCCGTCACCCAATTCGGCACTAAATCACATTTGTTGATGACAAGAACGACTTGTTTGTGCGATTTCTCCTTTTTAATAAACTCCAATACGGAATCGCACATTGTCCCGAAGGGATCGCGAGCATCCAAAATATGAAGAATGACGTCCGAGGAGTCAATGACCTTGTAGAGCTCTCCGTAAATACGTCTTGATGTTCCCTTGGCGTAGATGGCCTCAGTTTGGTTCGCGTGAGTAGGAGGATCAATGAGCATGGGGTCGGCAGCATCATCTAATAAGAGTGAGTCTCCTTGCCCATCGTTCATCAAAATGAGAGACGCGCACTGTTTGCCTGATTTTCTGCATCTTCAGCAGCAGCAGCGCCCGCTTTACTCAACTCTTCAAAAGTGCTGACCTCCAAACGAGGCTTCTTGCGCTGAGCTTTGGGACCAAAAGTGTCACCGAAAGATTCCGTTTCCACGATGTGTGAGCGCTGATGAAATGAATGACACATTGATATGATCCTAGCATCGTAAAAACTAGATAGTACTAACCTTGCGAACATTCGGGTTCGCCGCATCGTCCAACAGAGCCATAGGCAGCTTATTGCGTCGCAGCAGCACAGAGTACGGATCATCCTTCCTTGTCGACAAATTTGTCCGGAAATGATCCAGAGCAGTCTGCGAGATCACTCTCGTATTACCTGCAATCCAATTTTGCCGTCAGCGCTCTACCGCCTGAAAAGGTAATCGAACACAACGCACCGAACCACCGTCGATCAGGCTGCACCCTCCCCGGCTTCGCCTCATCCTCGCCAGCCTGGAATGCAGCAGCCTTGACGATTTTGCCGTCCCTGTCGCGGACGGCCTTGCCGCCGTTAAGCATCTTGACCCGCGCGGCCTGCTTCGCATTGCGATAGAAGTTCTCGCCCTTGACGCGTTTCAGTGTGAGGTCGGAGGCGTTGGAGCCGGATGGTTTCTTCTTGATGGGTGCCATGGTGTGCAGGGGCCTGGAGAGGCAAGATGGATGTGGAGGGGTGTGTCGGTGAGGGGCGAGTGCAAAATTGGCCAGCAGGTTTCTGGAGCTTGGTTCTCACGCGCCGCCGTCATCTTCTCCCCGAGTTCCGAGCAAACCTCTCGAGTCTCGATATGCCCAAGGTGCAAACTTATCCTGTACACTAGGGCACGCTGAACGCGATGAAAGCAGATCTCAGAGAATGTGATTGTGGTGGAGAAGGCAGACATCATGATTGCATTAAGGGTACTACGAGATAGAGAAAAAGAAAGAGATCGAGGAAAAGATGTGCCAGTGTGTTGTCGACATGCCGTGTCCTCTTTACTGTCGATACGACACTTCCTAAGCTGCTGGTTACTCTCGAGAGATCAGGACTTCATGCGAAGTCACTGGCACTGTCATCGACGGTAGAGAAATCTAGCATCGCGCAGCGTGGCATTCTCCCTTGAAGAAAAGCCATCAACGCAAAAAATGCGGTTCTTATACGCTTCCGGAAGATGCCGGTACGAGCTCGCACGCTGTCAAGCGGGCAGTTTGCCCATTCGCGGTCGGGCAGTTCGGCGCGTCTTCTGCTCAAGTGCTTCAAAATGTTTCGAGCGTGCAGCGCGCCAGGCAAGCACCTCTATACGCACAATTATCTATAGCGTGCTTATGACATTCTTTTTCAGCCTCTAGATGTCTCGCTCAGCCAGCTAGCACATCTTCTCTCCACACGTCCGCCGTAGCGCACGCGAAACCGCTCCGCAAATCTCCCCCAATTTCCAAGGTGCAAGCCAAAATCCTGCGCAAGGAGGCCAAAGACGCATCGCGCGAGTATGCCGTACTCGGATATCGCCCCGGGCAGCAGCACAAATGGCACCGCTGCGACCTCGCCAAGGTGGTCGTCACCGAGGAGTCCCTGCGCGAGGCCACGCCGGAGACATACGCGAACAGCGAGGGCGACGTGCATGTGCCCGCATACCTCGGGTTCGGCATCAGCGACAAGGAGAAGGAGATGTTCTTCAAGCTCCTGCCGCCGCTTACAGTACAGGGGGCCATCGAGAAGGACATACGGATGAAGCCGCCGCCTTTGAATATGGAGAATGTTGTGAAGGACATGACTGAGAAGATGAAGGAGGAGGTGCAGAAGGCGAACATGTTTGCTAAGGTGGCTGACCTGCGGAATGCGAGTGCGAGGGGCCTCGCGTTGGTTAACCGCAGGCGGTGTGTGGAGGAGTTCTCGGGGCCTGGCAAGCCGGACGACACTGGTCGTCCTGAGGTACAAGGCGCGTAATCTTCGCACTCTACCGAATGATACTCCTGACATACAGCGGTCCACAGCTGCCATTCTCACCACGCAAATACGCAACCTCTGGTCACATCTCCTTAGGAACCACAAGGACCTCGAGAATCGGCGGAGTCTCCGGAAGCTCGTCCACCAGCGAGCGAAGATCCTCAAATACCTCAGAAGTAAGGACTTAGATCGCTATGAAGCGGTTCTTCCCCGTCTTGCTCTGGACGCCGCCAGCGTAGAAGGCGAGCTGCTAGTATGAGCCCTTGCACAACACGATTTTAATTGATTATACACCTATAATACGGGAGCAAGTTATAGATGAAGTGCGCTAGAGCGAGAACAAAGATCATTCGGTTTGAATGACAGAATTAGATCCTGAAGAAGGAATGATAAATTAAGAAGGAAGAAAGGGTTTGATACAGTGTTCGAGCAGTTGATGAAGGAGTGAGGTGGTAACAGCCCATGACCCAGCGCTCAATAATCGCCGCTGTCGTAGTTGTCGCTGTCGTAATCGGGCATATCAAAATCGTGCATGGGGGAGAACCAGTCGAAAAAGTCCATCTCGAGCCGGGACATTGCCTTTTCTCCAGGTTTGAATACATGATCGGGTCTATCCATGGTCAGTGTAATACGGGGAAGCTCAGCCCGTTCCGCGTCACTTCCGTACATTTGCATATAGTCACGGTTCAACTCCGGTTCGGTAATGCTATGGCTGTATGATCGCGACGTTGTCAGCAAACCAAACGATCCTGGCGAACAAGGTAAAAGCATACGAGAATTGTAGATGTGTCTTGACGCTCGAATGGGTGTGAGTGTTCTCGGTGATCTGGTCGAGACAGGGAACGCATTTCCAGACGGCTTGGCTTCTTTGAGGCTCCGGCAGTGTAGCATCAGATGATGACGCAGGTGCTTCAGCCTCCTTCTCCCGGTATGTCCGAAGTTCGTCTCCCTCGAGTAGCCTCCAATCCAGTATCTGACCCCGCCCGGAGTGTCCCGAAACCTGATGTTGGACCTATGATGTCGCTTTCAGTCACGGGCGAAAGGCATATACACCGAGAATGTCACTTACCGCTTTTCGCCATCCGAACACCTTAGCATCTGTCTTGTTCTCTTCTTCATTCGACCAGTTCAAGCAACTCAGGCAAGCAAGCCTAGGATCTAGCTCGTCTAGCTGTGCTGGCGTAGTGTTAAGCGGATCCATGCCGCACAGATCGACAATGTCGCGGACCGCCGTACTGGCCTGGTCATCCAGAAGCAACGGCCCTTCACTCCACGGCTCCCGCATGGTCTCCATGGAATCGCTCAGTTGCTGGGTGGGGTCATTCGTGAACTCGCCCCACCGAGACTGGTGTCGGGTGAGACATTTGTGGCCCATGACCTGCGGATAGTACAGCAGCGGGCGCCTTCGTGGTGTATACAGTGGCATCCCAAACATCGGAAAGTCGTCTTCGTCAGAGTCCCATCCGTCGTACATGGGGTACCCATGGCACTGCTTGCATTTGAACACGGTAGTGGCTAGATGGAGCGGCTGTGGATACAGAAAGACCAACGTGACGTTAGAGTCAACGATCAATTATCACACGTCTTGACTTACATGAGATTCATCAACATCCATGCCTTCGCTAGACGACTGCTGTTCACCAATCATTGTAACAGCGGCGTCAGCGAGTTTTCTGGTAATCGCGGCACGCCATCTCTCTATGAGGGTGTCCATGTCGGAAACAATATTATCAAACGATGCTTGAGTAACCTCGACCTCGTTCGGAAGTTCCAGGATAGCATCAACCTCGGGGAACGCGCAGAAATCGGGAGCCTCCGGCATCACATTGATGAAGGGGATACGCGCTACCTTATACTCCCGGAGAACGGTGATGGCGTGTCGTTTGCGGGACATGACCAACGCTTTTCGCTCGCGTTCTATACGCTTACTTTTCATATCCTCCATATACGCGATCATCTCGTCCTTGATATTCGCCCAGACTGGAAGAGCTTAGAAGAGCTCAAAAACGGCGAGCGGAGTTGACTCACTTCGAGGCGTAAGGCGTGTTGGTTGCTTGACCGCCTTGAGACGACTCATATCGTCCGTCGGTGGTATGCTTTCAATCTCCTCGCCCCAGCCTAGCTCCGTGAGCTTGTCGATAATGCTGTAAAACAGGGGCGCTCAGAGAAGCCTCCAGGAAACCGCCAAAATTGAACTCACGCCCGCTTTCTGTCACGTCTCGCCTCGTCAAGCTCTTCGGACCTGTTATTGGCCTTAACAATGGCCCAGTCCTCGAGTTTAGGGGCAAGCTTTGCGGAAATGATGAGCAAAAGTAGGGCACATGCAATATTTATATCTACCTCTCCGAGATCTTTGAGGTAAGCCATACGTTGTGCGACAAACGCGTTGTATTCTTCTTTCTTGTCATTGCCGGAAAGTTCCTTCAGGCGCTTTTCGATGGTTTCTCGCTCTGCTTTGAAAAGGATCATCCCGTCACGCTCTAAAAAAGGTTAGATTGATATCCGAATCATGTTCAGTGTTACAAAGGACGTACTCGAATAGGTCCTCGGTATAAGGTTGTTCCCTCGGAACTCGACTCCATAGACTAAGGCTTTAACAAGGCTAGGCAGACTTCAAGCGTTATGGAGAGCATGCAGAAAAGAGACACTTACGAGGTTTTGGAACACTTGCTGCATATACGCTTCCCGAGGCGCCAATCGATGGCTCGGACGTAGGGGCTCAGGCAGACCTATGGTGCGAGATTAGCATCCCTTCGAGTATGACAGTTGTTGAGGAATGGCGCACGTAGCAATGGGTGTCGAAGACGAAGTTGGCGTAGGCGGGCTCACTGAAGGAGGCTGGACATTCTGGAAGATCCGGTACGTTCTCGCGCGCCGACTTCCAGATAGAGATAGAGGAGCGGTGTAGGAGCACCCGCCTGAACTCCTTGGTGGTGCGCGACAGATGCAGCAAATCCAAAGGGCGAAGGTGGCCGAAGATCTGACCTCGCCAGTGAAGTTAGGGGCATTGCGATGGCATCTTCATGGATAGTCAAGAGGCGCACCTCGAAGAGCACATCCATGGGCATCTGCAGGAGCCCGGACAGACGCCCTTTGACGCGCTGGCGTTTGACCTTCTTCTTCGGGGGCTCGGCCTGCTCAACCTTTGCGCGCTCTTGTGTGGCATCATCGGTATCGGTCTGGTGCTTCCGCTTGCCTCGATCAGATCGTCTCGCGGGGACTGGTTGTGAGGCTAGCGCTTGTTTGGTGCTTTCCGCGTCCATGTTGAGTACTGGCGTGTTGAATGTAGACGAAAGCTGGGGGGAGGAGGGAGGGGGGGAGGAAGTGGAAGGGTGGAGTAAAGGTTACAGCAACCGGCCGAGCGCGACGGTCTACTTCAATTTATGTCAGGCACAGCCGGCCGGTTCGCAGATGCGCGCCACCAAGTGCCACCGCGTTTGGACGCGGATCCAGATAGGGTCTTCCCTCTTTCTGCACGCTAAGTATCATCAACACACAAAAGCTGTTGACAATGATGACATGCAATGCGGTGTATATTTATGACCTCTTCATACTTATCGAGCTTAACGTTACAACTCTGCCGCAGCTCTGCCTAGTATATTGACAAAGATTTCTCCTCGTTACCATTTACGTTCCTCATCTGAGGCTGCGCTCTCTCTCGGAGCTCTCATTCATTCTACTCCATATGCTGCCTGCCGTCGCAAGCTCCCGTGGTGGATCATTCCAGCCGGTTTAGATCGGCGTGCTTCGGGAAAATATCTCTTGAGCTAGGAGCAGTCTCAGCACCGGAATACAAGGCAAGCTCACTAATCGGCTCGGAGTCTGGCATATCCGTGCTGCCGTATCACCAACCGGCAAACCCGGCACGAAAGAGCAAGTATGTGGCAGTGCCTACAAGCGCCTGTCAAATTCACACACCCAGTCTTGGCCATAGCGCACGACGCGTCTCGACGTGTCACAAAACCGTTCACCTAATTACCAACACATACGCAGATGCCCATCATGCTATCCGTTCTTGCAGATAAAGAGGGCAGCGCCCGTCGCAGGGACAAGCGCGACTCTGTCTGGGCTAAGGTCTTCTTTCCGGTCACCGATATTCGCAAGGACCGCCGGCAGTGGGTGCCACGGTGCGCGACTGGGACAAAGGGATCGCCAGGATTCATCAAGGCCAACCAGGGGATCCAGACACCGGAGCTGTCACTGTTCTCCGCATCGAGGCCATGCAGATGAAGTCCGTATTGTGCCGCGAGAAACTGTGCAAGACAGGGTACCAACGCCTTCGTTGTTTTAGAGAAGAGTGCCAGCGACTGTACAAGGGCGTGGTGTCGGTTCTCAGGACCATTATAGGCAGACCCTCATTCAACGATGATTACCGGGGCTGGCTCTCCCTCGTTAGTGTCGACACACGCAAGGACATCGTATGTGAAGGGTTCGAACAGGCAGGCTATCGATCTCGCATTGGTCATGACGCACGGATGCTATGCCCCGAGCTGAACTCTAGTGACTTGTTGAAAGGGCGTGGAAAGGGGATCTGGGATTTATACGATAACATTATCGAGCTGGACAATGCTGGAGGAATGGAGAATTTCAAGAATGTTCTCATGAAGAGCGAGTGGTTAAAGAACGCGTACGGGGACGGCATGGTCTTCCACACAACTTCGGAGATCAGCAAATGGTGTGATGAATTCACCACCTGTCTCAGGATTGAGTATTTCAGTAGGTCCACGGCCTCGGTTCATGAGAGATGCTGATTACTTATACCATACAGTCGATTTTATCCTGCGTACACTCCAGATCATAGTCAGCAGTTGCCACGAATTCACCGAAAACACACCTACGGACTCCATCGTCGCGAAGAGGGTAATATCCTACCTGAATCCAGAAGCCAGCTATAGACTCCTGGAAGACAAAAAGCATCTAAATAGTCGCTCAGCGTTGACATGTGAGAACTGTCAACGGAAACGCCATGATATCGGGGTCAAGTTCAAATCCTGCAAGGCATGTAAACGTAGGCTCAATTTCGACGTTCTCTACTGCTCGAGGTACGCCATGCATTGGTACTCCCATGCAATTAAATTTCTTGCTTATTCGATCCAGTGCATGTCAAAAGGTTGATTGGCCAGAGCACAAGGTCCATTGCGGTAAAGAAAAGGTGTCGAAGAATCGAACAGCCTGCCGCCCCGAATACTCGTATTCAGTGGCTTTACAGCTCCAGGTCAAGATGCATGACTATTATCCTGTCGACTACGTACTCTTCAGCCGCAGCGGATATCCGGAGGGATTCGATGTCTCATTCTGGGACGACGATGATAAGAGCGATATGTTTTTTGACTTGTTGAACACGTTGCTGATTGAAGCTGAGAAGCCCGGTCTGGATGTGATCGCTAAATGCCTCGTTGATGCCGTCGATGGCAACGATGTCCAGTCCAAAATCACGAGAGAAGGCATAATAGCTCAGCTCACAGAGGAGTACGAGGTTGATGTCCGAACCCTGCTGGAAGAACTCGAGGCGACTCTTGTCATGGAGGGCGACGAGGAACGATACAAGGGGATGATCATCCAGGAGCTCCACTGGGAGGATGAAAGTCAGGGATCAGACGACGATGAATCAGACGATGAAGACTCTGATAATGACGAGTCATGCGCCGAGGTGCCTTTGCCTCGAGAGGTGTCTCCCGCGAAGAATAACCCGAAGAACCGGAAAGAATAACGGTATGGACACCGTGACTGCAACCGCAGACCCCAGGATCTGAACAGCGGTGCGCGTTTTCTCGCCTGCGGCTGCAAGAAGGGTCTGCATGTTGAGTTCGTCTATTGCTCAGAATTCATTGCGGAAAACAGAAAGATCAGATTGGGCGTGACTAGCTAGGAGACGCTTAGTGCTACTAACTACGAGCGTGCGTTTGCAGCTCAGAATATAACTCCAATAAACTTCGAACCGCCAACAAATTGGCCCGTCAGAATATGAGATAGAACGCAATCTCGCCTAGCGATCATAACACTCTAAGTCTATCGCCTCAGAGGAGTCTGAGCTTGTGTCTTTCATTCCACTACAAGTGTCTATGGCAAGTGGATATGTTCGAGATGATGTTGGGGAGATGTTTGCGACATTCAATTCATGCTCCGACAGAAATTTGCGTGTCGCGCCAGCGGCTATCAGATCTTCAGCTTCAGACCTCGGCCTTTGAAGCCGTTCTCTTGTCGCGGCCTGATATACCTCTTATGCCTCGCGATCCAGCTGGATTGGACAGCGACAAGTCCATCTGGGCAAGCAGGGTCTTTCCTGTGACCGAACTACGCAAAAATCGCCAGCAGTGGGTACGTGATTGGGACAAAGGGATCGCCAAGGCCATATGCTCGGTCGAACCACAGGAGAACTTCAATGGGGCCATCTTCATCTTCGTCTGCACATCTTGTGCTCTGTTCGGGACCCAGCTACGCCGCGGGAGTGTGGATCAGGACGACTACCAGGCCCTCTGCGAGCTCAGGGCAGAAAACGACAAGCTTCGCGACGGTGTTATGGCCATACTGAGGGCTGGACAGGACACAAGGATCAGTCGCAGTGATCATCGCGAGTGGTTCGCTCTAGTCAGTCCAGAAACGCGGAGGGAGATTGTTTGCGAAGGCTTCGAGGAGGCATGCTGGGAATCTCCTTGCGGCCAGGACGGCCGCGTCTTGTGCCCCGAGCTAATCTCTGTCGACCTTCTCAAACAGCGCGGCCAAAATCTATTCGATTTCTTTGAGCGATGTCGTCGCGCATCAGATGAAGGCGGTCTGGAGAAGTTCGACAACGATATCGTGAGGACCGGTTGGTGGAGAAGCGCTTTTGGAAACGGCGAGGTCCTGGAAAACACCACGCTGGAGATAAACAAGTTCGCGTATGACTACGTCACCCGCATCCGATCCCAGTTTATTCGTGCGTTTCATTTTCGTCATCTTGTTTTCAAGTTTTCAAGTCTCACTTTGATTTTTCCTAGTTAACTTCATCTGGGGCTCATACTACGCCCTGGTTCGTAGATGCGAAGACACTCAGAATCGGGCAATCGACAACATTGTCGCTACCCGGATTCTACGGAACATTGGGCGAGAACAAACTCTGCGGATCATGAACGCGAAGTGGTTCAAGCATCGCTTGGTACTTCCCTGCGAAAACTGTCGACGCAAGCCTGGCGAGGTTGGAACGAAGTTCATGAGCTGTAGCCCATGCAAGCGTAAGCTCAACTTTGACGTCCGCTACTGTTCAAAGTAGGCGAGTCCATGTTTCCGCCGCTTGTATGATGGCTAACATGGCGTTCGCAGAGAATGTCAGAAAGCCAACTGGCCCATGCACAAAGCCCATTGCGGCAGAGAGAAGATCTCGAGGAATCGGGAAGAGTGGGTTCCCGAGTACAACTTCTCTATGGCATTGCAGCTCCAGATTAAGATGCAGGTCGATTTCCAGGAAACCGACTACGTCCTGTTTAGGCGCCAAGCCGTGCCCTTGGGACACAAGGTGACCTACAGCGACCCTGGAAAGCGGGAGGTGTTTGGCGATGCTCTCAGGCTTCTCTGGACAGCTGCAGACAAAGAAGGTATCGATGTCGTTGCCAAATGCCTCGTGGGTGCGGTAGATACGGACGAGAGCGTCCAATCTAGTATTACGAGGGACGACGTCATTGCCCAGCTCACTGAAGAGTACGGGGTCGACGTGCGATCTGCACTGGAAAGCTTGGAGGCTAAGCTTGTGATGGAGGATGAGGAGGAGAGGTATGCAGGCATGCTTATTGGCCACCTCGTCGACCCCGACGAGGTCGACAGATTACTTGCAGAGCGACGGGCACAGGAACCTAAACACGATCTGGAGGCGATCAAGAATGACTATCTGAAGCACGTGAAGTAGCCCTCCATTTATTTACTGACTCGCGTACAGGCCTAACGATACCATACCAAAACGCTGATTTACGCATTTTGATAGCGACACCTCCGTCTTAACTTACCAAAGGTATCATACATCCCAGCCGACCTTTACCTATCATAACTGCGAGAACATCTTGCGTCGATCGCCGAGTCGTAGGTCCCACGATCATAACACCAACGGTATGTGAACCCACTCCTCGAGTGCCGAGACTTTCATAGGCGCTTTCGTCGGAGGCGATTCGTTCGTGGTGAGTGCTGCTTTCTATGAGTGTGTGCGGGACGACGGCCGCCGAAACACGCGGCAGCCGCAGATCATGTGAAGAAAACCCTTTGCTCACAGCTCTCACGTCCAACTCACTCACACCCTTCGCTTTCACGGAAAACCAGCTTACCGTCCACTCCAACATTGCGTCAATGGCATGCAATGATGGCGTCGGACCCGCTCATCAACGCCTACCATAACGTTGGCTGCATGACTATCTTAAACTGCGTCATAGACCAAGTAAGCACGACATGATCGATTGATCTGTGGCCAGCCATTCGGGGACAATCTCATTCCCAGACTTGAGCTTGAAGCTTGAAGTCCGGGCCGACTTCCTGTGTATGGAGGGGACAAGAGGGGACAAGTCCAACCTGCCTTGGAACTCCGCTTTCGTCACGACGCTCGTCTCTCATCCAATCGCGGTGGAAAGTCAGGCTCAGCCGGAATGACAATGTCAATCAGAAAATGGGACTAACTTTAGCTCCCCCACGGGGCGGATATCAAGCCCATGACTACCAGCGCTTGTAAATGATCGTCAGCTGAGTTGCAATGGCCTCTAACATTTCTTTTGCATAGTAGAGTTGAACCTCAAGCGCAGTACGTCTTGCGAAAGGCTAAACTCCAGGCCCGCTCACGCGCCAATTGCGCCTGACCGCTTCCACCACTCTCATCTTGAAATAACCCACACCTATAGTTCGGCGGCACAGAGCAGATCCATTGCTTCTCTCGTTCCTCTCTTATCTCAAGTTTCTCACTACGCAGACACGTCAGCTTTACGCGTATGTGCTATCACCGCGTCCAAGTAGGCGGTTATAGTAAGGACACGTCTTCTACAGAAGCCACCCCTTGCTAGGAGCTGCTTCGAGCACAGTGCAAAGACGATAATAGCGCGGCGTATGAAGTATGGTCATGGAGCTCTACTCCGATGATACACCCGGGCCGCCGTCGACCGCTTTCGTACCGTCATATGATGCTCCTGCGTGCCCTCTGCTTCTTCGGCGTCCTCTACCGCTCCGTGCCTAGATGGGAGAGGTACTTAAGCTCGCGTGTAGACTGAACGGGAACTTCTCGTTCTCTCAGACTCTTGTCTTCATCATGGCTCGAGATGTACCGGTCAGTCCTAGAGCAGTGTTGCTCGCCATCTTTATTGCGTTTGGTATGTTTGAAGTTGCTGTATGTGAGCGCGCCTGAGGTTAATTAACTCTATCTAGGTGGTATGTCCTTTGAATGCCTCCATGTAATCCTTGAACAGGTGCTGAACTTGCCCTAGGCTTCTTGTTTGGCTATGACATGGGTGTCATTTCGGTATGTCTTTGCGGTGTTCGCTGGCTCGACGTTTCTGATGAGTCTCTAGGGATGCCTCATCATGCCTGACTTCATGCGCCGCTTCGGTACCGTAGAGGCCGACGGAACACCATACCTGTCGAGCACCAGACAGTCTGAGATCGTGTCCCTTCTATCAGCCGGGTACGTAAACCATCATGCATCATGCAATCATTTATTGACGAGGCTGTATTTTCAGAACATTCATGTATGACTCTGAGCTATCTTTGACATCTCGCAGAGTCTGATTATTGCTCCACAGTGGTGCTTTGGCGCAGGCTTTTACCGCTGATCGTCTCGGCCGCCGGGGTTCGATTCTCTTTTGGTCAGGGATCTTCACCGCCGGTGTAGCCATCCAGACTGGCACAACTTGGTCGCTCGCCCAGTTGTTGATTGGCCGATTCATCGCCGGGCTCGGCGTTGGTTCTTTGTCAGGTAAGTTATCTCTGACCAATAGGTACATCATTGCTATGAAATGGCTTACTCTTGGCTAGCCATTGTGCCACTGTATAACGGTGAGACGGCTCCAAGAGCTATTCGAGGCACCATCTTGGTTATTTACCAGGTGCAAATTATCATGGGGTGACACCATCTATGATCGTAGGCATGTTCGCGTACTGATGGTCACCAAAAAGGATCTTCTTGAGCTACCTCTTCGAGTTGGGAACCCACCGTCTGAATGGCTCGGCTTCATGGCGCATTCCTGTCGGACTGCAGATGGTCTGGGGACTCATCTTGCTCTCTGGAATGTTCTTCCTCCCCGAATCACCGTAAGTCCTCTTATGATCCCCGAAATACGGGTTATTTCGGTGACTGAAGGTCTTGAAAGTCGTCACCTGCTCGGTAACAACCGTGAGCAAGAAGCACGCGAAGTCGTTGCCGATCTGAATAGCGTCCCTGTCGACGACCCTTTGGTCACTGAGATTGTCGAGGAGCTGGCTGAAGCCATCCGCGCGGAGAACGAGGGAGGCGGAGTGGGGTGGCTTGAGTGTTTTTCGCCCAGGAACTCGATGTGGAAGCGTACCATCAACGGCATGATGCTGCAGTTCTTGCAACAGCTGAACGGGCAGAACTTCTACTGTGAGTGAAGCTTTCTCTGATTTTCTTATTACTAATTCTTATCTATGTTCGTAGATTACTACGGAGACACATTCTTCGAGATGGCTGGAGCTGGGTACGACTTTAGCTTGTCTGCTCTGTAGTTATATGCTCACCACTTCGACAGCCTTTCGCCGTATGTCATCCAGACCATCCTCGGCGCTGTTTCGGTCGCAGGAACCGTGCCCGCGATGTTCTTCATCGAGTATTGGGGTCGTCGCAAAGTGCGTAACAATGAATAGTAGCACGAAACCGAATCTACCCCTGACATCTTTCACCAGTCCCTACTCTATGGCGCCTTCTTCCAATCCTTCTGCGCCATCATCGTATGCTCAAATCTCTCCTCCTTTTCTGCGATCAAACTGACCTAACCAACCACCTAGGTGGCTCTCGTCGGGCACTACACCCTCGCACCGGAAGGCACGCCCCTGGCCCAGCTTACGTCTCGAAACCGGTCCGGCGGCGACGTCGTGATCGCGTTCGCGATCATCCAGGTCTTCTTCTACGGCACGACGTGGGGCCCGACGCCATGGGTGTACCTCGGCGAGTCCTTCCCGCTGCGCGTGCGGCCCAAGTCGATCGCCCTGGGAAGCGCGACGAGTAAGTCCCTTTCTTCTTCTTCCAGTTCCAGTTCCAGTTCCACCTTCCTTCGCCTCCTATCTCCACTTGACTCCACCGAATTCCGCCTCCCACTGCCAAGAACTTGAATCGAATGGGTATGCACATCTAACGCCGCTTGCTGCGAAACAGACTGGTTCTGGAACTTCATGCTCTCGTTCTTCTCACCGCGCATTACCGCCAAGTACGTCCATGTCATTCTCGTGAGCGGTTGCAGTGCGTGGGTGCTGACCCCGGCGCGGCGGCGGTGTGTAGGATCGGGACGATGATTCTGATGGTGTTCTTTGGGTGCCTCGTGTTCGCGTTCTTCTACGTCTACTTCGCCATCCCAGAAACGAAGGGGCTCACACTCGAAGAGGTCGACGAGCTGTACCGTTCTGGCGTTCTACCGTGGAAGTCGGAGGGCTGGAAACCGGCGTCGAAACGGGTTCCTCGTGCCAAAGAGGTTGTGGAGATGCACGAGAAGGCCTCTGAAGAAAACGATGCTGTGTAAAAGAGACTCAATGTGATACTACACACGATGTATCGCTAGACACTACGCTAGCTATGTATGATCGCACTAACCGTTGCGAATGACATGGAGTTGTGACATAGTGGACATCAGTTATATATCCTGAGAGAGCAAGAACACTAACAACCTACGAAGAACCGTCTGGATCATCATCCCCATTCCCAGACGCATCCGCCTCCTCGCCGTTCTCCTCCTTCCCATTCTCCTCACCCTTCGCAAGCCAGCTCTCCCACTCCCTAAGCACCCGATCCAGCTCGTTCTCCTCCCCCGCTTTGTCAGCATGCCCATTCTGCACTAGCGGCGGCGGCCCGCTCCCATCCACAGGCCACACGGCCCTCACGGACCGCCACTCCCTCTCGCCATACACACCCTCCACAACCGCCCGCCGCACAAACGGCACCAGCACACGCGCGAACGCAGCCCCGGCGGCTCTGTACACCTCCCGGTCCTCCCACGGCATCCCCTCCCCTCCTCCTCCTCCTCCTCCCCTTCCTCCCTCGTTCCCGCTGGAGTCGCCATGTTGAGCGGCGACGACGCGCTCGCGCTCCAACACGTGCCCGAGCATCTCCTCGCCCGCACGGTGCAGCGCGGACTCCGCGATCCCGAGGACGCGGGGGAGCGCCGAGTGCGGCGCGAGCGCACGCAGGCGGTTGAGCGCGGTGAGGTGCGCGTTGAGGTGCGCGGCGAGGGGCGGGAAGCGCACGAGGATCGGCGGCGGGGTGTGTGGTGCGTCTAAGGCCGCGTCTGAATCTGGGTAGAGTAGTGAGGAGAGCGGGGGCGGGGACGGGTGCGATCTGGCGAGGAGCCAGGTGGAGGGGGCGGGGAATGTAGATGTATTGCTTTGCGAGGGCGCGGGGAGGGCGGCGAGGACGGTGCCCAGAGAGCGGGAGGGGCCGAGGAGGATGTCGGTTGTGTAGCCGCTGAGGACGGCTTGTGTGATTGTGGGTGCTACGAGGGCGCGGAATTCCTGGGTACGAGGATGAGCATGTAGAACGTACCCGGCGCATGATAGTAAGACGTACCATGCCAACCCTCGCGAGCGCAGAGCTGCAATACGCCAGCTGCGTCGCGAGCGGTGCGATGTGCGGATACGTCCTCGGAACGTACGCCTTGAGCGTCGGAAGTAGCAGATCGATCAGCGTCGCGGGTAATGTGCGCTTCACCGCGAGACACGGCTGCGCCGGCGCCGCCCCCGTGTTCGCATTGGGCGCGCGCTCGAGAAAGAGCGTCGCGTACTGCGTGACGAGGTCGTACGCGCCCTCGCGCCAGACGTCGACGTACTTCTTCAGAAACCTCGCCACGTCCTCGGCCTCCCTGTCTCGTTCTCGCTCCAGATCCTCGGCGGACGTGCCGCTGCGCGCCATAGCCGCGATCGCAGCCTCCGCCGTCGCAGCAGATGCAGATGCCGAGGAAGGGGGGATACCAGCGCTGCGCACGACACCATCGAGCGCGTTCTTGAGGCACGCAAGGCGCGCACCGACGAACGCGAGCGCGAGCTCGGGCTCGGGGAGCGCGTCCATGCGGCGGAGGAATTGCACGGCCTTCCAGAACGCGGGGAGCTTGCGCCCGGGATCGTGCAGCGTGCCGAGGAGGATGAGGCGCATCGTGTGCAGCGACGCCTCGATTTCGGCCTGGAGGGATGCGATGAGCTGCGAGGGCACCCTGCCCGTGCCCGTGCCCCTGCCAAGCTCCCGCACTTTCTTCGTCGCCGCTCCTGTACCCCCCTCCTGCGCGTCTACCCCGTCTTCATCCCCCCTCCTCCCCTCCCCCTCCGGCCAACTCTGCACAATCCCCGCCAGCGCCCCCCTCGCATGCGCCGCCAGCGCCAGCGCCTCGCTATACATCCCGCCCCTCACACACGTCTCCACCAACATCGGCACATCCAACAGCTCCCTAATCTTCCCATGCTGCTCCAACACCACCCTCGCCCTCTGCCTTTCCTCCACGACCCCCGGGCCCGCCTTCTCCCGGAACACACGCGCGGCGTCGTCGAGCGCGGGCAGCGCCCTGTCGAGCAGCGCGCCGAGCTCATCGGAGAGCGAGGCAAGCGACGCGAGGAGCGCGGAGGACGTGCTGTGGATCGCGAGGAACGTCGGGTAGGACGCGTGCGCGAGCGCGGTGAGCGAGGATGTGAGCGTGTGCGACTGCGTCGCGAGCGACGTGGGGCGGTCGAGCAGCTCCGCGAGGGGGTGGTGCGGGAGCTGCGTCAGGTAGGCGACGTGCGCGGGGTTCTGCGCGGTGACGAGGGCGGATGTGGATGTGGAACTGGATGCATCGTGCGATGAGGGGAGGATGTCGGTGAGGGTGGTGAGCTCGGAGACCATGTGAGCGCGGGATGGACGCGGCTCGGGTTGGCGCGTCGATTAGATGGCGGCACTCAGACGCCCACAAACACAGCTTGACAATCTCACAAAAAGCGAACTTTACTTCTATTAACGCAGACCATATCAAACGATTAAGAGTGTACTGACAATTATAAGAGGAATTTAGGACTATGCCAGTCTACCAATTAAAACACCAACCAACACATTGTCATTGGGTGTCAAAAAGCGAAGAGCAACCTGTGCCAGTACCCGACTAGGAATACTACAGGTACTACGATAGAAAAAGAGCAAAACGAACGTAGACGAGAGCGCAGCGCATTCTCACATGTACGCAGCAGCGGCCTATCTACAATAGATAATTAAGTACGCAACCGAAGTCGCAGCATGAAATTTAATACGTGGATGGCAATGGGGGGTACGTGACAAGTAGGATGTGGAGATCCGGGGTGAGTGGGTGAGGATAATTAACGAGGCGCATGTGCCTGATGGTCCAGTAAGGGTCAGAAAAATTGCAGGATGCAGTCGTCGAGATGGATGATGAGCAACAGGTATGAATGGGATGAGTGAATGCGAGCAAGAAAAAGCTGAGACTTGCGGTCGTAAGTGGGCGTGGCGATGGAAACGTGATATGGTACAACAGGTCAGGTCATCATCACTGGGCGGGTCAATCTAGTAGCATGTTGCACTGGCCATATGCTCATGCATGGCAGGGAGGGGGACATCGCATCAACTGCAGGTTCTCCAGCGTTTTCGCCCGCGGGAAGCTCTCCGGCACAATCGGGTCGCCGCGCTACAAACGCAGAAGAAAATTTCGTCAGGGTTGCCATACTACACAGAGAACAAGGGCACGGGCTTACCACTATCGTTCGCAACGTCCTGACATCCCGTATGAGCCTGAGATCCACACCGGCGAACGCGCACGCCATCTTCAGCGGATTCAGCAGCGAATGCTTCTCCCCGCTGCTCCACACATGTACGGTTACAGTGGTGAGCTCCTCGCACAGCTTGACAGCGTCGATGACGGGCTGCAATGCTGTGTCCGCGTCGAGCCCAAACGACAGATGTTGGATCCCTTCAGGTAACTGACGGTACACCGCCGCGGGCACCGCCGCGCCCTCCGTTCTGAGCTCCTTGAGCTCCTCGCACCGGGCGATCGCCTCAGCCTGCTCAGCGGTCGTGCACGTAGGCAGCGCGAGCGCCTGCAGCGTCTCCGCGTGATTGTCCACAAGATGCGAGAGCACCGCGGCCGACGGCTCGCGCTCGAACTCGAGCGAGCGCAGAGTGCCCACGTCCGCGGAGCGCTGGAGGAGCCACGTGAGCGTGTCGAGCGACGGCTCCTTCTGGCAGTTGATCCTGAGCTCCTCGAACGCGCAGGCGACCGGTGGCGCGTCCGCGGAGGGCCGCGCGGGGGCCTTGCCCGTAATGGTGAGTGAGCGGAGTGAGGACCACACTTCGAGCAGCTGCGCGAGCGTCTGTTCGTTCTCGGACCAGTTCGTGAAGTGCAGGGCGGAGATGCGGGGCCCGGTTCTGAGCAATTCGAGGGTGGAGGCGTCGAAGGAAGGTGCCGGACGGCGCATCCGTTCAGCCGCTGGGCTGCCGACAATATCTTGACCCGGGTCGGCACAGCCATACAGGGAGAGGGTGAGCTCATAGAGGTTAGGGCAATGGGTGACAGCGTGAGCGAGGGAGGACTGGGAGAGGCCGTTGGGCTGGTTATGGTCCAGAACGAGACGCATACGGAGTACTGAGTTGGCGAGCAACTGGCCCCTGGGTGAAGTCGAGTCGATGGCGCGAGTGAACTCCGTGAAGGCAGGCTGGGTGCGAAGGGAGACTTGGCGGAAGAGGAGTTTTTGGGCGTGGATGGACCAGGCGTGGCATACGAGAGCACAGTTCTTGAGGAGATCTGTGTTCGGGTTGAGGTCGTCGTCGTAATAGGCGGCCTCAAGGATGTTGAGGACGATTTCAATGGGGATGTTCTGGGCTCGTGGGGCTTTGCGGGAAGAGTGGAAGAGACGTCTTGGGAAATAGCTGCTAGTGGTCAAGTCGATTGACACATTGCACTCTACGGTCTGAAGAAAGGTATGAGATTGTGGGCGAGGAGGAGAGTTGAATTCGACAAACCTTCTGGGGGAAATTGAAGAATTTCTTGAAGAACCCCATGATGTTGGCAAGAAACGCAGAGTGGGCCTAGGGAGGGATGGGAGGGAAGGGCGGGGGCATCGACGAGAGCTGTGTCCGCGTATTTATGCAAGTCACAGCGGCCAATGCGGACAGACAATTGCCCTGAGACAAAAACCCGGTGTCGCATTTGGCATCTCCATCTTCAGATCCCTGTCCCAACAAGGAAACTCCCCGTGTTACCTTCCACTCCTCCGGCTCGGACCTCCCACATACAGCACGGCGCAAGAAGCACTTTTTACTCCCGCGACGATGACTGCATCTCAACTTTCAAGTCACCGACTGAATCATGTCATCACCGCACACACAAATCCATTCGTCACAAAAAACACAACTAAGGCACTGACTCCTCTAAAAAGAGGTCGCGAAATCCTTGCCAGCCACGTCTTGTAGGCAACATGTGCGGCTTTCCTGTGCTCATTCATCGAATCACGGATCTCTCCTTGACCGCCCCTCCCACGCGAAATGAGTCCTGAAGCCCACCCCTTCTGTTTCCAGCCATCCCCTCATTGTTCTGCCCAACAGCCTCCTTGACTCGTTCTTGTGCTTCTTCCTGCGCCCGCCTCGCGCCAGCAACAACAATGCCGCATCCTAGCTACATTCACATGCACATGTTCATGCTCGTGACACCCTCGGCGAATGCACGTTCGGATGAGCCGTGCCGATAACATATAGTATGATGCAGATGGCTACGCGCGCCCATACCCAGGAAGTCGGGAACTCAGGAAGCCAGCAGCGGCCTTGGACGGAGGTAAAAATTGCAAAATTGCACGTCTACCGTGATATTATGACGCGACAACAACGGCTGTCCGGATCGTGACATGATCGTCCATGTAATAATCGAACGCCGCGTCGTTCGTCGAATCCTCCCGGCGCGGCCTCGTGCAGCCTTGTCGCTCACTCGCTCGCGTCGCCCGGTCTCCATCCCGCCGTGTTATGTGAGCGAAGCGACGCATCCCTGAGCAGTTGTTGCCAGTTGCATCGCCCCTCTCCTCCGGGTCGCGTCGTCATTGGTCAGCCAGAGGTCAGCCAGAGGCTGGTGATTGGAGGTGATTGGTTGTTCGCGTTCGCGTTCGCCGGCACGGACGAAGCACGCTCGTGCAACGTGTAGCCCCTGTTTCGTGCTGCATACCGCAAGTGCGCTTTCACATCAACCACCTAGCTCAATGCAGCGCAGCGCAGCAAGCAGTGCATCTGCATCAGGCATGCTTCCTACACGCTCATCGACTTTATGTCTAGAAATATGTATCGATCTGATAGGTCACTCCGCAGTCCTACATACTCGAACAAAGTATATTTGACGCCTGACATGTGATGAAGCAGCACGGAGCGCACGCGAGGAACAAGCAAAGGAACGGGCAGAACAACCGCCTTTACGGGAAAACGCGCGTACACGGCGCTGAGAGGCACATACAGTATATGCAATACACGAGACGGAGCGCCCGACCTTCGCTCACTGGAGTATAACCTTTTAGAACATAAGAACCCACAGAACCGTTCCTCGCTCCCCGGAATACGGCACCGAGCTATACTTGGTCCAACATACATACATAAGCAGCAGAAATTCCAAAGCCGTCATCCGCCCGCTTTTCTAGAACCCGCTCACTATTACAGCACAAGAACATGCATAATATGATTCAGAACACAGACCCCCTCGGTCGTTAGAACGAACACCAACCTCCACTCCCCAGCTCCTCATTGGCCACCACCTCCCCCAAGCCTTCCGGTGCAGTCCCCATTCCCTTGCGTCAGCGCCACTTTAAAGACTTGCATCTTACATCACACAACGAGACGATCGCCCTCTATCGCCCACACGATCGTGATTCAGATCATATCGGAAAGGCACGCCGCCGCACGCCTTGAAAAGATTCAGATCATGCCAGATGGGTGGGGATAAGCGGGACCACGCGCAGCTGCGCGTGCGTCCGAACCTGCCATCCGAACGCGTGCGCTGAATCATGAGCTGATCGAAGGCGCCGGTGAACTTGGGGGTCGAGACGCGATCTGTCATGTCACGTAAGTGGTTGACGCGCCCGGGTGGGCTTCCGGGCTTCTTGCCCTCAATTTCCACCAGGTTTGACGTCGGGATGGTGTTGTCCGCGGATAGTAGTGTTGGCGGCGGGCCTGACCTGGGCGCGGGTGTGGGTGTACCCTGCACGCAGTATGAGTGGCATGCGAGGATGTCGCTGTCGAAGAAGTATGTGGTTTTCTCATTGAAAGAGCCCGTAGAGGTAAGCCTTACAGACAGGCTCGGCCAAGGACTCGCTGGGTGGGCCTCCGAGATTGCTCCGTTCGCTATATGAGAGACGCATCGTTCAAATACCACTGCCGACTTCACACAGAGAGAAGAAAAACGGAAATACTTACATAACCTGCGAGGATGCCCACTTCGCAATATGAGTTTGTGCATCATACAAATTCCAAGTCAGAAAAACGTTCTTGAGCTCTCCGTACGCGTACAGTAACAGAGAAGAAGCCTACCAATGAGCCGCCGGCGGTGCGAGGCGGCCGCACGAGAAGCTTGGATTGGACGCTCATCCCGGAAACCGAGTAGGACTCAGCCAGGGGTGCGCCAGTTGCCTAGAGACCTTCATTCAGAGGTGATTACGAGTACGTACACATATGGCATGCGCGCGGAGAGGGGAACGCTCGGCGCTCGTCCTTACGAGCGATATTTAGATCGGGCGGGCGGTGGTTCGCCCGATTGGGTGGGTGGAATGGTTCCATATCCCTCGAGCTCCGAGCATCCGATATTGGTTACAGTGTTATCTTGGCTCGAAGTTTCGGATATCATTCCGTGAGCTCTTCGCTCTCGTTGTTGTTTACATGTGGAATGATGAATTTGGTCCTATGAGGTCGAAGTGACGAGACTACACCTCTAGAACCTAGAGACTGCGCACGAGCGCTGTGCGGATTTGATCCAGCAGCGAGCCTACCGCGTCCCAAGAGCCGGCCGAGGCTTTCCTGGCGCTCTGTGACAAGTGAAAAGAGTGATGATGATGGTGGAAGATTGCAATTTACGAAGCTCTACCAAGGGTTACGACTGGACGGTGCTAGAAGCTTCGTCAGCGCATACACTCACTTTCTTGACTAAAGATCCTCAGATTTCCACGAGCAGAGTTCCCAGTCCATCACAAATGTCGACGTAGGCTTTCGTGCTCTGCAGAACGGAGAACGCGAAATCCGAGGCGACTGGAGCGAAGCACAAAAGCAGATCGACGAAGCCAGAAGGGGAAGGAGGCGCCGAGGGTAGAAGCGGGCATTGACCACGGCAAAGTTAACGCCATTGTCAGAGAAAGCGACTGGGCATACCATCAGTGTGCGTGAACGTAGGAGAGCCAGAACGATGTTCAGGCTGGGCAACATATACTAGAGGTGTTTGCTAGATAGTGAACCAGTGGCAGCATGCCGATGAATGCGGCTCTCTAGTCAGACGTCGTGTTCAGCTTGATCATGGCACCGGTGCTTTCGATCGGGGATTGAGCCAGCCAGGGGGCCACGTGGTGTTAGAACTTCAGTCTGCCAGTTGAAAAGGTGCTGAGCCCATGAAGAAGTGGCGAGTACTAAGAGGATATGAGGCGCGAAGGTAGTGATTTAGAGTTGTGATTGGTGTTTGATGTTTGATCGTTCGGTAATGATCAGGATCTTGCTTTATAGGTACGTCGGCCGACTTGGACACTCGCAGATTAATGAAGCATGTCGTATGACCACAACCAATGCATCCTCGTCGTGGCCTGGAAGGAAAGGGTGTCGAGTCGAGTGTGGGGAGGGCACGGTCCGAGCTGCCAACCTGTGCATGTGTGGCAAACAGGAACACACAGACCGGAGCATAGACCAACTGTGAGCTTCAGAATTACAGCAGCTCAGCCAAGTGCTGGCTTATAGCCTTCCCTCCCTCACACCACCAGCAAGCCAACAGAGATGCCGTTCAGCGGCGCCAGTGGCTCCCTCTCCTCCGTCGTCTCGGACCTCGTCCGCGCACAGATGGGCAGCACCGTCTCCTCCTCCGTCACAGACGACGACCTCGACAAGCACGTGGCAGACCTCATCCTCAAAGAGGCGAAGCAGAAGGCGGAGAGCTACCGCAGTATGGGTATCAAGGCCTACGTCCCTCCGTGAGTGTCCCACTACTTATCCCACCCGCACCCGCATTCCACATCACCCGCACGACTCAAATTCATTGCCTGCAATCATGAACCTTGACTGACTAACCAATACAATGCCAACAGTGCTGTGGATAGCAACGCCCCACGGGCGAATAAGCGTTTTCTTTCTTCCATTATCCGAAGCACCGACGACCACAACAAGACTCTACTCCGTGCCCAGGCGCAAGCGGCGCAGGATATCAAGCGCGAGCGCGAGGAACAGGAGCGCAAGGAGCGCATGGCCCGCGCAGAGGAGGCTGCCGCCGCCGAGCGCATGCGTCGCTCGGGCAGAGGCAGTCGGCGCGACAGAGACCGGGATGAGTGGGACAGGGATGGCAAGTGGCGGGATCGGGATCACGACAGGGATAGAGACTGGGAGAGGGACTGGGATGGAGACAGGGGCGGTCGCAGAGATAGAGAGCGGGACAGAGAAAGAGAAAGAGACAGAGGGAGAGGGAAGGAGAAGGAGAAGGGCAAGGGACAGGAGGGCAAGGGCAAGCTCCGCGCCTGGAGCGACGACGAAGGCGACGGCGACGGCGACGCAGCCATGATCACCGATACGAGGGGCGATCGCGCTCGCTCGAGCAGGAGCAAGCGCCGCTCCCGCTCGCCGCATGACTCTTCGCACAAGCGTCGGTCACGCAAGGAGGGAAGACGTCCGCCCTCACGAGAGCGCGACGAGGATGGTGGAGGCCGCGAAAAGCACCGACGTCGCAGCTCCCACAGTCGCCGACACCGGCGGGATGCCTCCCCACACACTAGCAGGTCCGCCTCGCCCGCGCCTCGTCAGACGCGCTCGCGCTCGCAAGACCCCGAAGAGGGCGACAAGTCGCACCGATCCTCGCGACGGTCTCGCAAACGGTCGCGCTCGCGCTCGCCCGACGACGAAGACAGCAGTAGGCGGAGAAGCACCAAACACCGCCGTCGGCGCTCCACAAGCGCCACTAGCAGACGGCGCGCGACGCCCTCGCCTACCCGCTCGTCAGAGACCCCACCCGACGAGGAAATGCCAGGGCCGCCCTCCCCGCCCGCCATGCCCCCACCGCCACTCCCCCTACCATCGCGCTCCAAATCCAAAGGCAAATCCCGCGCCGACTCCGACATGGACGAGTGCCCCTCCTCCAGCTCTGCATCACCCGCACCCGCACCTGCACCTGCGCCTACTTCTTCACGTTCACACAAACGCCGGCGCTCCCGCTCCCATCCCCGTCCCCGTCCCCATTCCCGTTCCCGGTCCCACTCCCCCTCCTCACCCATCCAAAACGCGCGCCCCGACCTCCCCTCCAAAATGGACAAATACTTCACAAAATCCTACGACCCCCGGCTGGACACCGCGCCCCTCTCCATGCTCCCCGCCGTGCCCGCAACGGGGCTCGTGAGCGACGCCGAGTTCTCGGGCTGGGACGCGATGCTCGACCTCCTGCGCCAGCGGCGCGAGGACAAGGACGAGAAGAAGCGGCTCGAGCGGCTTGGGCTCAGTGTGACGGACAACTTTGAGAAGCTGGAGAAGGCGAAGCGGCTCAAGTTTGGGAACGGGAACGGGAGTGATGCAGCTGCCGCTGCCGGAGCGGCGGGGACGGCAGCGGGGACGACGAGTGCGGAGAGTGTCATGGATATCGAGTATAAGAAACGGGGAAGCGTGAGGGAGTGGGATCTGGGCAAGGAGGGGCTTTGAAATTTGAAGCGCTGCTGTTGTTAGTATTATTCCTTTCGCTTCCTGGTTTCGCGTGGTTTCTGCGTCTGTCTTGCATACACTACTGACATTTTGTATACCTCTAGTAATAATTTGTAGAATGGACCTCCGCGTAATTTTATGGATATGTTTTGCACGCACGTAGGACTACATCAAGAAGACAAGACGGGAGGATACCCAACCAAAGTATCAAGAAAACAACACATTAATGCTGAACAGCCTGGCGAACCACCACAATCTCCTCGGCCGACAGCTGATCCACGTTCTGCCTGAAATTGTTGGCGTTGTTTGCCGTACACTCCTTCAAGAACGACACAATGTGCGCCTGCATCGGAAAGAAAGACGTGGTAATCAGCATTGTATCAACATCCGTAATCCAGGCCCAGGAGTTGCGAGATCGTGTGCGAAAGCAATGGCGACAGGGTCGATCAAGGGCAGTAGCACGAAAAACACGGATAACAGGGACGAATACAAGAAAGCAACGAATGGAGACAAGGATGTCGAAACGGCGGGTCGAAACGCACCTGCATGTCCATCTGCGAGACAGGGTCGTTCTTAAGGTCCTCGTCGTCGTTATCCGCGAGGAAATTGTCACTGTCGAAGTTGGCCCCGTGCGGCCCGAGCATGTTCGAGAGCAGATCGCGCTCGTCGACCGTCAGCCCCGCGCCCTCCTCGGCCCAGTCGTCGTCCTGCGCACACGCACACGGGACGCGTTAGCGTGGGTTGGAGGGAGGCGGTGAAGATGACTTACACCGTCGTCCGAGTCGACCTCGAACATCTCGCCCTTGGGGATCGTCGCCGAGTCCCCGCCGGACTGGAGCTCGCGCACGAGCAGCTTGAGCGCCTTCACCGGGAACGGTATCGACGTGAACTCGACGGGATCTGGTGATGAGCACGACGTCAGAACGGTTTGTCATGCACCGAGCCACAGTGGAGGGAAGCAGTGCGCACTTGTCTTGGTCTTGGAGCGCGTCATGATCACTGTGCCGCGAGCACCACGAAGAAAGAATCCATAACCGCAGTCCCAAAGAGCAAACATGAGCACTCACCATTGCTCGTCTCGGGCTTCACAATGATATCCCCCTTCACCATCAGCCCCTGCAAGCTCGGCCGGCCAGAGGCATACAACTGCGACAGCGCAAGCGTGCTGATCCTCGTCGGCCAGAAGCCCTGGAACGTCTCCGCGTTCTCGCACCACGTCTGCATCACCACGTCCAGACACCTCCTCCCATCGCTCGTGTTCTTGCTCTCCAGCAGACCAAGCACCGTGTCCGCCTGGTTGTGGACCAGGAATGCAAAGGGAATGATCAAGCTCTGGAGGAACGTCGCCGTCTTAGCCGTGGCCATCCGGGATGCCATCGCCTGCAACAGGTCAGGGAGGACGGGCAGCACGGACTCGCCCGCGCGCCGGAGGAGGTGGATAAGCATATCGCCGATGACAAGCCCGCCCGACTCGTCCTCGCTCTGCAGCAGCTTCGCGACGAGCTTGAAGACGTGGTCGAGCCCCGATTGACCGCTGGAAGTATCCTTCCACGACAACAGCTGGTTGCAGTCTTTGCGGATAACGAGGGTGAGGCAGACGGTGCCGTTCTGTGGATATACGAGTCAGCGTCTCGTTCTCGTAGCATGGATTATATGCAGCAAACTTACCTGGAGAACATCCCGGTCCTCCGTATTTTGAAGGCAAGTGAACAGGTTAGGGGCCAAGAGCGCAAAGAAACCCTCGCCGAGCCCGTTCTCCGGCGCCCCATGCTCGAGACTCGATATCAAGTCGAGCGCCGAGCCAGCGACCCACGACTCCTCCGGTTTCGCGCTCGCAATCGAGGTGCAGAGTGAAGGCAGCGCCTGCTGGACGACCGTCTCGTAGATGCCTGGCGAATGCGAGGACGCAAGCGCCGTGAGAATGTCGGCGAAGATCGAGAGGAAGATGGGATCTGCAAGAATGTGGAGCGTCAGCCCGGGCATCGAAGCCAAAGCAAGAGGAAATAGGTACCTCTGTTGTTTTTGGCCCACACTTCGAGGGTAGCGAGGACGAGCGACGTCGCAAGGTCAGTTGTCAGCCACTTGGCCTGATCCACCTCAAGGACGACGGCCATCGTCTCCAGCACCAACGACAAGGTATCTTCTGTAGCAACAAGGAGGAAGGGACCCAAGTCCTGAGCAATGCGAGGAACAAGGGGCTTCAAGGCCTCATCATCAGCGTTTTGACAGAAGCTGTTGGCGATGTCAGACCGTGCCCAGAGAGAAATGGAAAGGCACCGACTTGTGAATGGCCTTCACAGCAGAAACTTTTACAGGGATACCAGCAGTGTCGGATTCGATTACTTGCACGGCCGCTTCAAGATACTGCCCGGCCATCTGCATCGGTAGCAGCTTTGCGAACTGGCTTGCGAAAACGAACGCGCGTCCCTGTAAGAACGGGACATCTGGCGAGACACGTGCATAAGTGGGGGCCGAACACTAGAACGCCGCGAGGAGCCGGGGTGGTACGCACCGGACTGGTTCAGCAAAGAAGGCACGACGTTCGAAAGCAGCTCTTGTATATCGATAGGTTTGGTTCGCTCGGACATCTCTTCGTCCTCGATGGTATCGATGACGTCCTCGGACTGCGAGCCGATGGCTGCAAATGCGGCCTCCAGAGACTTCCACCTATTTAGTCGAGGTCGATCGGAACTGAGACGACCCATGGCAGCAAGATTGATATCACACGTACCAACTCGAGACACCATGCTCATGAGCTGTTTGAGACGACTGAACAACCTGATGGAGTGTAGATTGGAACGTTGCGCATACGGGCGCAGCGGCACGCTCTATCAACGACTAGGCGCGCTTCAGTTACTGATCAATACATACAGAGGGAGATGCTCACGTAGAGAAGCGAGAACGCAGAGAACCGCATGCCATACGCCTGCACATCATCCTCGTCCTGCGACACAAATGCGTTCGCGTTGTTCGCCCATGTCTCTTCCTGCACAGTTTCTCTACGTCAGCTAGACGCCATGCACTAAAATTATGATCGAAACATACGTCTTCCGCGGTCATCTGCGCGTACTGGAATATCGACGCGACAAGGGTTTGCACGTTTCCGCTCTGCAGCCAGGCCTTCGCCTTATTGCTCATCACAACCTTGGAGAGGAAATCGAAGATCGAAACAAGGAGGTGAGAGAGCTCGACGTTTTCTTCCTCCGAGGAAGTGGGAGGGGTTGCGGATGCAGTGATGTAGTAGTGCTCGTAGGTCGGATATAAAGATTGAAGAATCAGGAGGGAGGCATTCAGGTAATCTTGGAGGTAAGCCGTCAGGGCTTTGGGGAAGGAGGTACAGATGTTATCGAGCGTCTGCATATGAATTCATGAACAGGCACAAAGACTGGTTCTCACAATTACGCACCTTGAAGATCTCAACCTTTATCAATAAGGTATCCCAGCTAGCGGAATTCACATCCAGAAGGGGGTCCATGTTCAAAAGAACCTTAAATGCGTCGAGCCATACGGGAAGGACAGTTGCGGTGGCTTCATTCACAGCATCGCGGTGTTCGCCCTTGACCATGTACAAGCTTGTGATGCATTGTCGGAATACAGAGATCGTACGCGCACGGGTTAATGGGGAATGTTTCTGAGGTTGAGTAAAGGTGAGCAGGCGCTAGAGTGGAAAGGGAATGGCACACACTTCGGTATCACCCAAGATGTTAAGGAGGACGGGAAGGAGCTGACGCAGAACGGGGAGGATCTGATCCTCGGTCAAGTCAGACTTTATGAACTCGGCGAATACTTCCATCGATCCGTGGACGGCATTGGGGCTGTCGGAGGATATCTGACCAATGAGCGCGGTCAGGAGGTCGGGATATTCATCCGGCCAGTCGCAGGACGCGATGGTGGAGAGTGTGTGAGCCTAGCATGAATCGTGAGTGGCTGTTCTTCTCTTCTTGATTTAACGACGCGTACCGATGAGGATCGTATCTTGCGGTTCGGGTCCGAGAGGCCTTGGAAGACTTGGTCGCGAACACGCGTTTTGATCTGCGATAGAGCCTTTGTGAGAGAAGGGGAAGAGTGGACGTGTTAATGCGCACCTCTGGTGAAGGTGCATTGCCTTTGAACGCAGGGAAGTACGGCGACCATCGCTCCGTCACGTACTTCCTAAGCATGATGGATGCCGAGTGCTACACCAACCAATGTCATCAAGATCCCGCCCACCCACTACAAGGAGACGATGGAGCTCATCTGGCGCATGTTCATATCCGTGTTCTGCGAGAGCGACAGCTCAGCGAAAGCAAGACCCGCCTCTGCGAACGCGTCCGATCGCGGTCAGCTTTTCGTGTCTGTCTCAGTTGATAACAAACGCGCGGTCGCACCTGGGTGGGCCATAAGCCCGGCGAGCTTGAGCTCTGCTGCTATTCTCGTGTTTCCATCGGGGCTAAGTGTGTCTTGGAGAAGGCGAGGTATGTCGCTGGCGGATGCCATCGTGGTTGAAAAACAGAGAACGCTGAAGTACTCAGACGCGCAACGTGATCGCAACGCTCCCTTAAGCTCCGATTGCCTTATACGTAAGCGTGATAAAAGATCAAGCTTTCTGGCCCTTATTATCCTGACCGCAGCTACCTAATCGACCGGTAAAGATAAACCAGATGCGATTTGGTCAGTGTAGCTTCGTTGCATGCAAGAGAGTAGCTGTTATCGACTACAACAACGTTTGACACTGAAGGCAAGGATGGAGCCCCTATCTGCGCGTTCACCCATTTCGGCCATTGCCGGTTCACGCGACAAGCACCGAGTCCATGACCGCGTCAGGTACCTTCATCTTCCTCCTGGCCTTCGTGCCAAACCGCCTTCTTCGTTTTCTTTGCCTAGACATCTCGCTTTCAGCTTGAAATAAAATCCATAGGTTTGTTCAGCACAATCCCGCGAGAAAGCAAGAGTCGAATGTAACATTGTCTCCTTGACTAAAAGCCCCTACTGTCAGAACTGGCCCTTCGTTAGAACTTCAAACTGTGCATTCGACAAATAAAAACATCGGGATCTTGATAAGTATTAATTCGTAAAGAACCGTGAGTTGAAAAAGTACCCTCGTGGTTAGCAGCCCGTAGCCTCTCCCTTGTCACTCCCAACCTGATCTTCCTCTTTTCCGCAGCGAGCCTTATGACGAAGCCAATCAAGCTTCTGGCACTCTCTGATGTAACTCCGATGTTATGCACGCCAAACAAGTAAGGAAACGATACGTACTTTGAGCAATAGTTGAACTCGATATTGAGATCCTCCTTGCAAGCTACGCAGGTGAGGAAACACCCACCGGCGTCAAGGTCCTGTCGTCTGCGGTTGCAGTGTCCGCACGTCCTTTTTGCTGACTCTTCGGACTACTCCTTGCAGGAGACACAGCCTGAGGCAAAGACACTTCGGTGCCAGACTCATCGATATCAGAATCTTCGCCATCTGATCCGCTGCTGTCCGAATCCTGACTGTCATCGTCCAATTGGAGCTCCTGAATGACCATCCCCTTGTATCGCTCCTTGTCGTCCTCCACAGCAAGAGTCGCCTCAAGCTTCTCCAACAGGGTCCGGACATCGACCTCGTACTCCTCCGTGAGCTGAGCTATTATGTCTTCTCTCGTGATTCCACATTCGACATAGTCGTCGACGGCATCGACGAGGCATTTAGCAATCACATCCAGACCGGGCTTCTCAGCATCAATCAGCAGTGCGTTGAACAAGTCCAAGAACATATCGCCCTTATCATCGTCATTGCAGAAGGAAACGTCGTATCCCTCTGGATCCTCACTGCGGCTGAAAAGCACGTAGTCAGTAGAGTAATAGTCGTGCATCTTGACCTGAAGCTGCAGAGCTATGGAGTACGAGTACTCGGGACGGCAAGCTATCCTATTCTTCGACACCTTCTCTTTCCCGCAATGGGCCTTGTGTTCTGGCCAATCAGCCTTTTGACACACGCTGGATCGAGTAAGTATAACTTTTAATCGCATTGAGTTGCCGACGCATGACGTACCTCGAGCAGTAGAGAACCTCAAAATTTAGTTTATGTTTACATGCCTTGCAAGATTTGAACTTGACGCCGACGTCTTTGCGTTTCCGTTGGCAGTTCTCGCACGTCAAAGCCGAGCGGCTGTTCTGATGCTTCTTGTCTTCCAGGAGCTTTTGACTAGTCAATGGATTCAAGTTATATAAGACCCTATTAGCGACGATGGAGTCCGCTGGTGTGCCTTTGGTGAAATTGTGGCACCCTTTAACTATGACCCTGAGCGTATGCAGGACGAAATAGACTGCATAGTTTGGGTGGTTAATTATGTCTCTTATCAACCAATGGCGGACGACGTACTGAGATATTCAGTCCTGAGGCAGGTGATGAACTCGTAACAAAATTTGCTGACCTCCGGAATGAAGCGGAGGACCGTGCCGTCCCCGTATGCGCTCCTCCACCACTCGCTTCTTATGAAGGTATCGTCAAAGTTGACCATGCTTCCACCGTCGTCCAGCACAATAGCCTTGTCGTACAAATCCCATAGCCCCTTTCCGCGCCCCTTCAGCAAGTCACTAGAGTTTAACTCGGGGCATAGCATTCGCGCATCATGGCCAATGCCAGACCGGCGGCCCGCCCGCTCGAAGCCTTCGCATATAATCTCCTTGCGCGTTGCAGCGCTGACGAGTGAGAACCAGTCTTGGTGGTCATGGTTGTCGAGGAGTTCGCCTGCAATGGTCCTGAGAACCGTCACCAAGCCGTCGTAGAGTCGTTGATTTTCTTCCCTGAAATGGCGGAGGCGCTGGTAGTCTATCTTGTACATTTTCTTCCGGGATGCTACGAAATTCAGCTGCATGGCCTCGATGCGGAAGACGGTGACAGCTCCAGCCTGCGGATTCCCTGGCCTGCCCTGATGGATCTTGGCGATCCCTTTGTCCCAGTCGCGCACCCACTGCCGGCGGCTCTTGTGTATGTCAGTGACAGGAAAGAACTTGTTGGCCCAGATAGAGGGGCGCGTGATAAGAAATGAGCTAGTGTCTTCCTCACTCTCCGAGACGGACATCGCGCTGGGCGTCTACGAGCGTGTTGGGGGTTAGGGTGACGCGTCCAGACACGTCGCAAAGCGCGAGCAACTATGTCGGACATCGAATATTAAATGGGCCCGAATTAGTAGGCCTGATAGCCGTTCTAGACCTTATCATCCACACTCCTGCGGCATAGCTAGGTCCCGAAGAGCGCACAAGATGTGCAGACGAAGATAAAGATGGCCCCATTGAAATTATCCTGTGGTTTGGCATAATGTTTTGGTGATCCCTTTGCCCCAATCTCGTACCCACTGTTGACAGGTTTTGCGTGATTCGGTTACGGGAAATATTACGCTTGCCCAAATGAATCTTTCGTTATCCAACCCAGTCGGATCGCAAGGCATAAGAGGTATACTATCAGGCCGCGACAAGAGGGCGGCTTCAAAAGTCAAGGTCCGATAGCCATTGCCAGCGCGACACGCGAAAATCTGTCGGGGCATTAATTGTTTGTCACAAACATCTCCCCAACCCCATCTCGAACATATCCGCTTGCTGTATACTCGACACTTTGTAGTGGGATGAAAGGCGTAAGCTCAGACACCTCTGAGGCGATAGTCTTCAAGAGAATTGTGCTCATTAGGTGAGATCATGTTCTATCTCGGTCCATATTTCGACAGATCAACTTGTTTGTGGTTCGTTTATTGGAGTTCAAAGCGCGAACAAGCCTGCAAAATTGTCCTGAAAAATACACATCGTAGGACATAAGGTACATCAACAAGGAAACCGCCAACATCACGACTCTTCTGTGACCCAGCTTGAAGAGCTTGATTCAGAGTCAGAAGAGGCCCATTCCGTGTACTCTTCAATTTCCATTCCTCTGTACCGTCCTTCGTCGCCCTCCATACTTAGCTTGGTCTCGATTTGCTCGAGCAAAGACCCCACGTCAACCTCGTACTCCTCAGTCAACTGAAGAATAATGTCTTGTCTGGTAATACCAGAGTGAGCCTTGTCCACAGCGTCGACAAGGCATTTAGCAATAACGTCAAGACCAGGCTTATGAGCATCTTCCAATACATTTTCGAGATTGTCAAAGAAGATCTCGCTCTTGTTTTCATCTGCGAATGACGCGTTATAAGCCACAGCAAGCGCGCACCGGCTGAAGAGGACATATTCAGTGAGTCCCTTTTCGACCATCTTCTCCTGGAACAGCGAAGCTATTGACTGGCTGTATTCCGAGTGAGTCGGAGTGACCGCCCTCCAAGTTCTTCGATACCTTTTTCTTGCCACAGTGTACCTTGTGTTTGGGCCAGTCCGCTTTTTGGCACTCTCTAAGTCAAAACTGAGCTCCTCGGCTGATAGATATTGGGTTCTGCCACTTACTTCGAGCAATATCGGACCTCGAAGTTGAGTTTCTGCTTACACTTCTTACACGCCATGAATTTCGTCATGGGATCATCCGAGAGGCGTTCGCAGTTTTCACAGACAAGCATGGAGCGGCTGTTCCAGTCTCTCTTCTCGTCCAATAGCTCCTGGGCACCAGCTGGACCAAGGTTCTGTAGCACCCTGTAAGCAACCAAGTAGTCGTCAGGGAGGTCGGGCGGGAGACTCTGACACTGCTTGTCCAGACACACGAGGGTATGGGTAATGAAGTTGACTGAGCCACATGGTTGTCACAATCTTGCTATGTGAAGTAGAATAGATGTACGTACGGATGAACAGGTGTCGAACGGAGGTCATGACTTCATAACACCACTTTCTTATCTCCGGGGTCTCCTGGACAACCCTCTTGTCCGCGTACGCCTTTCCCCACCACTCGTTACGTACTATCACCTCGTCGAACTTTGCCATGCCTCCTGCATCCCACAGCTCCAGGCATTCATCGATAAAGTCGAAAAAACCTTCTCCTCGTCGCCACAGCATCTCATAAGAATTCAGCTCGGGGCAGAGCATCCGTGCATCTTGTCCAAAACACGACTTCCGGCAAGCCCCCTCGAAGCCATCGCACATGACATCCCTCCGCGTTTCCCAGCCGACAAGCCCAAACCACGCACTCCAATGTCGCTTCCCCGCTTTCCCGTCCTCTCTCTTGAGCATGCTCATGAGCTCCTGGAACCGTTCTTTGCAGTCCGCTTGGAGACTGCGGAGGCGATGGTGGTCGCGTTGACTGAGCTTCTTGCCCTTCTGGATGTCCATCTTCCAAAAGCTCATCCCGAAGACGACGGGACTGCCCTCGTGGTCCTCCTCCGGCTCGTCCGTGCAGAAATCGATGACGGCTCTGTCCCAGTCGCGCATCCATTGTCGGCGGTCCGTGCTGATATCGGTGATAGGAAAGAACGTGTTGGCCCACAGGGAGCGCTGGTCATCCATCCTGGACACGTTCTCGGGGTCGGGTTTCAGCTTCTGCAGTGGCACGTTAGACGCAAGTCGTGGAGCGTGAAAGGGATAATAGGGTAAGTCGCGTCAAAATTCAGATCAGGTGCGTCGCGCTCGTCGCGATCGTAAAGTTCGTCGGACCATGAATATATTGTTAGCCCATCCTCACCACTAACATTGCAGCCGTGACCGCAAAATCACTCGAGCTAAGTCTTTCAAACCATGTTATCTCCTTCCATGTGCTCATTAATATTGGCTCTGAAGGAATACTGAAGAAAACTAGATCATCACAGGACTTAAGGGGTCTGCATGATACATCATTAATATTAACATTATCGTAAGGGCATAACTTAGAAATCACTGCATGGGAAGACTGACTGCTAGAACAAATTTTGTGTGCCCAAGATCATAAGGTTTCAGCGTATCCTAGATGGCGCATCAGCGGATAAAGGCTAGTCCTTTGCCAGAAATAGGTTCAATAAGCATCCCCTTGAGCTCAGTCAACCCCTCATCACCTCGCGTAGCTATGATGCCCTCGATTAGTGCGAGAGGGCCCTTCACATCTACTTCAAACTCCTCCGTGAGCTGACAAATAACATCCTCCCTAGAGATTCCTGATTGCACCTGCTCATCTTTATCCACAGCCTCAATGAGGCATTTGGAGATGAACCCGAGTTTTAACGGTATGTCTGTAGACACGAGCGTATAGTCGAGTGCATGCTGGAATTGATCGGCCTGTTTTCCGGGAGCATAGGAAACCGTGAACCCCGTCGGAAAATTGGTGCGTCTGTAGAGGATGTATTGGACTCCAAACGCGCGGTGCATCGTAAGCTGGAGTTGAATTGCTTTCGAGTATTCGTAGTCCGGAAAATGCGCCTCACGGTTCTTTGACACTTTATCTTTTCCGCAATGCGGTTTGTGTCCCTCCCAATCAGCCTTCTGGCACTCCCTGAGATAATGCTTGGCAGTCAGTATCATACAAGCAATCGTGGCATGTCGAATTGAAGCGCGTACCTAGAGCAGTAACGAACCTCGAAGTTTAATCCGACTTTACACGTTTTGCAAAGCATGAACTTGGTTTCGACGGAGTGGGGTCTGCGCCGACACTTTTCGCATGAAACCGAAGAGCGGCTAGTCCATTTGTTCGCCATCAGCAACCGAGCACTGTCTGGACCGAGGTTCCATTGAGTTCTGTGGACAACCAAAGACTCATTCGATGGATCATGAGTGATCCCCCGATGCTTGCCAACGAGATACCTAAAGGAATAGCAGATGAAACGGACTGGTGTATGTAGCGAGCTAAGCACCTTGATGCACCACGATCTGATAAATATGGAGAGGATAACGCACTTATGAATTGGGTCCTCATGGATGTCAAATGTTCGTAGCACCATTTGTTCACCTCAGGTTTCCTGTCGATAACCTTCCCGTCGCCAAAGGCGCTCGTCCACCAATCGTTCCGGACGATGGCTGCATCGAAATTCTCGCGGCCGCCATGGTCGATCGCTTTGAGACAGCGCGTATAAAGATCGAACAACCCCTGACCCCTTTTCTTAAGAAGATCATCAGTGATGAGCTCGGGGCACAGCATGCGCTGCGTCCTGTCCGATCCCCGAGCGACAGCATGCCTCCTCAAACCCTTCGTCGACGACATCCCTTCGAGACTCAGTGCTCACGAGCCTGAAGTACTCGCGCTCGTCGCAGCCCTCGATTCGCTGGCTGGGATCCACTGCAATCCTAATCCTGAGAGCGGCCGGCATCTTCTCGTACATCCTGTCTGTCTCCTCTCGCACGAGCCGGAGGCGCCGGTAGCAGTCTCGGTCCACCTTCTTGCGCCGACCACCAACGGCTCGCAATCCGCACATAGTACTGCGAAAGACGACGACGGCGCCACGTTCTGGCTCTTGTGTGTGGTAGAGGCTGGCGATGCCCTCGTCCCAGTCCTGCACCCAGCGACGCCGGTCCTCCCGTATTTCAGTGACAGGGAAGCGTTTGTTGGCCCATACAGAGGGTAGCCTCCTCCATTCATCCTGATCTTCAGCGACACGGAGGGCTCTGGGAGCCCACAGTCGCGGGTCCAGGGGAACAGGAGCAGTAGACATGACAGAGAGGAAGAGTGAGCAAGAGCATCCCCCGATAATCGCCCAGGTAGGACATAGATGCATGGATGCATTGATGACCTGCTCTTGGCTTCCGAGGCGGACTCTTAATTCAAGGCTGTTAGCCACCGCCGCCGCTTCATCTGCGTTAAAAGCTTGTATCTGGTGGCTGAACTTTTTCGTATCGCTTGTGGTGTTGCCGGCAGCGCACTCAGCTACTCAAGGATGGAAGGAGTACACGCTCTGAGTCGTTTCCTATCCTTTGTCGGACCTTCAATTGCTGGAGACTGCCGACCGACCATCAATGCATCAATACCCGGATCTCTTAATACTTTTGCTACCCATTAATAACGGGTGGCCCATCGAGAAGGGGTAGGGATAATGAATGTCTACAGCAGTAAATAAAAGCACTAAACAGTATCACTATCGTAACTGAATATTGTCCAATGTCAATCCGTCGTGAGCGTGTACATGAAACCTATCCATCTACCAACCATGCGTCCATGGAAAAAATGTCGCCAGTCCCCAGATCTGCAAGTGTCGATCGTAGCAGTCCGTTGTGCTACAGGTATAGTCAAAGGTGTTACATTAGGCCCCTGAGCCGTAGTGAGATCACGCTATCCGATCATCTCGGCTCAGGTGGCCAGCACCTTGGGGACAACCCGAGTGTACTTTGATTACAGAGGGATACGATTGAGCATCCCAAACCCGGAGAGCACCGTGATCAGCAGCGTCGCGGCGACACCGACGAATGCGGGATCCGCAACGTACGTCGCCATCGACCCCGAACAGCCCGGACACTGCCACCCTAATGATCCACCCAGCAAATCATTTTCGTCAGTACAGTACTAATGCCGTGCGCAAGGAAAGGCCAGAGTAAAACGGGGGCGATCACTCACCGCTGGTCAAAGGTGTATACGGCTCAGGCGTGTACAGCGCAAACTGCACGTCACTGTTCGGCGTAAGATACCCGGGCGCCGCAACGGCGCTCGGGCCCTGGTCGCCCCATATGTGCAGCGTGTACGTCGCCTGTGCGAACGGCGCCGCCATATTCGACTGCTGGTACCCGTACGGGTACCACTCCACGCTCGTCGCGTCGCCCGGGATGATGCCGTTCGTGGGGCCGACCGGGTACGTGTTCCCGTCGCTGCACACGGCCGAGATCGTGAGCGACGTGGGCGTCACGTACAGGTCGGTGAAGTTCCAGCCGAAGGTGATCGTCTGCGAGGGCGCGACCTTGTAGTACGACGTGGACTGCTGGGGCGGCTGGGTGATGACGATCTGGCCTTGTGGGGCGTTGGCGGGGATGCTGGGCAGGGCGTTGCCCGAGCTGCTGCCGGTGCCGCTGGCGGACCCCGAGCCCGACTGGGAGCCGGTGTTGGGCTGGGAGTTGCTGTTGCTGCTGCTCTGGCTCATGATTTCGTCAAGGAGTGACTAGTGACTTTTGCAAATAGCAGAGGCCTGAGGGTGAGGGGGGCAGTAACGCCTAGGGCAGGTGGAGACAGACGGTACGATGGAGGCGAAGAGAGAGGAGAGGACGTGGACGATGGAGTCGACCGAGGGCGTGCTTTGGTGGCAAGACTCACACGAGTGCGTTAGGGTGAGTTATTTTGGGTAGTCCTGGGGAGCTGGCCATAGGCACACACCAGCCTGGGAGTTTTCGTTTCCATGTCCAACGATAGATACGAGCGCCTCCAGCTGATTTCGCCCGGGTGAGCAAGACCGTGAATTCGGGGTCTATGGTAAAGCCTAGTGCCATGAAGCCTGAAAGAGTCGAGGTCTGTGCTGCGCAATGAGATAGGGGCTAGTCATCCTTGAGAGGCAGCTGGCGTCATCAACGGAAGGAAATGGCCACGGGGGGTAATAGGGAGAGATAATTTGGAGAATCACGAGAGCCGAATCGCCACCAATTGAAAGCTCGCACCCTCCGAGCTCCAGCCATCGCGTGGGCTCCCCGACTTATTATACACGTGTAGAACACGGCTTTGAGGAGCGCCGGGGTGTAATTTCAGAGTTTCAAGTCAGATATTGTCGCTAGTAGCAGATAACTGGGAGAGCTGGAGCTTGCATGAACCAATGTAAAAACATGGCGACTCGGAAAGTCAAGGACGCGAGAAAGGGCTGGACAAACAGAATAAAACGCAAAGAACACGCGAAGTCCTCGAGGAACGCGAAAGACCGAGCCGGATTCCTTCCGCAAGCTGAGTCAGATATTCCCACAACCCTCTATGACATCGCGTCGAGATGGAGAGAGCCACGACCACCTCCGATCGAATGATGCACGACATACGTAGTATATGCTATGTCACTGTCTCGATTTGCTCTCGATTGTCCCCTATTGCTATTTAACCCGCCCGCGATCTTCACCATGGCTCGAATCTACCAGCCTTACCGACCTCACCACCATCTTCTGTGACCATGCCCGAGTTCTCTAACCCCCAGCTCATCCGCTGCCGTATCCTCGCAGTCGGACCGTTCGTCATCAACGTAGCAGCACAGTTATATGGCATGCTCGCGAAGCCCAATATCAAGGATATCGCCGATGCAGTGCGTCCTACGTCTCCTATCCCCCATCTTTTCTCTGGCGTTCGTGCGTGTATTAACAACACCTCCTCAGAATCACTACGCGTTCTCGCCCAACCCCTTCTTCATCGCGGGCTTCTTCGCGCTGCAGCTCGTCCTACAGCTCTATTGGATCCGCAACCTCTTCGTCTGGCGGCTGTCGCCCTCGAAGCCCGGGTACGACCACCGCATCTCTTTACCACACGGGTGGGACAATTTCGACCCTGCGACGCTCGAGCCGCCCGCGAGCACAACGGAGGTGCAACCCGCGCAGGTGGCATACGTGCCCATATTCGCGCTTGGGAACCTGTGCATCGGTGCGTGCTTCCATACCCACCTCCTATCCCATACCCCGGCTGACTCGTCCCCCTTTTCGAACGGTTCCTCGCAGCCGGATGGATGCTCCTCTGGCGCCGCGAGCAGTTCGTCGCGTCCGAGGTGCTGTGCATCATCAACGCCGCGCTGCAGCTGTACGCCGTGTTTTACCTCCTCGCGCCGTGCACCCCGTTCGCACTCGCGAAGGGCAACGTCTCCACGCACCTCGTCGCGCGCACGTTCGCGGGCATCGCCGTGCTCGACGTGCTCGACAACGGCGCTGTCGCGCTGCGCTATGGCGCGCCGCCCTCTGTCCCCGTCCAGGCACTCACGGTCGTGCTTCTTGCGCTCTTTGTACGTTTTCGTTGCATGCGTCTAGTTTTTGACTTCTAACTTGATACTCGTGGTTTCGTGGAACTGTAGACTCTGGGCGGGGACGTGATCTTTGCTAGCTGCATGATCTACATCTCGTGTGGCCTGTTGGCGGGCCAGCCCAGTTGGCGCCCTGCGCTCATCACTGCTGCAGGTATCACTGCGTTTATTACGGTCGCAAAATTGGGTACGCGCTTCCGTGGACGAGCTGATGGAGGCGACGTTCGCGTCGTTCAGTAATCTCCAAGTCTACAGATTGAGCACGGCCTAGCAAGGAAATGCAAGTGCAAAAGAGCGCGGGCGAGCTACAACGAGATATGCATAATTGCTTTGCTTTGCTTGTTATCACGATTGGACGCGCAATGTTGTGAATACATAAATCTATGTGAACATGATATGTTGCGCACACAATAGTTTACTGGTGTACTGATACATCTACACTAGCACTACTAAACATTTACTCTACAACTACATCCATTCTTCGTATAATCATGCAAAACGTGCATATACTCAACCGCTTACTTCGGCTCGACATCCTCGACAGTCTCGTAGAACTCCTTCGCAATGCGAAGCTGCGCATCACGCCCGCTCTCATTCGGCGCGCCCGCGATATTGCGCACGACGAGATACTTGCGCCCATATAGCACGTCCGGCGTCACATTGAACGCCGCGGCCGAGTCGCCCGTGGCAGACGCGGCATTGAAGATGGCGTGCGAGCCCGTCACGGCGCCGCCGGCCTCTTGGGCGATGACGATGCCCGCGCAGACGTCCCATGGCCTGTCATTGAGTGTCGAGCGCTGCGTCAGCATAACACGCGCGAAACGGTGGAATTTCCGCAAATGCTTACCAGCACCCGATTTCCCTGTTGCGCCAAGACGAGTGTGAGCGTGAGTCATGGAGTGGATTGGGAGAAGATGGAGGCGGAGATGGAGACGGAGACGCACCAGTACATGTCCAGCGCGCCCTGCGCGACGAGCGCAAAGTTGAGCGCGGCGCTCCCGACGGAGCGCAGCGAGTGCGCCATGCGCCCGCCCGCGACGCCGTCGTTGCCGTCGCCCGCGAGGCGGGTGAACGAGTCGGCCTTGGGCTGCACGACGGACGCGCCGCGGTCGGAGCCCCATTCGATCGCTGTGGTTCGGAGGGTCGGAATTAGCATGTGTTGCGTTGGTTTATGGCACGGTGCGGCTGAGTGCGAGGTGGGGGCGTACCGAGCAGGGCTTTCTGCAGCGAGGGCAGGGGTTTGGGGTTCGAGAGGGGCAGCTTGAGCGGGGGCGCATTGCCGCGCGTGAGGAAGGCGCCTTGGCCTTCGAGCGCGGTGTACTGTCAAGCCTCAGAGTGTAAGTATCACGTCGCGCCGGCGATCTAATGAAATGGTGACGGACGAGGTGGTCGAGGAAGGGGTTGAAGATGACGCCCATGACCGGGCGCTTCTGCACGATGAGCCCGAGCGAGATGCACGCGAAGGGGAAGCCGTGCACGAAGTTGGTGGTGCCGTCTGCGAGCATGAAGATGTGACAGGAAGCTTCTGAGATGCATAAATGCACGCACCGATGGGATCGACGCAGAACGTCGGCTCGTCCGTGAGCTCGGGGCGCTTGCCCGCTGAGTACGACTCCTCGCCGATGCTATCCCGAGCAAGCGTCAGACGACACTTTGTCAGGTCCACTTCTCAAGAGTAAGGCCAATAAGTGGTAACGCACAAGCCAAAGCCAGGATACGTCTTTGCGATCTCAGCGCGGACGAGCTCCTCGACAGCGACGTCGTACTGGGTCACGAGGTCAACCGCGTTCTTCTTCTCGTCGATCTGGGTGGACGCCTGGATCGCCTGGGAGCCCTCAAGGATGAGCGTGCCAGCGGTGCGGGCGAGCTGGATGGTGAATGTGAGGACAGCGCGCAGTTCAGCGTTCGTAAGAGTCATCGTGGTAGGTAGTCAAGCTGCGCTTGGGACAGAAAGATGATAAGAGAGGTGAGTGCTTGAGTAGGGTGGCGGGGATGAGGTCACTTTCGACGAAACAGCTCGAGCTTTTCACTATGAAAAGTGCTTGATGCAAAATTTGCACTACTGGTACCCAAATCGATTGATTTGCAACAAAATGGTGCAAATCAGATTTGGATACTCGATAGAGCAATGCGAATTTTGTGACTTCGCGGAGTGGAGCGCGATTGTGGCATCGGCTGTGCTGATGGGAATCGATGACTAAGCGTGGACACTTATGACGCACTTGAGTTCTACCTTCTTCTGCGTCCCACCTCCATCGTTCCCTTCCCGTCCCCTTCCCGTTGCATCAGTCACTCATCGCTTCCGTGCCTGTACATCGTGCCGGAGTGCTCTTCAAACTATAAAGGTAAGTGCTCTGCTCTCGCTCCCCGTCTGATGCATGTGCTGATGCTGCACTCTCCCAGTCTTAGAACATTTCGCCACTGCCGCACTAATGTAAGCACCCCACGCTCTACTTGTCATATGCGCCCTGCCCTGTCCTTACTACCAACGTGCTGTTGGTTCCTTACCCGTCCTCTCCTCGGTCTATCCTGCCTCTCACCTCTCCTCGTCCCCGCTTTCCCCCACCTTCCCTGGGCATTATGCGTTATCCATGCCATGGTGTACTGTATTTAGAACCACACCATCCCTGTATTGTAGTCAATGTCTCAATTTATTGTTGTGTGCTTGATTTACGCCGCGTGAACGCATGAATACCGGTTGAACAATATGTAAGGGTCTATGCCAGCCAATTTGCACTAAAATGTGGCAAATTTTACACTCTGAGTACCCAAAATCGATAAGCAAAATCTTAACTTTTCCCGGCAAAATTTGCAACTCGGTTTATAGCAAAATTTGCATTACTCTAAGCAAAAATTGCACTGAAAGGACGCAAATTTCACGCATAAACAGTGCAAATGAGTAGTGCAAAATTCACATCATTCAAACCCTACAGTGTTTATAGCACGCAGCGATCGTCACGGTATCGATGGAAAGAGGGTCCAATCACTGCAAGGAGGATGCACGTTCACCGCGCTCCACGGCTTATCCTCGTCGCCGCGCCCGTCTTTGCGACTAATTCCATTTTATGGCGCATGTTCACCCTCACTCTCGACAGGGCGAACACGACAAAGCGGCCGAATTCCAGTTTGCAGGACGCGAAAATGGCCGAATTCCATTTTGAAGGGCGCGACAGGTGCCGAATTCCAGTTCGTTAGAGTTCGCGGTGGATAGATCGTGTGAACAGAGCGCGAAAGCTTGCCCTCTTCAATAGCCGAATTCCAGTTCGACGGCCTCCTGACCCTCGCGCGCCGCATGGCTGAGCTTATGAACATGGCTCTTGGTCTCACCTCAAGAGCCGAATTCCATTTTCTTGGTTCATATGACCGTATTGCATGCTGTGGTTTATCAGTGCCCGTGCTGGTAACTTGAGACAGTCTAAGAGACGACCCAGCATTTCAGGGGCTAATTAGACGCAAAAGGGAATTGGTTTCCACGGGTGTACGATCTGGACGCGCGTCTCGAAAGTCAGTCGAATACTTACGCAAGTGCTGCCCTCCTCCTCCCCTAGATCTCTTTTGCCATGTTCTTGACGCGCTCAGAGTACGGTGGGGCTAGTTTCACAAACGTATGAAGTGCTATAGTGCTGACTTGTGGTCTAGATCGTGGTGTCAACACCTTCTCGCCAGAGGGTCGTTTGTTCCAAGGTGGGTATACCTTACAGTGCCGCACATATCCAACGCCTGATCTTTGCCTCGTCCTATAGTCGAGTACGCCATCGAGGCAATAAAGGTGCACTTCTCACCTCTCCCCACACTCTCCCCTTCCTCCGCGCTGACACCCACCCGCCCGTTTTAGCTCGGCTCGACAACCGTCGGGATCCGCACTTCCGAGGGCGTCGTCATCGCCGTTGAGAAGCGCGTCCAGTCGCCCCTGCTCGAGTCCTCCTCCATCGAGAAGATCATGGAGATCGACACCCACCTCGGCTGCGCCATGTCCGGCCTCACCGCCGACGCGCGCACGATGATCGACCACGCGCGCGTCACCGCCCAGAACCACGCGTTCACCTACGACGAGCGCATCAAGGTCGAGAGCGCCACCCAGGCCGTCTGCGATCTCGCGCTCCGCTTTGGAGAGAGCGTGCACGACGAGGAGGCGATGATGAGTCGGCCGTTTGGCGTGGCACTGTTGATCGCGGGTGTGGACGAGCTTGGGCCGCAGCTGTGAGTGGTTGGGTGTGTGCGTACGAAAGAGCCCGGGGACTGATGACATCGCCTCCTTGCCCAGGTTCCACACGGACCCGTCGGGCACCTTCATGAAGTACGATGCCAAGGCGATTGGGTCGGGATCGGAGGCAGCCCAGAGCGAGCTCCAGGACAAGTGGCACAAGGTGCGCCCATCCCATCCCATCCCAGCTCTGCGCATACACGCACCATGCTGACGGGTCGCGATAGCAAATGACACTCCGAGAAGCACAGATCCTCACCATGCGGGTGTTGAAGCAGGTCATGGAGGAGAAGCTCGACCACCACAACGTCCAGCTCGCCCAGGTGCGTTCTTCCCCTCCCTTCTACTGGTTCCCGCAACTCGTTAGTGTAGAAGCTAACCTCGATCGCAGGTGACGCCAACGAAAGGATTCGAGATCCTAAACGAAGTCCAGCTGAAAGAAATAATCGACGCCATGTAAAGTATTACTACCTGCTTACCCACCTTGTCACGCTTGCATGCATATTCACATCCTCATTCTTTTCAATTGCATGCGTCTGTATGTGTGTGTATATGACCCGATCCGATCCGATCCTGAGCGCTTGGGAGCCGAAGGACCCACCTTCTTGATCTTATGGAACAGTCTGATCAGAACGAGAAGTCGAGAACGGCGCGGCGGAGAGGCGTTTGCCGCGCCGTTGGGGATATCAAGCTGAAGTTTAGGAGGGCGGTAAAAGCGCTACGGACGACGACAGGCCCGTTTACAGCCCTGAAATCCTCGGAACTGAGAAAACCCCAGGCTGCAGACCGACCATAGACTAACGCTACGACGAGCATGCCAATGATGCTTGAACGAGGAATATTCGCCACTTTTCAACTTCAACTTCAACTTCATGCGTGCGTGCGTGCATTACAATGCGCTCTATGTACAATTTCGAATCGAAACAAAAAGGAACTCTATTATCCAGAAGAATTGTAAGGTATGTGGCCGAAAACGAGACAGTGAAAGGAAACGAAAAGAAGAAAAGAAAAAGAAAGTCGCTTGGTAAGACAGACAGATATTAACGCGACCGTGGTGCCGCTCTCGACATCGATAGTGAACAATGCGGGAGGCACGCGCGCGGGTGTGAGGTATGTATACAGATGGGGGGGATCGGCGGTGGGAGGGCAGAGGGGGAGGGGGATAAAGGGCGGGACACGGGCGAGGCGCGATGTGGCGGGGTTCAGAGGTTAAAGGTAGAGGCCACAGTCGTGGTGGTGGTGTTGGTGTAGAAGCGTGAAAGTGCAGAAACGTTATGTCTTGAGCCGCTCGGCCAGAGCGGGTATGGATATATGCCAGAGAGAGAACATTATAACGGATGACAGGGGGGAACCGACTGGAACGAGGAACGCGATGAGGGACAGGCTCCGAAAGAGAGGAAGAACGAACAAGTGAACGGGCGAACGAACAGATAAAATGAAGGAAAGAGAAGGACGAGGGAACGGAGGAACGCGGAACGTACGTGGACAAACATGAGAACGCGGAACGTGCATTGGTGACGCAGGGGAATGAAGAATGAAAAATGAAAAACAAAGGTGAAAGGCGGGTGCGGATGCTGCGTGCGAAGGAACGGGAACGATGCGTAGGAAAATAAATCGTGCGAAAGGAAAGGATGGAGGTGGTGGCGTGTGCTTGGTCTGAGCTGCGGGTGCGCTCGGAGGACGTGAGGGTTCAAAGGAGCGACGGAGGGACAGACATGTGGACAGGTAGGGCTGATGCGGCTGATGCGGGAAGTGAGGCAAGGTGCTCAAGTGCGAGGGCAGAGAGACAGCGCGGGCGCCTAGGCAGCGGACAAGGACGGGTGAACGGTTGAGGAGGCGCAAGGACAAACGACTGGACGCGTGCGGAGTGAGATGCATCGTGCAGCTTGCTAAGTTGGTAGTTCTACATCAGCTGCATGCTGCGCAGGTTGGCTTTGATGATCGAGTCGCGCACTGCACACAATGCACGCGTCAGACGAGGCTGTAAACCACCGCTATCGCCGTGGCGCTGTGCGATGTAAAAAAAAACGAGATGAAACGCACCGCTATTGATAACAACCTTTGTTCCGCGTGTGTCCGTCACCGACGTAAACAGCACTGTAGGCGGAAAATAATGCAAAGAGTCAGAGGACGCGCGGGCAGAAGGCCTACAAAACGCACGGTTTATTTGTCGCTCTTTGTTGTGCGAGCATTGCGCGTGGATGTTGCCGAACTTCGCTTTGAAGTCTGTTGAGATGGTGCCGTCAGCAAAATTGAGAAGCAAGACACAGAGGGTTCCAACGCACACTGCCGGATGGACTCGTAGTCGTTCGGTCGATCGCGGTAGCCGGGCAGGTGGGAGGCCAGCTGGACGCCAGCCGCGAGCTTGTCCTTCAGCAGGTCGCACTTGTTCAAGAAGAGGATAATGTTGACGTTCGCCAGCAGCTTATTCGACACGACCTCTTTCCAAAGAAGTAAAGAATCTTGTAGTCGGTTCACTTTCGGGTCCTGGGAGGTGGATAGAAGGTAGTCCCGTGAGCTTCTTGTGCGAAGGCTGCTCAAAAAATGTTTACCTCGGCTAGCACCTGGTCAAAGGCCGATATTGGGGCCAAAAATATTATGGCATTGACTATTAAAGCAGCGCGTATGAGTGCACAGAACGGTTCGGGGGGGAGGGTGACGTACCGTCGTCGAAATAAGGTGTCCATGTTTGCCGCTGGTATCGTGCGCCTCCCACGTCGTAGATTCTCCAAATCATCTGCCGCCGTTGGGTGTCAGGTATAATGAATGAATGCTCCACAACGCCCGTGGTTTTTAGCCTGGCCTTGAGAACGTCATCTGACCACCAGTCAATTGTATGCAGCAGGGGCAGAACACAAAGCCATACCAGTCGTGGGGAAATACCGGAGGGCTGTTATTCGGCGAATTTCGTTCAAGAAGCTGACCGCGTGTAAGCACGCAACCGCGCCGCCGGTAGCGCAATTCAAAAAGGGACTCACAAACCGCTGCTCTCTTCAAGCCGTAGGCCCTTCTCCTTCAGACACCGTCGCACGCTCGCGTCATCCCAGAGCTGCATCATCGCAGGGGCGCACGAGTGCATAATGTGGACAGGGTCCTTGGGATCATCCCACCAGCCTTCGATCTCATTCGTATGTGCGCTCTTCGGGCTGGTGATCCGCGAGACGAGAGACCACTTCTTCTTCCAGTCCTTGCTGTGGTGTACGCTGACCTCGGCCTGCCGCGAGCGAGACGAGCTGCTGCTCGATCCGCCTGGCGAGGGCTGGCCGGCAACGGTCGTCGACGGTGAGAGTGGGGAAAGCGGGGAGGTGGAGCCGTGGTAATCAGGGATGGAGATGTTGGGGAGGGGGCGGCCGTTGCGCCCGTACGCGTTTGGGGACCCGACGGTCCAGTGGGGACGGCTGTCATCGTTACACTCGGGCTCGTCGTCATCTGGGGATGAGATGAGACGGGCGAGGCGCACTTCGAGCTCGTAGAGAGGGGCTAGCGCGGCGCGATACCGCTCGTACTTGGGTACACGTGTCACAGTGAGGGCGGACTGGGGGCGGCCACGGGAGGTGATGATGATAGAGGCGGGCTCAGCGTGTTCGCCTGCCTCTTCGGCATCGTCCTCAAGCGGGTCCTCGGGCGCGATGGCATCGAGAATCCTAGCAGCTGTGAGGATAACGAAGCGAAGGGAAACGGGGAGTTTCTTACCTAAGAATAGACTTGACGAGATTAAGGTAGATGACGGCTCGCCACGCGGTCCGGTCTGCGTTGAATGCGGCAGGGGAGTGCATGAGCTGGAATTCTGCGGAGGAACGTTTCAGCTGTCTGGATTTCTGGCCAAGGACAAGGTCAGGGCGGATGGCGGCAGATGGCGGGCACCGTTCCCCAGATCAGGAACAAGCGTTCGGCTTTGCCCCACGTATGACGGCGGGGATAGCACAAGGTGGTCACAGGATGCACGCTGAACCGACAAAGCTCAGAGAGCCTCCCAGACGTGCGAGAGGGTGCAGCGGGAGCACGTCAAAGAGACTAGGATGCAGATACATGGACACTTACGTTTGAGTGTGGTACTCTTCCCGCTCTCGCTCTGCCCCAGAAGCAGGACCTTGATCTCCGGCTTATTCTTCCGCTCCTTTTTCTCTGCTCTGAGCATCTCGTCGATTCCGTCGCTGACGCGCTTGGCCTCGAGCTCCTCGTGCAGCCTCTTTTCCCGATCGGCATCCGTTTCGTTGGCGGGCGGCTGGAGGGCGAGGGCGAGCGGATCGGACTCGGATCTGCGACGTTGTGGTTCGAGTTTGCTTTTCATCATGGCTGGGGACGTCGTCGAGTCGTCGTCTGGAGGTGGGTGACGCTCTTGTGCGGACGCTGGCGCTGGCGAGAGCGGCGGACGCGAGCGGGAGAATGAGAAATAGGAATTATATGTGGGCTAGAGACGAGAGGGTAAAGTACTTAGTGAGTTGTCGCGACGGGGGTAAGTAGAAGCACTTCCATAACGAGAATGTATTCCGCCGATTCCGTACGCAAACAACGTGAATATATCTCAGATCCCCCGTTTTTTCCTGGGGTCTACCGTCACACCTGTCAGCTTCGCGTGCTCTCCGTCACGAGTTAATATTCAGCTGTCACGTTCGGCCCACGACCCCGCCTCTCTGCTGTCAAAATACCTCCAGTGATATGACAGTCCATGTGCTTCCAGATATGACATGACGACGCCACCACCTCCTCTCCAACCTCCCCTTGCGTTTGCTTCCGAGCCGTGAACTGGTTTCGTAAACCGTCTCCAATGAAGATCTCGGCGGCGCAACACAGTCCAATACACAATCACCATCCTCGGCCAAACTTTTTTGCAGACAAAAATTGGTCCAGCGCGTGCGAACGGGCGCATGCTCCGTCCACATTGCCACCGGCATTCACCCGTCCGTTGGCTCCTTGACTTTCCCCAGCGCACCAGAGCGCAACGTTGCGACGCGGCCCTGTCAGATTAGCCTACCCGGTTACTTGCACAGTGACCTTCATATGTCCCTCTCCGGCTCACGGGCGTCTTTCATCCGGCCTCAACGGTGCGTGTGGCACACGCTGACCTGCTAAACGACTCTCTTCGCACCATCTTCACCACCACACGTCCTCTCGCCTCGCTTTAGCCCCTCGAGCAGTCCGCATACATACATGTGCACCCCCATACACATTTCCAACTGACCCTGCTCAGCGTGTACATGCAACATCCAAGAAATCAATGCGCTCCATATGTTCACGGGAATCTCTTCCGACCCCCGTTGCCAGATAGCGAACGCGCCCGCGGCTCCCATTCACGGCCCTTGCCTTGTTCTCGTGGGCATCACCGAGAGTAAGGCACTGGCGCGAAGAGTCTCCGTCTTGGGACACGACAACCTCCACAGATCCATCATGAGATCCAACCCGGGCTCTCAGGCTTCTCCCGCCTCGGGGCGCCCTGCCTTCATTGTGTTCTCGCACTCTATTGGCTGGTTTAATCTTCTACCCGTGAAGGTCACAACGTCGAGAACGGCCTCCGGCACTGCTCATATCTCGTTTCATGCCAACGAGAACGTTGTCCTCTTCTACGTTCCTCGTGTCGAGACCGGACCTAGCCGGGACCTTTCACTGCTAACAACAACACAAGCTGCTTCCGACTCCTGACTATCGCTCGAGAGCTGATATTGTGTATCCTTGTGTACCTGAAATTTTCGGTCTCAGTTCTGCGCAGGCAGGCATCTCATCATGATCATCTTGGGAGACGCGGAACTCTACGGATTCGTTGCTATGCTTGAATGCTTGATGCGCGAATACCGTTGAAGGATCTCCCAGGCACGGTACGAGCTCTATACTGGCCTACGTGTAAGCTGTAGCGCCTTGGAGAATCTTCGCGCTCATCCTCACTATACAGTCTCCCGTCTGCGAACACCTTCAGCGAACACCTCTCGCCCGTACGTCGTTCGCCTTGCAGGCGATTGTACTTGTCGTCGCATCTTGAGAATCGCTGGCTAAGAATAGCCATCTCAGGGCGTCTATGCCCTTCAACGTTCATCGTGGATGCTGCCTCATCACGAGCATTGCCCCCAGGAAGTTCATAACCAACTCGGGCCCAAATGCGACTCCCATCCTTTCTTTCTTTTCTGCTCCCTCATCTTCCCCAGCATGCGCGGGGAACATCGTCGCTCTTTTATACAGCTGGTGAGGGAGCGCGGTGGTTCTGACGATGGAAGTAATGCCCAATCGCCATCTCCCAAAGGAGGCGGAGGCGGAGGAGGATCAGCCTCGTCCGAGCCTTCTGGGGCGTCGGCTGCTAAACCCGTGAGCTAATCCATGAGAATCAGCGGTAGCGTCTCCACCAGCACTGACTCTCGCCCCCCTTGTACTTACAGAATGGTGGCAACGGCGATAGCAATAAGAGCAGCAGCGCTCCCGGCGGCATTGGCGGGGGCGGGCAGTCGCCTCAGGGAGCCGCCCCGACTTCTGCGCCCCCGGACCCCAGCCCAAAGTCGACTCTAGGTGGGGATAAAGACTCGCCCTCGCCATTGTCCTCATCCTCTCCTTCCCCATCTTCATCTCCATCTAATGACTCAGGCTCGAGTGACTCCAATCGTGGGAACCCACACCCATCCCCAAGCCCTTCATCTGCGCCATCTTCAGGCACAAACCCCAAGAGCGACCCTGGGTCCAAGTCTACTCTACCGTCCTCAACGGGGGACGGAGACGCTGGTGGCTATACCCATTCTACATCATCCCACAGCGATGCACAGCCTTCTTCGACGACGCCAGGCAAACCTGATGATCCTGGGAGCGCTAGCAGCGCTTCGTCCCGCTTGGGCAAGGATCCGGGGTGGTCTGGGCACTCAACGTCGTCGGGAGGGGGGAAGGTGTCTGCGCCGAGTGTTGCACCTACCGACAAACCGACAACGTCGCCTTCACCAAAGGAGGGCGGCAGGCCACCGACGGGGAGCACCACGTCTTCCCATAAGTCCACTGAGTCGTCTCCTGCGCCAAAGGGAGGGGACGACGACCACACACGAACGCCGTGGGGCGCTGGCAAGCCTCCGAGCTCTACGCGTACCGACACGTCTACCGATAAGCCGACAACAAAGAGCGCGAGCTTGGGTAAAGTTGGAGGCGGTGGCTCGGGGTCTGGTTCTGCGACTGACAAGGATCCGCATCCCACACCGACGACGTCGAAAGCCAAACCTGGAACGGGATCGACTACGCGGCCAGGAAGGTCGGGGAAGGGTTCGCAAACACACAGTACTTGGCCTGACCCATGGCCGTCACTTGCAAGCTCATTTTCGAAGGACTGGACGGGCTTCACTAGTAATGTTGGCGAGGAATGGAGCAGGTTATGGAGCAAATCATCCTCTGAGCATTCACCAACACCGTCTTCAGGTCGCGGGTCGGAAGGTGGCGGAAATAGCGGTGGCAAAGGCGGGGGAACAAGCAAAGGGGAAAGCACCGGGCGTTGGCCAACGCCGACTCCTACGCACACCCACACGAGTCTTACGCAACCAGGTGGCGGCAAGCCCACTGGGAAAGGGAAAAGTTCGATTCCAGGTGGTGGTGGAATCAAGTCCACACAGCCCTTCACTCCGACGAAGCCAACGTCTGAGTCGTCTCCGCCGAGCCGAACCACAACTCCCCATTCATCCTCCAATCATCCTGGGTGGCCGGACCATAACTCGTCCAAGCCTGACAGGCCTCCGCCCTCTCTGACGACTAGTCCAGGATCTGGAGAGCCCACGTCAACAGATCGTCGACCGCCGTACCCCAGCAAGTCTACTACTTCGCCTCATGAGAGTCCTAGCCCAGACACTACCGATAGACCGCGCCCTTCCACGTTCACCACGTCGTCACACCTACACCCAAGTGCTCCTAGTTCGCCGCCTCCGGAAAGTCAAAGCCCGAGCCCACGTCCTGCTAAAGACCCCACGTCTTCCACTCCTCATGGGACTAAACCGACCACGCCTAGCTCTCCGGACGGCAAATCGACACCTCCGGTTCCTACTTCCTCGCCGCATCCTGGAGCGGTCACAAAGCCTGGTGGAGACCATACTACGAGCCCAGCGGTTGCGCCTTCTAGGTCTCCCGACCCGGCCCTCACTTTCACGACGATATCGGATTCTACAGGCGGCGAAAGTTCGTCCCCAGCGACGCCCAAGTCCGGTCCTATTTCTTCGGATACCGGGATCCATACCCATAATTATGAGGCAAGCACAGGGACTTCAACTTCTTCTAGTAGCAGGCGTTCTGCCCCTCCCCCGTGAGTACTATATGTTGCAAATCCTCCCTTCGATAGGTGCTTATCGTGTCATGCTCAGAATAGATGGTGAAACCGCTCCTCTTACGAGACACTCAACCACCATAACGTTCTCGGATTCTGCTCCTGTCACCATTACTACAGGCTTAACAGCCTTTACCTCCAACTCCGTATTCTTGACCACCTCAGTGTCTGTGTTGCCTGTTACCCCAACGTCCGAGGTAACTACCTCTCACTCTGAGACCGGCGCCGTTGTAGGCGGAGTCATTGGAGGCATTGTTGCACTACTCGTAGCTTGCGGCGCCTTTATCCTATGCTATCGCCGGAGCCGCAAGAGCCGTGGCGTGTCTCTCCCATATGCATCCCTATCCCCAGACGACGACCCATCAATGCAAGAGCGGATACCTGACACTCTTGGTGCGGGGATCATCCCCTCGATGTCGCCTTTTGGAACTCTCAGCTTCCGTTCGCTCAGCGAGTTCCCCATGCCAGCCTCCAGCCGCGGCCAGGGCTCCGCAGGTACCCTCCCCCGCCAGTCGTCGTGGAACAGAGAGGGCGGCGAGAACCTCAGCACTATCAACGACGACGCGTCGTTCTATACCCCCAGCTGGCGCTCGACCATCGACGATGCGGCCGAGAGCGAGGCGCCGAGCCACATGAACGCGTCTATTCGTGCGTACACAGACGTCGAAAGCCTCTCGGACTATCACAGTCACGATTACGACGGCATCGGCAACATGGACATCACTCACACGCATCATCCCGAGATGCCTCCCCCGGTCTCGGGCCCACCTCCGTTCGCAGCAGCCCGAGGATCCGGCGCGGGCGCTCCGAGCCCGAGCGCATTCGGTGGCTCTTACTATAACGGTACCAGCTGGAGCGACCCCGCTGATCCATTCTCGGACCCTCCCAACTCGGGCGCTGCGCCCGTGTCCGTTCCTGGGCACGGCGGCTCCGCGGCGGCGGCACCACTGGGACGGGCGCACGACGGGATCGGTTCTTCACTACCCCAATCTCAATCGGCGCTCATTGCGCGCTCCGCGGCGCCGTCACACAGTGACGCGGAGTCGGACAAGCGCACGAGCTCGTCGAGCGGGGGCACCGTCCGTCCGGACACGGGGCCGAGCGCGATGGTGATGGTGAACCGCAGTGCGAGCCAGATGAAGTCGAAGAACCCGTATCTGTCGCTCGTCGGGCTCGAGCGCGCCTCTCGGCAAGCGGGCGTGAGCGATCGCGATGTCGCGAGGATGTCTGCGCAGAGCTTCAAGGCGCAGGCGCAGGCGCACTGGCAGAATCAGAATCAGACTCGGACCCAGGACAACGGCCAGGGCCATGAATCTGGGGAACAGAATTTCGCCATGCGACCCAGCAGACTGTCGCAGACCTCGTCGGGAATTGAGATCCCGTCGGACTCGGTACGTCCCTTTCCTTTCCTTGCTTCAATCATTCCTTCGCCGGAATCGATTAGCCTGTGTGACAACTGTGGACTAATTAATGGGCTAATTGTCTTTCTTTGCGTTTGCGCGTTTCCTTTTCTTTCTAGTCTGAATACGGTATCGCGCTCTAAGTCGGAGTGAGTCCCGCCCGTGAGCGGTGGGAGGGTGGGAGAATGCGAGCGGATATGGAGGATGGGCGATGGGCGATACGCCCGTGCGCTCGCTCGGGTCTTTCGGGTCTGCTTTTGGGATGGAGGGACCGGGGCCTGAGATACGGCGAGCAGCGGGGTGCGGGCTTTAGCGCGAGTGTTGTACATACTGGGCATCGTCAGGAGAAGAGGTGAATTTCTTGGACGTTGGCTAGTTTGCCTGTTTGGAAAAGTATATTCCTATCTACGCTCTATGATACCATGTAAATTAAATAGGTGCGTAGCCAGACCGAGATGTAGTCCGTGACACAAACACATGCTATGTGACCGTAGCTGTCGTATACACTGTCATTCTGCGAGAGACGATTTTCTGCTGTTGAGGAGACTGAAGTGGTGAGGGAAATCTATGCGCAGGAGATGCAATCTATGAAGTCCAATGTCAAAGAACGCGAGGGAATGATGGGTAAACGTAAGGTGATGTCCAGGAGGAGAGGAAATTATTCGAAATTTTCGTCCTGCACCACGCGAGACAAGTCTCTATCGCTAGGGAACAGTATAGAAGCAGCGGCATCCAACATGAAAGATGAGGTGGATATCCCAGCGTCACGGAATTTGATGCCCACTAATGTGAGGGCCTGACGCAGCAGTTCGGCGTCGCGGATCCTAAAATCATCAAAAGTAACGTCGAGACGCGGCACGGAGATGTCTAAGTTGTGCATGGGATCCGTGAAGATGGTTGCAATATTCCGAGGTAGATAGGTCAGTGATTCGTATAGCTGTCTCCTGGAGGATGATTTGATTTATCGCTAACCACGAATTAGGGCCAGAGACTTACCATGACGAGGTATGCACCCGCTTCTCCCTCTCATCTCCAGTCAACATCTTGGTCCACTTTAGCCCTTTTGCTATCATGACGTACGACCCCCTTTCTGCCAGCCAGCTCCTCCGAAACTGCGCTTCGATGCTGGCGAACGTGTACAGCCGCTCCGCCCAGTTCTTCGTCCAATATTCGTCCAGAATGGCGGACACGCGAACATCGTCGAGCTCGTCCCCATGCGTCCCATCAGGCCGCACGATCTCCCCGTCCGACGGGTACGTCGTCCCCGTGAACGGAGCAAACTCCATCTTGACGAAGAAGTCGTCGAGGCGGATGATCTCGCCCTGGAGGATGGACGCGACGAGGTTGGCGCGCAGCTGTCGGACCCACTCGGGCGTCTCCCTGGAGGTGAAGATGCGGAGGCGGAAGTTCTCGAGCTCGGTCGAGACGAGCGGGTAGCTCGTGAAGCCGAAGTAGACGGGCAGGAGCCAGAGGACGGCGGTGGTCTTGGAGACGGCGACGTGGCACGCTGCGTCTTTGTACTCGTACTCGAAGGCTTCGAATGTCGCCCAGCGCGGGTTGGTGCGTGTGGGGATATGGAAGGCGATCTGCACGCGCGCGCAGGAGATGGCGAGGCCAGTGCGACGATTGCGATAGCGGGGGCTTGAGATGGAGAAAATGCCTATTCTTGAGATGCGGAGTTCATGGCCGAGTAACCAGGCGAGTGAGAAAGATGAGAGAAGGGACAAGAAGGCGTAGGCCATCCAAGACCAGCAGCGGCTCGGAGAGAACAAGGCTTGATGCATGGGAGCGAGTTATTAGTGGTATGGGTTGGTCAAGCCTCGCGATGGACTGGAAATAAAGAACATGCTGGTTTTCACATGGAGGGGGTGTGCTCGTCGGATAAAGGCGCTAGCTTGCTGCGCAACAGCCAAGAGCAGTGTTACGATGCAGACTGCAGCAGATATGAATGGCTATCGTCAGGCGATACCTGGCTCAAAGTTTCTCGATGGGTTCACCCCTTTCCGTCTGTGACGTCTGCCAGGAACGAGATCGGGCTCGCTTCCGAGTCTCCGGGACCAGCCCTAAACCCATCTGCGGTTCAACCGACCTTTCGTGCCTGAGAAACCCTGCAGCCCTCCTTCAATAGCCTTCAATCTATGCTCGAGTGCGTCAGCGAGTCCTACCTGGTCAATCTCGTCGCCATCCGCTCTGTGTGGCTTGCGATCGCGAATGACTGTCTCGTGTCTTTGTTTCTATCAACACTCACCAGGATTTCGATACTTGGGTCTGCAGCCATTCCAAGTGGTCGGCGTGAAAATGGAGTCAAATTCGAGCCATGCTTCAGCTCAAGCTTTCAAGGGAAAGAACTGACGGTGTCAACAGCGCGCTCCCGTAATTTCCTGTCAAGCTTTAAAATTTAGACATTTGCTTCCATCAAGGTCTTAATCAATGATGTCACTGCTACAGGCACACTTCAACATCATCGCAATCCTGCAACCGGCATCCACGGTTCCCTTCCTCACACGAGCTGTGGCACACCTCTCCCCGGGCGGCCCGTGGCTTCTCCGCACGCCATCATATGACACTCCCTTCCATGGATATTCCGTTTATCCTTCTGACAATAGAAATACTCACAGTCTACGTGATGCGCACCTCGCTCTTGCCCTCTCTTTTCGACCTACCACTGCGGAGAGGCCATGGTTCAAGTTCCTACTCGAGCAGTTCCAACGAACAGAAGAGCAATCATCCTTGCCATTTTCATCGCGTTCGGTACGTGCAGCGCTCGCTTTGTATTCTCTGTTTAGAAATAGAACTGACGCACGGCCGTGGCGCGCGTTCGCAGGAGGTGAGGTCTATTCTAGAATCACGTCTTGAGAGAAAGAGAAGTGCCAAACCTTGTGGGTAGAATCGCTCTCCCGTCCCCACCCTCCCAGCGAAGTCGAAGCTAACGTGGTTTATACTTCTAGGCTGACCTTTCTTCTTCTCGAAGGCTTCCTCTTTGGCTATGACATTGGTGTCATTTCGGTGCGTTCGGACTCCTAGCGCCAGGGTCTCGGTCGGCTGCTTGACTGGTTATTCATAGGGATGTCTGATTATGCCGGACTTCCAACGCCGCTTCGGCACGGTGGTTGATGGCCAACCAACGCTTTCGAGCTCGAGGCAGTCGATCATTACCTCGCTGTTGTCTGCAGGGTAAGTGCAGATGCATACGCGGCTCAGTCAAGTCCATCTAACCAACCCGTTGTTATTTCTTCCCGACAGAACGTTTGTGTAAGAACCGCTTTCTTCGATATGAGTGCACCAGTTGACTTGAAGCAGCGGCTCGCTATGCCAGGCTTTCACATCAGACAGCATGGGTCGAAGAGGTTCAATTCTGCTCTGGTCGGGCATCTTCACGATCGGCGTTATTATCCAGACGGCGACTACCTATTCCCTTGCCCAGATCACCATTGGTCGGTTCATTGCTGGGTTAGGCGTCGGTGCACTCTCAGGTACGCAGGGCATTATCAGTCTTCTAAGATGTTTAACTTATGACATCTCTTTAGCTATTGTGCCCCTGTACAATGGAGAGACCTCGCCGAAGGCCATCCGCGGTATGATGATTGTACTATACCAGTTCCAGATCATCATTGGGTGCGTGCCCGGTATCCATTACCTACTGCTACTCCATAATTATCCGACAATTTCCTAACTTTTCCCGATAGCATCTTCGTCAGCTATGTCATCGATCTCGGAACCCACTCGATCAACTCATCTGCGTCTTGGCGCATCCCCGTCGGGCTGCAGATGCTTTGGGGCCTGATTCTCCTCTCGGGTATCTTCTTCTTGCCGGAGTCCCCGTACGTGCCACATCTCCGTCCATCTCAGCTCGGAGAAACCTGTCTAACTGACCTTCTGCCTTCTCCGGTTTCTTTGGTGCGCAGGCGTCATCTGCTCGGGCGAGGCAGGATCGACGAGTGCAGGGCGGTGATCGCGGAGCTGAACAGTGTGCCGGTAGATGACCCGCTCGTCGGCGAGACGCTTGAGGAGCTCCAGATCGGTATCAATGCCGAGAACGAGGGCGGCAAGGCGGGCTGGCTCGAGTGTTTCTCGACGCGTAATGCGCTCTGGTGGCGCACGACGAACGGCATGATGCTGCAGTTTATTCAGCAGCTTAACGGGCAGAACTTTTACTGTGAGCTTTTATCCTCGCCTCGGTTTAGAGGGTGTGGCTGACGCCGGGCTAGACTACTACGGCGACACTTTCTTCCAAAGCGCTGGTACCCAGTGAGCAAAGCGCTTTCCCAGTGTCGTCGTCGAATACTGACTGGCACATTCCCCAAGACTGAGCCCATATGTCATCCAAACCATCCTCGGCGCCGTCTCCGTCGCGGGCACAATCCCCGCGCTGTACCTCATCGACAACCTCGGGCGGCGCAGGTCGCTCCTCATCGGCTCTCTGCTCGAAGCCACGTGCGCGATCATCGCGGGCCTCGTGGGGCACTACACGCTCGCGCCCGCGGGTACGGCCGCGAGCCTGCTCACGCCGCGCAACAAGTCGGGCGGGGACGTGCTGATTGCGTTCGCGGTGCTGCATGTATTCGCGTACTCGATGTTCTGGGGCCCGACGCCGTGGGTGTACCTCGGCGAGTCGTTCCCGCTGCGGGTGAGGCCGAAGGCGATTGCGCTGGGGAGTGCGACGAGTGAGTTCTTTTATGTTGCGTTTTTTTGGCAGGGGAGGGGTCGCTGACTTGCGAGTTGTTTAGATTGGCTCTGGAACTTCCTATTGTCGTTCTTCTCGCCTCGTATCGCTGCTGAGTAAGTACCGGTGCTTGCTTTCGAGGGAGTGCGCCCCGCTGACCGCATGGTTACGTAGCATCGGCCCCCTCATCCTGCTCATCTTCTTCGGCATGCTCGTCTTTGGCTGGTTCTACGTCTTCTTTGCTATCCCCGAGACGAAGGGTCTCAGTCTCGAAGAGGTCTGTTCTCCTACCTTGCCAGTCTCCCGCGACATGTCAAGCTGACATCGTCTGGCTCGTTTGCAGGTCGACGAGATGTACCGCGCTGGCGTCAAGCCGTGGCAGTCGTCCAAGTTCGTGCCGTCCGTGGGCCGCGTTCATGACACCGCGACGTCCGAAAATGAGGTGCGGGATGCTGACGAGAAGAAATCTTCGTCGGCATAGTGCACGTGTAGCTTATAAGCTTCAGTTGTTGCTTGTGCTAGTGCAGGGAACAGTTTACAGTACCCCGTTACAATATTCAAAATGACCGACCTCATTATATCCTCGTTATCTTTTGTTGTATGTACATATATTCCATCATTGCCGTCTCCTATCATGTATAGCATTATGAACAGTGACTAGTGAGGCTCGGAACATAGACGGTAAAGGTTGTTAGCAAGAGCCCCTGAATGAACCCACGACGCGTGCTGTACGCCTCAGGTCGCTCGTGGCTTTGCTTCCGCATCCGTCACGGGTCCGTAAACTCAAGGATGTCAGCCCTCCGTAGATCTTTGGCTTCATCTCGACTCTTCACAGCTGCGCGCTGCTCCTTCCTCAGATCCACTACCAATTCATCTTTCACTACCTTAGCCTACCAGGCCTCCCCGCCCCTTTTAACTCCTAGTCCAAGTGTTATCGTCCCGCGCAGAATGGCTTCCACGCACCCCTCGCTGTCCACCGTCTCAACCCAGAGTGCGTGTCAACTCATCTTGAACCAGTGAACGCTCTGTGATTGACATCGTAACGTCTATAGGCGCTCCAGCTGCCATTGGACCCTACTCCCAGGCCATCAAGGCCGGCGACCTCGTCTTCGTCTCGGGCTGCATCCCGCTCGACCCGGGCACCGCGCAGATCGTCGAGGGTGGCATCGAGGCGCAGACGACCCAGGCGCTCAAGAACCTCAAGGCCGTCGTCGAGGCCAGCGGGAGCGAGCTCGGGAAGGTTGTTAAGACTACGGTGCGTCTCGTTCCCGCTTATGCGCATCTTATGGGGAGGCTTATCTGCGTACACTCGGTGGGGGTGTGTGACAGGTGTTCTTGAAGGACATGAACGACTTTGTTGTTGTTAATGGGCTGTATGAGAAGTTCTTTGGGAACCATAAGCCTGCGCGGTCCGCTGTTGAGGTTGCGAGGCTGCCCAAGGATGTGCTGTTCGAGATTGAGTGTATTGCCAAGTGAGTGGTTTATCTTGCGTGTCTTGGATGTTGCAGGATTGACGAAGCTGTTCGGCAACATCTAGGTTGTAGAGGCTGGAAATTGGCCCTGCATCGTCGTGTTGAATAAGGTTGGAAGGTCAATGTACTATATCAAGCGCAACAGAGTTACAGAATCGCTCGATTCTCGGTTTGAGGAGACCCCGCGATTGGAATTATGCTCCTCTGAGAGATTCTTCGACGGAGTGCTTATCCTGACGATGCCTCCAACGAACAATTGCGTCTGTTTCAATGATCTCGCCACGAGTCAGTCATTATTATATAGCCCTGACTAGGGCTACACTATGCATATATACTTTCTGATACCACTCCGTCGTGACCCTTAAGAAAAGACTGGACTTTAGTGAAAGAGCACTGTTAAACGCGAAATTAAGGAAGGGATTGCGCGGGTTGTTGATCAGGCGCGTCTGACGCGTTCCTCCTGCGGTGTGACCGAGTCGCGCGCGTTTCATTTCGAACATCCATGACGACCCCGATACCCCCCAACCCCCCAAGATGGGAGCCCACTACAGATCCTTCATCCATCGAAATCCCGGGGCTGGATACGACGGCTTCAGTCAATGACCAGCTTGACCAAATCGACCAGCTTATCACAATCAAGCTGCAGGTCTGTCTCACCACCTTTCGACTATGAGAGTATCGATGCTCAGCAAGAATTCCAGAACATCGATGCCAACTTCTCGCGCATACAGCATCTCATGTCCACGAGGCTTCTACCAGCGATCAAGCGGTACGCAGTGAACACGGAGCCAGTGCGAGAGGCAGCCAACGTGCGTCATCGCTGGATTGATCCGCCGCTCTGACTGACTTTCTATTCGATAGTTCTGGACAACTTTCTATGAACAAGCAGCTCAAGTCCGGGTACCCAGATACGACGAAGAGTACAGCTCGCAAGAGCAGGTGTCCGAGTCGACTGCAGAACCCGCATCCGAGGAAGAGTTCTCAGAACAAGCCGATGTCACCCCTACCAGATCGCGCACCTACGATCCCAATGTCACCGCTTCAGAAAACTCGTTCATGCCTGGAGAAGGCGCGGTGTCGTCTACACCCGCAACCATGTCTCGCAACCGCATGGTGTACTCGTCGGAGGATTCCATCATTAGCGACACAACGGACGAGCAGCCCTCTTGGGCAGCTTCTCTGGAGTCCCCTCTTGTTCGAATCGACAGGGAACTCCAAAACTTCTCAAAAGAAGATGCATCTCGTATCCCCACGGCCTCCGCCGACACATCGCAAGCTGACGACTCACTACAACCTAATGATACTTTCGAGGAGGAGAACACTATTAACCAATACCCGAGCAAAGGGAAGGGCAAGGAGCTGTCATTGCTACAGGACGTGCTACGCCAGAATGCTAAGGGTAGCGCTGCCCCGACTCCGCGAGCCGGCTCAACGAAAGTGTCTCCCTTACGGCTCAAACAGAAGACGCCCGTGGCGAAGGGCGTCAGCGCATACACCGCACCCAAATCCTCCGAATGGACCTCCATGGTCGCCTCACCGCGTCGGCAGCGCTATGAGCGCTCTCCCCGGAAACAGGCCCCTGAGCCATCCACCTCCGCTTCTACACTCGAGATACCCTCCTTCACCTCTCCCCAAAAGCAGACTGGCGACCATTTCGACTCCTCGTTCGACGACTCCGCCGACCTGATGCCCCAGGTCTCTCCGCCCCGTACGATGCAGTTCGCGCGGGCGCCGCGATCTTCTATGGGTCTGGGCATCCTTCCGCAGATCGGTCGGACGCCTGGCAAGGAAGCTGCTGATCGGATACGCAAGGACCTCCTCGGCGAAGTTTCGAGGCAGCAGGCGTTCGAGCCGAAGGAGTACAAGGCGAGCTTCACGGATGATACAACTATGAGTTCGCTGCCCACCCCACCGTCGCTGGCTCGTTACCGCTCCAACTATCTGTTTGGAGGTGACAGTGCCGCCGGAAGCTCGGGCGACGCCACGTTCGAGACGATGATGAAGAAGGCGGGACTCAACGTCCCGTTGTCCGCGCAATCCTCGCTGTCCACGCAGCAGCGGTCTGCTATCTCAGGCGGATCGAGCTCAAGCGCCTCGCGCTTTGGTCTGGCGTCGATCGCGGAGCCGGCCCATCGGGCGCTCGAGCCGTACCCAGAAGAAGCAGTGTTCCAGCAACAACCACAAAGGGTTGACACCGACTCGGACTCGGACTCGGACTCGCTCGACGACGATCCGACGCACCACCCGGGCCAACCGTCCTCCGCGTTCCTCATGGCCTCCTCGCGGCCCGCGCGCGACTCGCTCGGCTCCGACGACTCCTTCGGCTCCTCGAACCACTCGCACGATTCCCTGCTCGACGACGACGGCGACGGCGGGAACCAAGCCGTGCATCCATTTGCGCGCGCGGCTGCTGCTGCGGAGGGCGGGGCGCAGCACGGCGACGACGGGTTTGGGTTCGACGATACGTTCGATGACGACGACGATGGCTTTGACGGACACCCGGATGTGCCCGAGGAGGAGACGGTGTTTGGAATTCCGCCGGCGCAGCGCCAGGTGATGGCACAGCGCGGGCAGCTGAGGATGCTGGGGGAGGATTTGTTGCAGGACACGATTGGGATTGGGAATCAGAAGGCGAGGGCGGGGCATGTGGAGGAGAGTCCGACGCCTTGGCCGAGAGGGTAGTAAATGCAATGTGGGTATGTACTGGGATGTGGTGTTGTAATGGGAAGGGCTGCTCATGAATGATGACTTTCAGAATGCTGGTATATCCTATCCGTGGCTTTGCCTAAGTATCGTGCGAATCTTCAAGGTTGAACAGTTCTCGAAGCGTTTTTGTAACGTGTGCCACGTTGTCATACACAACACCGTGGAAGCCGAGAGAAGACGCAGCGGCGACATTCTCTGTCTTATCGTCGAGAAATACAGCTTGAGAAGGGACAAGTCTGGCTTCTGCAACAATGTGATCATAGAAGCCTATGTCTGGCTTGCAGAACCCGACTTTGGCCGAGATGTATATGTCGTCGAAGAGGTCCCATCCATCAAACCTCGTGAGGAGGTCATCATAGTCGGATTGAGGAATGTTTGACATGAGAATAATTCTCACGTCTAGACGACGGTTTTTGAGTTCGTGCATCAGGCTGAGCAGTTCTTCGTTGATTCGGAGAGACGACCTAGCTTGGTCGAAGAAGTTGACAATATCGAGCTGGGGGATGTTGTGATCCTGAGAGATGATCTGGTGAAAGTCCTTTTGGCTTAGTTTTCCGCATTCGTGGTCGTGCCATGCGGGCGATGAGAAGATCTTCCGGAGGACGTCTCGAGGGATGCTACTTGATGATGGAGGCGTCCATGAGAAGAGGACGTCTCCGATGTCGCAAACGAGGGCGCCGTACTGAAGGTTGGCGGACATGGCGAGGTAAAAGAGGCCTAGGACTCGAGAGTTATAATAAATGAGGTGATGTGTTATGCTCAATATGACGGTGGCTTGATTCTGGTAAGGACAAGGATGAGAACACAACGTCGGCAGCGTCGGAAGGCGCGGCACCAACGCGCGACTCTGGCGCCGAGCTCAGCTTCAGAGTCCGATGTCACAGGTCGCGACGATCGCGCGTCGATTCTCAACCTCATCTCGACATGCTGAGCTCACCACAACTGGTCTGTAGCAATAGTTGTTGTATGCTTTCTATATCTGAAAGTCGCTCTAAGATTCTTTTCTCCCACTCATCGCTATATAAGCAACATATCTCATCTGGCCTTTTCGGAATTCGTTAAGGTCCGGTAGACGATTTTTCCAGTGACTTGCCCTCTTTCGGTAAGCTCTTCGCACTGAGCACAAGTACCTGAAACCTACGAGCACCGAGAATCGATGGCATTGGTTACGGAGCCGTAATTGGCGCCCTTCCAATATTGTCATAGCGGATGTTTGTCTACAATTTCTCGCGATCAGGGTTCGTCGCTCGTACACGCAGCACAAAAATCGATTGAACTCGATTCTGTGTCTCTGGTGGATTTCCATAGGACAAACCCAGCTCTGCACTTCTCAAGGTCATGGTATGTGCACCGTTTATCGCGTTCCCTTTTCCCCATGTACTCATGTCCTCACAGCCATCACTGATCATGGTTCAGTGACTGTCGAGCGAACATCGGAATGTTATCGAAAATCCGATCTACGGATCTATAATTGCCAGGAGGACGTAGTGCCGCCTCCCGCCACTTTTTCCTCAGGGCAATCACTGGCTGCGCAATGGCTGCGCTTCATGGATACCCAAAATAACTCGTTATAACATAACCTATGCGACTATGCCGGCCTAGCACGCCCTGGACCACGCCTTTCCCCTTCCTCCTCACTCCAACTCCACCTTCCCTCGCTACCGCTTTCATCTCTTAACCTCTATAACCTTTGAGACTATGAGTAGCAGTTCTCAGTCAAATACGGGAACTTCATCCGGATCCCAGACGGCATCTGGATCCACGAGCGCCAGTGGAAACAGCACTAGCTCTGTCAGCATACCTTCCACCGCTGCAGTGGGTTCAATCACCATCACCCAACCTCCTGCGCAGTCGACCTCATACTACAAGCTTGCGGCTAACAATACGATTACCTTTGGATGGAACTTCACCAACCTGTACGTGACGCCTTCGTCGCTGACAATCTCGGCCGTGTGCGGTGACGGGAACACGTACCCGGTCGGCCCATCAGACGGAATCATACCGGGAACCGCGACGAGCGTGGAGTGGGTTCCGTACGACTATCAGCTGGCGAACCCCGCCGTGCCATTCGCGGTGTCGACATATACGCTGGAAATCTGGGGAGACGGGGGTCCGAGTGCGGTCGCCTCAGCTGGATACCTTGCGCCCAATAGTGACCTTCAGTTCGCTATATATACGCCACAGCCATACACGCCGCTGAACGACGGTGAGCGGTGCCCGAGCTTGTCCGTGTTGCACCAGTGCTGACGAGGGCTATTTTTTGTCGAAACAGGGTGGCAGTGTACGGGCTGTTCGGGCTCTTTGGAAAGTTATGTCGCAGACCCAGCTATGATCGGTGTCACTGTGACGCTGCTCATCACGGTGCTCTCTGGGTTTGGGATGCTCAATCATATCCCACTCTGAAGGGATTGTAATTGAGTGTTGCTAAGTTTGGTGCCTACTACAACTACACGGGAGGATCAGGCTACTTGGCGCTTTTACTTTACGCCATCGATGAACAGCTCGCAGGTACATTAGAATTGGACATCGGACTGACACTCCCTCATGGATATTTACCTGCTAGAAATGTTGCATGTACGTACTCACGGTATTGACATTGGACAATGCGCAATTACAGTAGCAATTAATGATGGTGCTGTAGCCATCCTCATCTCCGCTAGCCGTTCATTTGGTGACGTCGCGCATTTCGTGCGGTTGGGTGGCGGTGCACACAGCTGTCATTCTAAATTGCGTCTCCACCGAAACGGCGACATCATGTTTCGACCTTAATATGACAGAGTCTCATCAAATGATGCGCCGCTATCCGCTCTTTGACGTTTAACGACACTCACCCCTCTCAGCACCACTCATCGTCATTCTTCAAGCAACATGTGCGAGGCTAGCCACAACCCAGATCGGATGGATATAGCGAAATCCCTCTGGGTCAAAAGAGGTTTGCCTGTCACGCACCTACGCACGAACCGTCGTCAGTGGGCACTCGACTGGGAGAAAGGCATCCGCCTGGTCTGTCACAGCCCGGAGGACTCAGAAGCAGGACTTGGGTCCATTGTCGTTTTTCGTGAACTCGCGCTATCGTTGCTTTTGAACAGGCGACGCAGGAAGCTGGACCGCAACGACTACCGGAAACTCCGAGATGCGCGAGAGCGCATCGAGGAGACGTTCAAACGGACGAAGCGCATTCTCGATATCTTCGCGAACCCCCAGAGGAAGCTAGAGCACTCTGACGAGTACGAGTACTTCAAGATCATAAGCACCGACGCGCGCTTGGAGATCATCTTGGAGGGCTTCGAGGAGGCGTGCTGGCATTCGTGGGCCGGGCAGGACGCGCGCTTGTTGTGTCCCGAACTGAACACCGACGATCTCCTCAAGAGAAGGGGGCAGGCCTTGACGGATTTCTACGAGAAATGCTTCCAGGCGGCGAACGCGGGCGGTCTCGAGAACTTTGACAAGGTCATTGTTCGGAGTGAGTGGTGGAAAAGTGCGTACGGAAATGGAAGCATGGTCCTCAATGCTACTCCGGAGGCCAGCAAGTGGTGTTACGAGTTCTTGACATGCATTCGAGCCCACTTCATCCGTACGTCATCACTTACCTCATTCGCCGCTTGGGTGAGATGTGCTGATAGCCAGCTCGTTGTCCATGCATGTAGTTCATTTTATCGTATACTCGTCCAAGAACATGTCCGAAAAGTATCGCGGAGTGATCAAAGACCCAACTAGCGAGTCAGTGGTAGCCAGGAGAATGCAGCTGAATCTCGGGCTGGCCGCTACCCGTGAGCTCATGACCAACAAGTGGCCCAGTCGCTCTTCAGTACCCTGCGAGAACTGTGGACGTGGAGCGAAGGACGTCAAGTTCATGTTATGTGCCGGGTGCAAAAGAGATTTGGATTTCGAGGTCCACTACTGCTCCAGGTATGCGCTGTGCAAAGCTCGGATATTCTCCACTCATCATCAATAAATCCAGGGAATGCCAAAAGGCAGACTGGAAAAGGCACAGAGTATCTTGCGGAAAACATAAAGTATCAAAGTACCGCTGGTCCGAGTACAAATTCTCCAAGGCACTGCAGCTCCAGATCAGGGTGCAGTACGCTTATCCGGAGGCGCAGTACATCTTGTTTAGGCGCGACAGCTTTCCAGCGGCATTCATGGTATCCTTCGCCACGGACCTCGAGAAGGCCGGGCTATTCGCTACGGCCTTGGGTGCGCTCCTCACCTCCGCCTCGAAACCATACCTCGGTCCCGTTGCAAAGTGGCTTGTTGATGCCGTCGACAAGGACGAGAATGTTCAGTCCGAGATCTCCAGGGAGGACATCATTGCCCAGCTTACCGAGGAGTACGAGGTGGATGTACGGTCTTGCCTTGAGCACGTCGAAGCAGAGCTAGCAATGGACGACGATGAGGGGGCATTCAGAGGAATGCTGATAGAGCCCGTCACTTCCAGCGGGGTAGTCGATGAGGATATGGAAGAGAAGTCGTCCTAACCGTACCAGCGTTCACTGTGTAAGTTACCAAACATTAAGAAACGCTGCAATAATACCCATCCGTGATGTTGAGCTTTCTATTGCTATGAGTTCTAGTAGATGCAGAATAGTAATGGGACAACACACGCGAAGCAACAGGGAAGTATTGGTTCGCGACGTTTGAACCGAATTCAAATGCCGCTGCAACACGCGACGCGGTTTGCGCGTTGTGCGGTTTTATCATCCTCTTCGCTCGTCTTGTTACTTTTGTTACACCAATGCCACTACGCCTCCCTTCTCGTCACAAACTGCCTCCTCGTGAGCCGTCATGCATGGACGACAAATATTCCTGCTGGGCCAACGAAGCCTTTCCCGTCGGGGACATATGCAAGAACCGCCGCCAGTGGGTAAAAGCTTGGGTGGATGACAGGGAAGAAGCCATGGCTGGGATATGCCCGCCATTTCCTCCTGATTGTGTGAGAGTCAAGCTTGCGAAGATCGAAAGTGAGTCAACAACAAGTTGCTTCAACTTCGCGATTTGGAGTGCAAAGCAAACATGTGGCAGTGTAGTAAAAGCCCCTATCAAAGCTACCCATTCAATGTCCGACATATTGATTGCGCTCTTGCGACGCGTCTCGTCGCCTGATTAACAAAATTCGCGCATCTTCAGGCCTCCCCAGCACACTCACGCACTCCCAGCATGGCGTCACTCCCAACAAACAACATAGAGAGCGCGCGTCTTATGAACGAACGGGGCTCTATTTGGGCTAACGTCTTCTTTCCTGTCACCGACATACGCAAGAACCGCCAGCGATGGGTGCGCGACTGGGATAAAGGGATCGCCAAGTTTTATCAAGGCTCTCCAGGGAATCCATATTCGGGAGCCGTCGCTGTCTTTTGTTTGCAGGCTAATCAGATGCAGAATGTTTTATGCCGCAAGACTCTTGACTCGATAGACCATCAGCGCCTCCGCGAATTCAAGGAAGAGTGCCAGAAGCTGTACAACGGCGTGGTGTCAACCCTCAGGATAAGCTCGAACAAGCCTCTCTTCCATGAAGATCAGCGCGAATGGCTCTCGCTCGTCAGCCTCGAAACACGGAAGGACATCATATGCGAAGGCTTCGAACAGGCCGGCTGCCACTCTTGGACCGGCCACGACGCGCGGATGCTATGCCCCGAGCTGGACTCTAACAGCTTGCTGAAGGGGCACGGGAAGGGGTTATTTGACTTATACGACCAGATTCTCGAGCTAGACGGTGATGGAGGCCTGGAGAAGTTCAAGAGCGTCGTTGTAATGAGCGAGTGGTGGAGGAACGCGTGGGCGAATGGAACGGTTCTCCGCGCCACTCCGGAGGTCAACAGGTTTTGCTACGAGTTCGTCACCTGTCTCAGAGCTGAATATCTCAGTACGTATCCCGTCAGTAATCACAGGGAAAACACTGATTACGCGCACGATATAGTCGATTTTGTTATAAACACGATCAAGGTCATAGCAAATAGGTGCCACGGCTCTAACAAGGGCATATCCGCAGACTCCTTCATCGCCGACAGGGTTCTTTGGCATCTGAAGCCATCGGCCATCCAAGAGCTTCAGGAAGAGAAATACTGGAACAGTCGCTCAGCGTTGACGTGCGAGAACTGCCAACGAAGACCCAAAGACGTCGGAGTCAAGTTCAAACGCTGCGACAGGTGTAAGCGTACACTCAATTTCGATGTTCGCTACTGCTCGAGGTACGTCGTGTTCATTGACCGAATCCGTCAACATAATCAACGTTCCGATTTAGCGCGTGCCAGAAAGCTGACTGGCCGGAGCACAAGGCTCATTGCGGCGTAGAGAAGGTGTCGAAGAATCGGAAGGCTTACCGTCCTGAATACTCGTATACGGTGGCTTTACAACTCCAAGTCAAGCTGCAAGACTTAACCAGCGTCAACTACATCCTTTTCAGCCGCCGCAAGTATCCGGTGGGATACGAGGTCTCGTACTTTGACGGTGACGACGATAAGAGCGAAGTGTGGTGGGACTCGCTCGCCACCCTACTGTGGGACGCCGAAAAGCCTGGTCTGGAGATAATTGCCAAGTGCCTCGTTGATGCTGTCGACGACGACGACGTTCGTTCTGGAATCACAAGGGAGGACATCATAGCCCAACTTGCAGAGGAGTACGAGGTTGACGTCGGACACATGCTGGAGAAACTCGAGGCGAAGCTTGCTATGGAGGACGACGTGGATCGATACAAGGGGATGATCATCCAACCGCTCCACCCGGACCAAGACGAGAATGCAGAATCGGACAGCGACGGATTAGACGTTGAAGAGTCTTCTTCTCAATACTCGTCTCCTGCAATGCAGGGTCCGAAGAGTCGGCAAGATCGGCGGTGCGGATACTGCTATCGTACACCCGACGACCTTGGCGATGGAACACGTTTCCTCGCTTGCGCGGCCTGTAAGAAGGGCCTTGACCTTGGGTTCTTTTATTGTTCAAAGTATGCATCGTGTCTTCACTCAGGTGACAAATCTAGTACTAACGTCATAACAGGGAGTGTCAGAGGTCTGATTGGCGTCGTCATAAAGTCTGCTGCGGAAAGGTGGAAGATCTGGGCAGTGGTCGAGATAGACGAGGGGATGGGGGCTATTAACCACGAGGACGCTTTGTGGCAGAGTACTTATCTCATTCGTGACTAACTTGAATAATATCCTGTATGCATGACAGTGTTCAACTTTTTAATCTCGAGCTAGTGCCAAAGCGATTCTCGGTTACATGTGGACAGAGCTCAACTGCTTCGTCCTGGTCTCCACTCAAGATAGGGGTTTTCCCTTTCCAATCAGTCGTGCATATAACCCAGCCAACACCAATCTTAGCTTCACCCGCACGCGTCACGCGTCATCACTTCTTATCCTCGCACTACCATGACTAGTCGCCAGAAAAGCGTGTCTGAACTCTCGGCGGACCCCAAAATGGCACACCTGATGGACAACAAGGCCTCTGTCTGGGCAAACAAACCTAATCATGGTTTCCCAGTTACCGACGTGCGAACCGACCGCGCAGAGTGGGTCCGCGACTGGGACAAAGGTGTCGAGAAACTCTCTAAGAGGCTAGCGATGGATGTGTTTCTCAAGATGATCTCGGGGAGAGAAGACGATGATGCGTACCTTTCCATCGAGCTCAGTCGCTCTGACCACGACACTTTGCGCCAAAACAAGTACCGGTTCGGCTTTAACCACACTTCACTTGCTCATCACGTCAAGGCTAGTCTTTCTAACCCTGCTCTTGCACTCTGTACGCCAAAGGACTGGTTTACTCTCATTACCCCCGAGCAAAGACGCGACGCTCTCAACAAAGGCATCGAGGATGCTTGCTGGTCTAGCTGTCTCGGTCAGGACTCTCGCGCTCTTTGCCCGGAGATCATCAGCACTGCTCTGTTGAAACGGAAAGGACTCGCACTCTTTGACTTCTACGACTGCTACATCGCAATGGCTCTATCTGCTGAGGAGGATCCACTCAAAAAGGACATGGTCGACAGCGAGCGGTGGTGTCGTGCGAGGTTCATGGTGAAAGACATGGATGTTGAGCCGCAGTGTATGCACGAGAACTTCGAGTATGTCTTCGAGCTCTATACCTGCTATCGCCAAGACTTTCTAGGTGAGCTATGATTTCTCCACATGCGTACTTGTGCTTAACTTTCTACGTCGTGAAAGACCAATTCGTTCAGCATTCTCTGATGGCCATCATGAAAGCTTGTGGCAAGCATGTGACGCAAAACGAGACTCCTATCTCTCGCTTGATTCTGAATACTGGAGCTCGTGGTCTACAAGAGTTACAGGACACGCGTAAGGAGGTGAACCATAGGCTATCTCCGCTGTGCGAGTACTGCGACCTCAGTCCCGATGAAGTTAGCGAGAATTCTCGCTTCCTCGTCTGCGGCGCCTGCAAGCGCCAGCTGAACTTTGAGCACTACTATTGCTCCAAGTGCGTTTCCCTTCTCTTCCCTTTACTCGTTCAAACCTTTGATTTTAGGGAGTGTCAAAGGTTAGACTGGCCCCAGCATAAGCTTGACTGCGGGAAGACGAAAAATTCGAAGAACCGTAACGAAGGCGTTCCAGAGTACAAACACTCACTTGCCTCAATCTTACAGCTCAGCACGCGTAGCAAGTACCCTAAGGCGGACTACTTGCTCTTCAAGATGGACGATGTCTGGGCTTTCGCTGCGACTTTTCTGCACGATAAAGCAAAAAGGGCGCTTTTCAGGGAAAAACGGGCGCTCGTCACCATCGGCGCGGATCGCGACGGTCTCGACATAGTCGCAAAGTGCTTGGTTGAGGCGGTAGTAGATTGGTCACACTCGTCCAAATTCAAGCTCACTAGGGAGAGCGTAATCCGCCAGCTCAGTGAGGAGTATGAGGTTGACGTAAAAACCTGTTTGGAGGCGCTGGAGGCGAATCTGGCAGCGAGTGGTGACGCGAGCCGATACAAGGGTATGACGATCGTCCTTTTGCCCGGAAAAATGGTCAAATTGACCAAATGACTACTTTGAGCGTACGGGCTCGATGGGTCGCTTGCTCGCTTATATCGAATTGTTACCAAGTTTCTGTATCAGTGAATTGTACATCATTGCAGCGATAGTACTTTGAGCCTTACTACTACCCATATTATCAAATGCAAGAATGTGTGCATACTGGCCGCAGGGATACCACAATTGGCTGTTCGAGGTTGATAATCAAGTAACACGTCGAGCGCATCCCAAGGATGTCGACGGGAGTTGGACAGCAGGAGACGGCAGGCCACCCTTAAAAAGTGCCGATCAGATTAGCGACACGCGACGCGTCCTCGAGGTGACCTCTCCCTGTTCTGCATCCCTGTTTCGGAAGACCACGTACTTGTTTTCCCCCGAAGAGTTACAAATGGATGAAAAGTTTCGTTGTCTTTCAATCTACAACCACCATCATGTCTAGCGCAAAAGACGATCCCCAGAACGCGTACCGCATGGACAACTCGGGCTCCGTCTTTGCCAACAGCTTCTTCCCTGTGACCAATGTCCGCAAGAGCCGCAACAAGTGGGTACGCGACTGGGACAAGGGCGTCGCCGAGATCTGTTCCCTCGAACGCGACGAGGAGAAGGACTGGTCAGAGGGCAGCATCTCCGTGTTTGGCTTTCTCTCCGTAAAGCTCAACATCAGTCGCCGCAAGAAGCTCGACCGACGCGACCATTTGACCATCCGCCATGCTAGGGACGATTGCGCGAAGCGGTACGAAGACGTCATCAACATCCTGAGGACTGTGAAGGACACTAGCGTTAGCCGGGGCGATCAACGCGAGTGGTTCTCGCTCATCAGCAACACGTCGAGAAGGGATATCATATGCGAGGGTTTCGAGGAGACATGCTGGAAATCATTCTTCGGCCAGGACGGGCGCATGCTCTGCCCCGAGCTCACCACTGCCGAGCTCACGAGGGATCGGGGACAGGGGCTTTTCGACTTCTTCGATCGATGTCTCTTGGCGGGCAACGCGGGCGGTGTTGAGAACTTCGAGAACGTTATCGTCCGCAGCGATTGGTGGAGAAGCGCGGAGGGAGACGACAAGATGCGGGCGCTCAACACGACTCTGGAGATCAGCAAGTGGTGCTACGAATACTGCACTTGCGTTCGCTATATGTTCCTCCGTGAGTACGCCCGCAGCCTCACCTTTTCGAATGTGCTAACCGACTACACATGATCCGTTAGTCGACTTCATCTTGCTTACATTGAGGCCTATAGTGGACAAGTGTCAAGGCGTCACCCAAGCCCTCACTGAGGAGTCCATGGTCGCTAACAGAGTGCTCTGGAACCTCGGGCCAGCTGCAGCCCAGGATCTCTTGAGTGAGCAGAAGAACGTGAACAGCCGCTTCGCACTCGGTTGTGAGCACTGCGGGCACAAACGGACGGATCGCGGAGCCAAGAAGTACAGAGTCTGCAAGAAGTGCAAGCAAACTCTGAACTTCAATGTCCCCTACTGCTCGATGTGCGTTGTACAGCTCCTTCTCATTCATGTTTCTGTTCACCGTTGTCCGCTTTTTCTTGCAGGAGATGCCAGAAAGCGCATTGGCCAGAGCACAAGCCTCGCTGCGGTAGAGAGAAGGTGTCGAAGAGCCGAGACGCTGGCCGCCCGGAGTACAGCTACTCGGTCGCGCTGCAGCTCCAAATGATGATGCATGAGAACCATCCGGTCGACTACGTTCTATTCAGCCGCGATACCATTCCGACGGGGTATATGGCCGCATTTCAAGACCAAACCAAGAGTGATATGTTTGGTGATCTACTCGACGTTCTGGTTGTCGACGCTGATAAGCCCGGTCTGGACGTAATTGCCAAGTGCCTCGTCGACGCTGTGGATGATGACGTGACTCTCCAATCAGGGATTACACGGGAAGATGTTATAATGCAACTCACGGAGGAGTTCGAGATTGACGTGCGTTCGCAACTGGAAGCGCTTGAGGCTAAGTTAGCTGTGGAGAACGATGAGGAAAGGTACAAGGGGATGCTTATTCAGGAACTCGTTGAGTATGACGACGAGGATTATTCTTCTGACGAGTCAGAAGAGTCGTTGGACTAATATTAGAAAGTCTGTTGAGGTTGGAAGTCGTTTTAGAACCTGATCCTTGCGAATTCATGCTCGTCTGATGCTTCACTAGTGTCGCATTTCGTGCTTTACTAATGTATGCCATATCCTTCTTTAAGTCAACTTTTTACTGAATAAATTTTTGGGAACAACAGATGGCGTGATATTTCCCTCTATTTACGGTGCTTTAGAATGGAGGAACATCAGAAAGGTTGAGGTGAACGAGGACTGAGATCGGGATAGGGGCTTTTTATGCTTTGCTCGCCTTGAGCTACCACAGCCACAGCTGATCCCTCTTACCGCAAATCCTTCATGGACGATGGACTCAGAGACGGTATTCCTCCCGATCAGCTTCAGAAGAGCGCTTACGAGCGCTCGCGAGATCCCAAGTACGCGCACCTTCTCGATAACAAGGTCTCGGTATGGGCCAACAAGGATGATGGCTTTCCAGTCACTGCCAATGTGCGGCTCGATCGCGTGAAGTGGGTTCGCGAATGGGACAAGGGCGTCGAGAAGGTGTCAAAGTCTGGTGCCAATGTTTTTCTGAAGATGGCCGATGAGAAGGACGACGGTCCGTTTCTCCATCGCATACTTGCCCGCCCTGACCACGACTACCTGCGTAATATGCGGTTCCGAGCCAGTCACAACCACCGGATCATTTTCCACCAGATTAGATCGAGTCTGGGGAACCCTGCACTCGCACGCTGCCTTCCCAAGGAGTGGTTCACAATCATTACCCAAGAGGAACGTCGCGATATCCTTAGCAAGGGCATCGAAGATGCTTGCTGGTCCAGTTGGCTCGGTCAAGATTCGCGCGTGCTCTGCCCCGAAATCACTGCCACTTTGCTATTGAGGCAAAAGGGGCTTGCGCTTTTCAATTTCTTCGACCGCTACACTGAAATCGCCTTGGCTTCCGAGCAGGACCCGTCTAAGAAGGATATGGTCGACAGCGAGTGGTGGTGCGAGGCTAGGTCTACGGTGCTGGACATGGAAGTTGAGCCAGACTCCATGCGGGAAAACTTCGCGTTTGCGTTCGAGCTCTACACCATGCATCGACAGAACTTCATCGGCGAGTCCCTTCCTTATCGTCACATACCCATTATTGACGATGAATAGACCAATTCGTTGCTTGCACTGTTCCGGTCATCTACCAAGCTTGTACTGAGTACATGACAAGAAGCAACTCGTCGATACCTCGTCTGATCTGGAATGCTGGTTCTCGGGGTGTCAAAGAAATCAAGGCTGCACGAAAAGAGTTCAGGAAGGGGTCAGGGCAGTCGTGCGAGTACTGCGAACGCAGTCCCGAAGAAATTGGCGCTAACCCGCGGTTCTCCTTCTGTGTCGCGTGCAAGCGTCAGCTGGACTTTGAGTACTATTACTGCTCAAAGTGTGCCCCTTCGCTTCTTCCGCCGATTGGTTACTAATCGACTTTGTAGAGAGTGCCAGAGAGCGGACTGGCCCCTACACAAAGCCCACTGCGGGAAGGAGAAAGTATCCAAAAGTCGCGATGAGGGTCGTCCTGAGCGCACGCCTTCGCTCGCGTTGGTTCTACAGTCTGGCATGTGGACAGAACACCCGGGGGCAGACTATTTGCTCTTCAGAATTGACGACTCCCTCGCTTTTAAGGCGTCATTCCAGAGCGATCCGGAGAAGCGAGCTTTGTTCACGGAGAATCGAGATGTGGCTACCGTCGACGCGGGTCGCGATGGAGTCTCCGTTGTCGCAAAGTGTCTCGTGGATGCGGTAGCAAGATGCAAAGATGCATCCACCTTCAAACTTAGCAGGGATGGGGTGATACGTCAGCTTACCGAAGAGTACGAGGTTGACGTGAGGTCACGGTTGGAAAAGTTGGAAGGGGATTTGGCCGCGAGTGGAGAAGGGGACCGGTATGTTGGTATGACGGTTATGCCTTTGTGGGAGACAAAATCCAAAATGGCCGACTGATTGATGTAAAAGTGAGTTTTGAAGTTCGGATGACTTGATTTGTTCGACTCAACAAATTCCCTTATCACCCAGTAAGGTGGCTTGTGACATTCCCGTTATTCATGATAACTCTCGTCGCATGTGCTGTGATATGTCTCTACCAAGCAAGTTTAAGGATCAACGTACATTTCCGGCACCCAATAAGTAACGAGGTTCTAGACGGTGTCTGTCAAAAGCCGTCCTCATGTCTGACCCTGAATGCGATGACTGGCTGTTATTCTGAGATCATTAGCGCTCGAGCTTACCAGGGCCGTCTTTTTATAGACGACACATCTGCTCTTTCGCTTGTGCCCCCCATCATGCCTCACAAGCGAGTCGACAGCGACAGCAGCGGTGACGAGGGCAACCCAGACTTCATCGACGACCTTGCATCTCACCTCGACCACTCGCAGAGCGACGATGAACATTTTCAACCCGGCGGCACTCTGATGCCCGAGCGGTTCTCCGGCCCGGCCATTGCTCAGGACAAACCGGACCTGCGTCGCACCTCTGACCCGCCGTCCACAGCCGTTGCACTCATGACGCCTAGTGAACGGTTCCGCGCTGCGGGGCGCAAGGTCATTCAGATGCACCGTACAGCGTCTCTTCTGTCTCGGCTAACGCGCGCGCCTACCACGAAGGGCTTCGAGCCTGGTATCGACCCGCGTCGCCACACCGCTATGCTCGCTTATGGACACTTACGCGCTCGCTGTGTCATCCAGGTTGCTGACTATTCCGCCCTCCGCACGTCCATCAGGCAGATGGGCAACGAGGAGTTCATCACCATGCTCAAGGACGCAGATGCCTCCGTGCTGGCGCCGTGGGCGAAGGTCCGCTGGATCAACATCAGAGGCATCAGCTGGGATGTTCTTAGTGAGCTCGCGCTCAGGTACGAGCTGCATCCGTTGGCGCTTGAAGATATCTTGCACCAGCGTGGACATGCGAGGTCGAAGGCGGACTACTACCCCACACAGCTGTTCATCCGCGTGCTCTGCCACTTACTGGGAGAAGAGGAGGAAGATGACGATCTTGCACAGTGTGCGCCCGAGGGGATGAGCACCAGGGCATCGTCGCCTGAGCCAATGCGGAGCTCGGATTATCGCAAGACGTATGACGATGATGAAGATACGCTCCATAGCATACCTTTGAAGACGTTCAAGGTGGATCCTGAAGCGCCTCATACAGATGAACACAAGTTCGTGTCGCCCGCCAGACGAGAATTAGCAGTAAGTCGTATCCTAATCTGCTCAGAGTTAATCCTCTCAAGGGCATCTGTTTACTATTACAGGCTCGAAGACGCCGAGAACGTGCTCAGACGGATATAGAAATACTGAAGAAAGAGGGCAGAGTGAACGTGAAGAGAGCGCAGATGTCAATGTTCCTTATGCGGGATGGTGCGTACTTGAAAGCCACATATTACAGCGCTACGGGTATTGAAATATTGACGCACTGGACTCTGGCAGGGACTGTGATCTCCGTCCTTCCATCAACAACGCACAACTTCACGGATCACATTATGGATCGTCTTCAGGTGGCCGATACAGTGCTGCGGAAATCCTCTGACCCGAGTTTGTTGGTGCAGAGCTTGCTAGACATAGGTCCGCTTACGCGCAACGCTCGTTACATGTGGTTCGCTGATGTCGATGCCTGCGTTCAGTCGTTGATTCCGCGTTGGACATTGTCGACGCTTACCACGATAAGATACTTGAGCTCGAGCACGATGCGCTTCTCAAGCCAAGTATGGATGTCATCCGGCGTCGTATGTATTATTCACATTGTCAACCTCCCGTTTGGCTGCCATATTCACATCTTGAACCAGTGCACATCCTTTCCGGTGATCTTTCCCTCTACAAACGCACCCTCGAACCGCTTAGGAGCGTCATCTACGGGCTGCGGCGATACGACCTTGAACGATGCATAGCCCTTGCGGATGAAATGGCGATATCCCCTAGCTCTAGCAGGCATAATACGATCTCCGGCAGCCAGTTTATGAGGGAGCCCTCATCGTCCACACCTCCGGTGGACTCACCGCATGCAGGGCACTCGGATGCGGCCAAGGCGCGGGTAAAGGGGTTCATGAGTCCCAAGTCGAAAATATACCTGGTGCGCTTTCATTACGCTTGGTTCTGACCCATTAATGCATGTCGTTAATGCGCAATTGGACAGGCGGACGTGCACGATCATATGGAGTACATTCTCGGGAACATAGAGATGTTTTCAGGAATAGCTGAGAATCTCATTCAGTATACGTTCAACGTGCGTGTCCCAGTGTCGGGTGTGCGGCTCACTACTAAAATCCCTTGGCCTGTCACGCAAACAGATAAAATCCTACGAGATGAACCAGACCATGCGCCGCTTGACGCTCATTACGATTATTTGTCTCCCACTCACCTTGCTTTCTGGATACTTTGCAAGTCGCTCTACAACCTTCCACTTTCTTCGATACTAACGAGTTGTGTAGGGCATGAACTTCGTCAACATGTGGTCTGTAACGTACCACACCGACTGGCTGTACGGTTTCTCTCTGCTGGATCCTCGAGATATGCTCACATCTGCTCGCAGCTACTGGGCCATAGCACTTCCCATCATGGTCGTTGTTATTCCCGCGTTCACAACTCCGGACTTGGTACGGATGGCAAATTATACCAAGAAACGGATCCACGCATGGCGAACGGGCCAGGTAAGCGTGTTTCTGGGCACGCCTTTGATCGCACCAACTGACGCCCGCACAGCCATTTGGCTATCGGTACAAGCGACGGTCATAGCACGACAATGGTTTTACTAGGGATAGTTTGTTTCACGGTTTAAAGCACATGCCAAATTTTCTTTTCCGGTTGTATCTTTCATCAAATCGTAGGATGTAGCTGGGGTTAAGAGTCGCCTACGGTGCTGTTGAAATCAATTAGTTAAAAGTTTGAACCATGCACTGAGATCCAACCATGTTGACGACTCGGAGACGAAAAGGCATGTTGGCACACCGAATATAAATCGTTCTCGAAAATCCAATGATGCACAGAGTCATGAGCGTATGATAATCAAACTGGCACCCTCTCAGCGCTTGGTTGACCTTCCCGAAGTCGCGTCGTTCGTCTGAATATAATGGATATGATGTCCTTAATTTCTCGGACACGTGATAGACATGGGCGAAGGCGCGTCATATACCATCCGGAGCTTTTAGTCCTCAGCAAGTCCCTGTCGATTAGTGGTTAAATCACCCCGTTGTGGAATGCACAGGACCGTGGAGCCGCAGGTTCAATTCCTGCCAGGGACAATACTTTTCTTGTCCCTCGTCATGATGTTGAAAGACGACAAGTGATCTTTTGTGCATGGCTCAAGAATGGGCCTCTAAAACAACTATTTTAATGTGTCCATATTTATTCTAACTATACAGGACTCATACATAGCCTTGTGTTATCGTCGGAGCACTAATCGTACGTCACATTAGGCTAATATTATAAAAACACATCCAGCTAATCTCTAAAAAGACTACGAAGAGTGTGCGCAACGTGCGCCATGTCATCGTACACCACGTCCCTAAATCCCAACGAAGCTGCAGCATCCGTATTCTTTGCTTTATCATCGAGGAACACAGACTTACGAGGGTCAATCCCCGACTCCGCGATGACGTGCTCGTAAAAACCGATCTCGGGTTTGCATAACCCCACCTCGGCGGAGATGAACACCCCGTCGAACACCGCCCAGTCGTCGAACCGCGTCAAGAGGTCCTCAAAATCCGGGCTGGATATGTTGGACATCAACAGCACTTGGAACTCTTCCGCAGACCCAGACCTGGCGTGCGCACGACGACGCGCCTTGATATCGCGGATAATTGCGAGCAGCTCCTCGTTGACATGCAATGTCGGCCGCGCCTCCGCGTAGAAGCCCTCCACGTCCGCCTTGGTGAGGCCCGTCTCGCGCGAGACGGCCTCGCAGAAAACGTCTCCGTCGTTTATCCTGCCGCATTCGTAGTCGTGCCATGCGGCGGAGGAGAAGAGCGCTTTGCGACTGAGCTTGGAGGCGGCGGGCGGTGTCCATGTAAAGAGGACGTCGCCGATATCGCAAACTAGAGTGGTGTACTGCGGAGAGGCATGTGAGGCCATGGAAAAAGAAATATGGCGAGTCGCGCTGAGATAAACTCAGCAAGAGCTAAATAGGATGCTTTATATGCGCTTCAGTTGGTTAGAATCCGGTGCAATTCATTATGACAGCGGTGGGATAGACATCAATGCCCCAATAATGGTGGCTGCCATTGGACATTTCTCTTTCTCGTGGGCGTCGAAACCCCTGAAGTGCATACGAGCGCGATTGTTTGCAACGACCGAGTTGACCGAGCAGAACCATAGCTGTCCTTGAAACCAATGTCTCCAGTGCCTCGCCGGAAAGCGCCCACCAGAAGCGTCTTACACCAGGGCGCCCGCCAGAAGCATACCGAAGCTCCCATCTGCGCACTTTTTGGCGCCCATACCTGTGGCTCATCGAACGCATTTTGCCGCACCAGACGGGATAGATCCTAAATGCCCGTCTACTCTACGTCGTCCGCTCTGATCGTGTCGTGGCGCACGTCCTGAGTCGACCTTTTGTGGTGTCTCGGTCTTGTTGGGGCGAGGATCGGTTTCGTTGACATGTGAGCGGCTGTTTGGGGTCGGATTCTGAATAGTCTGGATATCACATCGTAAGCTTATCCGGGTGTTAGCAATCAGCAGTGGAATTGAAGTGCCCGGAGGACTAGTATTATTTGCGTATAGGGCAACCCGGCAGCGTCTCGAAGTGCCGTATGCTGATGCGTTTTATCCCTGACAGAAGTTTATGGATTATTATTAACATCTGATAGCTCGAACAAGTGGGGTGTTTCTATACTGCCTCACAAACAACTCGCCAAGTGGTCTAGAATCCTCTCGGCACTAGCTGACCGAGGCTTGATCTGACACTTGAACGGAGCGGGATGGCTAATGACGCATTATCAGACGTGTCAGCTGCAAACCGAGCCTAAAACACAGTGAGACCAACCTGATTATGCCTGGTATGACCCCAATCTTGGGCAACACCTCCTTCCCGTTCTCCCCTACCACCGGTGCGATGTCAAATACAGACAAGGTCATAGCGATGGCTAAGCTCAGCGATAGCTCCGCAACGTGCATGCCAGGACAGATGCTGCATCCAAGGTACAATATCTTGTCAGCCGGAATGGATGAGTGCGAGGTGACGGACGAGCCCCGCTTACCGCCTGCCGTACCCGAAACAGATAGTGCGCGGGTCCGTCTGGGGGGTCGCACCGAGAAAACGTTCGGGTGCGAAGGCTGATGGATCGGGGTACACGTCTTCGTCGCGGAGCATGGCCCTATCAGACGAAACGCGTTTTCAATAAGAAGTACGTCTGAGGCTGCAGCACGCACCATAGGTTCGCCTGGACGATCGAGCCCTTCGGAATGAAGAACCCGTTGTATACGTCGTCCTCTGTTGTGCAATGGGGGAGCCCTGCGCATTGAATGGGTGATATATAACTTAGGATGTTAGCAGAGGGAAATGATGGAGAAGGCCTACCGAGGGGTGCGACAGGAAACCAACGCAGGGTTTCCTTGGATAGAGCTTCGATATACGGTAAAGATGGGAGATCGTCGGCAGTAGGCAGGCGGTCCGGTCCAACGGCGGCGTCGATCTCTGCTTGGGCTTTACGCTGAACATCGGGGCGGAGGGTCATCGCGAGGTAAAACGCATAGATGGAAGAGACGGTCTGAAGGGCGAATCAGCAACTGTTATGTCTAACGGATTTTGTGACGCACTGTATCTGATCCCGCTGAGAAATGGCGTTTAGATTCGAACACGAAAGGAGGTAGGACAAGGAGACCCACCGCCATACAGCGTTGAGGCAGACCATTTGATTATATCTTCCTGAAGAGCGTCACCGCCGTACTTCTCAATGTTCATAAGACAGTAAGACGGTTGAGCAATACCCAGCTCCTACGTCCCGTACTGAGTCATGTTAAAGCTAAATGCCGGGACTTTGACTTACCATCTGCTCTTTGGCGTACGCCCAGGGTCTCTCCAGGTAGTCCATCACGTTCTGGCGATACTGATCGGCGAGTCGCTTCCATCGTGTGCCGGGGAACCACGCCGGGACATACCGCACTATGCACAGCAATGAGCTGTCACCCCACATGAATGTATAAGTTATAGTCAGGAACTCACACCAAGGAATGATATCGACCAAGAAAGCACCGGGAGTCGCGGCGTAAGCAAACTCCACCAGCACCTGCTCCACGAGCTTGATGAGACTATCGTCGGCCCCTTTGGCGTCGTATCCGTAGCCAAGTTTAAGGATGATGGCACCTATTTCTCTAAGAGTGAAGATTAAGTTCGGTCATGTCAAAAGCAATAAGCATACGAGAATTTGGCGTACAGTCGGACGTGCTCGTTCAACTTCTCGGGAGAATGGAACACGTTAGCTATGAAGCGCTTCGTCTCGTGCTCGATTGTAGCAGCATGACGCCTCGCTGCTGCGCGAGTGCCCATGAACTGGTGCATCATGGTGCGGTAGCGACGATACCGATCGCCGTACTGCAAGAGAGACATGGAGTTCTTGTGTCCGACGAGCTCGCCCACCATGGGTAGTACAGGACGGTTTGAGTATATGCTGCTTTTCTTATCCAGCAGTTCGATGGCTTCGTGTGGGGAGTTGAGGAAGACGATAGGTTGGCCGAAGATGCTGATCGATGAGATTGGACCTGGCATTACAAGTCAGCGGGGCGGTATTTACCGTTCATGTGCGACTCGCCGTATTGCTTCTTCCAGGCAGCAAAGGTGATCCAGGGAGAGGACGAAGGCATATCAAGCAAATTACCGATGAGCGGCCATGGCTTCGGTCCAGGGGGAAATGGCAGCATTGAAGTCCTTGTGTAGAGCTCCCTAAGCAGAAAGAGCGCAAAGACGGCGACTGTGGCGTCAAGACAATTCCACGCGCTCAAAGGCATGATGATGCACGAGAAGTCAAGTCGTCATACAGGATTCTAGATGCATGTTTATATATGTCGGGGTGCTGCCACAGAGCCGGTATTGCTGCCAGGGTACAGAGTCAGAGACAGAGTTTACTTTGTCTTCTATCGACAGGCACAATTCGTTAGAAGGCGCGTAGAACGTTCCCCGGTGTCATTACGAGTGGTGCAGTACAATGGCTAAGCGCAGGATGGGCTTATAGTCTCCAAGCAGCGTCTCCTGTAACGGGAAGCCATCAAAGACCTCTACATATTAGGGGCGCATAAATCGAGCTGGGTGAGGAGATAGGCAAGATTGGAATGTAGGAACGTTCTGTCGTGATCCGGAGATAGCCCATGCAGAGAGATATGCCCTGTTCGCTGGTTGGCAATGAAGCTTGAAGAACGTTCCCAGCCGATATCCGACTCTGTGGAAGAACATAGCTGTAACCCGAAAATAAGGCTTCAAAGATGAGTGATTTCACAAGAGCTTCGGGGAGGAAAGCCTCGTGATGGCGGAGGACATCAGGGCCGGGAACTGTGTCCGTGCCAAGAAGATGCTCGCGTAAGAGGCCGGATGCGGCGGGGGAAGTTGGTCATGTTGTGGGAGTCATCCAATGATCCATCGGACGCTGACTCGGCCGTTCGCGATGGCAAGCAGAGGTCTCAGTCCAAGATATGCTTACCTTAGATTTCGTTGGGAACCGACCCAAGTCCGATCCATCACGCTCTCTTTCCCACTTCCCCCCTCGTCCGCCCATAGACTAATTTGACGATGAGCAAGATACAGCAGCCCAAGACGACCAACGTGCTCACTTCGCCCGAGCCAGACACCAAGATCCATCCCGTCTGGGAGTACACCGAGGAGCAACAAGCCCAGATCAAAGACCTTCGCGAGGTGCGCGTCTGTTCTTCGCCCTTTGCCCTCTCCAGCTTTCTCAGACGCGTGTTTGCACCAAAGTATGCTGCATCTATCACGCTCCCGGAGTCGGACCCGTATTATATCTGGGAGCAGCGCTTCCTCAACAAAGCCGAGACGATTCCTCGGTATATGCGCGCCGCCAAGTGGAAGATGCCCGACGCCCAGAAGCGCATCAAAGGTACACTGGAGTGGAGACGCGAGTACAAGCCGGACCTAATTCCGCCAGACGATGTGCGTGTTTGGTTATATGCGTGCCTACCAAGGGCAGTACGCTCATATGGAGAACGTCCTTCGATGGTTTAGGTCAAGATTGAGGCTGAGACTGGCAAAATGTACGGCCGACGCGCGTTAGACGCCCTGCTGCCCATGCTCATTATTTTACCCCGTCCAGCATCCTCACGGGCTTCGACAACGATGGTCGTCCCATAATATATATGCGTCCCGGAAATGAGAACACGGAACGGAGTCCACGCCAGCTGAGACATCTCGTGTGGTGGTTGTGTGTCTTATCTCCCCTGCGGACGTTTTCAAATGCCTAATGCTGCTCATACAGAGAACGCGCCAAAGACTTCCAGCCTCATGGACAAGAGTCCATTGTCATTATTGTAGATTACAAGACAACGACCTTAAGAACCAATCCCTCCGTATCTGTAGCCAGCAAAGTAAGCCCTTTTGCACCCTAATTATTATGTTTAGTTTATTCATCTGCCTTCGCAGGTCCTCACTATCCTTCAACAACACTACGTCGAGACGCTCGGCCGCGCCATCGTCACGAACCTCCCTTTCCTTCTTAATTTCTTCTACAAGGGCATCTCGCCGTTCCTTGACCCCGTCACGCGCGATAAGGTCCGTCCTCCGCCCAGTTTATCATTGTGCCTTGTCCTATCGCTGACGGAATCCTACGGGTGTACGCAGATGCGCTTCAACCCAGACCTCGTCGAGCTTATACCCAGCTCCCAGCTTGACGCCGAGTTCGGCGGCGAATATAACTTCGAGTACGACTTTGAGACGTACTGGAAGCAGATCGTCGAGTGCGTCCCTGTCCCCGTTTCTTCATCCGCGCGCCCGCCTTGACAAAATTGACGCATGTCAATCGATCCGAATAGCTTTTGCGGCATCGCCCCCGACGGCACCCGCCTCCCCGGCTACTTCGACGGCCCCAAGCGCGGCTCCCAGCCCGTCTCCGAGCCGGAAGCGGCGAACGCGGAAGAACCGTGCGTGCTCTGTTATGTTTATCTGGGATTGTCACCCGGCATACATCTGACCTCGACTTTCTTTCGGCCAGCTCACCGATCCCCCAAGAAGAGAACGAGAACGACAGCGGTATCGCCACCGCCAACGGGTCCCCCGCGCCCTCGTCCGCGACCGCGTCCGTCGAGTCAGCAGAGAGCGGCATTCCGGAGGCCAAGGCTGCACCCGACGTCGAGGAGGCGCCCGTGGTTGCAGGGGCTGCTGTTGCTGTCGTCGTTGCTTGATGAGATGTGCGAGGATTATAGCGTTTGCGTCAGCGTCCATCTAGATTTTAATTGTTTGTTCGTTGCGCCCGAGTCGCTGTTTTACTACCCTAGGCGAGCTGTAGGATGCCTATATATCACCCCTTATTATAAGCTTAATTTATAGACTCTGTTTGTGCATATGTCAACCCCTTGTCTATCCTCAAAGTAACCAGACTAGTCTCTTTCGTTGATCCACCGCCCAAGTCAAGTTAGAAGTCCAAATCAAAGATAATGTTTTTGCTCAGCCTCTGTAGGACGAGCGTGGTATTAAAAGCGCGCGAATGCGAATATGCATAATGGACAGCGGGGAGGTCAAAGTATGATAAGACCAGATAGACGAGATTGATTGTCTATGTTATAATATAATGACGATGAGAGTCCGAGCGTGGACGTGATTATAAGAGAGGCCAAGAGAGAAAGCGAATGTAAAGGTGAGAAGAGCGAAAAACAAATGTCAAGAACGAGCGAGCGAGCGAATGAGTCAGTAGTAATAAAGTCAGATCAAGTGCGTAGGCAAGAGAGCGCTAAGCTGAGGGTAAAGATGAGAAAAAGACTAGCTAGAAAAAGGAGCGACTATAGCTTGTAACGAACTCGCGGAAGTAGGAACGCATTCTAGTGACGCATGCTAGGTATGTGCACCGGTATACTCTACAACTCGGGCCTGGAGGATAGAATTGTGAAAGCGGAGGCTGAAAAGTCAAGTCAGGAAAGAGAGTATAACGTCGCATCAAGAGGGTTTACTGGCGAAATCAAACGAGGGGCGAGGGCGAGGCGAAAGGTGATGTATGATGTTTGATGTGACGAGAACTTCCATCCTTTTTTCTTTGCGAGATTCCAATCAAATGCAACGATGACCCAGATTCTTCTACCGAAGTCCAGTCTTCCAGCTCGACGGCGGGCCCCTGCCCGGCGTCCTCGCAGGACTCGCGCTCGCGCTCCGGAGCTGCGCGAGTCCGGGGCCGGACGACGGACCCGCAGACGACGACGGACCGCTGGCAGGCGTGCTCGACTTGCGCTGGCGCGCCGCCTGCTGCCCGCCAGGACCTCCACCACCGTACGCGCTCATCGCGCTCCCGGGGTGCAACATGCTGCTCCGCGACCCAGCAGTGGCGGGCGGCCCGAAGCTCTCGCCGTACACGCTGCGCGCGCCCCATCCACCGCCTCCGCCTCCGCCATACTCGCTCCCGCCGTAAGCGGACTGCGACGACGAGCCGGGGTACATCCCGTATCCGCCCATCATCATCGGCGGGGGCATGCCGAACATGCTCCCACGGACATTGTTCGAGCCGCCGTTCGACGGGCCGTACGCGCTCGCCGCCGACGAGAACCCACCGCGTCCACCGGCGTCGCTGTCCCTGCTGGACGCGGGCCCGCCGACATTGGACGCGCGCTCCCATTCCTCGCCGGCGGCTGCGATCGCCTGTTGCGCGACGGCCATCTGATACGCCTGCTTGGCGACCATCATCGCGTGCTGGTGCGCCGCCATCATGCCCGCGTTCTCTTGCATGTTTTGCGGCATCGGCGGGAGGTTGATCTGCGGCATCGGGGGCATGTTCATCCCCACGCCCATGTTCATGTTCATACCCATGTTCATGTTGGGGTACATCATCGGAGGCATGTGCATCTGGCCCATGGGCTGCTGCCAGCCCCAAGGACCGTAGGCTGACGTGCCCGTGTTCATGGCCGTCATGGCCGTCATGCTCATGCGCGGGTCGGCGGGCGCACCATGGTCGTCGTCTTCGACGATCGGTCCGCGGCCGTTGACGAGTTTGCCGAACTGTGCACACAAAAATGTCAGTCACAATCGCAACGTGTCTCACACACGACAGCGACAAGAAACCAAAGCACACCTCAATCGCAGCCTTCGCCTCGCTCCTCCTCCTCTCCCGCCTCCTCGCCTCCCGGTCCTTATCATCCTCTCCCACATCCTTGCGCCCACCAGGTGCAGGCGTAAGATCCACACTAACACGCTTCCCGCGCCTTATCGCGCCCGCCGTCGTCCTGGCGCCCACCTCACTCGCGCTCGCACTGGCAGCCCCGCTGACACTCGCACTGTAGCTCGCCGAGGCAGACGCCGACGTCGACGAATCATACCGCCCGCGCGACCCACCATGTCCGCCCACAACACTCCCAATCTCACTCCCGTCGCGCGGCGTAAACGGCGCACCGCGCCCACTACTGCTGTCCCCCGTCGAGCTTCCCGCCGGGCTGCGGTTCGCCGCCGTGGCAAACGGCCGCGCGGTCGTGGCCGTGGTCATATTGCTGAGCGCAGGATTCGACGAGGAGCGGCCGCGCCCCCCGCTTTGGCTCTGGCTCTGGCTCTGGCTCTGGCTCTGGCTCTGGCTTTGCTGCTGCATCTGCATCTGCCGCACAAGGTGTTGGTTCTGCAGCGCGGAGCCGTACGACGACGCAGACGCTTTGCCGGCGAGGGACGGCGCGTCTGGGACGGAATCGATGAGAGGGGCAGAGCGCTGCCTGCCGCCACTGCGGGGTTGGCTGGACGCGCCGGTGGCGCTTGACATGACGGACGCGGCGTCGCTCTGTGACTGCGAGGACTTGGAGACCGCGCGCGAGCTGGGCATTGCGTTCGGCGACAGTGACAGCGACGGCGATGGGGAATGGAACGGGGAATTACTGGAATACGCGACAGAGTCCACGCGCGGGGGTGGCTTCATCACTTGCGGGTCCCTCGGTCTTGCTGTCGCTGTGGCAGAAGAAGTGGCCAGCGTTGGTGGGGTGAGCGTCGACGCGGGCGTAGCAAACGACGACACGGGCGAGGCCGTGAGCTCCTTGGCGAACGCTGGAGAGCCAGACGACGACGCGGCCCTGGTGTTCACCGGCGGTGCCAGACCAGGCCCACGCGCGGTCTCGACCGAGTCCGAGGCAGCATGTCGTTGCGCGGGGCGCGAAAGCACGCTGAACGCCGCGGGCGGCTTGCGCTCGCGCACGGGCGTGGGGACGATGCGGTCTCGCGGCGAGGGCGATGGCCCACCGTCATTTCTCTTTTCCTGCTCTTTCCCTCGTCCTTCTCGCTCCTGCTCTCCCTGCTTCTCCACCACCTCCCTCTCCTGCTTCTCCACACCCATCCCCTTCCCAACCCCACTCTCACTCCCACCCACCAACGCCCCCACACCCGCACCAAGCGGTAACGGCATCGCCGGGGACATCACACTCGGCGACCCCATCGGCGTCGCATACATCGACCCACCGCCCGGCGTCCCGCTCCCGTCCTGTTGCTCTCCCTGCCCCAGCCCTGCCCCCAGCCCCGCTTTACTCGGCGGCGGCGGCAGCGCGAGCTCCAGGTCCGCGTCGGCATTGAACGACGACACAAGCCGTATAGCCGCCATAAGCTCCTCGTCATGGCTGTGCGAGCTGCCGCTGCCCGCAGACAGCGGCGACGTAACGATCACGCCCGCGGACGCGGAGCGCCGGCGCGCGGTTTTGTCTGCCGCAGTGCCGGCGCTAGTGTGCGCGGGGGCCTGGCCCGTGCTCGGGCTTGGGCTCGGTGCGGGTGGAGGAGAGGTGACGAGGCTCGGTGCAACGGGCTTGACCCTCTCTTTCTCTCTTTCCTTCTCCCTCTCTCTTTCCTTCTCCCTCTCTCGTTCTTTCTCCCTCCTCTCCTTCTCAAACGACACCGGCACAGGCACCGAACCAGCCTTCCTCCCTCCCACCGGTGGATGCCCAGGACCAGGAAACACAAGCGGCGACTTCTCCGCCAACGGCGACGACCTGCTCGGCACCGCCGGCATCGACATCGACATCGACATCGTCGCCAGCGTGCCCGTGCCCAGCGGCATCGGCGGCGGCCTAAACGGCTCGTCCTCGCTCCCGTTCCCATTAATCCCATTAATCCCATTAACCCCATTCCCACTCCCCTTGCTCCCACTTCCATTCGGCCCAACCCCACGCACAACAAGACTCGAGCTCGAGCTCCCCGCAGCAGTCGACGCGCCCACGAGCTGATGAATGTCGATCAGCGGTCGCGCGGGCATGCGCGGCCGCCCCGCACCCGCACCCGCGCCGGATGCGGCGGAGCGCCCCGAGGCGGCGCTGCCTGGGCGTTTTGGCGCGACGAGCGCGGAGAGGGGGAGGTCTTCCGAGTCTGAGCTTGCGCCGGAGCTGCTGCTGCTGCTGCTGGAGGATGATGCGGATGGGGGGCGGCGCGGGAGGGATTTCGGGGGTGCTGCTACTTGTGCTGAGTCGATTTGAGTTGAGTCGAGTCGAGTTGAGTTGAATTGAGACGGAGATGAAGAGAAAAAGGGAGAGGTGGGGTTGATTAGTATTTCCGTGCATACATGAGTCCGCAAGAAGTGGAGAAAAGAGAGGAAAGGAAAGGAAAGGAAAGGGAGGAAGCGACTCACCCCTGCTCCCCGCACCGCTGCCTCCACCGCTACTGCCAAACAACATCTCGCTCTGTGCCTTCGACGGCGCCGGCCGATGCTGCCCCTGCCCCTGCCCCTGCCCTTGCCTCGCATTCCCGCTACTGCCAACCGCCTTCCCAAAGTCCTGGCTCTGCGACCGCGCACCCAAATTGCGCGCGCCCGTAATCGTGCGTTTGCGCCCGACACCCCCCTTGCCCCTCCCTCTCCGCACCGGCTCGCCGTCGCTGTCCACTTCCTCCCCGTCGCTCTCTTCTTCGTCTTCGTCTTCGTCAGACGAAGTGTCCACCGCGCTGTTCTTGTTATCGAACGCGCGCACGGGCAGCGCGGCCACTGCGCCCACCGTCGACGCGCGTTTACGCCCCATCGAGCCTGCGTTGGCGCTGGCGAGCGTATCAGTGGCGCGCAGTGTATCCTGGCTCGGCGGGCGCCCTCCTCCTTGTCCAGCACCAGCACCGGCACCGGCACCAGCACCGATACTACTCCAAGCCCCCGCCCCAAACAACGGCGACTCGCTCCTCGCCACAGGCGACGGCAGCTGCTGCATGCCCGGCGCAGCCGCGGCGCCAAACGCCGGCGAGGCAGCGCGCGAGCGGCGCGCCTGCGCCTCGCGGAACGCGGCGACGGATATGCGCTGTGACGTGTCGCTCGCGCCGCTGTTCTCTCTCGGGCGCGGGCGCGCGGGCGGGGTGAGGTTGTAGTAGCTGCCGCTGCCGCCGCCGTTGTAGTTGTTATAGCTCGAGAGCGACGACCCCGGTCTCTCCGTCGGTGTCGCGGGCGAGGTGGCGCGGACGTGGCGGAAGGATTTAAGGTTGAACTCGCTGTCCTGCTGCTGCTGCTGCTGGTGATGGGGAGCGGAAGCAGACGCAGAAGGGACAGGCGATCCCATCGCCGAGCTCGTGGGCGAGACGGACGAGCTCGCGACGGACGCGGCGGCGCTCCCGGGTACAGACGCCTTGGAGCGCGTGCGCTCGCGTACCCAGCTCATGAGCCCGCTCTTCTTCGGCGTCTTGGGGTTAGGACTGCCGCTGCCGCTGCCCCTATCAGCACCTGAGCCTGCGCCAGAGCCGGAGCCGAGACCGGGGACAACGAGTCCAGCCGGACGCGCAGACGGCGTCATACCGTGCGCCTCGCTCTTCGCGGCGCGGAGGGGCGGGGACGCGGCGGGGAACGACGCGGTGCTGCCGTGGCTCTCGTTGCGCGCGTGCCCGGCGGGTCCTCGCTTCTTCGGTTTCTCCTTTGGATGATGCGGCCCGTTGGAATCCGACGGCAGCGAGTGCGTGGAGCCAGGGGGTCCTCCGCCATTGAACAGCGCGCCTTTCTGCGGGGGCTGCAGGCTGTTCGCGCTGTCTCCGTTGTTGCCGTTGTTACTGTAGCTAGCACTGGTGGTGGGGCCCGTGGCGAAGGTGAACTGCTGGTAGGGCGACAAGGACGGACGTCTGGGCCGGTCAGTGTCCGCGGTGGTCGAGGCGCTGCCTGTGCTGATGAGGCTAGAAGCGTCCTGCTGCTGTTTCCGACGGAAAGGGAGTTTCAGCTTGCTGCTCGACGGCGTGCTCTGCTGTTGCTGCTGCTGCTGGGCGGCAGCGACGAGGGAGGGGAGGTCGGAGCGCGAGGAGGTGCGGTCGGGGAAGACGTAGTCCTCGGCGGACTCGAGCTCGGATGTGACGGCGAGGGATGCGGAGGACTGGGCTGCGGGGTTGTGGCGGGCGTGGAGGTAGGAGGTGTCGGCGTCGTTGCGAGGTGGAGCGGGTCGTTCTCGCTTGAGAAAGCCGGAGAGCAGGGGCATGTAGTGTTCGTGATTAAGGGGTAATTATTAGGTATGAATGTTGTGTTCCGGCGGGGATGAGAGGGGGACGGGGGCAGCGTGGAGTGGTGAAGGGGGTAGGAGAGGAAGGAGGAGAAAGGGAGAGTGAGTCGGGAGGAGGAGGAGAGGGAAGACGTCAAGATTCGCTTGACTGATTCAATTATTTTTGATTTTGTCAACAAATGTTATCCCTTCCAAATACGGAGTTAACTGCTGCCCACCTGTTTGCTGGCTGTCTTACGCCGTTTGCTCGTGTCCAGACAACGTTAGAGGCAAGAGGAGGAGTGGGTGGAGGGAGAGCAACCAGGTTTGTATTCTACTCTATAGACTCCCATGAGCATGCAAATCGTTTTCCAGAGTTTGATCTCGACTCTTCCATTTCCCAGGTGCAGTCGTGTCTCCTCCCAAGATTGCGAAAATGGCTCACCACCGCATGCTGCTCGCCTGTAAACATAGTTCTCGCCCCCTGACAAGCCTGTAGGTCGCAGTTCTCGCTCACACTCTCCCCTTTCCAGTTTTCGGCCGTAGTTTGCGAGCCAGAGCCGTCGGGATTGACTTGGCTATGATGCGATCCGATACCGACATGTCCATCCTCTGCTCCCGTGCCAACGAAAGTGGTGAGATCGGGCGCCTGTGTCGAACGTTCTGGCAGACACTGACGACATCCACGTCAATCATTCAATGTCACCATGTCACTCCTGAAAGCCGTCTTCACGCATCCATTCATTCATCCTTCATCCACTCCATACTCCACAGCGTTCGTCCTCAACGTGGATGGCCGATCATGATTCTGCAGTTCCGGGCTCTTCGCTGTTAACGATGCGCAGCAAGTACTACCTCTAGTGTGCGCTAAGTCGTCAATCCACCCCAGTGGGCCACGACGCGAATCTGTCAGCTAGTAATTACCCGAGTCGCCGACGGTACCGAGCTTTCCGACGAAACGCCGCCAGGTACTTTCCCCGTCGCACTGACCAAAGCATCTAGAGCTTTCGCCTTGAAATTTACAAGGTCTGCAACCTGCAGGGACTCGTTCAGTCTCCTCAGCAATCAACCCGGGAGGCACAAGGGGTCCTTGAGATTTCGGGTCAATATCAATGCTTAATAGCTGTTGGGCTTGAGCAGCTGAATGAGCAGAGCGCAGACCACTTGGTCGAAAGCTTGGGAGTCGGGAGAGGCGCTAGACCGGTTGCATTTGGTAAGCACACCCTCGATCGAGCTGCGGAGAATCGTATTCGACAGTGCAGGGTTGTTGAGGAACAGGTGCCAGGATGAACGTATGTAGTCGAGCTGATCTACTTCTTGCGTTGAAAATATGACGAGCGCCATTCGAGTCTTCCAACGGCGATGCACGGAGGTCTGTGCTGCGGTTCCGCCCATGTCGGTAGGGTTAAGAATACTTATGTCGTCCGGTGCCGGGTGTGCTTCTTTTTCTAAGTTTAACACAAGTATATGCGATAAGATGAGGTTCGTGCAGAAGGCCATAGTCTTCTCCTAGCCAAAGTTTCTCCTTTATAGTCTAGAAAACCAGCACCAGAGCGCTCTAAGTCATCATAGCAGAGGGAGTTGTATGAGAGGAATATGTTTGAACTCATGGATAAAGTTTAGCCTGGCGTTGAGGAATTGCTGTACAGGGACGGAACCAATTACGTCGCTGGCCCCTTTGCGACATCAGACCACCTTTGCCCCCTCCTCCTCCTCCCCCCTCGCCTCCTCCTCTTGCACTCAAACACCCCTTTGCCGACTCCTGAGTTGAAGCAGCCGTGGAAACCGAGCTCAAACACCGCGGAATCCTAGCAACCGAACCGACTACTGCGCCGGCAATTGCAATAGGTTCGTCTCTCGCAAATCACGGTTCACATTCAGTAGCGTGTTACGGCAACGACCAATAAGCATTTACTTTCATTAGAGTAAAATGGCTCCAAGCTTCTTCTCCAAGCTCGTCAAGCCCCCGTCCACGCCAAACACCAACACTCGCGACGGCCTCCCCTCCTCCTCCTCCTCCACCTCGAGCCACCCCTTCGCCTCCTTGGACCCCTTTGCGAACGCCGCCCCCTCTTCTCGCGATCCTTCTTCTACCCAGAGCTCACTCGACGTCACTCGTTTCCCTTCCACATCCACCTCACCACCTCCCTCTGCTCGCAACTCCACATTCAACTCCAACACCAACACCAACTCCCACACTCACCAGCGAACCTCATCCAGCACCAACCCATCCTCAATAACCTCAGCAACGTCCACATCCCAGCTCGGCCTCGGCATGCCGTCCCTCCCATACACGCGCCAGCGCACACAGACGATGCCTGCCACCGCCCAACCACCCCAAGGCGCCAAACTATCTGCCACCAGCCCCGACGACAAGAGGCGCGTGAGCGGTGCCAGCGGCGGCGGTGGCAGCCCGACTACCGGCAGGCGCAGCGGCGCACGCACGCCGGACTCGACGAGCACGCGCGAGAGCGTGCAGATTGGCGTCATACCGCCCTCCCCGCGCGCCGCGAAGCTGCAGTTCGACAACGCCATGACCAAGTCCCCCACCACCCCCAACGCCAACGCCAACGGGGGCGGCGCGCAGGACGTCATAGGGCGCGACTACGCACGCGGGCCGAACGCCAATCCCACGAACGCCAATTATAACAACAATAATCCTGCGAACGGCGTATACGGCTATGACCCTAACCTACACCAACACCAGCAACAGCAAGCCCCGCTGCGCCGGCCCAAGTCCCAGGAACGCTCCGTGCCCGACCGCCACGCGCTCTCGTACGCCATGATGCGCCCCGCGACCGCCGACGCGCTCGGCACGCCCGACGACATTCTCGCCACCGCCAACGGCAGCGCACGGGCCAGCCAGAATTTAGACGAGTGGGGCGGATTCGTCCAACAGCGCCCGGGCAGCAGGGGCGACTCCTCGTCGCGCGCGCTCACGCCCGCGAGCTCGACGGGCAATCTGCGGGGGTTCGTGGACCATCCCCGCAACGGGCAGGGTGGTGCGAACGGGTACACGAGCGGGTCTGCGACGGTCACCGCCAACACCAACACCAACACCCATGCCAATGGGAATAACGGGAACGGCGAGCGCCTCCGGCCCGACGTGCAGCGCCGGACGAGCAGCGGCCGGTCCTCGTCGTCAAGAAGCCAGACCACCCCGCTGGCGATCGACGTCGCGCGGTCCAATGCCGATCCCATGGACACGACGGCTGCTGCCGCGGTAGCGCCTCCCCCGCCCGTGCCCGACAAACAGGGCCTCGTCGAGTCGCCTACGCAGCTCACTACCCCCCATGCCCATGCCCATGTCCATGCGAATCAGAACCAGAACCAGAGCGCAGGCCCGAACGAGAGCACCTCCGCGCTCTCCCACCGCTCTGCTACCAGCAACAACACCGGCGGGAGCGGGGACAAGAAACAGCCCAAGAAGAAGAAATCCTGGGTCTCCGCCACCTCGCCCGGGCGCAAAGGCACCGGCATCGCGGGCGCGCTCGCCGCGAGCGGGATGGCGATGGCGCATCCGGGGTCTTCCCAGCAGCAACAGCAGCAGCAACAGCAGCAGCAGAGTGTGCCGCCGGTCCCTGCGCTCCCCGCTCGCCCCAACCCCAACGCGAACGCGAACGGGGGGAACAACAGGGCCAACAACAACACGAAGCACACCGCGTCCGCGAGCGTCGGCTCCGTCGCCGGTGCGCATCGCGCGCCGAGCTCCGTAGGATCGCCGCGCGGCGGGAGCCGGCCTATCGGCGCGAGCAGGAGCGATGTGAGTGTCGGCGGGGGCGGGGGGTACGACAGTGCCGGGAGCGGCGGAGGGTTCGAGAGCGAGGAGGAGGATGAGGAGAGCGATGAGGACGACGACGACGACGAGCTCGGGTTTCAGGCGGGCGATATTCCGGTGACGGGTTTCGCGGTCGCGAGTAGTAAGCGGAACGCGGATTTTCATGAGCTGTTTCCGAGTATTCCGGAGGGGGACTATTTGATCGAGGGTGAGTCTTTCCTTCCTTTTTCTCTGCTCTGAAGATCTCGATGTGCTAATGGACTGGTGGGGGCGTAGATTACGGGTGTGCGCTGCAGCGCGAGATTCTCATCCAGGGACGGCTCTATATCTCGGAGAACCACATCTGCTTCCACGCGAACATCTTTGGGTGGATCACCGACGTGCGTCTCCCCTCCCCTCCCCTCTCCACTTCCCTCGCCCACATCTAACCCGTATCATCCCACGCCCACAGCTCAGCATCCCCATGTACGAAATCACATCGCTCGAGAAGAAGATGACGGCGTTCGTGATCCCGAACGCGATCCAGCTCACGACGCGCCAGGCAAAATACACGTTCGCGTCCTTTCTCGCGCGCGACACCGCGCACGACGTGATCGCCAACATATGGCGCCTCGCGCGGCCCGAGATCGAGACTGCCGCGAGCGCCGGTGCGGGGCCGGGCGCGAGCAACGGCTCGTTCGTCGGTGCGGGGCCGGGCGCGGGCGCGTCCGATGGGGAGTTTGGTGTGGAGAAGGGTGCGGGCGGCGCTGGTGGTGGTGGTGGTGTGGTCGAGAAGGGGCCGGCGCCGGTGAAGAACAAGGTGACGCAGTGCGCGTGTGCGAAGAGCGGGGGGCATTATACGGAGACGGCGCTGGAGACGGTGGTGCCTGGGACGCCGGACAAGATCTATAATCTGATGTTCGCGAGCGGGTTCATCAAGGATTTTATGCGCGTCGATCAGAAGCTGCTCGGTATGTCGTCCCCTCCCCACCGCACCACAGCTGCTTATTATTATTGTTACCGCGCGCGCAGACGTGCAGATCGCCGACTGGGCGCCGATGTCGGGCGACTCGAAGCTGCTCGCGCGGACGATGTCGTACATCAAGCCGCTGAACAACACGATGGGCCCGAAGCAGACCAAGTGCGAGATCCGCGACGAGACGGTGCACTGCGACTTTGACGAGTACGTCGTGATGCTCACGACGACGCGCACGCCGGACGTGCCCTCGGGCGGCGTGTTCTCCGTCAAGACGCGCACGTGCCTCATGTGGGCGGGCGCCGTCGCGACGCGCGTTGTCGTCACGACGCAGGTGGAGTGGACGGGGCGGAGCTTTATCAAGGGTGCGTCCTTGTCGCGCTGTGCCGTCCAATGCGCTGCTAACCCACCACGCGTGAAACAGGCGTCATCGAGCGGAGCGCCATCGACGGCCAGAAGGTGTACCACGCGGACCTGGACAAGGCGATGCGGATGTACATCCAGGAGCACGCGTCCGAGTTCATCCCCTCGGGCGTGGACCCCACCGCCGTCGTGCCCGTCGAGCCCGCCACGCCCGCGGCGGAGCACCCGCCCGCGGGCTCGCCGCTCGCGGACGGCGCGGGCAAGGCTGTGGACGCGGTGAGCGCGGCACAGGCGCGCGAGCACGAGCGCAATGCGCGCGGGCTGCAGTGGGCGTACGAGACGTTCGAGGGCGCGTACGGCGTCGCGACGCGGTCGACGGCGGGCGCGCTCGAGCTGCTGCGCGACGCGTGGGACCAGTCGAGCAGCACGACGATTTTGTATTTTGTCATTGTCGTGCTCGTGCTGTCGAACGTGTGGACGCTCGCGCTCGTTGGGCGGCGCGAGGAGGTTGGAAGGCGGAAGGAGGCGCGGAAGATGGAGGAAAGGGAGCGGTGGGTGCAGGGGATCGTTACGGGTGTGTGGGAGGAGATGGCGAATGGGCGCGTGGTGAGGGTTGGTGCGGGGATTCCTGGGCTGGGTGGTGACGAGGCGGGGGCCTTGCCTGATCACTTGGGCGGTGGACCAATTGGCGGTGTTCACGAGGAGCTTGGCAGCATCGAGCGGACGCTGGACGCTATCGAGGATCGGGTGAAGATGATTCGCGGCAGTCTACATGCCACCGACTGAGAGGAGTGGTCGAATTAACTTAATGGTCTCTGGTTTTAGGCTCGTATCTAGAGCATCGTACGGGTTTCGGAGACGGACGACGAGTTTCTCAGCATTAACATTATCGTTAACACTAGTTTTACCCTCGCTCATTTCTTTTCGTTAAACTCTCTTACTGCGTCTTTCTTATGCTTTGCTTATTTGCTCACCGTTGTATCTGTCCCTTGCTCGATAACAATAAAAACATGCATTCAAACATGGGATTGACAAGTGAGATCTTGAGAGTCCAAGCCAATGCACATTTAGCTGGTGCATGCAAAACAAAGAGTGAAGTGTGAGCAAGGCTAATGCCGCGGCCCGAGCGCCCGGTCATATCCGCGTCATACCGGGAGCAATATATCTTGCCTTTTACCGTCATCACCTCTTCAAGTTCCTGCAGTCGCGAATCCAACGCACCTCACTATGTCCTCTTTCGTTACGCGTTTATGGAGACGATTTCTCAGCCCAGTCAGTCTCGGCACCGTAAACCCAAGCTGCGGTAGCTCATCTCACTCTCTTCCTAGACTGGCTTCGTAGGTCGCGACTTGGAGGGTATGACCAACCAGCTACCATCCCTGAAGGAGAACTGACGTTTTTCGTCGTAGGGAACAAGTACTACGAACGCGTCGCGTCGGCAGGTCAGCGCATGATTCTCCTTGAAAGTTCCCCACTGACGTGTGCACGGCGCTCATGCAGCTCAGCGAACTAAGCGGACGGTCAAGTATAGAGAGGGAGGCGACATGTGGACGTACGTCGATGGAAAGAGGAGGCTTCCAGGTACGTACGATGCCCTCGTTCCTCTACTTCACCTAAAACGCTCAAACCTTTTGAACCACAGTACAATGGACGTCCTGGTTGACACATACTCGTCCGCACCCGCCCACAATCGCCGTGAGTCCCTTGTCCGGTAAATATTATCGAGAGTCCTTCTGATTCTTCTGTGTGAATCCTCGGCAGGAACTCCAAGCAGACGTGATGCGACAAGAACGCGTGCGGATAAACGCGGCCATTATCGACGCGCGATACGCTAAAGAACACGTCACGATCGAGGCGCCGAACCCCAAACAGCCGCTCGTCGATGACGTCCAGGTCAACGAACCCCAGCCGCACCTCAACAACACCGAGATCTCGCAAGAGGCTGAACAAGCACATGCACCACCGCCGCGACAGGAACGGACGGCGGAATCGACCAGTCGGGCTCAAGATCCATTCCGTTTGGCGCGCCAGAACGCGACCGATGAGCCACAAGCGTGGGCTCCTAAAAGTGTGCAACGGGGCGCTTGAGTGAGTTACCAGTGCTTCAATCTCATGTGTGTGAAGGAGTCGTGGTGCGGATGACGAGAAAAGCATGACTATAACCATGGCGGCGAACTCAAGGGGGAGTAATCGCTAACTTTCAGGCAAACACCGACATTTGCTAGTCAACCAGCTTTATCTAGTCTGCATAGGCATTTCGTATGAATGACAATGAAGGTCGTTCTTTATATGCGGTCACCGTAGCCTTCAGTTGACACGGATACCAACATTTCAAGTTGACGCATTACCGTTTCGCAAGCTTGGGTACGTTCAAAATCTGATTCAGTGGGATTATGAACACGCCTGTCTCGCAAACCCCGCAATGCACAACTGCCAGATTTTGGTTTGCGTCAGCTAGAGCGCATAAAGCCTTCCTAGCCCACCCCCTCTGAACGCTACTTACCTTCATCTTGTCGCCCATCCAGCCATGCCAACAGCTATGAGCACATCCCCGCGCTACACCACCCTCGTCTGCGACATCGGCGACGTCCTCTTCACATGGACACCCCCGCCTACATCCAAATTATCCCGCAAGGTGCTGTTCACCTCCGCCGCATGGCACGACTACGAATGCGGCAGGATCACCGACGAGGACGTCTTCTACGAGACCGTCTCGCGCGAGACGGGCCTCGCCAAGGCAGACGTGGAGGGCTTCTACGCGGAGGCACGGCCGACGCTGCGCATCAACGAGGAGCTGCTCGCGATCATACGCGACGCGAAAGCGCGCCGTCCGGAGTTTCGGGTGCTGCTGATGTCCAATATATCGCGCCCGGACTTCGAGGACCTCTTGACGCGGTTCGACGACTGGGCGGTGTTCGACGGAGTGTTCATCTCTGCCGAGGTGGGGTTGTGTAAACCCGAGACTGGCTTCTATGAGCACGTTATTGCGCAGTCGGGGATAGACCCGAGTCGATCTGTGTTTCTTGATGACAAGGCAAAGAATACGGGTGCCGCTGCTTCGTTGGGATTTAGAGGTGTGGTGTACGATGATATGGCGCACGTTGCGCAGACTCTTCGTGGTCTTTTTAGAGATTAGCTGGATGTGTTTTTATAGTAGCCCGATGTGACGCACGATTAGTGTTCGGACGATAATACAAGGCTATGTATGAGTCCTGTATAGTTGGAACAATTTTGGACACATTAAAATGATTGTTTTAGAGGCGCATCCTTGAGCCATGCACAAAAAAGTACTTGTCGTCTTTCAACATCGTGATGAGGGACAAGAAAACTATTGTCCCTGGCAGGAATTGAACCTGCGGCTCCACGGTCCTGTGCATTCCACAACGGGGTGATTTAACCACTAATCGACAGGGACTTACTGAAGATGAAAGGCTCCGGGTGGTATATGACGCGCTTTTTGCCATGTTCATCACGTGTTTGGAAAGACAAAAATCGACATGTGGCGCTAGTCGTCCTGTGGTATTCAAGGACCAAAGTAAGCCGTTACCAGCTGCTTTAAAGAGAGTTCCAGACACCAATCGAAGAAACCTAATTAGAACCATTACTCGGTTGGGCTACGGTCATGGTGTGTCTGCCATATTAATGTGCCATTATCTGCTGTGGAATGAGAGGTTAACAACTGCCACTAACACGAGGTGAACACGAGCTCAGGTATCAGATTTGACGATGTAACGTTACATTAAATTTGGCGGAGAGATAGATCTCGAGGCCACTACGACGACCCAATATCACCAGTCACCCCTTCGTCGTCATGCGCGATAATCACCATCCCACTATACCGGTCCTCATCGCCTTCCATCGCAAGCTCAGCCTCCAGCGCCTCCAAACACGTCCTCGCATCGACCTCGTACTCCTCATTAAGCTGCTGGAGGATGTTGTCCCTGGTAATTCCCGAGTTAGCTGTGTCCTCCTGTAGCGCATCCACCAGACACTTCGCGAGCACGTCGAGGCCGGTCCGATCTGCATCCATCGCAACCATGGCGCGCTTCTCCCTGAACATTTCCCGCTTTTCCTCGTCGTGGAGAAACATGACTTTGTAGCCTTGGGGCGCGTCGACCTGGAAGAGTGTATAATCGACGTCGGGATATTGCTTCTGGAATCCCAACTGGAGGAGCAGCCCGAGCGATTGCCTATACTCCGGTCGCCCTTCATCGCGGCCTTTGGATACCTTTTCCTTTCCGCAGTGTACTTTGTGTTGTGGCCAGTCCGACTTCTGACACTCTCTAGAAACGTACCATGTACACGGTCGGCACATACGACGTGCAAGGGCAACAGAAGTTTGGGACGCACTTGGAACAGTAATAGTACTCGAATTTGAGCTTGCGTTTGCAGCCACTACAGACCAGGAACTTGACGTTGTTGCCGATGTCTTCCGGGCATCGATCGCAGTATTCACACGAATGACCTGCGCGGCTCTTGAGTTCTCTTCTTGTAGCCAAGAGCTCCTGGACCCCTCGTGGACCGGCCAGATAGACCAAGCGCGGCACAAACGAGTCGCTGTGACTCATGTTCTCAAGGCATGCCTTCATCACGGTCTTGTGAGCACATAACACAAACTGATCTGACGAATGGAAGTTAGTCGAATGGTTATATGTGCAAAGTGAAGGATCGTTCGACACATATCGACGAGAACCTACCGAGAAATTCCAATCTCAAGTAGGTATAAAACTCGTACATAAAGCTGTAGTTCTCGTACTGGTCGCGTTTGACATTGCTATCTTCCGGTCGCCGTGCACTAGACCACCAGTCGTTCCAGAGCATATTGCCAAGTCTTTGCAACGGGTCGTCTTCCTTTGATGAGCCCATGCTCTCGGCAAAGCGGTCACAGAAATCGAAGAGCTCGAGTCCTCGTCGCTTGAGGAGCGCGGTGCTATTGATCTCGGGACAGAGCACGCGGCAGTCCTGACCGAAGGAAGCCAGCCAGCACGTATTTTCAAAGATTTGATCGAGCGTTTTCCGCCGCTTTTCCGCGCTGACGAGTCTAAACCAATCCTGGAAGCTACACTGTTTGTACTCGGGCATCTTTAAAAGCTCCCTGAGCTGCTCCATGGTCCCTCGATGACCGTCGTGCGCTCTGAGTTTTGCCGTCCTCAGAACTTTGTACGCCGAACGACCAAGCTTCTTGTCGACATAGGCAGAATGTCGGTATATTGAGGTCCACATGATCACCTCCGATGGGGACTTCGAGACTTTCTCGACGCCCTTGTCCCAGTCGAGAACCCATTTTGAGCGATCTGTGCGGACGTCGACAGCGGGGAAACCGTGGTCCCTGTCCGCCCAGGCTGAGTAGTCGTTGTCAAGAAGATATGCGTATTCAGGGTCCTTTGAGCGTTCGTCGGCCTCTGGAAGTAGCTCAGTGGCACTAAGGTCTTCTGTTTTGCTGCTCATGGCTCGAGGGCGTGTGGTGAAGCCCAGTCAGAAGCGACCGTGGGTATATATAGTTGTATATAGGCTAGATCAAGGTAGATATAGGGGTGTATGTGCATATATAGTAATATCTAGGAATATAGCGCGATCTCAGAAATCCTAGATCTACCTTGAAATTGGTACAAAACTAGACAGACCTCTAGCACGGTCTAGGAAATGGTATAGGAAAGCATAGGGATCCTAGACTACACTATACAAATACAAATCTGTATTGTCAGCGACGCGTCTAGTCGCAGATAGGTCAATATAGGAGATTATAGTCACACATAGGAAGCTTATGAGCTCGATATTGGCGCCAAAAGCGCGCTAGCTAATCGTCTAGCGACCAAAATACATTGCAAAACTATTAGTACATCGTCATATACTAGTCTACAATCGTCCAGAACACGAAAGAGTCCCAAAGAATGGTATCATACGACGGGTGGGGGTACCAAGAAGACAAAAAAGCGCGCAGAACGTGCGGGGAGGACAGAGCGAGCGATGGGTGTCGGCTCTAGTAGCGCGTTCCAGCGAGGAAAGCCGGGCCTTTGGGGTTCCATTGGCCTTCGACCTTCTATACGAATATATTAGCCAGTCGTCAGAGTAAGAAAGTGAGCGATTGGACTTACGAGCTTGTCAGACTCCTCGTTATATAGCTAAATAATAGTCAGCATATAGCAAAAACTCTGTAGCAGAACAACAAACCTTCCGCTTCTCCGCGCTCAAGACCTTCGTCCAGAAATGGTCGAATTTGGTCTTCGTGCGCTGCTCGTTGGGCTGGTCCTTCGTGTCCTCGAGCCAGCGGAATGCAGCTAGATTACTAATACAATGCATTAGCAATATCCGCGAGATGGAAGAGTACATACCGGCCGAGTTTTTTGGTCGTTGGTTGGAATATATCCGGGCTGGCCATGGTCGAGGGCGCACCAGCCACTGGCGCAACCATGCTAGGTGGGGCCGTCACAGGCAGCGGGTCAGCGGCAGGCTCAGCGACCTCCGTTACCGTGGTCGCATTCGGCCCGGTTTCTTCGACGGGCGTAGACGGGGACGCAGTGAGCTCGACGGGAGACGAGCTCTCCCCGGTTTTGGTCGATGGCTGAGCCTCCTCAGTGGTGGGAGGGCTCTCCTTCTTCTGCTGAGGACGGGGGACGTTTTTGAGGGCCGCCTTAGCGAGGCCAGTAGTCGGCCTAATGTATATAAGGTATAATGAGTATAAGAGACGGATGGACAAGATAAATGCTTACCTTGGCGGAATGAAACGTCTGCTCTCGGGGAGCGGTTTAGTCTCCCCGATCGCGCGCTCTTTTCCCTTGGTCAGCGCGATGGCCGTCTTGCTCGTAGGAACAGCCTGAGGCGGCGGTGGCGACTCCGAGTTGCGCGCCATGTCGAGCGCAGCGGATTCGCGCTCGGCCTCAGGATTGGGCGACGACGCCCTGGAGGAGGCAGCTATATGTACATAAAGATTAGTAGCATATATGCGCAATAAAATTAGCTCACCGTCGTTTTTATCCTCGTCGATCGCGGGGTGCGTGTACGAAACGTCGACTATAAAAGCGAATAACATGTTAGCGTCGTATAAAAAGAGAAAGAGAATATACCTTTGAATCTCTTCGAAGCTGACGACCCGGCAGCGTCACCAGCCACATCCTCGGACGCGCTGCGCTTCGTCCCGGTGGTTAGGACCATAGCATCGTCGTCCTGCTGCTTCTTGACGCGAGGCCGCTTCGCTGGACGGCGCCCACTCTTCGTTTTGAGCCTACCGTTTTCGTCGATCCAGTCCTGGGCGAAGCTCGGATAGTCGACTGCGCAGAGCTTGTGTATTTTCCAGGCGCCATGGCAGTAGCCCATGAAAGGGAACATCGCCACGATTTCGGCGACAAAGTCAGCGCGCTGCTGTCGCGGCAGGTTCTCCCAGCTCGAAGGTAAAATATACCCTTTCTGCCGGTTCTTCTCGAGATCCCATTCCCGCCATATCCTCTTGAACTCGTGGCGGACGGCGTCGAGCAAGTCCTTGCCGGGCATCGTACCATCTTCGAGCTCAAGGTAGCCCTGGTTCCCTCGCGCTTTGACAGCCGCGCCAGTCCCAGCCTTTCCCTTCGCGTTCTTGTAATCGAGCCAGGTCCAATAGGCGATCTTCGTGAGTCTTGAGGCGTCCGGATTGATGAAAGGGACGGAAGGAGCGGTAGGGAGGAGAGGAGACGAGGACGAGATGGATTTTGAGGGAGTGCTGGAGGCGATGGAGGGAGCGAGTACGTTGGGGAGACTAAAAAAAAAGCCTGTAATGTAGTTAAATGCGCGCATATAATGAAGAAAAACTCACGGAATGTTTGTCTCGACTTTGAGACCGTCTTGTACGGCTGTCGGACTCGCTAGCAGCGGCTGGATTTGGCTCATAGCCAGCTCTTGAGGCTGGATCTGCGCCTGCAGTGCTATAAACTGCTGCATATATGCAGCCTAAAAACGAAGTTAGCGACCAAAAACAATGCACAAAGAGCTTACCAGGTTGTTCTGAGTAAATAGAGAGTCTGTACTATGGCCTACGCTCGCTGTGTTCTGCGCTTGAAGGTTCCCGTATGCTGGTAGCGCCGTCCCCGAGCTCTGGTACTGAGCTTGGCCCTGTGCAAGCATAAGCGAGCTCGCCAGCTCGTGCATCGGGGACGATGCGTGGGCCGTGTCGTCGGATGAGAAGATCGGAGGGGAGGACATGCTGATAACCGAATGAGGGAGGGAGGGAAGGGAAGGGAGGGAGAGGGAAAGACGAAGGGATGGCAGAGAGCACGAGCACAAAATCTCGCTGATCGACAGGGGCTTACCAAATCAAGCGGGGATTCTTTCATTTCGGGCTCCGATGACGCGCTCGGAACCCGACGTCGGGAAATCGATGCAGGGCCGCGCCTCGGGGAAGCGATTCCGCGCCTCGGGAAATTCAAACCCCGCTGATTTCATGAAACTCTAAAGCTTCGTCTCGGTGGCTGAGAGCCACAGGCGCGTTTGGGAGATATATGCTGGAATAAAACATACATAGAACATACTATACTACATTAATTGGAGCGAAATCCATTCCGTCCTCGTCCCTCTCATCCTCCTCGTCGTTTCCGACGAATGTAGCCACGTCCAGCCCGGGTTTTTCGACCATATAAAAGCGATCCTCTTCGATCCCCGAGAGCAAAGTCGGCCGATGTGGGACCATACCTACAACCCCTGCAATCTGCTTGATGTTGACGACGTGAGTATATTGAGGACCTAGACGTTTGCAAGTCGCGAACGTCCGAGAAGATAGAGTGAGCAGGTCAGAGTCTGGCTCTGAGTAAAGCTCGACTACTGCAACCCCTTCCCATCTCCATTCCCCTGTCTGTTCGTCCTTCACATCGAGCTGGGCGAAGTACAGGACTTCTCCAATAAATGTACGACCCTCCTCAGCAATCTAAATAATAATCAGTCATGATACAAGTGTGAAAACAAGTGAAAAGTACCTTGACATGGCGAGAGATGCGAATATTCTCCTGAATGTAAGTATTCTCGCGCCATGCAGAGCGCACCACTTGTCCGTCAGAAAGCCTAGCACGCCCCCACATCCAAAACTCGGGGCATTCTCTGCCCAGCCAGTCGCTCAGCGCGTCTTTTTGAACGCCAGAGGGTTTGTATTCGCGCCTGGAGCGCTTGTGTAAAAGCGCATAGCCCTCTCCAACGTCCACAGAAGGCATGGACGAAGGAGCGGGCTCGGGATCAAGGGAAGGGATCAGGGCTTTGAGTATATTTACCTGACACCTCCGAACGCCCTCGCGAGACAAGTTCGCGTATAGTTTAGATGGCTGACGAATTTCTTGACCGAGGTTTCCAATCGTACGCTCCATAGTCCATTGCGCGTATATAATCGGCGGGCCCTTCTGAACGACCTCCGAGGCAAGATGAAGAAGCTGGTGGATGCTCTGCCGAATAAAACATAGGCGATCCTCTCGGCGTTGGTAATATAAATCTTCGAACTCCTGATAGAATGTATCGAAGCAGTGCTTCGCCTCTCGAAGCTCGGCCTCGGTAATAGAATGTTGACAGACTATTCGGAAGCCTCGGACGAGTCGACAGTAGTTTATCTCTCGGCTTGTCGTTGTCGGCGTTGTCGGTGTGATTTTCTCTCCATACGTTCTTAAGACTTGCAACGGATCTTCGAAAGAGAGGATCGATTTGGTCCGCGAAAGAACGTTCTGGATGTATAAGAGCGGGATCTCGTTTCAGAGTTTGAACAATTGGACGGCAGGACAGTTTTGAACCTGACCGAGCACAAGATAGCCACTTGTTCACCTTCTGTGGTTACATTAATTTATTTCCGTTTGTTTTATTTCATCCAGAGCACCTTTATGACTGTATAAACGAACAGGGCAGTGTTTGATCATGTTTCAGACGAATATTCCGAGATCTGTGCGTGATATTGAGTGGACATTGACGTCGGCTTTGGACTTTGTTGGTGACAGCCAAAAAAATCCCCGCAGCTTGCAAAAAATGGCTTAAATGCTGGATCGAACACTAGCGTCGAGGACAAGAATCGTAGACTTACATGCTACACTACTGTGCCGTTTATAAATGACGTGATGACATAGATTATAACGAGCGTCATCATTTATATCCTGTCCAACTAATTAGTAGTATGACGAGAGCCATCGTCTGAGTTGATTCTAGTGTGGCCTGGATGACACTCAACGAGCCATGAGTATCGCGCCGACACGCCGCCGACACGCCGTTACCTAGCCGACACGCCGACACCAAAAGTTCTGGATTCTCCTTCATCCTCACTCCAGTACTTGAGCGGCAGAACTTCGTACAGTAGACCAGGATCAAGGCCAAAAAATAGCAAGTTCCATTGCCAAGTCTTGTAGCCAGAAGTAATATCCTCCTCGAGGTTCGAAGGCTTTCTGTCGTGACCCTTAGGAAGATGCCGCCCAGCGGCTACAATGTCGAGCCCGTGCGCCTTGAAAACCTCAGCAGATCCAAGGCAGTTCCAGTCCCATGAATCCGGATCGTCGAGCGCGCCTGCAGTTTCGAGAGTACCTCGCCAGAAATGAATAAACAACGAACTAATGAGACCAGCCAGATGCATAATATCCGGAGTAAGGCATCGAGGGACAGGTAGTGTGTGCGCCGAGTCGAGTCCGAGTAGAATGCTAGGCTTCTTGACACCGGTAGCCCTACGCCTGCTCTTGAATTGCGCTTCAGTCCGAGAGCTGACAACAGTAAGTAAATTCTGAGCATATTCTTCCGACCCAGGGCGAGGGAGTTCGTCCACAGGGACGTCCGGGTGATCCGATCCGCGCACAGAGTAATTCAGCGGCTTTGAGAGCGCTGGATAGTATGTATTGCCTCGCCGTGTTTTTCGCCCGAGTAGACCGCAATAAAGACGGCAACCATTCTTGCCAGAATGACCGCACATACCGTTATAATACGTGAGTCCCGGGCCGTCTGCTTGAGCGAACCAGTGGTGTAGCCACTTGGTACGATATTCTTGAAGGAATCCGTCGTACACCTTGAGGCCCTCGCGCTGTGCAGCTGCTAGATGATAGAAAAAAGGGAATAAAAACGAATCGAGATTTTTGGGAAGGTTGGGGCCAGGAATAACGGCGGCGACGAGGACGTGCTTCTTCTTGTAGCGTAGATCCGGTGAGTATTCTTCGACGATAATTATAAGAATCCAGACATCCGACTTTGTAGACCTATATAGTTGAGCGCCGTCCATACCAGTCGAAATGAGAATAGTATCTTCGTTGATCGTCCCGTTATCGACTGCGTTAAGATATTCTTGCGATTCGGTATAGTCCTCCCAGAGAGGAATTCTACCGCCGTTCGCAGCTCGAAGCTCGAGAACTTTCCGAGTTCTTTCGTAGCGATAGCGAAGCTGCTTCGCGCTCTCCTTGTCCCTATAGAGCGCCTGTATCATGAACTCGGGGGGATTAATCTCAAAGGTACGAGCTCTCTTGTCTCCAGTCGAATTAAAAAGAAACGGATCGTACCGAGGCCTGTGACACTCGGGGCATTCGTTCGCATCTTCCAAGTCGCCTGTAAAAGCAACGCAAGACCCCCAGCACATGTCGTATTTAATCGGTGAGACGCCCGTATATTCTTCTATGATAGTTTCGGTCCGTTTGAACGTCGGCATGGGCGAAGCCTCGGGGAAGCACTCTTCGTGGGCTTGCCTAACGGCCTCGTACGATGCTTGAGACGAATGTTCGAGGCCTAGGTATGTTTTAATCCCCATTTTAGTGCCGGGATCGTCGATGGGCTGAGGCTCTGCTAGAGGGTTTCTGAGCCTATGGCGCCTTTCCTCCGAGAGCTTAGCTGTTGGATGGTCAAAAGACGCGTTCTTCATACGGTTGATATAGCTCATATTGAGCTTGAGCTTATCTATACGAGCGCTAGCGGTGAGTTCTTCAATATCTGGGTCGGGATAGGGTCGGGGAGGTGGGTATCGAAGTCCTGGTAGTCCTGCAGCTGATTGACTGCGCATATATCTAAGCCATTCGTTCTAGATAAATGTTATAGTCAGTCTGGCTCGTCTATTTGAGCGTATATGCTCACCGGATCGTCTCCCTCGGGCTTATTTATTTCAGGCTCTTCCTCTTCGTCGGCGTCGCGCATGATAATATCGTCAGGATCTCGAGGTGGAGGTGGAGGTGGGGACATATCCTCGTCCTCAATTTCCTCCACACGAGCGCGTTGGCTCTCGCGTACGTTCGCTGCGTCGTCGGACGTCTCAGGAGCTCTATTGGTCGACTGTATGCGTGCTGGATTACGCGGCATCTGAGGGAAAGGGCCGGTAGCTTTGAGGTTATGGCTGTAAGTCTTCAGTATATTCTTATTCCTTTCATCATAGCCTTCGATATGGCGGTAAAATTCGGTATGGCTCATGTCCCTGGGGAGTCCAGATACGTGGTGAGGACATATACAGAGCCTCCTAGCGCGCTGCTCGGGCATGGTGGGCCTGTAGACATTAAATTTCGTCTGCACATAAGGATAGGGGCTATTATCTTACCGTGTACTTCGTATGTCAAGCGTTGGGACTTAGAGAGACTTGATAGAGTAGACGAATGCACAGACATACACTATATTCTGTACGTTACAACACATCTATATGCCACTATACTATAATCTAGCGGGCGAGGGCTCTCCTAGACCACCCTCGACGCGCGTCCGACGCGTTTGATCACGTGACCAATGTAAACTCGATCTTCCTAGATCACACTAGCCGACGCTTGATCGGGCTCGATCACCACAGAAGCCTAGATCATTCTATATTTGTCTAGACTACCCTATATTTACACAAGTACGGTTCTTACTGGGGGTGAAGACTGATGACGCGATGACGGGCTAATGTAGATTAGCGCTCAGCGCTCAGCCACCGGTCGGGTGGATTATCGGAGTCTATAAAAGCCAAATCGCACTGCCCAGACAACTAGCATTCGCCTCCTGGTAACTCAGGCTATCTGTCCAGTTCATCTTCGTGCAGAATTGACATCCTACTATCCCGATCCTTGACCTTCGTTGCAAAGTTTACCTCTAACTTATGCGGTTAATCGTGTTCATCCCCATGTTGCCCTTCAATCCCTTCCTAGTCGACACAATTTCTTGTGCGCCTTTGGTGTCGAGGTTGATCGATTGATCATCAAGCGAGGAACTACGGACTGACTAGTATTCATGTCGTTCCCACATCAGTTAGACAGCGAGGCTGACAAGTGAGAGACGGTGAGCAGACAACGAGCAGATATCGATACTCATCGAGTCATCATTACGATTTCGTTCTTCAATCCAGATGCAAACGCAAGAATAGACGTCAAGGATGGATTAAAGGGTAGTAGGAAGACAGCGAAGAAAAACTGGAGTGAAAGGAAAGAGGAGAAACACCATGAGTCCGCTAGATAAGAGATTCTGTAAAAGTTTCGGTCGATCCAATCCAAAGTGAGCATAAGAGAGACGAGTTATCACCCGCTGCGAAGCTAGTGTATAAAGCGAGTAGAGAAGAAACGGGCGAGCGAGAGATCAAGAGTCGTAAGGTAGAAACGGGATAAGGAGGGAGGGTGAGTAAGTGGATAATACCAGTAGGCGTAAGAGACGAGTCAAAAAACGATTGTGTGAGTGGTAAACTTCCAACAGCAAGGGAAACCGCAAGTAAACGAATGCATGAAAGAAAAGAAAAAACCCTTCGGATATATAAAGCGTACAAGTTTTGATTTCGCTTGATCTGGACTTCTTTGTGGAGAGCGGCGACGCTCGGAGAGCCAAACGTGAGCTGCTATGATCGGAGGGCAGGGAATAATCTAACGAAGGACGGTCAAAAGGGCAGAGCGTGGCGAGAGCAATACTATAGGATCAGTCGTAACGTCGTAACACGAGGCATGAAGGGAAGACATCGAGACAGCGGTTCACCGAGGCGATGCAAACATCGACGAGAACACCTTCTCCGCGTTCTCCTTGTACTTCTTCAGCTTCTTGTTCTTTAGCTTCTCCGGCTCCTCCTGCGACGGCGACGTCGGTACGCTCGGTCCAGGTGTCGACAGCTCCGGCGTGCCCAGCTCTCCATTGACGCCAGTGCCGTTGATGCCGTTGCCATTCGACTGGTCCGAGGACATGCTCCGCGCCCCCACCGACACCGCAGACTGCTTCGACTTGAGGCTCGGCGCCATCGACGACGACAATGCACCCATGCTCGACGCAGACGCCAACGCGCTCGCGCTCGAGCCCAGCGTGCTCGATCCGTGCGCTGAAGAACCTTTTGCCACCGGCTTCGCAGCGGCGTGCGTCTTGGCCGTCGATGCAGACGTCGAGCGCGTTAGCGTGTTACGCTTCTTCACGTTCGCAGCCCCCGCAAACGACGACGGCGGCGGCCCACGCGTCGGCGTCGAAACGTTTGACGCCCCCGTCGTTGACGACTTAGTGCTGCGTGCTCCGCCGTTCAGCAGACCCTTCGTGTTCCTCCGGAACTTGAGCGCGCCGGGCGTACGCCCACGCCTCTTCTCCGACGGACTCGGCGAGTCCCCGATCAACGTGCTCCCTATCTCAGACCCGCCCTCGATATCGCTCTCCCTTGCTGACGACAAGCCCGACGTTGAGCGCCCACTGACACCGGCGCCGCCCCGCTGCGTGGGCGTCGACGCCTTGCGCCAGACGGCCAGACGGTACCGGTCGACGACGCCACGCGCAAATAGGCTCGTGCCCTTGGCACCGTTGCGATCCTCGCCGTCAACGGCCTCGATGAAGTCCCAATCGTCGTCCTCGTCATCCACAGTACTTCGGCTCATGCCCAGTTCCTCGTCGCCGCCGTCCGACAGCTCCTGATCGAATACGGCCACGCCAGACTTCTCCCGCCTTGGCCGCGTCGAGTTGCGATGAGGATGACGAGCGCCAGAGGGCTTCGCGCCCTTGGCGGGTTTGACATCCTTGTCCTTCGGCGGTGGTGCGGGCGCGACCTCGTTGGCTGACGTCGGCGTTTGTGGTCTGGGACGCTCCAAACGAGGCGTGACAACAGGCGAAGGTGGCAACGGGGCATTGACAGCCTTGGGCGACGCCTCGATGTAGATAACAGCCTCGGCCGGCAAACCCGTCGTCCGTGCCTCGGGTGTCCGGCTCTCCTGCTCGACTTCATCGTCCTCCACCACAGGCAGCCTGTCAATGGGAGACGGCTGGATCACGACCTCCTCGCCGTCCACCGTCGCATTCTTGATAACGTCCGGCAGTTCTTCATCCTCATCTTCTCCAACTATCTCGTCATCCTCATCTTCCTCATCCTCATCGCTACCATCGTCTTCCTCGTCATCTATAATGACAGAATGCCGGCCCTTGAACGAGTACCCGTCGAACACGTCTTTCCCGTCGTCGGTAGCATGCACGGATGGGCTCCGCGAGTGCGACGGTGTCGTCGCGCTGTCTTCACCATCAGTGGCACTCTGATCCTGGTCCGTGTCCGTCTGACCATCCTCCAGGCCCTCGGTGGGGTCGTCGATAATAGGCTCCATGTCAAGGAAGGTATCGTCGAAGTTCTGGGTATCGCTGGCGTTCGAGGGGTCGATGGGAGGGATATATGGGGCTTTAAGAAATTGGTAAGCACCAAGCGATGCAGGTTTTCGTTGAAAAAAACCTACGTATGTAACGTTTATAGTATACGTGACTCCAGTCTCTGTAGAAAAATCAGCTCAAAGCTCAGTGCGTATGCAAAAGGCAACACGCACATCATCGAGAAATATGGGTGCTTCTTAATCCTCGGTTCGCACATCCGCAGCGCCGGGTTCCTCTGCAACAACTATAAAACAGCAAACACCGCATCGTGTCAGCCTCCTCACGCACTCATCCATAAAAAAGAGCAACCCACCCCCCGAATCAAACTCTTCGTATCCTGATCCATCGCCCGATCATCGGGGAACGTCAACTCGTCCTGCAACACCCGCACATACATATCCGAGTGGTTGTTCGCCCAGAACGGTGTGATCCCCGTCAGCATCTCGTACAGCATCGTCCCGAAGCTCCACCAGTCCACCTCGTAGCTGTACGGCAAGCCTTGGATCACCTCCGGCGCCAGGTACTCTGCCGTCCCGCAGAACGTGCTCGTCGTGTCCGCCGGCCCGACACCGCGCAGCTCGCCCTCGCCGTGCATCCACGGCGGCGTCACGGGCTCGCTCGCGCCGTTGGCGCTGCCATTGGCACCGTTGGCAGTGGTAGGCGTGGACACGGCAGAGGGCGACGGCGAGCCGCTGCCGCCTCCGACGTAGTCCATGCCATTACTGCGCGTGCCCGAGGGCGTCGACGGCGCGGTAAGTGTGCTCGTCTTGCGCGGGAACTCCTTCGAGAGGCCAAAGTCGGTCAGCACGATGTGCCCGTCCGCCGCGATGAGGATGTTCTCCGGCTTCAGGTCGCGGTAGATGACGCCCGCCGCGTGCAGGCCCTCGACGCCCTCGACGATCTCTGCCGCGTAAAACCGCGCGCGGTCCCTGCCGAGGCGGCCCCAGCGCGCGAGCTGCGTGGCAAGGTCTCCGCCGGGGTGGAAGTCCTGCGATAGATAAGGATTCAATGGCAATTCATTATTCGGACACATTTTTTTAAAATCGAAAATGCACATTGGCCCGATAAACGCACCATGACCAAAAACAAGTTCTCCTTATCATGGAAACTCCACCACAGCTTCACCACGAACGGGTCCCTGCTCTCCGCCGCCATGCGCTTGAGCACCGCCTGTTCCGTTAGGGTGTGCTGCAGCTCCTGGTGCGCTAGCACATGCCGCTTCGTGATCGCTTTGAGCGCGTACAGCTCGCCGTGGTTCTTGTGCCTCACGAGCAAGACCTTGCCCGCGCAGCCCTTGCCGAGCACACGCATCATCTCAAAGTCGTCAATCACGACCTTGCGCTGCGACAGCTTCGGGCTCGACTTCTGCTTGCGCACGCGCGACTTCTTACGTCGTCGCCGTGCCTGGTCTTCCGTAGAGATGGATGAAGCGTCTTCGTCACCAGTATTCGTCGCTGACGTGCTCGCGCCGTCTTGGAGCGTCGAGGAGGTATAAGCCCGTGAGAGACGGCTCGATGGGTCTGCGGACTGCGAGCGCGGGATGCGGGATGCCACGTTTGCTGACTCCGCCGTCGGGGTTGAGAGCGCCTCATCGCCATGCAGCTGGGCCGTGTCGATCGGCGTTGGCGGGACAGGCTTGATCTCCTCATGCCCGTCCCCAATCTGGCTCTGCGCCTCGCTATCAACAGCGGTGCTCTCGACCTCGCCCTCGGTCTGCTCCGCCTCCGCTTCGGCCTCGGCCTCCTCCTTAATGCCTTCCGGCTGCCCAGCCTCGGAATCTTCAGCGTCCGCCTCGCCCTCGGCATCACTGACCTCGCTCGGCGAATGGCTCGGGAGAGGCGGAGCCAGCTTGGGGCTCACATGCGCCGCAAGATCGGAGCGCACGCGCTTGATCGCACGCTCGACGCGCACCGACTCGAGGTCGTCCCGGCGCACATGCACAAAGCGCTTCCACACACGACTCTGGCGAAACACCTGGTCGTTCGAGACAGACGTGAGGTACGACGCAAGCCCCGTAACCGCGTTGGGCGCGCCGCCGTTGGCACTAGCGGCGAGGGTCGCGGTGGCGGCTGCCACGAACGGGTCTGGGTGCTCGTGCGACGGGGTGGGGGTGGGGGTGGCGCGGTGCGAGGGCGCGCGCGAGAGCTTGCCGCGGTGGTTCTCCTTGTCTTTCTCCTTGTCGCGCTCCTCGCGTTGGCGTTCCCGCTCCTTGTCCTTGTTGACCGAGGGGGAGGCGAGGCGCGAGATGGTGTTGAGGAAGTTGGATTTGCGCTTCGTTTTGCTCACGGGCGTCATGGTGGACACGTCGAGGGGCAGCGGAGGGAGACGGGGGTGGGCATCTGAGTCGAGGTCGTCGAGCTTTCCGTGGAGGTCGATGACCTCGTGTGCCGTGCGCATAAGGGTCAGGTTGTGCGTGGGGGCTGTTATCAGTGAACTGTCAGTATACACCCATTCGATAACGAAGAAGCAACACGCACTCTTGATATAGATACTGAACGAGTTGGTATCATTGGGGTTCTCCGCGACACTAACAGTCCAAGGCCCATCTCCGTCCATCCTGACAGGCTGGCGGCGCATGGGGCGCGGATGGGTGGCGTCGATGCCCTTCATCCCACGCAGAGAGCCATGGCCGAGATAGCTGGGGGTGATGTCGAGGTCGACGAGCTCTGCATCGGAGCCAAAGATGGATTGGCGATGGAGGGCGTGGTCTGCTGAAGGACGAACGCGGTGCTTGGAACGGGACGCTGACTCTGTGTCTAGAGAGGGACGGGCAGGGCCGAGGCGGAGGACGGACTTGAGGTTTTTCTTTGGGGTGTGGGTCTCGTCTGTGGTTGTCGTGCTCGGCATGGCAGACGAGTGGGGGTGGATGTCGGGGTCAAGGGTAGTGGGTGATTCGCTCCAGCTTTCTGTCTTGTTGGCGGGAGAGACTATGAGATGGAATGGGTGTATGCTGTGAAAAAGAGATTGGTAATGGGAGGAGGGGGTATTAGGTACGGATTGGGAGTGATAAGGATCCAAACAAGACCTGCGGGGAGAGCGAGGAGAGAAAGCGGGATCGGGAGAGAGTGTTGTTTGTCAGTGAAGAGAATCAAAGAAAGGTGGGTGGGATGCTTTGCCTCGAGGCGCCGGGTCGTCTTCAGCAGGCCCAGCTCGCCGTTCACCGCCCACTCTATTAACGGCAACCCCACCAGAACTGACTCCGCGCCACCGTTGCCCCCGTCCAATATCCCACTTCCCACACCCCATTCTCTCCTTTTGACTAATCCCCTTCTCTACTACAACCTCGCAGTCGATTCACCCCTCTGCTAGTAACCAGCAACGTCCGCGTGCATCCTTTGGAAACAGCCTGACTCTGCTGAGCTTTTCTCTGGGAATCGGCCACGGAAGGGCGACGATATCCCGGAGAGCCTGATTACTTTATCACGATCCTTCACCTGATAACAAAAGGACAAATCGACCAACAAACAAACCCCTCCAAATGAAACCATCTTTTTGACGTTCGAACCCCATCCCCAACGAAAAAGAACACATACAGCCGCCGTCTCGCTCAAACGATGCGTGCGCAGCGTCAGTGATGACATACTATGCAGCTCGCTTGCCAGCGAAAAGCACCATCCTGATGACACTTGTGAACGCCAGAGCGTGCATCCGACGGTCCAGACGTTTCTTTCCGTCCGCCGTGAAGTGATCCCAGTACAGACGCCGAAATCTTCGGCAACGTTACCAATGTTGCAAGAGGCTGTAAATCCTTAGACTGACAGGCAGAACAGCTTGACAGTTCATTATCATCTGCAAGCGGCTCCTCCGAGCGCTGACTCGTCGAATTGTCATACTAATCTGAATCAGGCTAACGCCATAGCCAAGTCTCTGATTCTCCATCACATCAGACAGTCATCAGACTCGGCGTTATCGCATTCATTCACGTTCCATTGTCGAAGCATGAACCGGAAAGAACTTATTTCAGGGTGTAGAAGGTCGGAAGTCCACCGCTATGTAACACAACACACCGGCCTCTCTTGATCTCAATCCATCCGAAGAACGTCTCGCCTCTCTTGCTCGCTCGCTCGCATCGCACGTGTCAACGGAGAACTCGTCAGTTACGTCGCCCGAACCCGGCTCTTCTTGCACCCTGATCGTGCGCGTGGGGACGCGGTCCGCGACCTCGCCATTGTTCGACCGAGAATGACGCAAGCACATCCCAACCACCGTAGCGTTTACACGTCCGTTCCCAATCCCAAGGGCCCTCCGGTCCATATCCAGCCAAGACCAACCCAGGAACTTGTCCACGCCGCGGCGTCCCTGCGCAGCCCCAGACGCTGAAGCTTGTTATTCAGACTCCTTACCAGCTGGTATGTAGCTGACCTCGGCCTACATGCTCCCCACGGCATCGTTGCACGCGAGTCCACGGACACGACTGGGACGAGTATTTTGAGATTGGACTTTCTATGCCTGAATCTTAACTGACCGTATCGGACAAGAGCGATTGGATGTAAGCACCAAAGCATAGCCTGAGATAACCTTATCGTTCGGTATGACGAACACCCTCAATAGCACAGACCCGAGAATGAGGACGTACGTTTCGAGAGGCAGCGAAGATCCTCGTCCGTGAGCAAGGGACGACCCCAGGTGCAGGTCTTGTGCGGGGGGGTCGAGGAACCGGGGTCGAGGCTGCCATCTCGATGATGATGCAGCTTTGCCCACCTTGCGACTAGACAACGCTGAGCAATGGACTTTAGGCTTGAGGAATGACAGGCGCGAGTTACAAATCCTGTTGTCGCCTCTGTCAGCGTTTAAAAAGTTTCTGTAGAACGCATACAGTAGCAATTGCGTGACCAATCTTGACCGTCAACTCCGAGGATTTCCTAGCTACCAAGCAAGTCCATAAGTATAATCAAGTTATAAATACAACACGAACTAGCTAGCTCACCTTGTCCTCCGGTTGACCTCGGCATGGGTGGGTTTCCGACTTCTGCAACATGTGTCCAACCAAAGTTCGTGACAAACTCGCCTTGGCAGATCACGCTGCCAAGCTGAGCAAGTTTCTCAGCTGGTTTTAAATGCTGCAGAATGAGCGAACAGGACAAGAGACTCAGCAGCATACCTCCTTGTCCTCCTACCTGACGACTTGGTCGAGTCAGAGACTCGGAAGTATATACCAACCTCCCTATGGCGGTAGTCCGGGACTCATCGTGTGAGACGACTAGATGGGACAATATGGAACGTAGAAGGCTTCAAGGTATTGCACGCAGCGTTCAGACTCAATGGCAAAAGTTTGACCGCGAACTGCGTTCTCCGAGTCTGGGGCACATCCCATATCCTCCGAAACCCGCGCTCCGAGATCCGACCCGACGGAGGCCAGTCTCATGCGCACCACGTGCACGACGTCATCGTTTCGCACCAAGACTCAAGAGACGCGACTCCGAGACTGTTCCGCTGACAAGCACCAGCCACAGCGCACATACTCAGGCTCACGCTCTGGCACCGCCCACCAGGTTTTCACAGCGCACTGCAGGTACCTTTCGGCTAAAGCAGGAGCTAAAGCGAGCAACTCAGGTGAGCGAACGAACGAACGAACGTGCGTAGCGTGGTACCCCGCGTTGACCGTGACCGTGACCGCTGGTTGCTTTCCCGCCGCCTCACGCCCAACTCTCGTCTCCGGTTTCTGCCTGCTCTGTAGCTAGGGATTCAGGTGCTGCGATTCTTAGCTTTTCTTGCCCGAGATTTGATTAATCTTCTTTGTTTGCTGGTAGGTGAGCCCTGTTCCGCTAAAGCGTTGATCTGGAGGCGTGCTGATATGATACACGCCACAGCTTCATCCCAGTAGTATCCAGTATCAGTACCAGCCAACATAACACTTGGTCCTCGCATCCGCACCGTTACGATCCCGCCCGAGGGCCTTCAGTCCTAAAATACACACGGGCGTGCACACAGCAACGCCAACCTTGCTCGCTTCCTAAGCAAAAGCCCACTTCCCTCGCTCAGCACATCCGTCCACCGCCACACTAGTACTACCATACGTACCAAGGAACCCATCACACTACCACCAAACACCAACACCACTTGAACACCGCCACGACCATCACCATCACCATGCCCGCGAACGCGAACGCACCCGTCGACCCGCGGCTCGAGGGGCTTGTCAACGAGGAGAGCGGGGAGTCGGACGAGGAGAGCGACATTTACGAGATCGAGGTGCGGGGTTACCGCGTCGTGTCGTTCCGCGGCCTACGCTGACTGGGGTGTGGCTCACTGCAGGGCGAAGAAGAGGAGTCGTACGAGGTAGGCGAAGAGGAGGAGGAGGAAGAGGAGGAGTACGACGAGGATGAAGATGCGTATGGGGAGGTGGACGCTGTGAACGGAGTACGTCGTGCTTTGGTTGCGCTTTATTGGCCTCCCCGTTGACCCTTGTGATAGCAAAACAACCTCACGGCGCTGCTCCTCGGCGGTAATGGCGTACGTCTATCGATTATCCCCCAAAGAATTCGACCCCTGACTAACCATCTCTTTTCCAGGCACCGACTGCTCTAGTTGAAGAGGAAGAAGAAGAAGACGAGGAGTATACAGAGGGCGACGCGCCCGTCATCACGACCACCACCGCGACTACGACCACAACGATCACAGACGAAGATGGTAGTGTCGTGGAGGAGACGGTGGCGACTCGCACGAAGCGGACCGTCGAGGAGATAAGCGAGGGAGACGAGGAAGCGGATGCGGACGGGGAGGGCGAGGAGGTCGAAGAGGGCACAGCGAAGAGAGTGAAGGTTTGAAGGCGAAGGTACGACGGGGAGCTGGACAGTGGATTCGAACTAATTGGCACCTGCTGAGTTGTGGGTGTTTCCCTTTGGACTTTGCTCAAAGTGTACGAGTAGGTAGATGCTACGACGCGTGCAGCGGAACGGACAGTCAACTCACAACATAACGTACATTGAAATTGAAAACGAGCCCTGGTAATACTGTACACTCATCTATCAGATAACCAAACCTTGAGCGATGTCAAGGTATCCTCAGGGCACAACCCTCTGTGCATCCCATCCCTCTTCCGTGCGTGTAAAGATCGTGCGTTGATTAGGCACAACCCCAAGCTCGCAAAAGTCCACCTGCTCCGGCTCGATGATTAACAGCGCATAGTTCGCATACGCCTCCTTGACCCGCGCCCGCGTCTCCTCGTCCTGTGCGTCCTCCAGCGTGGGCAGCTCCCTCGGCCACTTCTCCGCGTCCTCCAGGTTCAGCAGCGGCGAGCCGGGCGTGGGGCGCGCCCACGACGCGCGCATGTCGGGCTTCAGCGCGTCGAACACCTCCTTGCGCTTCGCTTCCCAATCAAAGCCTTCCGCCTTGAGCTGCGCGAACACGCTGCTCTTCTCGTGCAGCGCGCCACCGAGGCTGCGATGCGGGAAGACGTGCGCGCGCCCGCGGATGCGGTATTGCTCGTTGGTGTTGGCCGCCCAAAAGACAGCCTCAACGCGGTTGGATTGGGCGAGCTGCGTGACCTTGGGGGTGCGCACGTCGGTCGTGGATACGAGGATGGGGTGGGCGGAGTGCGGAGGGGAGGAGGGGGCGAGGGTGTCGCGGAGGACGTGTGAGCGGACGCGCGGGGCACCATTGTCGAGGGTGGAGAACTGGAAGATGGCGCAGTGCGCGTTTTCGAAAGGGGCGCGCCAGGGGCATTCGGCCATGGTGGGTGCGAGCCTTGAGTGTGAGTGTAGGTGAGAGCTGAGGTGGTTGATGAGGGTGCTGAGGAGGCGGGGCGCTGAGCTGGGCATGCAAGTAAGGGACCAGCGTTGAGGGATCGAGGAGGGACATGACATCCGATCGACGTCATCCTCTTATCGTCGCGTCTAATGGTCCCGTCAATCGGGCAGTGTCCACCTCATCAACATCATACTCCTCGAAACCAACCACTGAGACATATGTACTGCACACGTTGTGGGCTTCCAGGAACTTCGACGTGATGTTTCAAGACAGCCCAGGGGCCCAGATTTGCGTGACAGTCTCCTGAACGTTATGACGGTAGTTTTGTTTCCACGAAGCGCCGGAAGTGAAGTGGCTTCGTACTCTGTTGGCAGACAACCGACGTGGTGCTCCTCCTCGCTCCCACTGACCCCGTCCCCGAATAACGCAGACCATGAGCTTGCAATCGACATCAAGTTGAAACAATCGTTGCACCTATTGTTAGGCAGTCGTACCAGCCACCAAGGCACACTGTTTATGATCGTCACCATGTGTATTCAATCCATACTCGGGCCCAGCTTGTTCTAGGCAACATCCGCGACAACTGCAACTCCATCGTCCCGGCGGATCTTTTTTGGTACGTCGCGAGGCCTGCAGGTTTCTAAGCGGACCGTCGCTAACTTTTCATAGCGCCCACTATCTTCGTAAATCACGAGCGGTTCCTCGGTCACACACTTAAAGAAACTGCACCACTGGTGGTGATCTTCTCCCTTTCCTTTTGCCACCTCTCCTTCTATCCCCTTCCCCTCTCTTTGCCATGCATCGCAAACGAGCCAACAGCGGCAGCAGCGACGAAATAGACCCTGGCTACACCGACGACCTCGGCTCCCACACCTCCCACACCAAACAAGCAGATAACGGGCCCTTCCGCACCACCAGCAACCTCATCCCTGCCCAGAACTCAGAACACCCCACCGCCTCGGGCACCATGCCCTCCGACACCCTCACCCCGCCCGTCGCTCGCGCCGCACCCATAACTCCCCTCGACCGCTTCCGCTCCGCCGCGCGCAAAATCATCCAAATGCACCGCACCTCCGCCATCCTCGCGCGCTTCGCGTCCGCCAGCACGACCAAGGGCTTCGAACCAGGCATCGACCCGCGGCGACACACCGCCGCGCTCGCGTACGGCCACGTGCACGCGCAATGTGTGATCCAGTGCGCGGACTACAGCGCGCTGCGCGCGTCCTTCGGGCGCATGAGCAACGCCGAGTTCGTCGCGATGCTCAGCGACGACGGTGCGTGCGCGCGGGAGCCGTGGGCCAAGGTCCGGTGGATCAATATATGGGGGATCAGCTGGGACGTGCTTAGTGCGCTGGCGCTGAGGTATGAGCTGCACCCGCTCGCGCTGGAGGACGTGTTGCACCAGCGGGGGCATGCGCGGAGTAAGGCGGATTATTATCCGAGTCAGCTGTTTGTGCGCGTGTTGTGTCATATGCTGGGGGATCCGGACGAGGATGTGTTGGCGCAGTATGCGCCGGAGGAGACGTCTAGGTCGGCGTCGCCCGAGCCGATGCGGGGGTCGGATTATCGCGACGAGGACGAGGAGAAGACGTTGCTGGAGCCGGCGTGGAAGAGGGGACACTCGGATTTGGAGGCGCCGAGTAAGAGTGGGTTCAAGTTTGTCTCGCCGACGAGGAAGGAGTCTGTGGTACGTGCTAGTATGCTGTTCGCTCTTAATTTGCGTATCTTACCTTCGCGCATATATGCAGGCACGCAAAAGACGCGAACGCGCCCAGATCACGCTCGAGGCCCTCAAGAAAGAGGGCAGAGTCAACGTCAAAGTATCCCCCATGTCCATCTTCCTTCTCCGCAATGGTACGTCTCCCCTTTCACGATTCAACTACAACAGACCAGCTCATCCTGGATAAAACGGTAAGGCACCGTCATCACCATCCTCCCCTCGAGCACGCACGACTTCACCGAGCCCATCCAGGCGCGTCTCCGACAACAGGACTCGTTCCTCCGGCGCTCTGCGGACCCGAGTCTGCTCGTCCAGAGCTTGCTCGATATCGGTGCGCCGCTTATCCCATCACTATAACGCGCACGTTTTCTGAAGTCGTATCTGCGTGCACAGTCGTGGACTCGGCCCTCGAAGTCGTCGACGCGTACCACGAAAAGATCCTCGAGCTCGAGCACGACGTACTGTTGAAGCCGGACATGAAGGTCGTCCAGCGGCGTCAGTCTTCCCCTCCCCTCGCCGTCCCTTCTATGCTGACGATTGTCTGCAGTACACATCCTCTCGGGCGACCTCACGCTGCACAAGCGCACGCTCGAGCCGCTCAAGAGCGTCATCTACGGCCTGCGGCGGTACGACCTCGAGCGGTGCGCCGCGCTCGCGGACGAGCTCGCGCATGCGGACTCGCGGCAGAACTCGATCTCGTTCGCGGGGCTGCCGTCGGGTGGCGCTCCAGAGGGGCCCGCAAAGGTGCCGGTGAAGGGCTTCATGAGTCCCAAGACGAAGATTTACCTGGTAAGCCGTTCGCTCTTGAGTTGGATGTTGGATGCGGATTAGGATTTGGATTTGGTGCTGACGAGTGTGCACGGCACAAGGCGGACGTGCACGACCACATGGAGTACATCCTCGGCAGCCTGGACATGTTCGCGGGCATCGCGGAGAACCTGATCAACTACACGTTCAACGTCAAGTCGTACGAGATGAACGAGGTCATGCGCCGGCTCACGCTCGCGACGATCATTTTCTTGCCGCTTACACTGCTCACCGGTTATTTCGTGCGTCCTTTTCTTCTTCTTCTTCTTCTTCTTCTTCTTCTTCTGTTATTCGACACTGGCTGGGACATCGGGAGCTAACGACCATCTCCTCATGGACAGGGTATGAACTTCTCGAGCATGTGGTCGACCGCGCACCATACGGACTGGCTGTACGTCCAACCACCCCCCTCCTTTCTTTTTTCTCCTTCCCTAGCGCTGACCGGCCCTTCCCCTCACGCACCTCGTAGATTCTGGGCAATCGCGATCCCCATCATGTGCGTCGTCATCCCCGCCTTCACCGCGCCCGATATCCGGCGGCTGGCGCACTACGGCCAGAAGCGCATGGTTGCGTGGAAGACGGACCAGGTGTGTCTTAAATCAAGCTCAACATGGTTCGAGGTGCTGACGCCGCTGCAGTCGCTTCGATATATGCGGCCAGCGCGTCGGTCGACAAGATCATGAACTGGATGACGCCGATGTGGGCGTGCGCTTATTTACTTGTGGACTTGTGATGATAAGCTTGTTTTCGCTTTCCTTTGTCGCTCTTTTGGGGTTTGGGCTCTTTGATGTGGCTTTTTGTCGTTCTTTGTTTTCTTGTTTCGTGTTCTTATGCTGTCGCTTTTACAGTAAAAGTTATACCTCGCATACATTACATACCTGAGTTTCTCGTGCTGGACTGTTTTGTCTTCATTTACTATAAATGCCCAACAACAAGATAGCTGTCCAGCTGGGATCGCGCATTGATCGAGTGGTAACTTGCATATAGGACCGCGAGCCGACTTTCATGACGATAGTCGTGCTTCCGTCAAGGTAGATAGGGGCTTTCCTCTCTCGTCTCAATGCCTGACGCAGACGGCCTGACGCAGCAGAGCTTCATCGATATCTCTTCTTGACCACGTACTCTCCTCATGAGCGATCAAACACCAGAAGAAATCTACGCCGCTTCTAGACTGATTGCTGCTGAGCTGTTTGCCTCTGGTCTGCTTCCAGAGGCCGAAGAACGCTCCAAGAAACCCGATCTCGCATCTCTTCTCGACAACGAGAAGTCAGCCTGGGCGAACAAGAACCACGCGCTCGGGTTCCCGGTGGCCGACGTGCGCACCGATCTCGTAAAGTGGATGCGGGGCTGGGACAAGGGCGTCGAGAGGGCCTGCAGCTCGGCGACGGACGTGGTGACGTATACCTCGGCGTTCCGTTTCCCCTTCTACGTTAGCAGGACACCTGGTCCCACGGAGTACGAGTTTTTGCGCGTCGGGAAGCTTAGAGCGCAGGACGAACATCGAAGAGTGATGCTGGGGCTCGGGGAACTCTACGGCGAGCTTGAAAAGGAGCGGTGCAGCATTCGAGACTGGTTTATGCTCGTCAGCGCGGAGAAGCGGCGAAAGGCGCTCGCTCGGGCCTTCGAGAATACGTGCTGGTGCACCGTACTTGGCCAGGACTCGCGCGTGCTCTGTCCCGAGATCAACAGCACGACCCTTCTGAAACGCCGAGGACTCGAGCTCTTTGACTTCTGTGACCGGTACAAGGATAACATGAGCTCTTTCTTCGGAGAAGACGACCCTACGCAAACAAACATGCTCTATAGCGACTGGTGGCGGAGCGCACGACGACCAGAAGACAGCCACGTTGGGCGTAACCATTACGAAAACTACAGGTATTTGTATCAACTCTATACATACTTTCGGCTCGAGTTTCTCGGTGAGCGTGCCTCATCCATCTATCCCTCGCACCATTTAACTGGTGTTTCATGCGTCCATGCAACAGACAAGTTTGTATATTACACTCTAAAGGTCGTCCTCATGGGTTTCGTCGAAAACATGTCAAACAGCGACTCTTTTGTGCCTCGCTTGATCTGGATGGCTGGCCGGCAGGGCGTACAGAATCTCTTGGCCGTCCGAAGAGAAATGAGGAGCCGCGCCGGGCGCCGGTGCGAACACTGCGATCGCTGCCCGGAGGACTTTGGCGAAAGTATCAAGTTCCTTATCTGTGGCGCATGCAAACGCCACCTCAACTTCGAGTATCCCTACTGCTCCAAGTGCGTTTTCTCCCCCTCTCGCTCCGGTTCGCCGTATGCATTGATCGCCATTGTGGCGCTTCTATTCCAGAGAATGTCAGATGTCGGACTGGCCTCAACACAAAGTGCACTGTGGCAAGGAGAAGGTGTCCAAAGGCCGCGACGAGGGGCAACCGGAGTACACGCTCTCGCTCGGCGCGCTTCTCCAGCTTGAATACCAGCTACAGCGCCCCGAATTCGACTACTTCATCTTCCAGGTCGACGCACCCCAAGGCTGGCCAGTCGTATTTCTCCATGACGCCGAAAAACGGGCAACCTTTAGAGAAAAACGTGCTATGGTCGCAACAGACTCCGACCGAGCCGGCCTCGACGTGCTCGCAAAGTGTCTCGTGGATGCGCTGAAAGCAGACACCGCCGAATCGGGAATCACCAGGGACAATGTCATCCAGCAGCTATGTGAGGAATACGAGGTCGATGTGAAGAGTCGGCTTGAGGCGCTTGAAGCAGAATTGGCGATGGTAGGCGATGAGGACCGGTATAGCGGCATGGTGGTCATCGGAGGGCGACGAACCGGAAGCTTATAGTGGTATTGAGTTTTCGGGCCAGTGGTTGTTTTTGAAATATTTTGCTGCATCAAACTCACTCGTATATGGGTGCCTGTATAGCATCAGGAACCTTACAGCCGACTGGTCGGAGCTTGAACAAGCTTGTGCAAGCTTGTACAAGCCCCAAAAGTCCGGACAGGCCGAAAGCCGACCAGAAAGTAAGAAATTTTGAAAAGTTTTCTCTCAAAACGTGATTAAATCAGTGACATGTCACATAAATAACGCATGTCACTGAGTAGCCGAGCCCACTCGAATAGACATTCCCGTGCAATTCCCTGGTTCAAAAATGCCTCGTTGCAGGAAGAACTAATGGTTAGTGTACACAGCCGTCTTGTGGCTAAAAACTGACCTCAAAGTTACAAAGAACGTGATTTTACGCATGGGTGTGACATTGTGTGACTGGGCAATCTTTTGCCAAGACTCACAAGTCGCCAAGACGCCGACGATGTTACTGATGTACCTTTCTCTATCTCACCCTCTATCGCGGCTTTTGCGTCCAAGCCGTGCAAGTTAATCTTTGGGTACAGGCGAGGATGATCTGCTCTGTACTACAATATGTGTATGAGTCTGGATCCGCGAACCAGGCTTGGGTCGATTGACGCGACAGCTAGAGACATGGTGCTGGTCGAAGTTCAAGGTCAAAGCAAGATCCCTTTCAAGCAGCACAGTTGGCGTTATGGGGCTGTCATCGCTTATATTAAAGTAGATTTTGTAACGTTCGTAAGTATCCGAAGTATACACTGCAAAAATTTCACCATAACTTGTGCCCATTTACTTTAAATAACTGGCCCAGTTAGTTAAAATAACTTTATCATAACTTGCCGGGATTTATCCGGGTGTGGATACACATTGTATTTTAAATGATATTTGACAGGTTATGCTAAAGGTGGGACACGCAGTTTTGACAGCTATCTTAAATTGTAGTTTCTCACGGCTGTCAGCCATGTCATTGCTCATCTGTTTATTTTAAATAAAATGGAGTTAACATAAATGCGGATAAACTCCGCATTTGGATGACAACAATCAAAGTCTGGCCCATGATGGTCAGAAACCAGATAATGACCTGGCAATGACTAATCATATGCCGGTCAATGGCCAATCAATGGCCAATCAATGGCCAGTCATTTGCCAGTCAATGGCGGGTTAATGGCGGGTTAATGGCCAAATAGAAAGTTATTATTTAGTTAGAGAAATATGCTTTTAATCCCTCACTTCACAAACAACATGAAT